ATTCATTCGTTATGTATATTAAATAAAAAATAGAAAATCACTTACAAATTTAGAAGAAAAGTAACACATACGTTTGCTTTACAACCTACTGTCACCGTAATAATCTTCATTACCCATCACCACTTATTTAATATGCAAAACCAATCCGAATCTAACATCGATATGTCTGCTTCAGCTCAAATTCCGTGTTATGTCTACCTTGTTTCATATTTCTTAGTTATTGTAAATCATTCCTTTTTAGTTCATTGTTAGGTTTTAGATATGTTTCAACCTAATTGGTTGATTCTTTTGAGTCTCCATTCTTTAGCACGTGACAAAGTGTCACTTAACTTTTAGTCTGTTTCAAATACAATAATGTTTAGGTGGAAAATAGTATAATTTATTAAACATCAAAAATATTTTTTGAATTTCAATTATTGGCAAATGACGGTTTTAATATTAAAGCTTAGTTTGGACAATAGATGTATTACAATGCTAGAGACAGTTCCGAAGATCTCACTGGAGGGTTAGAGATCCGTAAGAATTCTAACTGTAATTGGTAGTTTTGCCACTATTTCTAGCGGTATACAAGGGCGACATATTCTAATAGTTCTGTAAATTATTCCTTTTTCTTATATTTAATTTATATAGCATATAAAAACTACGAGAATACATTTGAAAGCACATCTCTATGTTTGATACTGCTAACCCAAATACCAATCGTGCTTTTTCGAGTTCTAACTTGCGTTTACAAAGTATTCAAAAGTATTTTATCTATTGCATGTTTGTTGAAGGGTACCAGTAGTCAAGGGATGTTCTCTTATTGAAGATGATTAAAACTTGAATATAGAGCAAAAATGTCACGGGCCTTAATAATGGACGTTAAATAACTAGTGTGTGGCAATAAAGTACATAGGTACCTTTTCAGCGCTTTAAAATTTCTCGTTTAAGTTATGTCCACTGGAAGGAATGATTAAAACCTTGCTCAGTATACGTAAACAAATAGATTCTAGTTTGAAATATCAAGTAGGTTACACAGTAAGTATTTTTTGGTTCAATATAATGTTGGTGCGAATGCAATTTGTATATAAAGCGTAGTCATTTGCCGCATATATAAATTCTATATCTTGGAATTTTTCATTCTCTCCAATCGAAGATAAAAAGAAACTCTGCTATGGGTTTTGAATACATAGTCGTGGCACTGAGTAAACATACACCAATTACTTATACTATTCTCATATATTATAGTTTTCTGATAGTAACAGCAGTCAACTGAACTCCCTGACGATGTAAGATTAATATGGTTCTCATTTATATGTTTATTAGATGCGTTTTACGTTTTCGTTATTCTTTTCTCGAGATATCTTACAAAGTTAAATGCTTTTTTCATCTAAACAGCTTGTGTCACACTAAATTTACTAATATAGGTTAAACAACAGTAAATAATAAACGCGAAATGTACAATGCGAAATAAAAATATCTTGAAAAATTTATAATGTAAACACAGATCATCGCTATAATGGGAATAGTATTTTCTTATATTACAACTCAAGATTATCTTTTAACAAGTGATCCAAAATAAGGTGACAAGAGTCTATCAAATGACGGTCTTAGAGGAACTTGAACAGGACATTTCCGCCTTGAGGGAAGAAAGTATGTTTTTGATTTAATCTAAATTTTAACAGTTTTGTTGTACATCATAAGCTTTATCAGAAATACTAACTATTATCTCAATATATAGTCAACTCCTTAAAGAAAAAAACATCAACTATTAAAAGGTCCATAAAGGACAAAAAAAACAAACCACGTATAAAGGCATCCAGTACAGTCGAAGAACCCGTTGTTTCAGAATTTAAAACTTTATTTGACCAATTTCCACAACTTTACAGTTTATTACACAATGACCAACAGGATCAATTTGAAAATAATGTGGAACATATGGGGAATGATTCTGTAGAGACTCATAATGACAAGGATTTTCAGACCCCAAGGAAGAAATCACGGATCGTTTCAGGAGGTGATAATTTACCAGAATCTGAATGGGTGCTGAGGAATCAAATCCCTCTAGAACACCAAATGTTTGATGATAGTATTATCGGCGAAATGGATGTTGATATATTATCATCGCCGTCAAAGAGAAAAGCCGAATTACAAAAGATAGAATTGGATAAACCCAAAGGTGACAAACTTCGAAATAAAGTCCTCATTGAAAATATGTTTCGTTTATTCGGAATTACATTTTTCCCCCTAGTCGATCCAACAGATCTTAAATTAAATGATGAAACTCAAAATATTGAAATCACAAGACAGATGCTTGGAATTCGTCTGGATATATTCAATAGTAAGAATTCAACCTTTGATAAAGCCTATTATATTTTATTAAAAAATTCCAATAAAACAAAAGGAAAACAAATAGAAAGTACAAGTTCTGGGAAATGGGTAATATTCAAACATACCATACCTGTGTATATAGATATCGAAATGATAATGCGTGATTTGAATACTAGCAATTCATCCTCATACGAAGAAGTATACATTTTTGCTAAAGAAATATACATTTTATTGCTAGATAGTATAGAGCGAAGGAAACTATTTGAATCATTAGAGCTTAAGGGCTTAATTACTAACCTTAAGAACGACATAGATTCAACAAGTGTGTTCTTTTCTTTAGGAAGCGTCAAAATACAATTGTATTTAGATAAAAATATGATCACTTCATGTTTGATTACTCAAGGCTTACAAGATGAGCTACTTAAAAATAAATGGGAAACCATATTGAACGGCCCATTGGATGAGCTCGAATTCAAAATAAAACAATTACGTTAAATCAGTTTCTTTTTTTGCCTTTTATAATGAACATTATTATAAACGATTGTATTGATGCATAATTTTTATATTCTATCTTTTTTTTTGTTTGGGCTAATATAGATATTTACTTAGGGCAGGGTAGTCAGGGATCAGTTGGTACATTACGTAGAAGCACGTATAACCCAACACACATCCTAGTAGTTTTTCCATCAGAGTATGATAATATACAGCAGTGATAAACAATAACATAGTCCATATCATCAATACTGCCAGAATCACGATTATTCCATTTGTAATCCATCCAGTCATAAAATTTTGAATATTTTTCTTATTGACATAGTTGTAGTATATATATAGTTCGCACCATAAAATTAAACTAATATTCATTAGAAAACAAAAATGTCCACTTATATCAAAGCCTCCTACCCATTGTCCTCCTGTTTTACGGCATTCTTCAGCAGAATGTAATCCTATGTTTTGATCGCCGCTACTACATTGACCACCTGTAAAAATAAAGATTTCATCAATTACGACAAAGCAAATAAAGAGAAGAAGATTCTTTATAATATATTTAATAATATATTGTTTTGTATATTTTCCAACATTGCCATCTGTAAGTGAAAAATTTCGAGTATGCCTCTCACTTGAGGTTGGTAATAGTTCGAAATTTTGAGTGTGAATGTAGATTTGAACAATAGCTAAGTAAATAAATAATATTGTCCAAACTAAATTACCCTTGTACGCAAAGATGGCATTGATAAAATTTCCGGAGTTTAAAAGGTAGATAGTTTTCTTTTGGTGTTCCTTTGCACTTTCAGGTACCGCAAAACTAAGAAATGTGCCAACCAGAAATAGCACCAAATATAAGAGACAAATTACCGAGTGAAAGGAATAGGGTATCCTCGACCGTATGGATTGGGTATGTTCCATTGTGTATCTTGCGTTATTATTGTTTTCATATTGAGAAATCATGAGCTATAATAAGCGATGATCTATTTAATTCTCGTATTAAGCGTTTCCTAATTTTTTTAATATTTAAATTTTTGGCAGACACCTCGCTTAGGCGATGTCACTAATTTATAAGTTCGCCATAACATTACTTGTAAACTACAACTTTATGAATTATGTTTCTTTATATATTATGTATTTATAAATATGGTAACGACCTATGCATGTATTGTTCCTTTTTTTGGATTCATACCACTCTTTCAAGTTATTGATAAAGGTAATTTTAGTTCATATTGTTTTCTTTCTTGAACTTCTCCCAAGCAACACTTAACACGCTAAAGACGTCCTCAGCAATCATTCTATTTTCCAAACCTAAGTTGCTCGAAAGTTTATCGGGATGTAACTTGGCAATTGCCTTTAGGTAAGTGATTTTTACTTTTTTGGGTATGACTAAATCTGCCGTTGAAATAGGTTTCCAGTCAGTCCATGAAATAATGGCTGATAAATTAGATAATAAGAATCTAATATCATCAGGTTTATTATCTTTCCATTTTTCCACTTTGTTGAAAACTGTATCATATAAGGCCAGTTTTTGTTTTTCAATTTCTTCTTCTTTGATATGCAGTTCTTTTATTTCCTGTACATTTTTATTTATTTTTGGATTATTAATAACAGGCGCTCTAGTTATCGAGTTTTTCACAGTGTTAGGGACCGGTGTAGACGAGTCTGTTCTTGGTTTGGTTGCAAAAGCTTCTGGATTTAGGACCTTTTGGCATCTCCTCTTGGCACTCATAATTTTTGGATCATGAATACCATTTTCTAGCAATAACTGTAAAGTATCAAGGGCAACCTCGAAATTTTCTTGATGTTCATAGGCTTCTGCCTGTCTTGAAACAATTTTGGACCATAGCTCTTTGTATGTTTTAGAGGGGTTACTATTTTGAATAGTGTTACTCCATTGCCTTTTATCTTGTGGAAACATGTTTAAAGCAATTTTTCCGTTTTCAATACATTTAGAGTAATCACCAATCTTAATTTGAGATATTATCATATTGGACAAAGCAACTATACGTAAAGGATGTGATACAGGTAGTGTATTCAATGATTTTTCATATTCTTCAAAAGCAGAACTGTAATTACCATTACTGAACAGTTGTTTAGCATTTAAATTAAATTCATCATACCCAGACAATTCCATGGAGGATATATGGATCATGGGTAATATATTATTATTCTCGGGCACATCAGTTTTACTTCCTTTATTCCCAGTATTATTATCGAAATCCAATAATGTTGATTGTGAGGGTGGATTTTGTGAAGTTATTGATTCTCCTGATTGGGTCTGAATCGAAGGATTGACAATTGGGTTTTCTGTTATGGTCACATGTTCGTTGAAATCACCCAATAAATCGCCTTCCGTAGCATCTCTAACTTGTGCAGGCAGTTCGGTAGAGCCTGTAGATATTCTACAAGTGGATGAATCTGACGTTCTGGAAGGTTGTGTCCCAAACTTTGCTTCGTAGTTATTAATATCAAATGGGTTAGATTCATCATCTAATAATTTTTCTTTATTCACTGACGGCTTAAAACGAGATCTTTCGTCATCAATATTTTCCATGGAGTTGCTGTCATTCCCTTTATATTTATAAAGTCTATTCGATTCTTCATCAGGGTATGCAGTTAATTGATCAACAAGATCTTTACCTTTATTTAAAAAATCTGTTGCCACAGAGAAAATTGATGATGATACGGTTTTCTTATTGGTATTATTATCATTGAAGAAAGTTGTTTCAAGTCTATCATTTTCTTTTCTTTTTTCTTCCATCTGTTTCAATTTTTTTCTTTTAATTAAATCATCATATAAGATACCTCTATTATAATAACTATTGGCTTTATCAATTGATATCCCCAAGGACATCAACTGGGCTACTTCCATATCTTTTACTTCATCTACTACTGGTGAGTTTTCATTTTTATTAGAAGAAGATGATAGTAATGAATCATTCGGTATAGATTGCTGAACGCTTTGTTCTTTAGAGTCAAATTTATCAAATACACTCATAAAATCGTCATCATTCGTTGAGTTTATATTGATTGAATTTTGTTTTTGTTGTGAACCTTGACCAGGTGTATCACTTTGCGAAGAAAATCCAAACAAATCATCAAGATCATTATGAATGGAATCGTTTACATGAATCTCTTGGGAAGGAACCACCATCGGTTTCGTAATATTTGATTCCTGTTTCACATTAGTATTCGAAGTGTTGATACCACTAGCATTTGCTCCATTTTGATTTGTTTTCTTATTTTCTTTCAAAGAAGTTAATAGGTTTGCAAAAGGGTCTGCCATGTAAAAATATGTGCGGTATGAATCTAAGTTTATGTTTTTAAAAATGGCTAAAGAACCCAAAAATCAAAAAAAGGGTCTAACACTAACAAAATTATTTACTCTCTTGATAAAAAAAAAGTACCTCACTATGCAACTGACAGTTCTACAATGTATCTGACACTCTATAGATTACTCTGGTATTGATATTCATAACGACAGACACTTTAACCCACCTATGACCCAGCTCATTTTATCCATTTAACTGAATGATTTGTTAATCCATTCAAAGCTTCATCGTGTCTCTCGACATATTAGGGTTTGGTTTAACTGTGTATCACCTGATACGATAGCCCTACCTCTGCCCGTAGTGAAAAAAATTTTGAAAAATTTCACTTTTTTGGTGCACTCCCTGGAATGGAACAGACGGATAGAGCGACAATCCGTTAATCTTTGTAGGATGGATGAGCATTGAAAATTTTTTATTTGCAATTGTTCACTTTCTATCAGTAGAAGAGGTTTGGTTTTAACAATAGTTTAAGTTGAACTTACATTTGAAATTGTAACTTATTTAAATATACTAGGTAATATCACCACACGTTAACAACAATAAATATCTATCACCATGCATTTGATGTACACTTTAGACAACGAAGGTAAGAGAGTTTACACTTTAAAGAAAATTGCCGAAGATGGTGAAATTACTAAGTCTGCTCATCCTGCTAGATTCTCCCCAGATGACAAGTATTCTAGACAAAGAGTTACTCTAAAGAAGAGATTCAACATCCTGCCTGGTCAAAATTAAGAAAAATAAAAGATATTGTATACATTGGTATTAATTATTTGAAAATAAAAATATATAATAGAGTTCATGTCTAAGGATAGGAACCATTGTATATTTTTATTTTTATTTTGCATGGAGAAACGAAGTATTTAAAACAATATTCTTTAACTGTTTGTGTTATCCTTTTTCATTTTAATTACTGTCGACAGTTTGTGATACTTCTTTCTATTGTATATTACATAAAAAAACAATTTTAAAATAAAATAAAACAAATAAAATTTTAATAAATTAACATTATATGGAAACTTTTCCTTTTTCACTTTTCATTAATATGATTTATTTGAACATATACCTGTATATGTAAGAATATATATAAATATATATATATATATATATATGTGTGTGTGTGTGTGTGTATTTAGTTAAATTTGTACGTAGATATGGGTTGTATTAAAGACAAATGACTTAAGAATTTATTGAAATTGACGTAGGATAATGCATAGGTGTATGTTGCTATTTTTTAATTGTAGGTTGTATTCAATTAGAAGGGTGGTTTTCTATTCCCTGTTGCATCTAAATTAAATTGTGTACTATTATGGTAATTTTCACAAATTTGTCCAATAATTTCAATATTCTTATTCTTCTTATTAACATTGGCCAGCTCTTGATTCAATGTAATTACACTTTGATTTAAACGTTCTACATTAACAATTATACGTGATAATATATTCTTTTGTTGACGTTCATATGGATTCTCCATGTTTTTTTATGTTCCTTTTTTTCTTTAACTTATTGCAAGTAATTAGTATAGGACTGCTAAGATGACGGTGGATCGTGATCACTAAGTTATAGTTAGTTACTATATAAAATCTGATAATTGAATGTCTAAATTGTTACTGTATTGTATTGTATTAATTTGATTTGGTTTTGGTTTTGTTTGTTTTTTTAGCCATACACGAAAACAAAATAATAATAATAATTATGGTACTTCAGATCTGCGACGTATAAAGTGATTCTACTGAGAGATGAGATAAGTATATTTAATAAATGACTACGCAAAGAGTTTAAAATGATTATTATATACAAACATTCGAAGGGTAAATGCAAAATTGCATTTTTAAGGTTAAGGAATACCTAATTGTACTCATCACCTGTAAATATAATTTATTTCACTTATTTGTAAACAACCTTAACATCCCTATTGGCATCGATTCCAAATATTATATTGGCCTACATTCTCAAGAAATAAATCAATAATGGATATCCGCACGTATATTTATAAGGATATAGTCACTCTGGGTATAACTCAATAACATAGCAAGTAAACGTGCTAGACCGTCTATACTTTACTTCCGAGACCATTTTCTTATAAGAAGATATCATCTGCCATAAATTCCAAATAATATGTTTTTACTTTAATTAAAAATATCAACCATTATTTCGAGTTATTCATCCTAATGATTTTTTGAATTTTTTTTCATCATAGCCATTATGCATCACTGCAAATTATGCATAAGTTACTGATAGCGGTTACGCTGTGAATACATATACCGCAAATGTATTTTTTGTATTGAATAAGCACTAACATCAATCGGTAAAATGTTAGCAAAAACGATCTCAATTGCTCATATTAATAATCTCACAATTCTGATATCTTATTAACCAATTCATCACAATGGATGCTCACAGTTCACCTTGTCATTGAAATCATTCACAGCTGTTTCCTTACTTAACCTCAATTATCTCACATAGTAAATAGAATTTTCCAATTTTTTTTTTCAGAGCCACGCCGGATTTTCCTGTATTGTGCATGACTACCAAATAATTTTCAATATTATCTCATCGTTCAAGATGCACACATTCTCTTGAACAGTATCTTATATAAAAAATGTATTGACAGTGAAACAATTCTGTAACTTCTCTTTCTATTTCTATTATTCGACACTAATTTTGACATTAGTGAACCTAAAGAAATTTATCATCAAAGCACCAACTTAAACAAATCGAATAGACTGTGAGAAATAACTATGCCCAACAACGCTGTTGAAATTACTACTATTTGTTCTGACGTCGAAAACTCACAATTTAAATTGGAAAGCATGGCTCCAGAGGAATCTGTCGAATCCAAATCTATCACCCCGGTAGCAGTTCCACCACTATCACAACGTCGTTCGTTACCAAGAATTAAAATTTTAGGTACAGGTGGTACCATTGCTTCTAAAGCTGCTTCATCTTCCGCTACAGCAGACTATAAAGTAGATTTGACTATTCAGGATATGTTAGAAGCAATTCCTGATATTTCACGTATTTGCGAAGTTGAATATGAACAACTTTGTAATGTTGATTCAAAGAATATCGATGAAGAAATTTTAATGAAAATTTATAATGGGATCTCTGAATCTTTACAAAAATTCGATGGTATTGTCATCACTCATGGTACAGATAGTTTGGCAGAAACAGCTTTCTTCATTGAAAGTACCATTGATGCTGGCGAGGTACCAATTGTCTGTGTTGGTTCAATGAGACCTTCATCCTCTGTATCTGCTGATGGTCCAATGAATCTATATCAAGCTATTTGTATAGCAGCAGATCCCAAATCTAGAAACCGTAGTGTCTTAGTGTCTTTAAATGATCAAATATCAGCAGGTTATTATATTACAAAGACTAATGCTAATAGTTTGGATTCATTTAATGTCAGACAAGGTTATCTAGGTAATTTTGTAAATAATGAAATCCATTATTATTATCCACCTGTTAAACCACAAGGTTGCCATAAATTTAAACTGAACATTCCAAAATCTGTAAATTCTTTCGAGTTTCCTGATGTTTGTATTATTTACGGTCATCAAGGTATTACTTCTAAATTATTAAACATGGTAAAAGATCAATACGCTGGTATTGTGATTGCTACTATGGGTGCAGGTTCTATGCCTGATAAAGTTAATGAGGACTGTTTAAAAGTTGATATACCTATTGTATACTCAAAGAGATCTATGGATGGTATGATTCCAAGGGCAAATTTACCTAAGGATGCTAATGGAGACTCTCATAATTGTATTGCTTCGGGTTATTTAAATCCAGAAAAGAGTAGAATTTTATTACAATTATGTCTTGCCTGTAATTATTCCATCGATGAAATGAAACATGTCTTTAGAGGTGTGTACGGTGGTTAAGACATTGTTTCTAAGATTTGTTTAGTTTTTTACGTTTGTTAATTAAACGATATGCATATATAGATCTCAAGAGAGAAAATATTTTGGAAACTTTTTGTAATATTATAAATTTTTGGTCTTTTTTATTATTATTAATATTTATAAATAAATGATAATAGGAAATTTTATTGAAATGTGATGGGTATAAGGTTTAAGATAAAGTATCTTAATAAGATGATGAACATGGTAATAATTGTGATCACCAACAATATGATAATAAACTGATAACGAACAAACGAAAAGTAAATACTAAAATTTTTACTGTTTTTATTTTTATGATTTAAGTCATATAATGCGCTTAATTTTTAAGAATCTATATTTTTTTTAGATAAAATCTTAACAAGTTTCTTTGAGTGTCTACCAATAGAATTTACAATACTTTTCTTCTTTTTCTTTTTCTTTTCTGTTAATGTTTCTTGTTTGGCTTCAATCCTACGAATTAATGAATTTATTTCTTCTACACGTTGTCCTATCTTCTTTTCACTCCATGTATCAACCGTAGAAAGGTAAGGATCATTTTTTGATTTTATGTTATTTATTTCAATATATTGTTTGGCTCCATATAGTCTTTCACGAACTACATTGCGATATATCTCCATTGTTTCATCCTTTAATCTTCGTTTGTCGTCAAGAGATAACTCCTGATTATAAATCCTACCAATGATCCTGGAAACTGTTGCTGCATCATATTTACCTTGACCAACTCCATAGAAATGTGGTGCTAATTTCCCTTGAAAATGAAGATAACTATTCTTTGTTGGGGTCTTACAACCATCAAATAATTCAGAAGCAACATCATATTTCAATCCATCTAAACAATCAATTGAATTTCGACCTTTAGATTGAACACATTTCTTACTCATTACTCTAGCGATAAAAATGTCCCTTGTCTCCTGTGGTAAATTTTCCCATAATAAGCCAACTTTCTTGTAATATTCATCACCATTTAAATATGAATAGAACTCTTGGAAGGACTCATTGTTTAAATTCTGAGAAATATTCATCGGTGTACTATATACACTACTTTGAGAATAAGTACGATGTAATGTATTCATACCAGATATAGATTTTCTTCTAACAACATGATTTAACGTAGATGAAGAGAGTGATCTTTTCAAACATTGTACCATTTTTGCAAGTATTTTATTGATTATATTAAATTCTGGACGATGATAAACGAACAAAAAAAAACAGGAACCATATTTTGGCTGATGAATTACATAGATACTACTGGTATCGAAATTCTCCTTTATATATCAATTAGAAATGTATTGCTCATATATACCACAACATCTACCACAGAAATGATATGTCCTCATTACCAGAGAGTTTTCTATCTTTTTTATTTTTGTTGACCTCTCACAATATATCAAATAACTTATGACTACCAAAACAATCCTCATTCAACATTGATCTTACCACTCCGGAAATAGCACCTTTAGATCAGTAATCGAGTTAACCAGAGCTATATCATTTTGTGACATAGCACAGATCCATCAATTATTATCTTTGAAAGTGAGACGCACAGGGAGAGAACCCATTCGCATACAAACTTACCGGGCCGTCGAGTATTGAAACTTAATGCGGAAAAAAGAGCAGATATACACATAGAGAAAGAGAAAGAGAGCTCGAAGTTTCTAAAATAAAATAAGAGAATTGAAAATTGAAAGGAGCAACTATTAGCATTAAAGAGAGATTATATTACTTTTGCAAATAAAAAAAAACCACGGCTCTGAGTTAACAGCTTTTAAAGGATACGAGAATTGGTAAGAAATTAAGGTGTTTGCGTGTTTGCAGTAACTTCTACTCCTTTATATTGTTATTTCTCACGATTTATAAGAGCATACAAATTTAGGTTGAATAATTATTTTAATTCAAGATGTACAGAAGATTAATACATACAAGCAGTGTAAATAAATCATCTGCTGTTTGGTCTGATTTTACTTCGAGGTCCAAGTCTCTAGGTATTTCATCAGCTGCGATCAAGAAAGGTATCCTCAGTGGTGATAAAGTTACCGGTGGCCCCGCTTCTTTAAAGAGGAAGACAAACCGTATGAAATATAACTCTCCTGAACTTATCGACGAAACGTTTAAGACCTGTTATGATTTTTTGCAAGATAGATCGGAAATAACTTATAAATATGTAAATAAAGAGTCCATCAAACCAACATTAAAGGAGAAACTTTTAGTGAAAGCCGAGATAACAAATCCTGAAGTACAATATAATTTCCAATTTGGTGATAAATTAGATAATGTAACTGATGTGATTGATTATAATCAACCTGTTTACAGATATTTAGGCAAGAAACACTGGGAATCATATAAACAAATGTTGTTAATGCAAAGGTTGGAATCCTTAAGAGTCATCCCCGATACTTTACCAACTTTAGTACCTCGTGCAGCAGTTGAGATTAAATTTCCTTATTCTACTGGTGTTAATCAATGGATTGAACCAGGTAAAATATTATCTTCAGGGGTTACATCTTTGGAACCAATATTTAAGATTCAAGAATTTGAATTAGTTAATTCCAAAGAACAACTTTATACCATTCTTATTGTGAATCCGGATGAACCTGATTTGATGAATGATTCTTTCAAGACTAGTTTATCTTATGGATTAACTAACATAAAGATTGATTACAACGATAATGTTGTAGATTCAAGAAAGTTTTTTGAACGTAATATTTTGGCTAAATATTTACCGCCAGTCCCTGAAAAAAATTCAGGTAGTCAAAGATTTGCGATTTGGGTGTTTAGACAACATCTAAATGAGGCGACTGGTCAATGTGATATCCTCGATACAGATGCAATTATACCAGCAATTGACAGAGAAAATTTTGATATAAGAGACTTTGTTCAAAATAATAAATTGGATCCAATTGGAGCTCATGTTTGGAGAAGTACATGGGATAGTAATGTTAAGAATGTTAGAGCACAATATAATTTACCAAACGGTAGAGTATTTTCTAGAGTACGTGTCTAGGTGATGAAAAGGCTCTGTGACATTAGTACAGTCCTTCAGATAAATAAATAAATAAATAAATAAATAAATATAAATATAAATATAAGATTCATGTATATATGCAATACAATTCCAACATTTCTTTATTGAGTTTTAGGAGACTGAAACCTATTTAAAATTTCGAGATAGACGATTTTGTATTGTCGAACAGTGATTAATGTATTGGTATATCTGAAGCAACCCTTCTTTTTTTAATATTTTTATTGACTCAGAAGTAAAATAATGAATAAGATGACATTAAACTTAGTAAACAAATGAATATATAAAAATTATGTATTATCTTGGGTTATAATATGAACTCTATTATATTTTATGGTTTTCAGTGTTTGTAAATGTTAATTAAGTTTTCGTATTTGCTCATTATATTGTAACAGAAAGGATATGGAATAGTAATAATTGTAAAAAAATACGGTTGGTCTTGATGTGATGAATTGAATAGATATATATATATAAACAGTGAATAGTACTCAGCTTAGGTGGATTTTAATGATTCGACTGCATTCAATATAACAGCTGCGTAGTCGAGGTTTGGATCCTCCAAGTTAATCTCTTTACTTTCTACTACCTTCTTTGGATGTAATTTATTCCATTCAGCCTTTGCTTCTTTAACTAATGCAACCTGTTTTTGGTATGTATCTTCTTCAGCTTGTTTCTTAGCTGAGCAACGCAAGTTCATATCGGTCCTCAATCCGACAACTAAACCAAGGGCTAGAGCACTATATCTCAATACATTAACACTTGACATCTTTCTAAAAACTTTGTTTGAGTTAGGAATTATATATGGACAACCAACACACTTTGTTTATGTTCTCAGTCGTTGAAAATATAATAGTCTGTAAACAAATAGATTATATGTCTCTATGTCAGGGGATCTTCTAAATATCTCATGAAGTTAAAGAAGCCCTTTAGAAAACGTCGAGAATTGTACTTGGACCAAAACTTTGTTAAACTCTGCGTAGCGAAGCGGGCCAATCATAACGGAGTATAGCTTCTAAATTTTTTTGGTACGTAAAAATGGAATATTCAAGGCTTTGGTTATTTAAGGTATATTTATAGATGTATATATATACATATGATTTAAAGTTGCTATCAATGTTGCTATCAATGTTGCCTAATGTAGTTGTTACAACAGTATTGTATAGTTTATATTAGTAAATTGCGTAATACCGTCATCACATGGAACGATTTACAGTTGTCAAAAAAATGATGCGAACCACAACAATGTTAAAACTATTATCAGTCAAAACCTTGTTCGCCTAATTTGTTCTGAATATCATCTACACGTTTCTTGATGTCTTTTAAATTATTGCTGAGTACCTGTACCTCATCAAAGTGCCTTTGTTTCTTAGAATCCTTTATCATAGATTGTAGCATGAAACTTTGTTCTTTAAAAACCATAAGTTCTTCTCGGTATTCTTTTATTTCTTTGATGGTAAGATCACTCATTAGGTCAGATAATTTCTTCACTTCTGGAGTTCCTGTATCCATGAAACTATTATTTGTAGAACTTTCATTGGATGAACTCCCACTATTTAGAATAGTTGGGAGATTCTTCATTGGTAAAATCTTTTCATTGATAAAATCGGATGATATTATTTTAATGGATTCTTGGATCCTTTTCTCTGAGATATTCGTTGTACGAGTGGTAACAACTTGTTTAGTAAGTATATTGTAAGCTTTAAACGCTCTTAGTAGTTTCTCTCTGTGTTTACCTAGCTCTCTGACATCTGTAATATCCGGAACATTATTTAACTCCCTAGTGATTTCTATTTTACTCAAAAGATCTTCAAATTTCGGCAGTACTTGGTTGATTACTACAGATAAATTTTGAAGACTGTAGTATTTGGATATTATTGCAGTAGGAAGAGCTGATATGTCTTTTTTAAACTTTCTAGGAACATAAATCATATCCAAACAATTCGAACATATCCTAATGCCCTTATCGAATTCAGGATCTTCTGGAACACTTTGCGTGTAATTCAAATCAGATGTAACAGCTTGTAAAAAGCGTATCAATAATTCATTAGAGCAACAGGTTTCTATTTTATCGCAAACTATAGACCCACATAAACGACAGTGATGTTTTCTCAGTAAGAATGTAAATTTGGTATGGCAAATATTACAATTTGAAACGGTGCTATCATCTCTCCAAGGAACTGTTGAACGTTCCAGTGTTGTAATATTATAATCTAATTTCACCGGACCTAAAATGCTATCGTGATATTTGTTATATAATATAATTATACCATTAATTAATACCACTAATCTATTCTCAAGTTGTAATCTTCGTAACTCTCTGTCATCACTTTTACTATATCGTATTTTACAGAATGTCTCGGTTAGATCTACCCTTGAACCAAAATCGTTATAACCAGGTCGCATGATATAACAGCCCTGACAACAGTTATACCATTTACCATTCTCTGGGTCATAATCTGCTTTTAAATTCAACCTTATAACATTTCTACAATGCCATTTGCTGAATAGATTCCCACATTTTCTGCAATTTCTTGCCTCTGATTTACTTTTTAGTATATGTCCACAATCATGACATTTAGAACCGGAAGTGTACGCTTTCCAGTGGCCTGTTTTAATCTTATTAACTTTTGCAAGTACTTTTATGTTTTTCGATTTAGTATTAGCAATATTTCGTTTTTTTTCTTGGGATGTTGCTTGTTGCTTACTAACGGTAGGGCTGGAATCATCTATGCTATCGTTAAAGCCATGATCGTTATCTAAATGTGTGTTTAGTAATACCAAATTACTAAATGATTTAAAACAGATAGGACATGTGACATTTTCCATGTTAACTGTTTGTGATTCAGGTGTTTGTGGAGCTATTCCTACTTCGACATGTGTATTATTCATATTCTTCGAATTACGTGAACAAATCTAATATTAGAATGCATCGACACGCAACGACAATGAAAATCGCTGATAGCAAATATATACTAATTTACAGAGTTAAGTTGAGTCCTCTTTGAGCAGTACGTTTATACTTCCCTTTTATCTTTGTTCCTGGACCTTCCAGTTTTAATGTGTCAAAGGTGTATCATTTTACGAGAATCATTTTCATCCCTATACTAACGCATTGTGAAGTATCTGCATTGTGTGAGGCGTTCGCCATGGTAACAGACCCAATAGATCCAATATTAACTTGCAAATCAAGGAGGGAACTAAATATTATCTAGCGAATAATATATATATGTGTATGGAATTCTTCTATCTAGATATATATTTAAGTTAATATACATAGGTTATTTTATGTGAATGAATGATTCGTGTAACGAATGGAAAAATGCAACTGATTCTAATCTCCTAGAAAACAATCTTTGGAAGATGGAACGCTTTTCTTTGATTTTCTATCATAGATGGTGGTCTCTCAACAACGACCAATTCTTTATCAGAGATGAAATCAAAGTACAAGATTGGTCTGTACTTGTCTGTGAAGAAAAAGACTTTACGGTCCATTGTATTTTTATTAGTTCCTAGGGACTTTAATCTGTTGTTTGATGTATGTAGAGTGTCCATATTATCATCAAGATCTAAATCAATATCTTCATCTTCTTCGTCTTCATAACTCATGAAGTTACTTTCATCAGTAATTGTAAGGTTATCACGGGTACGTTTTTTCTGTTTTCTTTTGTTACTAATAGGTAAATCTACAGATAAATCAAATCTTGAAATCCAGTTAGCACCCCAGAACCAGGCTATATTTTCATTGATATTACTGAAAGTAACACCTTGGCATTTTTCTTTGGCATTCGTAAATTGCTTTGGTAAATTTTCTGTATTGTGCTTGGACCACATAGTTAATAATGATGAGGATGAATCTTCATCTGCGGTCTCTTCCATTTTTTGTATTATGTTGAATTCATAAATTTTATTATCAGCTGTCACAACAATTACGGTATTTCTTTTCTCATTTATTTTCATTGCAGTAATGAAATTAGTCAAACGAACCAAACATTTGGTTTCTTTAGTTTCTAAGTTAATTAGATCAACTATACCACAACCTCTAGAGATTACTGCAAATTTAGCGGTTGAATCAAGTTGATGGATGTTATTGATATAAGGTACTTTAATTCCACTCTTTGTAGATTGAACATCTGAAGTTTCAATATATTCAAATTTTTCATCATTATCACTCTCTAGATCTAAGGAAACTAATTCATCATCTGTAGTGCAGAAAATAATTTTAGAATTATCAATGAATTTTGCAATTCTTGTACCAGTCTTTAGTAATAAATCATTATCTAATTTAGTAACTATTAACTTACCTTCTTCAGGTTGTAGATGGAATAATTTAGTGGTATAGTTTCTGCTAACAACTAATACTTGTCCATCTGGTGATAATGTACAATTAGAAATATTTTGATCATCCTTTAACACCAATTTACAAACCAATTTATAATTTTTGTCAAAATCTAAGTCATCACCGATAACCCAAATCTTAATGGTTGTTTCATGCCACATCACAAGAAGTCTTTGTTCCTTATTAATCAAAACATTCTTTGTAAATGGTTCAACAAGTGGCATCTTTCTATAGTTACCTTCTGCATATGATGACATAGAACTAACCACAATTGTCTTTTCAACACCACCAGAGACTAAGAAATCAGCACCCTTGGACTGATAGCCTGCAAGAGCTCTTACATCGTTACCATGCAATAATCTGTTAGAACTATTAATCCATTTCTTATTATCGTTACCCTTTTGGTTATTATTGTTGGATATATTTCTAGTAAACTGGAAGATTTTCCTATCGACACCTGCAGTGAATACGTGTGTATTGGTGACATCAGTAGTCAAGCATAAAACGTCTGCATTATGAGGTTTAAATGAACTAGATAATGTAGCATATTGGAAATCCCAAAACTTTACTGACCCAGTTGAATCACCAGAGACAATTTGATTAGTAGCAGGTAAATATAAAATACTCCATACTAAAGTAGATTCATTCTTAGCTTTATCAACTTTCATGGTATGTAGTAATCTACCCCTACTTTCATTGTCTTGGATACAATTCCAAACTCTAATTCTCCCATCAGAACAACCACCAATAACGAAATCATTTTTGTTCCATGTTAATGTCAAAATTCTTGATTCTTGTCTTACCAGGATTGTATCGTGTTCTAGGACGCCTGAACCTCCTGAGATATCAATAATTACAACAGTACCGTTATCGCAACCAACAGCTAATTTATTCATATCATCATTAATTGCCAATGACCATATAACACCTGCGTTACAATCATAATTTTTCAATACTTCCCCTGTTGCTAAATTCCATTCTGTAATAACTGTGGACCCCCCAATAGAAAACAATCTAAGTGGCTCTCCACTAATATTACACCAACAGAGTCCCTCTATAGAACGTCCTTTACCACCTGGGATAGTAAGTTCTTGAAACCAGTTGTTTCTTGGATTCCATATTTCAATGTCACCATTAGATCTACCAATTGCTACACGCAAATCAGAAGGAGTTAATTTTTCCAGGTTCGATCTATGCGAAAAGGCAATAGAAGTAATATTACCAGGTGTGAAGTCCACGAATCGTGATCTGTGTATAATAGTTTGAGGTCCTGTCATTTTATATATATTATTTCACTCGATTGAATTTGCCTTTATTTCTTTGCTTCAGCACACACAAAAATATATTATATGTATATATATGTCTGTATATTAACTTGAGAACAATAGACCTACCTATAGAGTAATTCAAACCGGATGTCTATAACTTAATACTGTTCACTTCTAACAGTATAATGTTAACCTTGAACTGTATCTATCTCCCTCTTTATCTCTTCATATGTTATAACTTCTATGATATCTCCATTTTTGAGATGAGATGAGATGAAATAATATTTTTAAAAATTTTTCACTTTCGGTCTCTTCCCGTCTCTCTCACTTTTCTTGGCCGAGCGCTTGCTTCCCACCGTGAGCGTTTTCTCTACGCACACGCACAGTATATACTGTTCATTGTAATGTAAATTATATATGTATATATATATATATATATATATATATATATAGAGAGAGAGAGAGAGAGAGAGAGAACGAAGATTTCTAAGTGATGGAGTTGCTCAACATGTGATATAAGGGAGGCTATGACGGTTCAGTATTTGTTCTTTAGTCAATTGTTGTTGATGTTCTTTTTTGCGTAGATTGTATTGTTCTTTATAACTCTTTTAATTTTGTTTCGATGCCTTCTGTAGACAACCCGTGCACCGCATAGTAGAGTTCGGTTTGTTTACATTTTTAAAATGATTTGAATTTTAAAACAATATATATATTGATCCACAACAATGAACCTCCCTCGAGATATAAAACTGATCAAGAAGTTAAGAGTAGGATCAGAAGTACTGCGAATTTCAATAGATATTCAGTTAACATATTGTCGCTCTATCGAAGTTTTTAGGACGATAAAGGTTTGTGATATTGGCTACACTTAATTAAATTTGTTTACATTGGGGGTGTGTGTTTTTTTTTAAAGATGATAACTGATGAGACATATGCAGATGATATCAATAATAAGATATTCAATTCTTTAGCTGATGTATTCCAGCAAGCTCAGGAGACATATGCAGGACATCGTAAGCATGTAGCTGTATTGAAAAAAATACAATCAAAGGCAACAGCTCAAGGTTATTCGGATGCTTTTAATTATTGGTTTAATAAATTGGTCACTAGCGTGTTACCTCTAAAGAAAAGTGAAATAATTGGTGATAGAATAGTTAAATTAATTGCTGCATTTGTTGCTTCTTTGGATAAAGAAAATGAATTGATAAGTAACAAGAGAAAGAATGAAGAATTAGATGATAATTTATCTGAAAAGGAAAAAATTACAACAAAATTTATTGATGGGTTTATAAGGCATATCTTAAGAGGTGTCGAAAGTAAAGATAAAAATGTAAGATTTAGAGTAATGCAATTATTAGTAGTAATTATGGATAATATTGGAGAAATTGATGTTAATCTTTATAATTTATTGATGTGGTCCCTTAAAAAAAGAATATATGATAAAGAACCAATTGTACGTATTCAAGCTGTCTTTTGTTTAACTAAATTACAAAGTGATGATGAGGATTATGATCAAGATATGGATGAAGAATCAGGAGAAACTAAGGCTACCGATACCCTTATGCATTTAATACAAAACGATCCATCTGCAGAAGTGAGACGTGCTACAATGTTGAATATTATAAATAATGAGAACACTAGAGCTCATATTTTGGAGAGAGCAAGAGATATTAACCCAATAAATAGACGATTGGTTTATTCAAGAGTATTGAAGTTAATGGGAAAAAGATGTTTCACCGATCTAAACCCAAGAATATTAGATCAATTGATGGAATGGGGTTTAGAAGATAGAGAAGAACCTGTAAGAAAGGCTTGTCAAAGGTTAATGGCGAATCATTGGGTCAATCTATTTAATGGGGATCTAATTGAATTGCTGGAGAATCTCGACGTAGTCAACTCAAAGAGTGCGGTAACAATGATGGAGAGCCTTTTCTCTTTAAAACCAGAAATATTATCACAAATTAAATTGACAGAGGAGATTTGGAACAAACTAACTGTTGAATTTGTATTTTTATTTCGTTGTTTCTTCATTTATTCTTTAGAAAATAATTTAATCGAGGACGTTGATGGTAGCTTCCCAGAAGCATCACGTCTAGCAAATTATTTGAATGTTTATATATCCAAAAGATTTTTGGAAGAAAATGAAGATCTATCATCTCTCGATAAAACTCATTTAGAATTCATTATAGAACAATTATTGATAACGGCACATAGATATGATTATAGTGATGAAATTGGTAGACGGTCAATGTTAACAGTTATCAGAAATATGCTTAATATTACTGATTTATCAGACTCCTTAATAAAATCGGGTCATGAAGTCTTGAAAGTTCTTTCGATAAATGAAAAAGATTTTATATCAATGGCTATTGAAATAATTAATGATATTAGAGATGATGATATTGAAAATCAGGAACAAGAAGAAACGGAAGAGCGGGCTAAAAAAGCCAAATCAAAGGATCAATCATCTAAAAACGGGGATGATATCGGAGGAAATGATTATAGTAATGATGATGTCGACAATAATCCGATTACTTCATTTCATTCGGCAGTAGAAAATTTAGTTAATGGTAATGAACCTGTGAATGAGGATGCGCTGAGTAATATACAACCAGAAAGGGAAGCGAGACCTCAGGCTATCCTGTTGTGTCTAACAAGGGCATGCTATATGCTCGAATTAGTCACTGAAAATGTTTCAGGTAATATTCTAATAACGTCATTGATTGACACCTTAATTACACCTGCCGTCAGAAATAGCGAGTCTACTATCCGTGAATTAGGTGTTAAATGTTTAGGTCTTTGTTGTTTGTTAGATCTTCAATTATCTATTGGAAGTATGTACATCCTTGGGATGTGTATTTCAAAGGGTAACGCATCGCTAAAATACATTGCGTTGCAAGTTATTGTTGATATCTTTTCTGTGCATGGTACAGCAGTTGTGGATGGTGAAGGCAAAGTTGACTCTATATCCATACACAAGATATTTTACAAAGTTTTAAAAAATGACGAACACAAAGATTGCCAAGTTATTGCAGCCGAAGGTTTGTGTAAGTTATACTTGGCAGATATATTTACTGACGACGATTTATTTGAAGCATTGATTTTATCATACTTTTCTCCTGTTAATTCGGCCAATGAAGCTTTAGTTCAAGCATTTGCCTTCTGTGTCCCAGTATATTGTTTTTCGCACAAAAGCCATCAACAACGTATGTGTCGAATTGCATGTGATATGTTTTTAAGATTATGTATCCTATGGGATGGTCTACAGAACTCAGAAGACCCAGAAGTGGATAAAGAAAAAATGATGAAACCTAACATGATATTTCAGCAACTGGTATTTTGGACAGATCCAAGAAAAATTGTCAATCAACGTGAAGAAAATTATCAGTCAGAAGTTTCGCAATTGAAATTTTTATTAGAAATTCTTAAAGCTATTACTCAAATTGAGAATAGAGCCATCAAAAGAATGGTCTTGACAAATCTAAACACTTTTTATATTACGTCACACCATGGTACGACAGTTCTTGAAGAACTTATGATGCATTTAGAGGATATTTTAGAAAACGAGCAAATAGATACGATTAGTAGAAACTCTTTAGAAAAATTCGAAAACACTGTAGTGGAGGCAGTAGAAACGGCACGTAAGAATAGTCCAGTCGGCAGTTCTGAGACGTCTATGACATCTGATGAATTGACTACTGAACAGTATTCTCAAATATTGGAATCATCCCAAATTGTTGAGAAGGAAGTAGATTTCGAAAAGGAAAATGAAAGCGATATCTTAGAAACTAACAATTTAGAAAATGATAAGGAAACTAACGCTGAAAATGATCCTATACCACAACTCGAGAGCACGAGGAAAAGAGACAGAAGTGCAATGGAAACGAGTGATGATATAATAAACATAATACCAACAAAGGAGCTGTCTGGAAAAAATGTCAGTTTTGCGATTTCTTCAGATTCTAATAATGAAAGTTTATCTGAAAATGGATATAATAGTTATAATGAATGGAACAGTGATATTGATGTCAATATGGAAGATTAAAAATCCGATTAAAATTTCCAGCAGCTACTAATATTAGTATTTATTTGTGGTAAAATAATTTCTTTCAGGTGCGATTTCATAATTGCTTTGATAATGCTGTGTTAGTATATATGTATGTTTATTTATATATATTTATAAATATTTATTTATATATATGCTTTATATGTTATAGGTAATATAATAAAATGGAATATGTCAATGCTTTTTCGTGAACTTTTAGTTAAATCAATTTTTCTGCGTTTTCCAACATATATTTCATTTGGTTTAATTGTTGTTCTGTGATTTTGATTGATTCTTGGAGTTGTTTTGCGTCAGGTATATGTTTGTCTTTCGTCTGATCTGCCATATCTGTATATTTACCGTTCGTCGTATCACTTTGTTGATAATAACGATCTACAGCTTCGCCACGGTTTTCCAGCCAATCCCAGATGGAACTCTCGGAGTTAGTAACAACATTACCTGCAAAATCAGATCCTTTATAATTATTATTTTTTGAATTTATAATATCATCTTCGTAAACTTCATATAGTGTTTTGATATTAGGGACATAATTATATTCATTTCCATCAATTAAAATTCTGCCAGGTCTAATAAGTACAACAGCTGGTCCAGAGCCACGGTGGAACCAACGGGTAATTAGAGAAATTAAAAAAACTGTCGTGAACAATGTGATGATTATACCTGAAATGGAAGTTAAATCAAAATTATTTATCAACGAAGATATTAATGATGGTGATGCATTTTCCGTAAGATCAACAGGGGAATTTACTCCTGCCGGAACCTCAAGTTTCGTCTCTGTAGGTTGTTTCATAGTTTTAGTTCTCTTTCTGGTTTTCTTTTTTGTTGACCCAGCATTTGCTATTATTTCTTTTAATTCAGCAACAACTGTATGTGAACCATTTCTTTGCCCTTCGATACAACCCTTTTCAATTGTACCTTTTAGTAACGACTTTCCTGTCCATACGACATTGGTAACAACCATCATGTTTGTTGTGTTTGAAGGACCCCACGATAGGAATATTCTAGTGTGAACGGAAAAACTATTTCCGTAAGGAACATCAGGAGATCTGACAATTTGGGTAGTTTGTGTGTATGCATTGAAATCTTTATGATCAATTTTTTCATTCACAACACATTTTGTTTGCTTTGGTCCTATTGAATTGTTTAATTTCTTGATATAAGTAAATTCTCTCTCACTATTTGTGAATTTTGGGATGGCAGATATATTGAAATTATTCTGCTTTTCTAATATAGACAAAAAATATGATGTATCATTACCATACAAAAGTTCAAACACAGTACCAAGTGGGGCTGCGATATTCATGGATTGTTCTACGACCACATCAGTTTTTTCTTTTTTGAAAGCTGGTGATGTAGGTGCATGTGTAGTTGGACCAGCAGTAGGTAACGTAGAAACTTCCATAATATCTTCGGTTTTATCCTTTTCTGATAACTTTCCATCAGCCATGTTATCGAACATATCACTCTTAAGCATCTTATCAACCTCCTGGTTCATTACTCTTGTGGTCTCTACAACCCCATCATATGCACCCTTTTCAATCGCACCTTTTAACCAACTCTTCGAAGTCCATTCAGTTGAAAAGTAAACTGTCACTTTTGTACAGTTATTCTTGTCCCACGTTAGGATAGTATTATTTTTGACAATAAACGCATTTCCGGATGGAACATCGGGAGTTTTTGAGGATTGAACAACATGTACATAATCGTTGAGGTCGTAATGGATAATCTTGTCGTTTATTAGGCATTTTGTTTTACTAGGACCAAAACCAGCATTTAATGGTTTCACGTATGAATAATCACGGTTCTTGGATTCTATTAAAGATGGAATATTTGACAAATCAAAATTTTTCTGGGCCTTCAAAATTTGTTCATAAGGTGCGACATCATCACCAAATAGAATGGTAGCAACTTTACCCAGTGGACCTTTAACGACTGTCTCACTTACCAGTCTTTCATTTTCAGCTGGAGAATAATTAGCTGTCGTTGGCGCATGTTTGATGGGGCCCAACTTTGAAGCAAGAATTTGTTTTGTTACTTTGGGGCCTGATATATCGGCAAAAATATCATCGTCTATATCATCACTGGAAGTCATATCAGTGTCATGCAAATCAGAGTCATTTTCATCGTCATAAAATTCGCTACCTTGGCTTAAGTTGTCATTACTGCTGTATGTGCTTAGTAATTCGCTATCAAAATCGTCGTCGTTGTCACGTACATGCCTCTTTCCAAGGATGATTTGATTCCACACGTCTGTAATCAAATCGAATGTTGCATCTCTAGAAATGAAGGACGCAAAAACGTATTTCGTATGCAAAGTATCTATAACAATACCATTTGGAAATATACCCGCAGTGGTCTTCTTTTCGATTTGAACAATTTCATTAAATGGGATGATAACGGTACTGACCCAACCTAGAATGTTAGAATAAAAACATAAATGTTGATCCGATATATACATTCTACCTTGTAAAAGAATATCTCTCGACAACGCACAACTGTGGTCTATAATCAATTTTTCATTTGGATTCAATCCAACATCATTAAATAGGTTATGAAAATCTGTGTTTCTTTTCTCGTTTGCATATTCGATTCCTTCTAGTTCTCTATAGTTCTCATAATTGATACCCATAAGAGGTGTTAAGGAACCAGAGAGATTTGTACTTGTCCTAGGTCTCGGTTGATCTAAGAGTTCATTACTGTTTCTATATTTATTGATTGAGTTTCTTAAAGAAATGCCTGGAATCGGTACCTTCATATTAATATTTGGAGAAAATGACCTTCTATTCAAAAAATTTCTTGACAATGTTCTTGATTTTCGTGGATTCGTCGTACCATTCATTGCTTCATCATTTGATACCGAAGAATATCTGGAGTTTCTCTTTTCATTATTAGTTTTGTCTCCATCTTGTTGTGCATTAGCTTCATGGGCAGGTAAAGTTTTACTTCTGGCTCTACTTTTTTTTAACATTTCTTCTAGAGATTCTTGTTTTGTCAGATTTACGTAGCTACTATTTCTAACATTAGATTGATCCAACCCTTCAAATGTAACAGGTTGGTTATTGTGGAGTTCTGTATTGATATGGCTGTTACTTGGCGACATGAGCACTGGAGTGTTGAATTTATTGTCTGTACTAGGGCCATTATTATTTGTCCTCTCTAAAGTTTCATTATTACCACCTAGTAAATACTGGTTTCCATTTCCCATATTCAATAGGTTAGCATTAGAAAGGGTTTTATCCTCTACATTTCCGTTACTATCAAAGGCATCTAGAGTTAAGTTACCTTTCCCCAGAGATGTAATGGCAGGTGGAACACTTTTCAATGGTTCAAATTTAACTTTATTAACAGTCTCATCATTTAATTGAGCATTGTTTGTAGAACCATCATTAGTATTAACAGAAAATCTTGATTCAGTGGAAGCAGGGGTCGTTAAACTAAATTTATTATTTGTAGGTGGATTTAATAAATTATGAGATAAAATATTTGTTTTATCATTTGTTGGTGATAATTGAGCGTGATTTCCATAATCTTCGGCACTATTTGGTGAGGATCCATTATTACCGTTATTGTTTTGATTACTTGCCGATAATAAATAATCTAAATGTTTCAAGAAGGATGTACTTCTGTTAATGTTTGGAGCATTTTTGTTTGCAGGGTTATGTATTACGGTATCGTTTATTCCAGTATCATTAAATGGAGTATCTTCTTTACTATTTGATAATGCTAATAATTTTGAGTTTCTTGGGTTTATTGGATCGTTACTATTTCTGTTACTAGCATTGTTATTCATTAAAGCTAACATTTCGGGGCTACCTGATCTTTCCGTTAAAATTCTACTATTGTTTGCATTATTGTTGTTATTTGGTTCTTCTATGGATATTCTTGGTACATGGTTCACAGCACTATGAGCTAAAGATAAAAGTGTTCCTAAAATACCACTACTTGATGTATTTTCATTATTGTTCGTTTGACTTGAGGTAGTATGCTGTTCTAATTTATTTTCAGATTTAGATTTATTTGTATAGAAATCCGGTAAAGAATTATTTGTCTTTTTATTTCTTAAATAAATATCTGGATTTCTTTCATTATGATTCTCTATTGTGACAGGAATATTAAAAAAACCATGTGCTGTATTAATTCTTTTCATTCCATTACCAGTAGCACCGTGTAATGATCTTCTTGGAGCAAAAGAAAAATCTAAATCCTTTTCGGTACTACTATTATTTGTGGAATTTATATCCTTCTCATTATTATTATTAGTATTATTCGGATCATTAATAGAATCTGTATTATCTTCTCTATCACTTTCACAAAGCGAATGAGTTCTTTTGGTTCTATTACTTTTCACAGATACAATATCAGGTAATTCGAATTGACTTGTTCTTTTACTTGGGGCAAAACTAAATTCCCCATCATTTCCAATAAATTCAGCTGAGATTCTTCTCTTTGCAATCTCATGATGACCTTTCCCTGATCTTCTTAAAGATATTGAAGGTCTTATCAAAGCATCAACAGATTCATATTTTCTTGATTTTCTTCTATTTGGTAATGAATTTTGTTTTAAATCTCTCTTTTTTTGTTTATTCTTATTATTGCTATGACTATTACTACTTTTTGAATGTATAATATTTGATAGTTTCAATTTCTTGAAAAATGAGGAATCACTCACTGATCTATTCTTTGATGACATTCTTATTAAAATAAGATATGTGTATTTAATGCAAAAGAGAATAAAGAGCTGCAGCAATTGACTACTATGAATCAATAAAAGATTGTTCTTTTACTAGATAATATTGATAAAGTAGGAATGGTACTTATTATTCTCTCTTTTCTTTATTTAAAAATGTATCTAATATGATTAAACTTTCAATTGATATATTTTAACCAAAGAAACTAATTAATATAATATTCTAACAAAATTATTTTTAGAGTTAATCAAATGTACATTAACCGGATCTCCTATTAGAATTCAAAAAAACCCTCTCCTAAAATAAGAATCACTAATCAATTTCCACTCAGATTGCTTGTATAACTATCAGCAAATAGTTTGTATTCTTACGTTTCTAACTTTAAATAGGATCCAAGTAAAATTTTCACGAAAAATTAAGGTCTATTGTAACAGGATTACATCAGCAAAACAAAAACAAAGATTTAAATCTAAGTATCTAAGTTTATTTTTTAGTTTGAGTTCCTTTCCTTTTGCGATGGATAGAATAAGATTCCGTTTATTTCTCGGTCTCTATACATATTTCCTTGAGAAGCAAAAAATGAAAAAATGAAAGGCTTTGTTTACAAGAGATCAAAATTAGGAAAGAGATGGCGAGTGTGGTTACAAGAGCACGGAAGAGAAAGTGTATCACTGTGTACGACATCCGACTTGCTCTCGGGAAGCTTGCTCAAGAATATTCAAAAACAAGGCTAAATTAATAGAATATATATGTGTTTACATAGTAAACGTTAGACGAACAGATAGACGTTCAGATATATCATATTGGATGGTCGTATTAATTTTATATGTAGTTTGAATGTATATATTGCTATACTCTTTCTTTTTCTAGTATTTATATTCTTTTTTTGTTTAAAACTTGCAAAACCTTTGTTGTTGTCTTTGGCAAGTATATGTATGGATGTCATTTCAATTTATTGTATCTTTATTTCGACTTGAAGCACTAACGATCTTCTGCCCATTCATTTTCACGTCTAATTGCAGCTTCTTCTTCAGGTGTGAAATCATTTACAATATTAAACGTCCTTCTAATCTCTTCTGGTGATCTACCCCTTATCATTTCAGCGACAACTTTACAACCTGCATCTAATAAAGGTTTAATATTTAAATAATTAGCAGCAAGAATAATTTCATATAGCATTTCTTGATCAACTTTTAAAAACTCACGATCCCATGTATCTACTGGTGCAGATTTTCTTGAATCATCATCATCATCATCAGGAAAATTTGAATTCTTATGATGTTCAGCCCATTCTATAACTTTCTGTAAAACTGATGATCTAACATTTGGAACTGGCATTACAATTTCATCTTCATCATCTTCATCTTCTGCATCAGAATCAGAATCCACATTATTATCATGCATATCATTTAAATAATTCTTTAATAAAAGAGAACGTTCAGCGATCTTCTTCTCAACGGTAAATTTTTCACCTTCACCACTAACTAATACTACAGTTTGACTCTTTGCTTGTGACATATTTCTTTATACCTTTTATTATTATTTTTTATCTTTTTTTATTACCTCCGTGTATACAACTGCTTCTAAATTCAGCAAGTAACCAAATATAGATATGTTCAGTTTTATTCCCCTTTGAATTACGTACTCTTGTAAGGATTACCACCTTACGCCCTTTAGTAATTTAACTATAGATGTCTAAATATTTATTATAAGATTTCTAATTTAATTTAACGGAAGAAGGAAAAAAAATAAAAAAATAAAAAAGGGCAAAGAGAATCTATTAGTCGTATGTCACGATAAGAATATATATGACTATACATTGAAATTGCTATAGACACTAGAACTTAAATCATCTAGAACTTCGAGTCTGTCTAGACATTGTAAGTATTCGTTAGATGTACCGCTCATATGATTTTTTTTTGGTAACATATCATGACATGTATCCTTCGTCACTATTGCAAATAATGCCATTTGAAATGAGGATTCCCTGGAGACATTAGGAATCTTTTGACTCTTTGCTATCATTTTGGTCTCTATGTGATTCATAATGTATTGGTAGGATTCATTCACTAGATTTTCAAGTACAATATTCGATGCACTGCTCTCTATACATTTCGTGAGTTCAGACATTAATCTTCTCAAAACTGTTTCATCTTCTTGTAGTAATTCTAATTCATCTTTATCCAAAGTTTGTAGTAAGACCTTAAATAAATCATTATCGCCAGGAAGTATAATATCTCTCATCTTTATGCTATCTTCTCTCGATATTAAGATATCCTTATTTATCGCTTGGAAAACATTACTTAGATGATTACTGAATTCTATTAGAGTCAATTGATCTCTAGGGTTTATTGATTCAAATTCTTCTGTGACATAATTATGTGCTAATCTCTTAAATGTCTTGTAGCCATTATTTAGTAGCCACCATGATAATGATAAATATCCTTGTTCATTGATATATGTGATTTTGTTATGTTTAATGTCTGGTCCCATTGGATTATCATCTGTTGAATTAATAATATTCCCTTGATCATTACTCCTGTTATTATAATTCCAAAATCCAGTTATTAGAGATACTATGGAGTATTGCCCCTTTGACTCATTCTTCTCTTTCTCTACACCCATATTCACAGCACTCTCCAAATATTCTCTTCTTGCTAACATATTTAATTGTAATCTTGTTAATAAGAAAAAAGTAGATATTGTATAAGTAATTGTAATAATTTTTACCAAACTATTAGTCTTTAATTCATTCCATAATTCCGCTTTACTTTTTTCATTATTTTCAATATCACCAGACTCCCCTGTAACTTTTTTCTTATTCTTTAATTCATTAAACAAATCATCGATATTTAATTCGTCTTTATTAAGGATTATTGCAAATACAGGTATCAATTGACACAATGTCCTCAATGAATCCTCCTGAGTTTGTATGAATCTTCTGCGCATTTGTTCTCTCATGAAATGATCTTCCCTAATTCGCAATTGTTGTCTATATAACCATCTCTTAACTAAAAAAATTACAATAGAACCCGTAGCACATACTGCCGTTACACTGAACAGAGATATTAACAACTTCCATCTATGTCTTTGAAGTACAGATCGTCTGTTATTGATTTGTGCCATATTTTCTCTCTAAAATAAAAAATGATATTTGAAAAGTTGATATAAAGATATGTTCTAGTTATGAAAGAAAAATACGCTCCACTCCGCCCTTTTATTATTAACGCAACGAATGATATATTCAAATATGTGTATGTTAAACCTATCCTTGAATTGGTATATCCTGAATCCCAAACCACGTAAACCACTTGATACTTCGCATCTCTTTACCCCCTCCCCCAACATAATTCATAAGTCATAATCATCACGTATTTATATCCTGTTATTGTTGTCATTTGACTATTGTTTTTTTTATCTTTCACCGCGTTGACTTCACAAACGCCGTTGTGATCATTTCAGTTTTGCAAGGGAATAGGAAAAGGTAATTGAATTTTTGTATTAAATAAGGTGGTAAAAGTTCACGAGTAAGTTTAACTTGAAGGTATAATTCAAAGAGTGATACTACAACTTAGTTTTGTTGACGGTAGGAGTATCAACATAGGGAGGGTTTTTTTCAATTTCTTCCTACATATATAATTTTTGGAAAAAATGTCTCAGGAAGATATAGATAGTTTTATGGCCATTACCGGTGCTGGTAATGGTGAATTAGCTCAGAATTTTTTAGATATGGCTGGTGGGAACCTGGACACCGCCATTTCTTTATTCTTTGAGCATGGTGGGAATGCTCAACTACATAATGGAAGGATATCTGCTATTGGTAATGAAGGTACTGGGTCCGCAGAATATCAATCTGATGCTGATATTGCTCAAAAATTACAAAATGAAGCATATGGAGAAGAGCCTGTAAGAGCTCCTGATGTTGCAAGACATGAAACTTTAACAGAGACACATGTATTTCCAGGGACATTTGGTGGTGTAGGTGGTAGTTATGCCCCATTGTCAAACGCTAATGATATGTATGATGAAGCTGCACCAGCTGGTGTATTTAATCAACGTGAAGAAAATGAATATGAGAATGATATGTTTCGTCCTCGTTATAATCCAGATTTAGATAATAGTAATGATTCGGATTCTGAGGATTTGGATAATAATGATAATGAGTCCGATTTTGAATACGTTGAAGAACCTGTGGTCGAATTGGATGACGATGGAGAGATTAAAGAATATTATAAGATGGTACGTAGACCCAAGAATTTCACCAAAGAGGAAAGATTAGCAAGATTATTTAGACCACCATTTGAAATAATAACGAAATTATCATTGGATGATGCAAAATTAAAAGCAAGAAAGAGAAAGAAATGGATTATGATTAATATTCAAGATTCAGGAATATTTCAATGTCAAACATTAAATAGAGATCTATGGTCAGAAAAGAATGTAAAAAAGTTAATAAAGAAAAATTTTATCTTTTTACAATATCAATTTGGTTCTCGTTCAGCAGAACCTTATAGAAATTTTTATAATTTGCAAAATAAAGATGATTTACCACATATTTCAATATTAGATCCAATGACAGGTGAAAGATTAAAAATGTGGAATCATGCAGTACCGAAACCTGAAAAATTTATTGAAGATATACAGTCCTTTTTGAATCAGTTTTCATTGGATCCGAATTCAACAAATCCAACCGTAAATGAGCCTCCAAAACCGATAGATCCAACAACTTTAACCGAAGAGCAACAAATGGAATTGGCCATTGAGCAATCTCTTGGTGATTCGAAACAAAATCCAATTAGTCTTGCCAATGAAAGTGATAATGAAATGGAAGTCGATAAGGGACCAGTCGTATCTGAAACTGAAGAAATTAAAGATATTTTCAAGGAAATTAAACCTGTTAAGCATGAAGAACCTGTCAACAAGCCTGGTATCACAACGAGAATCCAAATTCGTACTGGTGATGGTAACAGATTCATTAGAAGATTCGATGCAATTGAAGATACAGTCAGGACAATATATGAAGTGATCAAAACTGAAATGGAAGGCTACGATAGTTACAAATTTACATTAAGCGATCATCACAGAAACGATTTGATAGAGAAATTGGACTTAACTATAAATGATGCAGGTCTCAAAAATAGTTCCCTATTATTGGAACAAATCGAAGATGATAATGATTGATATCTATATACATAGGTTCATATATATATATATATATGTATATATGTATATAATTTGAGGGCAATTCAATTTACGTTACTTGTGTTCATAGCATGTCAACACCCATGTTTATTAATTCCGATCTCCATTCTCAATGTATTTTTATATTGTTTGTTTTAATAATTTTGTTGATGGAAAAAAAATAAAGTGCGAAATCTTTATGCGGTAAGCTTACATAAGCCTCACATATATTTATATATCTACTGTATAAAATTAAGAAAAACACGTAAAAATTACAAGTTAAATATTCAAACTATACTTATACACTCAGTTGTTTAGTGCAGTTAGTTTTCTATATACAGGAGTTGCAAAATATACAAGTTTACAGTTGTAAATATTCGTCCTTAACACCTTACAAAATAATGAAATATTTAACGGTAATTGTAACATTATTGTTACAAATTATAGCAGTTTCAAATGCTGAACATACTAATAACTGGGCAGTTTTGGTATCTACGTCGAGATTTTGGTTTAATTATAGACATATGGCCAATGTTTTAAGTATGTACAGAACGGTTAAAAGACTGGGTATTCCTGATTCTCAAATTATTCTGATGCTAAGCGATGACGTCGCTTGTAACTCCAGGAATTTATTCCCAGGTAGTGTCTTCAATAACAAGGATCATGCGATCGACCTATATGGTGATAACGTTGAAGTCGATTATAGAGGTTATGAAGTTACAGTGGAAAATTTCATCAGATTATTGACAGATAGATGGTCTGAAGATCAACCAAAGTCTAAAAGATTATTGACTGATGAAAATTCAAATATTTTGGTGTATATGACTGGACATGGTGGTGATGATTTCTTAAAATTCCAGGATGCAGAAGAAATTGCATCTGAGGATATTGCAGATGCATTTGCACAAATGTATGAAAAGAAGAGGTATAATGAGATCTTTTTTATGATTGATACTTGCCAAGCAAATACTATGTACTCTAAATTTTATTCTCCAAATATTTTGGCCGTTGGATCTAGTAGATTCGAAGAAAGTTCTTACTCACATCATTCAGATGTGGAAATTGGTGTTGCTGTCATTGATAGGTTTACTTATTACACATTAGAGTTTATGGAAACTATTGAAAAGGATTCCAGTTTAACATTACAAGATTTATTCGATTCCTACACTTTTGAAAAAGTTCATTCTCACGTCGGTGTCAGGACAGATCTCATAGAGAGGGATCCAAAAGAAATATTAATTACTGATTTCTTTGGTAATGTTCAAAATATGATACCTGATAATAATGAAAACTTTTTGGATGCTAAGATGAGAGACTCTAATAATATTATTGATCTTTCCATAGAAAAAGGGTCTTACATCAAACAAGAAAGTCAGAATGGAAAAAAAATCAATAATACTTTTACAAAAGTACTAGGTAACAGTGAGTTTAATGTTATGTCAGATGAATCTAGTAGCTATTCGTCCCTGGTTGGATTGGGTGCATTCGCCTTGATTGTTCTCTCAGTCTTGTTATCAAAATAATAAATATTATTCTTATATTTAAGATTACATAATTACATACCTAATAGCATACATGAAATAAATATAGGTGATATTCTATTTAGATTTAAAAGGAAAAGAAGCAAATAATTCCCAAAATCGAAACATTGACTTTTATTGTTTGTAGTTGGACCAGGATAGTGGCTTCGGTTATTTGTTTAAGGTTTACGCGATGAGCATAAACAGAGATGTAACATCACTTCGGAATATGTTTACGTATATAATTAGAAACTGAAAATTCTTGAAATATACAACAAGTCACAAAGCAAAATACCAGCTACTGTACAGGTACTTGACAGGTGTATAAATTACTTGAAAGAATGTCTTTTCATTTAACAAAACAATTCCATCTGCTTAAACCGTTCGTTCAAACGAGAAACATTTGGGCATCAAAACTTCGAGACTATCAGAAGGATGCAATTAACGAGTGCGTAGATGCCATCAAGAATGGTATTATGAGAATAGGTGTTTCTATGGCTACAGGTGGTGGTAAAACGGTTGTTTTTAGCAGTCTGATAGAGAAACTGAGCCAGGACAGTGGGAAGACAGATTTTAAGACATTAGTTTTAGTACATCGTCGAGAATTGGCACATCAGGCGAGCAGAACCATAAAGAGAAGCTTTCCAGATAAAATAGTTCAATTAGAAATGGGTAACCAACATGTTGATACCCGGCAATGTGATGTTATAATTGCGTCCGTACAATCATTGATTCGGAGAATGGATAAATATAGAAAGGATGATGTGGATTTAATAATTATTGACGAAGCACATCATGCCGTGGCTGAATCATATACAAGAATATTAGAACACTTTGATGCTGCTGATAAGAACACGAATATTCCAGTTGTTGGATTCAGTGCAACCTTCGAAAGGGCAGATAATAAAGCATTATCTGATGTTATAGATAAGATTGTTTATCATAGAGGAATGTTAGATATGATCAATGATAATTGGTTATGTGAGGGAAAATTTACTACCATAAAGATTAACACAGATCTTTCAAAAGTGGAAAAATCATCCAGTACTAAGGATTTTAAGATAAATAGTTTATCTCATGTAATGAATGTTCCGGAAGTGAACGAGATGATATTACTTACGTATTTACAGAAGAAAAAAGAAAACGGTCTGAAATCTACTCTATTATTTGGGGTTGATATAGCACATGTGACAAATCTTCATGAATTATTTACTGCACATGGTATAAATTCAAGATATGTCACATCGAATACAAAAGATGAACAGAGAGATACCATTATAAAAGAGTTTAAGGAAGGAAAAATTGAAGTATTGATGAATTGTGGGATTTTCACAGAAGGTACTGATATGCCAAATATTGATTGTATCTTGCTATGTAGACCCACACGTTCAAGATCCTTGCTTGTCCAGATGATTGGTCGTGGTCTTCGTTTGCATCACTCTAAAACTTATTGTCATATAATCGATTTTGTCGATTCCTCAGAGGTTGGAATTATTTCAGTTCCCTCATTAGTAGGAATACCAAAGAGTCAAGGCACTTTAGATGAAAATACTCTAGAAGAATTAGAAAAAATTAAAGAAGAACAAGTTGAAGCCAAAAGACTTTCTATGGAACAGGAAGCCCAAAGGGCCCTGGAGAATCAAAATATCTTCAACGAAAATAGTGCAAAATTTAAGGAATTTATTGCAAATACGGATGCAATGGATCTTACTATGACTACATATGAATCTTTGAGTCAATTTTTTGAACAAACAAACAATCCTGACGTTAAGACCTTAGAAGGTATGTCATACTATGGGAAAGAGCAGGAGTTACTGGGTGGATCTAAATATCCCTGGGTCAAATTTAATAAGGATGCATGGGCTCTTGCATTACAAAAGGGGCATCATTTGCGTGTATATATGAAACGTGTTCCTGATAATGGTATAACTGTGGCCAAATATACATTGAAACTATACAGGGAAATACCTAAATTTTTAAGGCATGATAATTCAGTTAGGTACGCTGTAAAACAAATATTAGTAAGTAGTGATCTCCTAGATATTGTGTCAAAAGTGGAAGAAATATTGAGTAACCTTTATAATGAAGCATTTAACATTTCAGGATCACCGCTTACTTCTATTTCAAAATACTCCAAATGGAGGAGAGATAAGGCCTCAGAAAAACAGGTAAATTTTGTATCAAGATTATTGAAAGCTGAATTGGCCAAACGTCAGGGTGATTTTGAACGGATCGATTCGAATGGAATCGCCACATATGTTAAAGACATGAACAAGGGGACAGCCTCTGATATTCTGTTTGCAACAAGTCTAGCGCCGTCGTACTCGTTAAGGAAGCTTCTGAAAGCATTAGATTTTAAGATGATAAAGGGATAAACAAAACAAAAAAGATCTGTTTCCTATGATTCCAATACATTCACATCCAAAATGTTATCTACGATAGAAGTTTCTATTTAGGCACAAAGGCAATAAAAAAAGAAAGTACGAAAAACAGTCATTGAAAGTGGCATCGGAGAAAATAGAAAGCTAGTGGAGAGAAGGTGCACTATACTTTATTCACTTAACAGCACGTCTCTTGTGAAACGGTAACTGTTTCAGGGTTAAACACTACTGTTTTAACTAACATAACGAAGCAGCCAAGAATCACTTTTTGAGGCTATTATTTCACATCGACCACTCAATTATTTCGGTTTCATTGATCCTAGGATGTTTCCTTAGGGACGGCGTCTTTTTTCGGTTGAAAAGCCTCATCGTGCGTGCCAACTTGAAACAAATGATATTCCAGACAATTTTTCAAGTTTTGCCTTTTTATAGCCTCTGTGACCTATTGTCTATTAAATAGAGAGAATGTGTAACACCTTATGTTGTTCCTATTACAATTCGCTTTTGAAGTGTTTGATGTCAGTGACAGAAATTAATCCTTTATAAGAAACGAGGTTCTCAACTTCTATTATTTTATTGTTTTCTCCGACCGATCTGATACGAATTTAGCAAACTACAAACAGATTCAAACTGTGTGGTTTAGTTTTGCAGCTAAGATTTACAGCATAATTAAGCTAACACTATACAGGAATTAAATAACTTTAAAACATATATCAACATTTATTTCAATTGCATTTTTTTTAAAAGAAATAAGTGGGTATTTACGAGATAATTGAAGTCGCTTCTACTAAAAATCAAATAATTAACAATTTGATCATTTATTCATTATATACCATCTCAATCTTTTACCTGCATTTTTAAAATCAGAATATGGTAACATCATTTAACAATAGAACACAGACTATTCTGAAAGCAGATCAACATGATGGGGGTTCACCGCATCAATCTAATCCAGAAGAAGTAGAAGAGTCAATCAAATTGATCGAAGATTTCAAATATTACTTAACCACAGGACCAGCAAACTGGCAGGAAAATCAAATTATCAGAAGATATCATTTGAACAATGAATTGGGATTCGTTTCTTGTGTATTTTGGAATAATCTATATTATATGACAGGGACAGATATTGTCAAATGTTGTTTGTATCGAATGGAGAAATTTGGTAGAATAATTGTGCAAAAGAAGAAATTTGAAGAAGGTATATTCTCTGATTTAAGAAATTTAAAAATTGGTACAGATGCAACTTTAGAGCAACCAAAATCCGAATTTTTACAATTTCTTTTGAAAAATTCATGTTTGAAAACACAAAAGAAACAAAAGGTCTTCTTTTGGTTTAGTATACCTCATGATAAACTTTTATATGATGCTCTGGAAAGAGATTTGAAGAGAGAATCGTCAGGACAAGAACCTACGACAAAAGCTGTTAACGAACCAGCTCTTTCGTTCGAATATATTAGTAATAACAATAAATCATTTTCGCAGCAAATCTTAAGACATATAGAAAGATTTAAAGAGCAATTTGAGAAACCAAAAACCGGTATAACAGACATGCCCCCTGAATATTCAACATTAACTCCACCCAGTGCGACCCACCTAAAGAAGGAACCTGGTTTAGAAAGTATCAATGAAGTCAATGACCATCCACAAGAGGTTACATGTAATAAAAATAGTCAAGAAGTAACGGAACAAAATATGTTAGAGACGAGTACGGAACAGGATAGTAAACCAACTTTGACAACAACAGATGAGGCCTTAAATAGTTCTTCACTGGACAATGCTGGAGTTGAACCATTTTTGAAAAATACTCAGAATACAGCAACAATAGATGACGAAATACCCTCTGAATTTTTAAACTTTGATATAGAATACCCTAAAGGATACAATAATACCAAGGATGATATTAAAAAGGAAGACTATAATACATTGAATCCAACTAATTATAAGGAGGGACAGGAATACCTTAGTATGTACCAAATGGCATCGCCATACGTGAGTAAACCTCGGGGATCCATTACCAATGGTATTCCAAGAGCAAAAGACCTCGAGGGTCGAGAGGACAAAAGTTCACATGATATTAAACAAGAAATCGATCCAACATTGAATAATCCTGTTTATCATAATAATCAAATGATGACTTCCCAAGTTCTTTACACCCAGCCAAAGACACTAACGCCCAATTATAATATGATGCAACCTCCTGTATCGGCATTTAATCCCTTCGCACCGGACATTATTGCACAGTCTTTGGAACAACCTTTATTTGGGTTTGAAGGTTTATATTCACCTCAACTTCCCTATGGAAGGGATGGTCAGAAGCGCCCTGATGGAATTGCTACAAACTCAATGATACAACCACAAATTCTACAACCACCACCTTCGGCAACTTTACCCAATCCTTTTACTCCTGGATTCAAGAATATGACACCATACCCCTGGGTACAATCGCCTTTTTTACCATTAGGTACTGTTATGGCTGGTAGCCCATTTTTTTCGCAACGAACACCAACTTTCATGAGTAATAAACCCCGCCAATCATTTTCAACAAAAGTAGTACAACCCAAAGACGCTTCAAAGGTTCGTAAAATTTCACATACAGGACCTGAAATTGCCATATCAAAATCGAAAGCTGCATTACAAAATAAGATTAAAGAAAATGCAAAACAATTACAAGCGCAGATTGAAAAGAAATAGGATGAGTCAGAGTAGGTTGAAAACAATTCACTCCTGTTTGCCAACTTTTAACAGCATACTATATTGTAATATATAATATGATATGTGTGGATTTAATACGGATATTAAATACTATATTCAAAATATATATATTCTTTATACCTAAAAAAATAAAAAGAAGAACGATAGTTCTATATGATAGAGAAAGTATGCTAAGATAATTTACATCTTGTTTATTCATTAACTTCTGTATCGTTCTGTTGAATGTACTGTTGTAAGGATAGTTGTCTAATTTGATTCATCATATGCTCATCTTGTAGCATTGCAGCTTGAGATACTGCAAGATCTTTATCGTTAATAAAACTTTTGACATTTTCTAAAACATCCAAAGACTCCTTCGAGGTTGGTTGAGGGGGTAGTACATCAAATTCGTATACTTCATATTCAGACCAAATATATGGAGGAATACCTGCCATAATTGATGATTCTTCAGATAAGATAGCAAATCTAAGTAGATTAATTGGAATTCCATTAATGAAAAAAGGATTTTCTTGTTCTTCTTCTTCTGTTTCAACAAGAAGTCTTGGGTCTAAAAGAGATTTATCCTCCTTATATTTATTTAAAATATTAAAAATTTCTTGATGTAAGAAATTAATATCGCTAGGGTCTTTCCAAATTGCAGAAAATCTAGCCATATATGCTTTTACCTCCAATAATTCACTAGAATAAACATTAATATCAAATATATCAGAGAATGCAGAGTCTCCGACCAATTTCTCGACTAATAGCGTTGCAAGAGCTGGTCCATGGTAATAGAAACATTTTTTTAATTCTCTCTTTGCTTGTTCATTATCATCGATCTTAAGGTAACTGTAAACTGTAGCTAAAGAAATACCAAGTGTGTACCACTGTCTATAACTATTCATCAGTGGGGATTTAGACACATCTATAATATATTGGTAATCGTTGTTCAGCAGCAAATAGTGGTCCATGAAATATCTACATCCCAGTGGATCTTCAGCTGGGCTTAATGACCATAAAACTTTACACCATTCAGCTGCCGTCGTTATAGCACCTTTTTGTGCCAGAGCCAAGATGTACCTAAAGATTGCAAGGTAAAACTGTCTGTTGAAGAAATAGATATATGGGAGATTACAAGATAATGCGTCAAAATTTATGCTAGCCTTTAATGCACGATCGAACACAAACAATGCTCTTTGTAATAACCCATTAGTGTTAGACCTATCACCCTGTCTAATTGTTATTAGTGCCACTTGTAATAAGGAGGGTATATGATATGGGAATTTCGATGAAATTAGATTAATCAATGCTTCATGATCTGGATGTACAAGTACACTTAAGTAAAATTCAGTCATTGCTTTCCTACTAAGATCAGTATCCAAGGGTTCAAATCGGTAAAACGACACTGATTTTTTCCATTTCTTCAAATCTTCTTCTATTACATCCTTCCAGTCTGTAGGTCTCTGCCATAATTGCCAATCTATTAAATCTTCCGTATTTAATAATTTCATTCCCAATTCCCCCCTTGGTGTTGGGATCCAGTCTTCTCTTACTTTGGTAAATTTCAGTGTATGTGTACTCCCACCTGGTCCATTGGGTACGGTTCTATGATTTTTACCACCCCAATTTCTTACAAGACGTTTCATTCTTTGAATTTGTTTCAATTGTTGGGGTGATATCGAAGTAGATGTGACAGAGTCTATATCTTCGAGAGACTCTGGGGATATATCATCAAATAGTAATTTGAATTCTGAATGAGGATCTAATTTTTTAATATCTTGATTAAAGAATCTAGTAGCATGTTTAAGATATTTCACTGGGAATTTCTCAAAAGTACAATCATTCATTAGATCACCTGTAATACGTTTTTCATTGTCAATTTTGTAAAGATCATTTTCTTCATCATTATCTGAAGCAGTTATGTAATCTTCATCACTATTAACATCTTCATTTTTTCTTTGACGTTCATTCTGTTTCTTAATATCTTTCTTTCTATACTCTTGTAATAACACATCCAATTCTCTATCATCTTCACTGTTATGTTCTACTTCGCTATCGCTACTCTCTCTTGTCATCTGTTTTTGTTTTTGTTTATTCTTTTTCTTTTGTCTCTTCTTTTGAGATTTAGTTAATAAAGCAGGTGTCTTGACAACAGGTATATCAGAATTCTCTGAGCTGTCATGTTCTGAATCAGAACCGGAATCTTCATTATTCATTAATGCAAACATGTTCACCTTTTGTGGTGTCTTGGTTTCTTTTTTACGTTCAACAGTTGCTTCCTTAGACTCTAGAATCGAAGCGAGTAGGCCTTCATCATTTTGTAACTTCCTTAAGGCTCTTGAACTCATAATTGTCAGTTATTATTTCAACTAATTCCCACGTAATATTATCAGATATGACACAAGAAGTATATTAATTTGAATATACCACTTATTTAACAAAATATTATTAGTAAATGTCATGAAATATTTCAATTTCAATAATTTTTCACAGTGCTTTATGCGTCTTAATTTCTATTAGCGGCGTAGACCTTTGAACTGGAAAATTTTATAGAGCGTTATTCAATATTAATATATTTATATATTGAGAAGCTCATCTCATCGCTGATTGTAATACAGAAAGGAGCGACAGTTTGATTTGTTAAAATAACGATTAGAATTCTTTGTGCATATTTTCAAGATAAATATATATTTATATATCTTTCAATATCGAAAATTTGTTTCTGTTCGTGAGGTTTTTGAAATAGAAAAGTTCAGTTTTCCTGTGAGACACATTTAAGATATTAAGATGGGTAAGTCCAAGAAACAGAAACAAAAGAAGAAAGATTTCTTAAAGAAGAAGTTAAAAGTTGGTAAGAAAGCAGATAAACCAAGTAACCAAACTGACACATCTTTTGTTGCGAAGGCAATTTCATTAAAGAATCAACACCTGGAACATGAAACAGATTTATCTAAGAGATTAACTCTCCTGAGACACCATAATATAACTGTTAGGAAAGAAACCCTACAAGATTTCCAAAAACATCTCCCAGAGATAATAAAGACGCAACTAATGACTCCATTACTGACACATGCTATTCCATTGATATGTGATGATTCATTAACTGTACGTGATTCATTAATTGATTTACTTGATGAAGTAGGAAAATTAGATGTGCATGTATTAATTTTGCATTGTAACATTTTTGTATTATATATTAATATGGCAATGACACATATTGTTCCACGTATTCAAATGGATTCTACACGATTTTTGGAATGTTTATTAAGATATTGTAGTGATGAAGTAGTAAGACAAGCATGGCTTAAATTATTGAATGGTGTGATAGCTGTTCTTGGATGGGGTATGTTTGGAAATAATCAAGCATCAGGAGCCTTACAGACCAAGAAACGTGATAGTAAATATACAAAAGTACATCTGGATGTCTTAACAAAATTAATTAAAGTTGGTTGCTCTGACGCAAAATTGATGGCTAACAATAACGATAACCACAACAACCAAGGGCAAGATAACCAGGGTCAAGACGACGAAACTGTCAATAACCTCTCAAAACCATTCATGCTTGCCGAATACCCACAACCTTACGAATATCTGAAATTATTTGCAAGGACATTGAAAAATAAGAAAAACTTACAGACAGATACTTTGACTGCCAATGCCTCCATGGCAAATCAAGATCTCGATAGTCGTCGTGCAATCTTCAAGGAACAGTTTTTAAAGAAAGTTGATAAGCAGGTGGATTCGATCATCAAGGATGGTGGGGAGTGTGGGAAGAGTGCAAACAATCTAAAACAACTTTTAGAGGAACTGTTTTAACTAAAATCAATAAAAAATTATGTAAAATATAATAAATAAATATGCAACTTATCTCTCACCGAGGATTCGAACCGAGGATTTAATTCAAAAATAAAAACTCCAAAAAATATTTTGCGGAGCGAAAAATCTGTTTGGTGGCGAAAAGAGAAAAAAAAAATTTTCGTTGCCCTCGATTTTCAAAGGGCCGTGTTTTGTCAACAAAATAAATTATAGTCAATCCTTTTTTGAAGTAATTAGAGCGACATTTTAAGATAAATACAATATATTGGCTCCAAGACACACTTAAATAAAGGATATAAGTCTTAAAAATAGGTATATCAGATTATTCACATTGAGAGTATTCTATTGATACCATTATCATTTAGTTTTATTGGCGGAATAACCGCTTAATTTTCATGTTTATAGAATTTCATTTTAATTACACATTATGACTATGGATAATATCAAAGCCGATAATGACAAGAAACCACTCGATAAAAATAAGTTTGATAAACTAGTGGATTTAAAGTATAAATTTGATGTATTGACCAATGAATTATTCTATCTAAAGGATTATGTATCTTTGATTGAGTATGATCCTAGACAAAAGAACGATACAGACAGTTATGATAGATTCTTGGAGAGAGAAAATATTATGATCATTGAAGGTGATATTGGGACACTTACTACTAGAGGTAATAGAGGTAATAATAGAAGGTCGTATAGGCATCAGTTACGTGCTTCGTCTGTGACACCATCGGGTTCATCGGAAAGTCTTGCCAAGAGTTCTCGTGGTCTAGATAGCATCGATCAGTTAGTTCAACAAAAATTTAAAATTTTACAGGATGATGACACTAAACCATCGATAAAAGTTGAACCTAAAGTGTCAAAAAATACGATAAAAAATTTACAAAAGACTAATAAAGGAGCCACTAATGGTATATTAGCGAAAGAAGAGACTCAAAAACAGATATCGAAAAAAGTATCTATTAAAGAAGAAAATAAGACTTCAGATTTAAAGAGGAAAAGAGGAAAATATAAAAAAGATTCTATCCTAAAAGAACAATTTAAAAAAGATGAAAATGAAGCAAAAATTGAAGAATTAACTTCATTACATGAAATTAATGAAAACGATAACGATGAGTATTATTTTACGACCTCTTCTGAAGAAGATTCTGAATTGCTATCTGGAAAGCCACCGACTAAGAAGCCACGTGTGATTGTAACATTATCTAAACCAAAACAAACTATCACTAATCCGTCACACGTTGTTGTACCAAAATTTGAAGGATTGAAAGATTATATGAATTCATTTAAAGCATTAGACGAAGATATGACTCTTACAGAATATAATAGTTTCATTGACGAACAGAGAAATTTAGTTAAGGATATACGAAAGGGTTTGGAAGCTGGATTGTTAGCATATGATATTGAATCCGAAACATTTCAACCTGTAGGGAATAAAAATTTGAAGATAACTTCATCCCACAAACCAGAACCTATTTCTTACATTTATAAAGAACAAAACAAATATAGGCATCAAGATTATCTTATTAATCAAGGTATCTTTATGAGTAAATTGTTTCAAAATTCGAAGAAATCTAGAATAGCTAGAGCGAAAAAAGTATCACAAATGATTGAACAACATTTTAAGCATGTCGCAGGTGCTGAGGAAAGGAAGTTAAGAGAGGAGGAAAAACGTAAAAGAGGGATAGTTAGGGCCATAATTCAAGCTTTGAAGAAAAGATGGCATTTGGCTGAGAGAGCTTATAGGGTTTTGAGAAAAGATGAAGAAGAACAATTGAAAAGAATTCAAGGTAAGAAACATTTATCTAAGATTTTAGAAAGAAGTACTCAATTATTGGGAGCTCAACTTAATCAAGGACAAGATAGTGACGATGTGGGATCTGAAAATAGTGGAAGCACTTCGGATGCATCTGATTTAAGTATAAATTCCCGTGATAGTGATGATAATTTATCATCATCTAGTGAAGAAGATAACGAAAATGAAGTCAACAGCATAATAGAGGATATCCCAAATATCCCACCTTCTAAATCTGATGATGATAACTTAACTGTGGAGGAGCTCCGGAGTCGATATGAAAGTATTGACAATATTGAGAACTCAGATGATACTTCTTATCATTCAGTGGAAGATGAAGAAGTCGACAATGAAAATGATTTGGTCATTGAAGATCCCGCTGTTAGTCATGGGAACGCAGGCTTAGAAGACTTGTTTACAAAGAACTACAGTGACAATAACGAGGGAAACGAATCTTCGGATGAAAGTGGCGATTATGAAATGAGTGACAGTGCGGATAGCCTTAACCTCTCTGATAGTGATGATGAACAAGAAGTGAAATCAGATACAGAAAGTATTCAAGGTCCTACGGAAGGAAATAAAATTGATGATGAGCCAGATATGATCGAACCTCCGTCTGAACAGTTGAGCGTGGTTGATGTTCCAGTTCCTCCATTGCTTCGAGGAACTTTAAGAATTTATCAGAAACAGGGTCTTAATTGGTTAGCTTCACTTTATAATAACAATACGAATGGTATTTTGGCAGACGAAATGGGGTTAGGTAAAACTATTCAAACAATATCGTTACTTGCATGGTTGGCTTGTGAGAAGGAAAATTGGGGGCCCCATTTGATTGTTGTACCTACATCTGTTCTATTAAATTGGGAAATGGAATTCAAAAGGTTCGCTCCTGGTTTGAAAGTTTTGACTTACTATGGTACTCCACAACAAAGAAAGGAAAAGAGGAAAGGGTGGAATAAACCTGATGCGTTCCACGTTTGTATAGTATCCTATCAACTAGTGGTTCAAGATCAACATTCTTTCAAGAGAAAGAAGTGGGAGTATATGATATTGGACGAGGCCCACAACATTAAAAATTTCCGTTCAACCAGATGGCAAGCATTGCTAAATTTTAATACTAGAAGGAGATTATTACTTACTGGTACACCGTTACAGAACAATTTAGCCGAGCTTTGGTCATTATTATACTTTCTGATGCCGCAAACAGTGATTGACGGTCAAAAGGTTTCAGGGTTTGCTGATCTGGAAGCGTTTCAGCAATGGTTTGGGCACCCTGTAGACAAAATTATAGAAACAAATGGTGGTGTTCAAGATGAAGAAACTAAAAAAACTGTTACTAAATTGCATCAAGTTTTACGTCCTTATCTTTTGAGAAGATTAAAAGCCGATGTTGAGAAACAAATGCCTGCAAAATATGAACATATTGTATATTGTAGGCTATCGAAAAGACAGAGGTATTTGTATGATGATTTTATGGCAAGATCAAAAACGAAAGAGACTTTAGCTAGTGGTAATTTCATGTCTATTGTTAATTGTTTGATGCAACTGAGAAAAGTATGTAACCATCCGGATTTATTTGAAGTCAGGCCAATTTTGACTTCTTTCGAAAGTGATAGTTCTGTTATGAACGATTTTAGTATGATCAACAAGATGGTTACAAGAATGGTAAACATGAATGACTTTAATAAGAAAATAAACTTTGAAACTCTCGGCCTGGAATTCTCTCAAAATGACAGGGCTCTATCGTCCCATATATCAAATGAGGTATCGAAATTGAACTGTGGTTATAAATTTAAGAATAGCGCAGAATCTCTAGCGCACCGTATTACAAAGAAAGGGGTAGCAAAGACCAATGATAGTTCTTATCAAAATGCAAATAAATTTTTCCTTGATTTTGGCGAACAAAAGGTGCAAAGAAACATTGACTTCCTAAATTTTCAACAGTACATAAATGAATTGAGGTGTAATAAACGTCCTGTTTATGGACAGAATTTGATCAATCTACTAACACTTCCCGATAAATTAAAAAGTGAAGCTGTTGACCCCCTGATTAAACCATTGCAAACAAGATTTACCAGTGATAAGAACATTATTGATAATTTTGCAGTTTTGACGCCCAAAGCCGTGACATTAGATAACCGTACGTTAGCTGTTGGCCTAAATGATGATAGTACAATTGACGTACCGACAAAAAATATTATGACTGAAAAATTACATAACATTGACAATCCATTTCATCATTTACAAACAAAGTTGACGATTGCATTCCCCGATAAATCTCTTCTTCAATATGATTGTGGTAAACTTCAAAAATTGGCTCTTTTATTGCAAGAATTGAAGGATCATGGACATAGAGCTTTAATTTTTACCCAAATGACTAAAGTGTTAGATATCCTCGAACAATTTTTAAACTATCATGGTTATCTATACATGAGATTAGATGGTGCAACTAAAGTTGAAGATAGACAAATATTAACCGAAAGATTCAATAGCGATGATAGAGTGACCGTTTTTATTCTTTCGAGTAGATCGGGTGGTTTAGGTATTAATTTAACAGGTGCCGATACGGTCATATTCTATGATTCGGATTGGAATCCGGCAATGGATAAACAATGTCAAGATCGTTGCCATCGTATTGGTCAAACAAGAGATGTTCATATTTATAGATTTGTGAGTGAACATACCATTGAAAGTAATATTCTAAAAAAAGCAAATCAAAAACGTCAACTTGATAATGTTGTTATTCAAGAAGGTGATTTTACCACTGACTATTTTGGTAAATTGTCTATCACAGATTTACTTGGAGCAGAAACAACAGCTAACCCAAATATGGCGAGCCAACCATTATTCAAGAATGGAGACGAAATGTCGAAGAATCCTCGTGACTTAGAGAAGATGCTTGCACAAGCGGAAGATGCAGATGATGTAAAGGCTGCTAATTTAGCAATGCAGGAAGTGGAAGTTGATGATGAAGATTTTTCTGAAAACCCTGATGCAAAAAATAACGTTAAGGATGAAAAGGATGAATATGAAGGAACCCTTCATGTTGAAGAATATATGATCCGGATGATAGCTAATGGTTTCTACTATTAATTTTAATGAATGAATGACTTGAAGTATTTTTTTATAAGTATAAATATTAAATAAGGACTGTTTAATTTTATTATATTGTATTATTATTCGTTTTTCAAGTCAGAATAATGGTTTGATTTTTTATTACTGAAACCGTCTTTAACATTTTTTTATATTTTGTAAGATTACGATGCTTACAAAAATATTAAAAAACGATTTAAAACGATAGATACCAAGAAACTTCAAAAGAATATAAGAGTTGAAAATGATCAGCAATTCGAAGATACTCTCAGTAGTTCCTCAACCCACCTCCTCTAGCAATGTTAATTACAGGAAGAAACTTGTTGCAATGTACTTCCACAAAATTGTCATATTTGCCAAACATTCGAGATATTGTACTTAATAGTAAACAAAACATAGCAGGTGCCAAATCAGACACAATTGACAATGCTATTACTCCAAAAACCTCTGACGTAGTAGATAAAATAATAAGCAAAAAGGACTTGATTTCTAAGAAAGGAAGAAATGAAATAAAGCCACTTTGGGTCAACTTTAATTCCAAATACAATACCAAATATGATTCCCCTAAACGGGCTCAATTGCAAAAAACTAATGAATTCTTCAATAAGGCCAAAGTTGAATTCGAATGGGGAGTTGGTTCGTTTAGGTCAATTCCTAGTGAAATTGTAAAAGCCAATTTCAAAGAGAAAGAGATGGATGGATGTATACCCAGTAACTCAGCAAAAAGATTTCCTGGCAAAACAAAAATACCATTTAAACTTATTAACGGACTGCCAGAGATAGCATTTTTGGGGAGTTCAAATGCTGGAAAGTCGACTTTATTAAACAATCTAACTACCCAATTGGGTAGACAAAAGTTAAATCAAGAAGCTAGAATGTCCAGCAAGCCTGGTTTCACTAAGACACTGAATTGTTTTAATATTGGGAATAAGTTTAGATTAGTCGATACTCCTGGGTATGGGTTTGGCAGTAGAATAAACCAAGGAGGGTTGACAATGGAATATATTGAAAACAGAGAAGAGCTGGTGAGGTGTTATGTGCTGATACCAGGGGATCAAGGTTTTACCAACCTTGATATACAAATACTTCATTATCTGCGAGATATTGGTAAGCCATTCGAAATAATATTCACAAAGATGGACAAGGTTAGGGATCTGGTTACGTTAGAGAAGGAGATAGAAAGATCAGGTATTATGGATTTTCCATCTCTGCCAAGGCTCTTGTTCACAAATTCCTCTATTTCCAAGAATTGTACCAAACGATACGGAATTTCTGGACTAAGGTGTACTATTTTACAGTGTTGTAATCTATTGGATTAAGTATCCAATGACGTTTCGGAGGTTAGGATAAAAGAATTATAGTAATACTTTAGTGACCGTGTAATTGTAAATACATATTATGTATATTACGTAAGAAGTGATTTAATCCTGGAAAGTACCGTAGTCAAAGCGTAAAGGACTTTGTTTAAAAAAAAAGGCCAATAATAATAGTCGTGATTATACAAATGAAGAACAGGCAGGTTAAAAGGGATTCACAGTTTGCTTTTGGAAAATACTATTAGTGTACACTTCGCATAAAGACAGTATACCAGACTCTTTCTGATTGTACATACTTAAACATTGGTATACACAGTCCAATTTATATTTTATATCATTTTTACTATTCGATACAGCAAAAACGAAATAGCGGTAATGTTGCAGTTAAGTAGGAATCTCCGAGCCTACAGTGGAACGGCACAGTGTATCAGTAGTATTACTTTTAACAGGTTATTCTCTACCACCAAACCAACTCAAGGGACTAAAGCTATTAAATTCTTGAAAGCACAAAGAAGGAGACAAAGAAATGAGATTAAACAGACTAATCTGAAAAAATCGGCCGACATGGTTGATCCTGTATTCGGGCATAAAGATACACCTTTCATTGTTCGTATTCAGGCAGAGCTTAAAGAACCTAATGTGTTATCTCATGGGTACGAAGGGAAGGAAGTCGATAAGTTTTTGGCCGCTGTGGATGCCACTGAACGTGAACAAGCAGAACTTTCCGGATTAAATATGGATCTTTTTGAAACTACCGATGCTAAAATTGTGGAGACTAGGAAGGAAGTCATTTTAAGAATTTTGAACATGAGAAATGCTGATAATCAGGAATCCATGAAGATGGCTTTACGACTAGCTCGTGAAGAATTTCAACGATTCCCAGGTGATACCGGTTCTAGTGAAGTTCAAGCTGCGTGTATGACCGTTAAAATATTTAACATGGCTCATCATGTACAAGAACATAAAAAGGATTTTGCAAATACGAGGTTATTAAGAATTCTTGTTCAAAAGAGACAAAATATATTACAATATCTAAAGAGAGATAATCCTGAAAAGTATTATTGGGCCATTGAAAAATTGGGTTTAACAGATGCAGCTGTAACTGAGGAATTTAACTTGGACAGACGTTACATGCAGGATTATAAGTTCTTTGGTGATAAGATATTGATTAAAGATTCTAAGAAAACTATCGATGCTCAACGTAGGAACTTGAGAACCCAAAAGATGATTGAAAATTTGGAATAAATAACATTATTATCTAAAGTACATATATAGCTTGTAAATATAAATAGAGACTTTCTCTATCTATTATAATATAAATTAGAATATTCATGTATTTACTGTGTCATTTTTATTATAATTTTTGTTAAGTGTATCAATGCATTAATTTTTATTGGTATATTTCTATATGTATGTAAAATTATTTGTTTCACATGTTTCATTCTAGGTTAATAATGAACGAGGTCTATGGTTATACAATTCCTAACAAAGCAGTATTTTCGTTAGGTCTGCGTGAAGCTTCTTCAGATGAAGTACTATGTTCGTCCCCTTCGTCATCACTAGAGTCAGAAAAGTATTCCTCTTCTTCCTCATCTCTATCTTGCTCTCTTAATTTTTCGGCATAACTTAAAATACGATCCCAGTTTGGTTGTAAAACAAAGTAAGATTCAATTGAACCAACTACAAGCATGGCACAACCAATACCTACCCATAGTCCATATAATTTCCAGTCAAATACCCAACTTAGTATCATAGCTAATGGGATACCAAAACAGTAGTAACCAACTAAATTAACGATACTACCTACAGATTGCATACCTTGACCTCTCAGACAAGAACCGGCTACTGCATTCAAAGAATCAAAATTCTGAATGAAACCAACAACTGGTAAAATCCCAGATATTAACCCTTTAACTGTCTCATCTCTTGAGAAAATACCTGCAACAAAGTTACGGCTTAATGTTAGCAAGACACAATTAGTCATACCTGCAATAAAGGAAAATGACAACCCAACTTTAGCTGAAATATGAGCAAAATCGATTCTTTTAGCACCAATAAAGTTTGCAATTCTTGTAGAAGTTGAGATACCAATTGCAAATGGAACCATATATATTAAAGCGGCAACTGATGAGACAGCAGATTGAGCAGCTAAATATTCTGTACCAAAGTATGCACTAAACAAAGTTAAACATTCATAAGATATTTCTTCTGCTTCTAACATGATAACACCTGAGAATGCCAAGTGCATTAAATCTCTCCAATGAGTAAAAGCTTTTCTAGAGAAACCTCCCCAACATTTTTTACCTTCGATAAAGATGACGTACATTAATAATAGGAAAAACATTAACCAGAAATTGATAACCACAGCTACTGCGGACCCTATAAACCCGATGCCGATATACTTATTCCAAACTAAAGTCCAACTCATTACAATATTCAATGGAGCACAAATTAACAAAACATATATACCTGCATCAAAGATACCTTGTGCTTGTAAGAATCTTTTCAAATTTTCAAAGAAAATATAGGCAGGAGCACCAAATATTAATACTTTCAAGAATTGAGCTGTTAAATGAACCAATTCTTTTTCTGGAACGACTAACATCAATAATGGTTCTGAGTAATACCAGAAAAGGGCAAATGGGATATAGATAACTAATGAGAATGCAACACAACGTTGAAGATGGACACCAACACTATAATACCTACCCGCACCGTAAGCTTGTGGGCATAAAGTATCTAAACTTGTAGCAATACCTTCAAAGAAACCCAGTGTAATGTTTGAGGTCATCGATGCTAAGGAAACGGCTGCCAATTCATTCTTACCTAAATAACCGACAGTTAAAGAACATACTAATGGGAAAATATCTTCCAACAAGAATGTAAACATTAACGGCAGAGAATATGAGGCCAAAACTTTAGCCTCTGTTCTATACGTCACATGCTCGTGTGCAAGAACCATCAGAGATTCTTCATCTAGTGATTCCTGATATATATGTGGTATAGACCCCCTACTTGTAACAGACATAAGAGATTGTCTTCGAGGACCTTGAGAACCTTCTCGTAAGGCCTCTTTGTATAATTTTCTTCTGGTTTGAACACGATTCATAAAAGAACCATAATCAACATCACCTTCAGCAGCACTACTATCAGGAGGAAGATCTTCTTCAGATGTTGGATGATGTGCTGATGAGTATCTCCGATCATGTTCTTGTAAAATCCAATCCACATCAGGATTTGTCTCAATTTCGGAGTTTTCAGAAGTCATGGACGGAAGTGATGTGGTTCTACTTATTTCATCGCCACTTCTTGAATCATGAGGTTGGTTTTCTATATCATCATAATATTCGTTATAATCTTCAACATTATTTAATAACTCTCTTTCATCTATATCGGGAATAGGTTCATGCACACTACTCCCAAAATCGTCTACCAAGGACCTAAAACTTCGTTGGCCGGTGCTTCTCTTTCTAGTTCTCCTTCGTTTCTGTCCTTTACTCTTAAATTTTCTAACTAAAGGATTTTTATTATCAGGAGGGAGATAGCCTAACGATATTCTTCTATGTGTATTACCAATACCCATCCCAGAAGTAAGTAAGCTTGGTTTTACTTCTGACAAAGTTTTCGAAAAAATTCCAGACATTGTACAAAATGAGATAAAATCCTGGTAATACTAACTTAATATGATATTTAATTTAATCGGTTCTTATTTATAAACGATTAGAAATCTTTTCCAATTAATTAAAAAAAATCAGGGGGTGAGCTTCAATTGTCTATAGGATTAGTTGTAATGAAAAAAAAATCACAGTTAACTAGTAATCAAGTATCACCCTCAGACTTACAATACGTTATTAAAATTGAAGAAGAAAAGATGCTTAATACAAAAGGAATAATATTTTTTAATCGTACGTTTCCCTTCCCTTTTGTCTTGAATTATTGGCCATTGTCTTAAAAATGGTAACCCACAATTTATTAATTACTTAATTATCTATTATCAAACTTCGCCTTTTCTCCTATATTTAAAATTAGAAAAAAAACGAGAATTGAAGGAACAATACGTAAAATTGGTCTGTCTAATAACGGTAAAAGCATAGTTATACAGGGTTTTCTGAGTGATTATGAAATGGAGTGATCAACACATGGTTCAGGATAGATGCTTTCTTTATTTGAGAGACGACATGGACAACAATGATTAACAAGTGATATTGCGTGGGTAAGTTAGTAGAACTCCACTGGATATTTGATATTGTTGAGGGGAGGTCATGTGGACGCAAATGACTTTTTGTAATACGAGGGTCCTTTGTTACTAGTTGAGAATGTTTATTCTTTTCAGTTAGGGTAATTCGATACGTTTGTCTGTTTTGGGAACAATCGGTTTAGTATATTCTCTAAACTTTTTGAAGTTTTTATGTTGTCAAGTATGTAAGTGAGAGGTTGTATAACATAGTATTTAATTGTTTTTGGAAGAATAGTTCAGTAGGGAAATAAAATTACACGAAGGTCAAGTAATTTGACAGCAGAGTATCGGATTTAATGGATGAGAAAGTACATATCTCTTTCTTCTTCATGATTAAAAAGAGATTGCGGAATTTCAAACAAAATAACATATCTTGTCAGGATTTCTTTTAAATGAGGGAAGTAATTTTGCAAAGAAAAAAAAATGAAATTTTGAAAATATATCTATTACACAGCGATCTATATATATGTTTGTATGTGTGTTGATAAGTAATATACATGTGTGGAGTTGATGCAAGTGAAATCTTAACAGAGTGTGCGTGTTTTAAAAGACATCTGGCAGTTTCTCAATGGTATAGGAATGACCACCTACACTCATTAATGGTATACCAGGTATTTTTCTTATTCTTTGTTTTAGACCAACATCATTAGTAGCCACAATGAAACATTTATGTTGTAATACTCTATTTACTATACAGTCATCTGCATATGTCCCTTTATGTGTGCAACTTAGTCTTTTAATTCTTGGATCTCTAGCTAATTTTAATGCAATACGAAATTTTGGTCCTAATTTTTCTAATTCTGCCATTACACAGTCAGTTATTAATGGGTTACACTTAGCTAATAGACAATCCATCATACCTCTCACTATATCGATCTTCTTTTGAATAGAAAAATTGATAAAATTCGTATCAATCAGTACTTGGTAAGGTGGTTTAATAGCTTCATTGTATTGAAAGAATAATGCACTAGACACCTGTGGGATACTCCTCGTTAGTTCAGGATCAGCTGTAGGTCTCTTCTTTTCTTGGTTGGCCTTTAATCTTTGATCCTTCTTAGTGTTCAACGTCCGCTTCACAAGTGCAAACTTTCTAGTCTTCTTAGCTTTACCCATTTTATTTTCCTTATATTCTTTGGACTGTTACCTCTGTAAGTGTTTGGGTTAATAAACAATAAAAATATTAAAATTCTTTTCCTTTAATTACTTGAGATGAGATGAGATGAGCTAAATATTTACTATTCAAAAAAAAAATGTTAACTTTAATTAAAAATGAAAAATTTCGCGGAAGAAACAAGGCGAAACGTATTACGTGATAATCCTTCACAGACATAATAATTAGACATTTCATGCATTTCAATATGGTGTAAATCCTATTAAGATTAAATGTGCTAGTTGTATAGTTTGACAAGAACTTGGATCTTGTACAATTTAAGGTTAAGAAACTTATGTATGTGACTACTAAAAAAAAATTTTGAAATGAAGGTATTGATTTTTGCTACCGATTGGTTAAACCTTTTATTTTTAATGTGTTTTTTGTGTAAGTTAGAACTCAACAAGAACAAAACAGGTTAACAGGATAATGTTTTACAAATATAACAACAGGATTTAATAAAAAAAATATGGATTTGTATAAATTTGAAGTGATTAGGAAAAAAAAGGTGCGTAAGGGGCAAAAAACAACGTCACAGACAGGATTCGAACCTGCGCAGGTAAAACCCAATGCCTAATTGCTGTTTCAATGAAATAGCAGGGCATCGCCTTAACCACTCGGCCACTGGGACATATTCAAAACTTTGCCTATTTAATTATTTGTCATGTTTTTCATGTTTTTCCGAAATATTTAACTTGTTTTTATCATTCTTATATTTGTAACTAGATTAGGTGACCAAAATGTCACAAACTAAGGGCGACTTACAGCGATACTTACTCTAAAATTATTGTAAAGAGAAAACACCCTGCAATAAAACAAGGGTCTCTGTTAGAAACCAAGGGTAACTTACTGTGACACTTAGTCCAAAAATATTGTAAAGATATAATTAGCAATATTGTAAAGAGACCAGTAAAAATATTTGAACCAGCACAAAACATAAAAAATAAAAACAAACCAGCAATATATGCAGGTGAGTTGTTTAAGAAAAACTAATGGTATATATAAAGCCATTATTGTAAAATAAGAAACATTTATGATTAAATAATTTGAAGATTATATATTTTAAAATAACCGATCAATTATCATATCAAAAAATGTCCGAATTACATTTAACTAACAAACAAGAATTTAAAGAATCAACTGAGAGTAAAAACTCTAACTCAGATTCTCTACAATATTGTTAGCTTTCAATATGTTTGCATTACAAAAGTTGTGGCTGACAATCTGAAGAATTAAATGAACCCATTAATGATAACTGCAAAGAAAGTAATTCAAAAATCTTTTACCTTAGTATAGTGTCGGATTTTGGAATTATTAGAGGAATCCATTTCTTTAATATGGTACAAAATTTATTTTATTAGAAATCAACGTATAGTCGTCTGATTTCTTTAGTATACAAATTATAAATAATATACAAAATAATCAGGGAAATAAAATATTCCAATGCATGAAATATTGTTCCCTTTATATACCTTTGGATTGGGCAACATTTCGTGATTATAAATCTCCCATACTAGCATTGTAGAAATTATGCATGGTTTCTAAATGCGTCTTATTATTATCTTTTCTCATTTTGATTGTTAAATATTGAACATTATCAAATCTGACAATCTTTATTATTCTTTTATTCTTATATTTTATATTCTTGACGTCATTCTTCTATCATGTAAACTCCGACATATAGATGTAGTCATCTAGTTATTTAGACTGCGCCATATTTGGAAGTATTTGAATTATTTATTTGTTGTAACCTATATATAAATATTTGTTATTGTATAGCATTGAGAAACAAAAGTATCTTACATTCTGTCAACTGGAGTTAGACCTAATAGACGCATACCATTGTTTAGAACTTGTCTAGCAGCAGCATATAGAGCTAAACGAGCGGTAGCTAATTCTTCAGTTTGACCAGCAACCCATAATACGTCGTAACAAGATGAAACTTGGTGTGTCAATTTAAATAAATAAGTAACAACAGTTGTTGGTTCGTGAGTTTTGATAGCATTTCTCAAAACATCAGGGTATTGAGCTAGAATTCTAATTAAAAGAATAGCAGCAGGTTCAGTCAACAAGGAGAAGTCGGCAGATAACCATTTGTCAAAGGTAATTTGAGCAGCGTTTCTTTCAACAGATCTTAATCTAGAATGGGCATATTGTAAGTATGGACCAGTGTCACCTTCAAAAGAAAGCATTCTTTCCCATTTGAATTCGTAGTTGTTGATACGCTTTGATTGCATATCTTGGATCATAACAGCGGAGATACCAACTAAATCAGCAACTTCATCTGGATTCTCGATTTGAGAGTATTTAACTTCATTCTTTTTCATAACATCGTGCATTTTTTCCTTAGTTTCCTCAAGAATGTTATCCAAAAAGACCACCGTACCCTTTCTTGTAGACATACCTTGGACCATACCAAAGTTAACATGTTGTAAAGTCTTTGCCCAATCGAAACCCATTTGTTTTAAGATTTCAAAGAATTGAGCAGTGTGTAGATCCTGTTGTGAAGCAATGACATATATCATCTTATCAAAATGGTACTTTTCATGACGATCCATAGCGGCACCTACATCCCTAGTTAAATACAAAGTGGTACCGTCAGATTTTTGAACAATAGTCTTCCCAAGTTTCTTGTTGAATTTAGTTAAATCAATTAGAACAGCACCCTTATCCTCGTGAGTCAAACCCTTCTCGTTGAAGATTTCTAAAGCTTTGTTCATTGACTCTCTGGAAACTTGAGATTCACCAGAGTACACGTCGTATTTGATGTTCAATCTAGCGTAAGTGGCAATGTATTTTTCGATAGATAGTTCTCTAAATCTCTTCCAAATCTTTAGAGCTTCTTCATCACCATCTTCCATTTTTTTAAAGTACTCACGGGCTTTACCGTTAGTGGATTCTTCTAGTGGTAGAGAATCACCTTCTTCTTCGATATCCTTGTTAATACGAACATAGACTTCAAACAGGTGGTGGATTGGATCTTGGGCCAATTTTTCTTCGTCCCCATATCTTTCGAAACCGACAGCTAGTAGACCGAATTGTTTACCCCAATCACCTAGGTAGTTCATTCTAATAACATCCCAACCAAGTTTTTCGTAAAGGTTAGAGATGAAACCACCGATAATGGTAGATCTCAAATGACCGGCGTGGAATGGTTTTGCGATATTTGGAGAGGAAAATTCAACGATAACCTTTTTGTTTTCGACCAATTTACAAGAACCATACTCTTCCTTTCTGGTTAGAACATCTGGAACAACAACTTTAAACAAAAATTCTGGGCTGAAGAAGAATTGTAAGAATGGACCATTGGCCTCGACCTTACTTAGAAATTCACCACATGGGAATTTTTCGGCCCATTCAGCTGCTAGATCCTTTGGATTCGCACCTTTGATTCTCAATCTTGGTACAGGAATCAAAAGGTCACCTCTCTCCATTGTGTTAGTCCATTCTAAAGCTGGAAAAATTAAACTGGTATCAACTCCAGAGATCTTATGTAGTTCTTCTGCGATGTAGTTTCTCATTAAATCAACAACGTTGACATCTGGGAAAGAACCTTCCACAGCGGCAGGAGCGTTTATAGACAATTTTTGTAATTGGGAAGCAATATTGTCAGTAGACATGGCGTACCGAGTTCAATGATAATATTCTGTTTTGTTATATGATGAACGGAAAATGTTGATAATGAACATGTATGTCTAAATTAATCAATTACTTACGGTTGAACTGTATGTACTGAAATTTATTCTCATTAATTGATTATAATAGTATCAGTCATCTATCCATCCATCGCAATCCCAAAAGAAAATTTTTCATGACCGCTCTACAAAAAAAAAAGGCGAGCGAAATAGAGTGAAAAAAAGTTGTTACTAAAAGTTGTGTCATCGATCAGCTTAAATAATGAGTAGTATCAAAATAATCAAAAGGGAGCCTCTATTGACAAAAATGGCAGATAGGCTAATTTTGACCCCAATTAAAGTACTTGAGGAGTCTTTTGATTACAAATTTCATGAGATTGATTTTTTTTTTATTATAATTAATTTAAACGAAGTATATATTTTGTTATCATTAGAGAATCATAAGAGTTTTATAGAAAATGTTTATAATATTGCATATTGAGTTTTAAAAGAGAACCTTTTTAATAAGCAATCAAAGATATGTGTAATTAAAACCTTGAAGTTATTATATCATTCTCTTGTACCATGGCAGATCATCGTGAGCTAAGGCACTGGCATCGTAGTCGCCGCCTCTTCTAGATGGTGGAACCCATTCAGTAGACTTCCATGGTAAGACACCTTCTAACCACATTTGGTCGACTTCTTCTAGGGATAGACCCTTGGTTTCTGGGATAAAGAAGAAAACGTAGAACCAGGAGAAACATAGACAACCCATGAAAACGTAACCATATGAGAAACCGATAGCACCGGTAATGAAAGGAGTGAAGAAACCAATTAAGAAACCCCAAATCCAGTTACAACCTTGAGCTAAGGACATGGCCTTGGATTTCATTCTTAATGGGTAAGTTTCAGATGTAATAACAAAAGCTAGTGGGGCCCATGAAGTGGCGAAACAAAATAGGTAGAAACAAGTGAAACAAATCATACAGTTACCAGCACCCTTAGAAGAAGCACCACTCTTACCGTTTGGATATAATCTTGTGACACCGACAGAGGCAAAAATGACGAAACAAGCAGTCATCGTTGCGGCACCCCATAATAGACATCTACGACGACCAAATCTTTCAACAATGAAAATACCAGCAAAGGTAGAAGCAAAGTTGACAATACCAATAACGATAGAAGTTTCGAAAGAATCTGGTAGACCAACAGCCTTGAAAACTGTAGTACCGTAGTAGAAGAAGTAGTTATCACCAGTCAATTGTTGTAGAGATTGAATCATACAACCCATGAATAAACGTTGGAAAATCTTGTTCTTGGTAGAGAACAGTTCAGCCCAAGAGGCTTCACCGGCTAACTTTTCAGCTTCAGCAGCAGCTTGCAAAGTAGCAAACTCGACTTCAACGGAGGGATCATCAAGTGGAACCTTGTTAGAGACAGAGATAGAATGCTTAGCATCTTCAAATCTACCAACACTGACTAAGAAACGTGGAGATTCTGGAACAAACATCATACCACCAATCATAAATAGAGCCCATGCGAAACCTAGACCTAATGGAACTCTCCATTGGACAGTGTTGGAGTAGTTCTTGGTACCGAAGTTAGTACAGTAACCTAAGAAAATACCTAGAGTAATCATTAATTGGTAACAGGAAACTAGAGTAGCTCTTAAGTGCTTTGGAGAAACTTCAGAAATCAACATTGGGGACAAAACGGAAATACCACCGACACCTAGACCGGAGATAATTCTACCAATGAAATATTGATACCAAGCATGTTGAGTAGCAATGGAAATGATTAAACCAATGATGTAAATGATGACAACAGTAATCAGACCAATTCTTCTACCGTAGATATCACCGATCTTAGATAAGATAACACCACCAATAGCACAACCAATGTTGAAAATAGCAACAATTAAACCCGTTCTGACTTTAGATAAGTAACGACTACCATCTGCATGTTTTTGACCTAATCTGTTAACGAAATCAGTTTGATTAACGAAACCAGAAATAGTACCAGTATCCCAGCCGAAAACGAAACCACCGAAGGCAATCATAATACACATGATTGAAACGGTAACATAAGCGGAAGCTGGTTTAATTGGCATCTCATTAGCAGCGATATCGGCCAGACGATCTTCATCTAAATCCTTAGAATCATCTCTCTCGGCTTTGTTAGATGGAGTAGAGATCATAGAATCAGAATTCATGTCATCCACAGGTAGTGGTTGTTGGGATGTTTGAGGATTTTCGACACCATCCGACATATTGAATGTGTTTTGTTTAATTATGTAAAATATTTATATTTCTTACTACTATGGCTATAGAAAGAAGATAAATATTCTTATTGGTATTTGATACAGAATGAACAATTAGAAAGAAAGACCATTTAATGAAAAGAAAATGGAAAAATAAAAAAAAATTAAATCTGGGGGAATGTCTTTGAGGTTTATATACAATTAAAGAATGGACCAGAACTGTTTCTAAGTGTCCATCTGTTCCTCAGGATGTCAGGAAGGGAACAACAATTAGTGACCGTTAAGATATGGAGTGCATACATTCTAAAACAGTAGTTAGGTTCGTAAGTAAAAATAATTCTTACTATCCGCTGCTATGGTTAATATTATACAATAAGTATAACACAAATATCTAATTCCTATTCGAGGTCTTCTACGAATAACAAAAAAGCAAATTCGTCTGGGGCATCTGTAATATACCTTTCGGAGAAACTATCAAGAGCGGTTTTTCCCTTTTGACGTGTCGCGGTTTTTAATTTTTCCGAAATAAACTTTTTCATATGATTACAATAACGATAAATGGCGCTGACATAATTGATTATTACCAGTTTGTCCTTCGTCAATTTTTTTATCTTGGAGTTACAGTGAAACGAGGTATTGTCTTCCGAGTTGATACCCCACAGAAAAAACTAAAACCAGAGGGAAAGATAAAAAGAAAAGTTTGCAACCATCAATGAGTTATTGGAAGATGTTTCTCATAAATTGGAGAAAAGTAAATGACCCAATATATCTTTCCCTCTACTCATTGATAACAACAACATTTTCTACATATCAATAATATTAATAATACTTTTCTTTTTTGTCTAATGTAAGGAGGATACCTGTAGAACCTATCCCGTTTTTACTAATAGTTTTTAAATTATGTGTAACGTTATTGTCACATCTGCTACGCCCACTTGCAATTTACGTTTTATCATCGCAAATTTAATTTGTGGAGAACCATACGTAATAGCGCTTGACTCTCTCAATACCTCTTGATCTCTATTGTGAGAAATAAAAGATATATTGATAAAGATATCAATAGTTTTTCCGAAAGTAATATAGTTGCCTTTTCTTCTTTTTCTTCTTTTCTTTTTCTTTTTGATTTTTTATGGTAGCCACAATTAATTACCAGCCGTTTTTCGATAAGTCGCAAAATGAAAAAAAAATTTCTGTAAAACAGCGGAGAAAGTATTAACGTGTGCGAGATATATATTTTGAGTTTCAATAAGACAAAAGAAACATTGAATATTCAAAGATCTGGGGTATTATTCGATCGGAAAAACTTTCCCCTTGAGATATTTAGTTTTTCCATATTTTCAACAATTTTACAATAACATTCAGAATTACGTTCTACAATATTGTCAATAGAGGTTGGACGAATAAGAAGGTTGTAAAAGAGGATAAGCGCTAGTCACAAACAAAGTATATAGATTTTGGAAATCAAAAGAGAACTTTACAACTAATGATATGCTGGTTAGAAAGTAGTTAGTACATTTGGGTTTCTGCATTATTTTATAACAATGGTAATAACAATACTATCACCGAACGAAACTGTGACAGAAATACTTTTAACTATCTTTTAAAATATCATCAGTTAGGAAGTGTAGATATACATGAGTTGGTATGTATTAATTTTCTGAGCTGATTATGAGATATTATATCATCTGTGTAGACAGTTCTCTTCGGAACAATTTGGCTACAGAAACGATATAACAAGAATAGGATCATGGTATTAGTCCCATTATGAGACAGGTATTTTGTCCCATCGGTATCATTGGAGCATATTTGCCTCAGAGATAGGGACAAAATCCTAGAATCTGCTCTTCAAGTCATAATATTGACAATTTCTCAAACTTACGATAAATAATACCTCGAGTTGCTTAAAATAGTTTTATGAGGCATCCCGTAATGAGTCCCTTTCTTTAAATTGAGTTACAATTTAAACTTTTATTGCGTGCTCAATCATGTAGAGATCTACGGTAATAAAGTCCGAATAATATCTTATTTTGTATCTGAATATCATTATCTGAATATTATGACGAAACCTTGGAAGTTTAGTTTCTTGTGTATTGTAATTTGTTGGGTGAATAATATATCATATTTTCGATAATAAAACGAAATTTTAGTAGATGTCACTTAATATATTGGAAGATATAGGAATATTGGTTAGTAAGAGATAGTCTCTAAAGATTACAAGATTCCACGGGTCCGAAATTTTATTTTATTTTTGGTTTAGAATATAAGGAACTCCAAAATTATATGACTCTTCCAGTTATAAACAATGAATAAAATTTAAACAATTAAATATTTTTCTTCTCATATTACTAAACCGACGACCGGTCTCTTTGTTTTGATAATATAATTATGAGCGAAAATAACAATAGAAGATTTATTATTTATTCTTTCTACAAATAATAAAAGTTGTTCTCACTTGTGCAAAATTCGTTAAAGGAATAGGCAATTTCATACTATAATCAAACCTTTATCTCATCACCTTATGATTGAATCGCGAATAGGGAATGTATTATTTTTTTAATTCAAGTAATAAAATGACTTCATAGACGACTTTATAACTGCAACTGCACATCGTATATTATCATTATAATTAGGTGTTAGTCCATATTTGACTGAACGATTGGAAAACGATGTTTCTACATAGACTGTTCTTTGCAAACCTGACTTCGCGATCTGAGACACTCCGCTTACAAAAACAAAGACTCGGAAAATTGTCGTTTCTTTTTTTCATGGGACGCTGATTACGATAATAATATAAATTTTTATAAGCACGGTGGAGTCGGTAATTAAACAAAAGAACCCCCTCAATCCCCGGATGTTGGGCGTGTGATTGGTCATTGTAGACTACTCGGTTGTTTTTCCGTTTCCCACACTGTTGCATTAGATAGCTACTCTCGGAGTCAAATTTCGAAAAAATATCATAATTTCAATTGTTCTTAGTTAGTAACAATAATAATCATGAAGAAATTTAAGGTATTAAAAATGAATTTATTGTTTATAAAAGTATGTATGATAAAAAGTTTGTAACTTTAAATAGATTTTTCGTAAAAACGTTAGATTAAAATTAGTTTGTATAATTGTGCAATATATGAATATTGGATTCGTAAAGAGAAATAATAATTATTTGTATGTTGTACTTCATTTCAGAATTACAACATTCTCTTGTACCATGGCTTATCATCAGTGGCCATAGCGGCAGCATCGTAGTCGCCGCCTCTTCTAGATGGTGGAACCCATTCAGTAGACTTCCATGGTAAGACACCTTCTAACCACATTTGGTCGACTTCTTCTAGGGATAGACCCTTGGTTTCTGGGATAAAGAAGAAAACGTAGAACCAGGAGAAACATAGACAACCCATGAAAACGTAACCATATGAGAAACCGATAGCACCGGTAATGAAAGGAGTGAAGAAACCAATTAAGAAACCCCAAATCCAGTTACAACCTTGAGCTAAGGACATGGCCTTGGATTTCATTCTTAATGGGTAAGTTTCAGATGTAATAACAAAAGCTAGTGGGGCCCATGAAGTGGCGAAACAAAATAGGTAGAAACAAGTGAAACAAATCATACAGTTACCAGCACCCTTAGAAGAAGCACCACTCTTACCGTTTGGATATAATCTTGTGACACCGACAGAGGCAAAAATGACGAAACAAGCAGTCATCGTTGCGGCACCCCATAATAGACATCTACGACGACCAAATCTTTCAACAATGAAAATACCAGCAAAGGTAGAAGCAAAGTTGACAATACCAATAACGATAGAAGTTTCGAAAGAATCTGGTAGACCAACAGCCTTGAAAACTGTAGTACCGTAGTAGAAGAAGTAGTTATCACCAGTCAATTGTTGTAGAGATTGAATCATACAACCCATGAATAAACGTTGGAAAATCTTGTTCTTGGTAGAGAACAGTTCAGCCCAAGAGGCTTCACCGGCTAACTTTTCAGCTTCAGCAGCAGCTTGCAAAGTAGCAAACTCGACTTCAACGGAGGGATCATCAAGTGGAACCTTGTTAGAGACAGAGATAGAATGCTTAGCATCTTCAAATCTACCAACACTGACTAAGAAACGTGGAGATTCTGGAACAAACATCATACCACCAATCATAAATAGAGCCCATGCGAAACCTAGACCTAATGGAACTCTCCATTGGACAGTGTTGGAGTAGTTCTTGGTACCGAAGTTAGTACAGTAACCTAAGAAAATACCTAGAGTAATCATTAATTGGTAACAGGAAACTAGAGTAGCTCTTAAGTGCTTTGGAGAAACTTCAGAAATCAACATTGGGGACAAAACGGAAATACCACCGACACCTAGACCGGAGATAATTCTACCAATGAAATATTGATACCAAGCATGTTGAGTAGCAATGGAAATGATTAAACCAATGATGTAAATGATGACAACAGTAATCAGACCAATTCTTCTACCGTAGATATCACCGATCTTAGATAAGATAACACCACCAATAGCACAACCAATGTTGAAAATAGAAACAACTAGACCAGTTCTGACTTTAGATAAGTAACGACTACCATCTGCATGTTTTTGACCTAATCTGTTAACGAAATCAGTTTGATTAACGAAACCAGAAATAGTACCAGTATCCCAGCCGAAAACGAAACCACCGAAGGCAATCATAATACACATGATTGAAACGGTAACATAAGCGGAAGCTGGCTTTACTGGAATATCGACCAGAGCGTCGTCACCAAGGGCATCTTCATTGATGTCCTTAAGGTCATCTCTCTCGGCTTTGTTTGATGGAGTAGAGATGACAGAGTTTGAGTTTGAGTTAATGTCATCGACAGCTTGTTCAGCTGGATGAACTTGATGTTCTGATACGTCAGACATAATAATAACTTAGTATAATATTTTAATTTATTTTTTTTAATTAATGTATTAAAATGAAAACTAAATGTTCTGGTTTTTTATGGGTTAATTTGAATAAAATTAATATTGAATAGAACAAATAAATGATGAATTAAATTTTTAAATCTGGGGACAACATCATGTCTTTATATATAATTTTTTTTTTAGAATTTTCTCGAGTTCTTTTTAAAAAAAAGAATTAATACGGGGGAAAAGAAATTATTCAAAAAGAAACAATTGACAGAAGAGGATCGTTGAAATTGCTTTCTTGACCTGTTTGGTTACTGGGTTCTTTCGTATCCGGTTGTTTCTTTTCCCTCTGAAAATCAGCATCTGTGTGACATTGCTTTTCGTTACCGCCCGTTACCAAAACCGCTCTTCTGCGACAGGTCTTGTGTCATCACCGCCATTACGACGTGCCCTGTCAGCAACGCGGAGAAAAAAGCTGGGGCGGTGGGGCTCCTATTCCACAGAGATAATCGCAGAAAGTTGATGACCCCTCCGGAAAAACACTCTCAATGAAGGCGAAACTAGTAATTGCGGGTTCTTTCTTTTTTTGTATTACGACCATTATCATAACCCTCGGCAAAGATTGAAATGAACAGCAATTATAGAAGTTGTTGTATCACAGATGTAATAAGGCGTTGTACAGTGATTTCTTCCCTTTTGGATTTTTTTCCTGGTGCAATTGCGGTAAACCCCATATTCTATTGGAACGATTTTCTGGGACCGTTGTGGATGAAGTGTGGGTGGAATATCCGGGGCTTTAGTAAGGTGAGTAGATTTATATTTTTTTAACCTTAAGTTGCCATCCGTGCTAGTAAATGGTGGACAACGACATCATTATTACTAATGAATAAACGGGAAATACAAGTGCGATTCTCATCGATATTTTGTTCTTTTTTTTACCTCTCAGGCTTCTTCTTTCTTTTTATTGATGATACTTTGCTGAATGCTAACCTAATGGTACATAGTTGCTTTGGACAAGTAAGATTTGTAAACCGCGGAAAATATAACGGAATACCCAGCATTTGGAACCATTGATGTTTGTAATAAGTGTTTAATGTGTATTCTTTACTCTACAAGATATCGATTACAAGAATTTCGGTAATTTACCATACTATTAATAAAGTTGATTACTCTTTAATAAATTTGAATTGTTGATATATTCTTTACTGCTATTGGGTATTTTTTAGTTATAAGAGGTCAATTGACCATTCTGTAATTCATATTAGAATTATAAATTAAAAATAACCATCGTATCTTTTTTGTCCCAAGGTCAAAAAGAATGTTTACTAAAAGCGACAATAATTTTGCCCCTCCTATACGTTTAACTATTTGATAAGACTTTGTATTATTGTAAGTCCCTCGATATTCCTTATGCCCTAACAGAAAACATGAGGAAAAAAAGATAACGAGTTAAAGTCACTCATTAAACATTATCGTTTGTAGGTAAACTTAATGACGGAAGTGGGGAACCGTCATACTAGGATACGATGAAAAAGTATTTATCCGAAGTATGGACCCATTTGTCGTCGTCCCTCGCTCCCTCGTTTCTTTTTTTGAGTACTGTTATCTTTTTGATCTGCAGTCCCTTCTGTGAGACACGGTTTAATAACAATAACAAAAATTTACTTTCTTCTTTTTCCATGAGATGCGATTGCGTAATCACTCAGAAAGAGCCGCGCGATAATTCTTTAGGAAAAGGGACAGACAACAAAAGAAATCTCGCTTTGCAAATTTCCTAAAACGGGAATATGTGGGGCAAAACAAGAAACGTTTCTTACGCCACCGGAAAAACTTCCTTTTCGTTTATCTTGTCTACTTTGCTTTTTTTTTTATGATGGTGGTTAATTTAGAGAGATTTAATTCGCTATCGTTGTTGTTGCATTTCCTAGATTGGTGAATTTCATAAGTTAAGAACCGTGTGTTTAAAATTTATATAATCATAAAGGAATAAGAAATAATGATGTATCGTTTATGCGTGATATTTTGTTGAGCCTACAGTTAAGCAATAGACAGTTTTGTTACAAGGTTAATTCTACACTAGTTTCTAATCCTAATCTTTGATTCGATAGGAGACAACAAGAAACTAAGTAGAACTCTACATATCCAGAAAATTTTTGTTAGAAGTAACGGTTACTTGAAAATAACTACCAGATATGGTTTCTTACTAGTCGGATTCACAAGAACCTACTATCATGTAGCTATCTAATGGAAGAGTTACGTCGCATTCCTAATTTAATTATGTTGACAAATATATTCAGAAACGCGATATATTCGGTTCATCTAATCCATAATATTAATATAGATTATAAAGGATACTCTGTTTTAAAAGCTGGGGTAACTTAACATTTTACATAATTGTAAAATTTATATACTACTAGAGTAAACAAGACTCCAAATGTAAGCCAGTCCTCTACTGCTCAACTAATCTTTCCCTAAAGAGTGTGCTGACCTATAAAGTACATCATGCTCTGTCATATTACAAGAGAAGTGATTATTAATTGTAGATAAACAAGGTGGGAAATAACTTATTCTAATTTATTTACCACTTCATACCTTACTTTATCTAATCCATCACTTTGTAAACTATGTAACCTCAACACACGCATGTATAAATTAATAGAATGAAAAATTAGCATGGAAGAGTTATTATGTAGTTTGGCGAGTTAAGCACATTGTATGTTGCCTTAGAATCAGATTTAAATTCTAAGTGACTTTTCTTACTTTTTCCTGGTGTAGAACTTATTCATATATATTAGTTCTATGTTCATCCAGTTCTCCACATGAACAGAATGTTGTGACGCAGAAAAAACGAATACTACCGTCAGCACCTAACAGGATAAATATTCAAATGAGAGCACTTTGATATCACCAGAGTTTTCATGTACAAAAAAGACAGGAGGAAAATTATATATCATGAAAAAAAATGATCAACAAAAATTTTCTCGCTTGTCGCTTCTAAATTTGGAACCGCCTCGCGGTCCCGGCAAAAGAGGGAAAATTAAAGTGGAATAATTATACAGCTTCATGTGTCAAAGTAAAAACAAGCTTCATGTAGATCATATTAATCTGTTATAACATGGGGTTTATAAATTCTCACCAAAAATTAAAATATATTTTCGTTTCTTTTTCTATACATTTGTTTTAAAATTTAAAAACCTACAATAATTAATCCGAAAGTGTCAAAAACACTTGATCTTTTCATCAAATGTAGAATTCAGTTTCATCCGTAATTTGAACTTATATTAATTAATAGATTAATTTATTAAAGAAAGCAACTTTATAAAAACGTGTTTTTATTATTTTCTAAAAAGAAAAATGTCATTAAAAAGGATTATAAAAACTATTTATTTTGATTAAATATTAAATAGATTCATGAAACATTAAATTAAGATTAGTTTGAGATTATTATTAAAAAGTTACTGTTTTTTAAACAGGATTTGGAAATTGAAAAGGATGGTTATAGGAAAAAATGAGAAGCTCTTTTATATTAGTAAAAGAAAAATAAAGGATATATTAATTTATCAGGGAGCTTACATCATTCTCTTGTACCATGGCTTATCATCATGAGCCATAGCTTCAGCATCGTATTCAGCACCTCTCTTGGATGGTGGAACCCAACCAGCAGACTTCCATGGTAGGACACCTTCTAGCCACATTTGGTCGACTTCTTCTAGAGATAGACCCATAGTTTCTGGGATAAAGAAGAAAACGTAGAACCAGGAGAAACATAGACAACCCATGAAAACGTAACCGTAGTAAAAGTTAATAGCACCAGTAATAAATGGAGTGAAGAAACCAATTAAGAAACCCCACATCCAGTTACAAGCTTGAGCTAAAGCCATACACTTAGATCTAACTCTCAATGGGAAAGATTCAGAACAGACAACGAAAACTAATGGAGCCCAAGTTGGAGCGAAACAGAAAATGAAGAAACAGGTGAAAACAATCATACAGTTACCAGCACCCTTGGAAGAGTTTTCCTTGTGGTTGGTACCATCTGGCCATAATCTAGTAACACCGACAGAAGCGAAAACAACCATACAAGCAGTCATGGCAGCAGAACCCCATAGTAATAGAGTTCTTCTACCGAATCTAGAAACAGCCCAGATACCGACGAAAGTGGAAGCAAAGTTAACAATACCTAAAACAATGGAAGTTTCGAAAGAATCATCCATACCAACAGCGTTGAAAATGGTAGTACCATAGTAGAAGAAATAGTTATCACCAGTCAATTGTTGTAGAGATTGAATCATACAAGCCATGATTAAACGTTGGAAAATCTTAGTCTTAGTAGAGAATAATTCACCCCAGGAAGCGTTACCAGCAAGTTTTTCAGCTTCAGAAGCAGCCATCAATAATTCTAATTCAGCTTGAACAGATGGATCATCGATAGAGACCTTGTTAGAGACAGCAATGGATCTCTTAGCATCTTCGTTTCTACCGACTTCGACCAAGAAACGTGGAGATTCTGGAACAAAAGTCATACCACCAATCATAAATAGAGCCCATGCGAAACCTAGACCTAATGGAACTCTCCATTGGACAGTGTTGGAGTAATTCTTGGTACCGAAGTTAGTACAGTAACCTAAGAAAATACCTAGAGTAATCATCAATTGGTAACAGGAGACCAATGGACCTCTCAAGTGCTTTGGAGAAACTTCAGAAATCAACATTGGGGACAAGACGGCAATACCACCGACACCTAAACCGGAGATAATTCTACCAATGAAATATTGGTACCAAGCATGTTGAGTAGCAATGGAAATGATTAAACCGATGACGTAAATGGTAACAACAGTGACTAAACCAATTTTTCTACCGTAGATATCACCTACCTTGGATAAGATAACACCACCAATAGCACAACCAATGTTGAAAATAGAGACAACTAGACCAGTTCTGACCTTAGACAAGTAGTAAGTACCATCGTGACGTTTTTGACCTAATCTTTGAATGAAATCAGTTTGGTTAACGAAACCAGAAATAGTACCAGTATCCCAACCGAAAACGAAACCACCGAAGGCAATCATGACACACATGATAGAGACGGTAACGTAAGCGGAAGCTGGTTTTAGAGGCATATCATCGAAGGCAGCAGCGTCTTCTTCGGCGTTTTCAGCCTCTTCCTTTAGTTCATCTCTGTCAGCCTTGTTGGATGGAGTAGATAGAACTGAGTTGGAACCGGAGGCGGTTGGAGTCAATTGAGACTCGTTATTAATGTTTTCTTCAACAGGAGCAGCAGACATATTGAAGTATATATATACTGTGTAATGTGTCTTGTTGATATATTAAAGAGATGTTTTATTAAATCTTTAATTGATGGTTTTTTATATTTATATACAATAGAATAGAAAATAAAAGAATTAAATTATGAAGAGGAAAATAAAAATATTGATAAAAGTTGAATATTCATTGACCTTTTATATCTTTTTTTTTCTTTGTTTCCATTTTCCTTTCTACTTGACGACGACCATTGCTTTTTGTTTTCTAAACTTGAAACTTACTGGAATTGATATATTTTCAATTAAAAAAAAGTAAGTTCGACCTACAGTGTTTTCTTAATTGAACGAGGGATGGATTAATTAATTGAGAAAGCTTATGCAATATTTACCCATGGTAAAAGGGAAGAATTACATATCAACAACTGGAAAATGAATTAAAAAAAAAAAAAAAAAAAGTATTTTGTTTACTTTTTTACCTTAGAGGTAAGTTAACATTACAAACGTATCTCTAAAAACGACGTAGATCTACTCCAGGAAAAAAACAATATAGTGTGGGTAAAAGGGGGATTAGACTACAGTTTACTGAAAAAATGTTGGACAGTTTCTACAGTTATTCCTCTATTTTTGCTAATATTTCATCAACCTTTGAAAAGATATGGCGAAATTCATGTAAAATAAAAGTAACAAAGTTGTTGCAGTAACAAACTATTGTATGATGGTTACTACTTGTTTCTTTAATAAAATAATATTAGAATTAAAAATTAAGAGACAAGGAGTGTTGTCTACTACTGGCACTTCTGTTAATTAAAAAAAGAATTGTTCCTTCCTTTGGTTTCAGTGGTTGCAAGGAGAAATTATTTAATTTTTAGTTATTGTTGTTGTTTTTTTCCACGTTTGGCTGACGTTTCCGCAGCATAAAAAAAGTAATACGGCAAAATTGTTGTTTTTATGCTGCATTGGAAACTTGCTTTTCGACTGCCGGGGAAATTCTTTGGGAATGAAAAGCAACTAAAAAAAATTTTCACCCGAAAAAGATGATTTTTTAAATTTCTTTCTATTCGAATTGCGAAGACACGGCCGGACAGGCAGGAGGAAAATTTACAACAAGACAGTTTGGCGCGGTGTCTATTGGGGCCCCACCCCCGCTAATTTTCCCCATTAATTTTCTCCTACAGATAATTACCGTCATTCTACATAGTTTTCTCTGGGTGGGGGAATGGGGGTTAAACCGGGGGAACTTACATGAAGCAGATTTTCTCCCTTTTTTATAGTTGTACGTGATGTTTTCTGTGACAGGGGGGAAGATATGTGGATTTGCCAGTCTTATTATGTATGGGTGGTGGTTTCGCCGGATCTTTAATAAAGTATTCGTTTGAATCCTTGTCATAGGTAATAAATATTTAATTACATGTACTTCCTTAACGCCGCTTCTGCCTCGATTTCTTTGGGTTGGTAATCCTAAGATTGTCTGTTTAGTTACTTTTTTTATATTATTTAATTTCTAAGAGTAAGAATTATTCTTGTTACAAGTTATATTGGACAAGAACGTAAATTAATTAGCTTGTGTCATGCTAAATCTCCCGCACCCCACAATGAATATATGTCTTACTTTAAAAAAAGACATGTTCGTGAGACCAACTTGTCAAGTAAAATATGATGAGAAAGTATTATGTTATGTGTGATTTTCTCTTTTACGATGCTCCGATTAATAATAAGTACCAAGAAACTTGTTGACAAAGATAATATTCTTGACACAGTGTGTCGTTATTTGGCAAATCATTAAAATAAGAGAATCACGGACATAAGTCGACGCCAAAAATTAATATGTAATATACACGTAAAAAAATATAATCTAAGCGGGAGGCGAGATGCTTAATTATTTGTAAATTTCAAATAACTTCAACTCCCCCTACCTCTGTGACCCCCCCACTTCATGTCTAAGTGGTAACTTACAAAGTTATGTTTTATTTCTTTGATATTAATCTGCAAAACGTCAGTTAATTTACTTGCTTAATTTCTTATACTGTTTCCCGATTATTAAATTAAGTTCTTATTAATCCGGGGTGCGTTCAATTCTGAGTAGAATTTTCAATTTTTCTATGTATATTTTATTCTTTGGATGTCACAGAACGCATCGCACTAAAGTGTCTCAAAAAAAATATTCTTATCTTAAAGATGACCTTAGTTACTTTTTTTTTTCGTACTAGTTTGTTAAACATGTCACTTTACTAATAATTACTAAATACTGTAGTTTCAACTATTCGTTGTCCAAAGAATAATACCTCTAGGAGAGGAAAGAAAGAAAATGGCATTGCTTTTTAAGTTTAAAGGATTACTCCGCACTAGGTCTCCCCGACCAAATAAATAGGATATATAGTCCGAGAGATCAGCACTCAACAAAAGAACCCATAGTGGGGGGAAATAGACACGCCTTAATTGAAATTTTTATTTATCCTTTTACCAAGAGAATAAAATTATAAATAATTTAAAAAAAAATAAAGAATAATTTGTCGCTACAGACTACGTACAAAGGAGCAATTACATAGTATTTGCGAATTCAGGGAACTCGCCTTTAATTGATTTTATTTTCCTCCATAAACAATATACTGTAGCAAACAAAAATGAGTAAATTCTTTCTCCTTTCTTGCTTTTGTCTGTTCTCGTTGCCAGGCATTCTTTTAAAATAATAATAATAATAAAATTAATTCAGTGTCATATTACCATTTCATTTGAGTCTATCTGGTAACAATCAATTTCTTTTTTTAAATTGCAATAGATGAAGCTTTTTTTAACGAGAGAGGTCATCCAACGACTATTTCAAAAAGAAAATATTTTGTATGAATCGTAATAACAACAAGAAGAGTGTTTGTATGTGATGTTTCAAATTCTTTAACTAAGAGGTGAAACTATTTTTAACATTTCGCGTCTGCTTTAGGACAGCTGGTTAAAATATAAAACTTGTTGTCATTTTGTTAAATCGTGTCTTAATTAAGTTTTATTTGTCATATATCAGTTCTCCTGTTTCTTCTTACTACGGTAAACGAATATTACCGAGACTGCAACATATACTGGAAAGGAGAAAAATAATTTTTCCCTTTCAACGAAAGTGTGATCCTTCAATTTCCTACGACGTTAAACTGAGACCAAGTTAAAAACAAACACAATAATAAATCCGAATTCAAGAATATCTTGTACGTATAAACCGCCCTTTGATATTCTATCCGGAACTGTATTTCCTCTTTAGGAACTAGATTTGTTATTGTTTTGTTGTCCTTTTGTTCTTCAGCACTAGTAACTGCGCCGAAAACACAATATAGCCGGTAACCTTGTTGTTTTGTACGTACTTTTCTGCATTCGGTAAAACTTTTTGTTTGTTTGTCCTCTATAAATTTTTCCTTTATACTTTTTGTGTCTGAGAATGTCTGAACAAAGAAAAACAAAGAAAAAAAGAACGGTTCCTAAAGAAGGGACTTGTCTAGCTATTGTATTTTTTTTATTTTGCTGCGGCAACCTTCCAGTACGATCAAAAATAAACAAATGGTAAAAATATTTTCCGTTGGTTCTAGTTTCAATGTGTTGCTGTAGGATATTGGAACTGCACAATTATTCCGCACAGTGTAATCTACAAGCCGATGTTCCAGGCCATTCTCTTTTTCGTTGTGATATTCCGTTTTTTACACAAAAACTTCTGTAGAAACGGCAAAAATAATAAAAAAAAGAATGGTTGATTGCTTTTTTAACGTGCACAAGAAAGCAATTCAGTGTTATGTAACGTCGTTAAATTTCTCGATTGCTTTTTCTTTTCCTATTATTTCGTTATTAGGAAAAAAAATATTTGAGCAGACTATTCAAAATTAATTTATCAAACTTTTTAATGTGCTGTCAAGAAGGTTTCACAACGTTTTGACGTTGTACGTTTTACTAAATATCAATTCTTTTCATACGTAAATTAAAAATGGGGGGTAATTATTAGCTTTGTTGAATAAATTTACCCCTCCACGAAACAAAGGAAAAAAGTGTATCCCCCACATTAATTCTTTTGGGAATAAATGTGATCAATTGAGATAATTAAAATAATTAACCTGGGGGGGGATATAGAGTTAGTAAGATTATTATTTATGTTCATAGATAACAATGAACTCAAGTATATTAATTAATATCCTTTGATAGATTGAGGAGTAAAATTTTAATGATTCATGTAAAATGTCTCCGTGTTGTTAAGATACTTTGAGTAAATAATCTTGGGTAATTAGATAAACGTCATAAGTAATTTTATTTTACAGAGACAAAAATGCACCCCACATTGATTTAACAAACTTTTTTCTCATTTCAAGAAGATAATAAAACTATGTTATCTCAAATCCAAAATAAATGCCAAGGATATTACCAATGCCAATGCAAATGGTGACAACAATTACGACGAAATTAATTTCTCCTTTTTAGTTTCCACATTTTTTTTTGTCTTGGCTCTGATCTGATCTTTTCCTCGATACATTTTAAATCGAACATCTTATCTTCGATGTTTAAAATATATTTGATGCTGTAGAGTACTTAAAACAAGAGAGTACATTATCGAAACTAAAGTTATAAATTCAGTAAGGTATTTTTATTACATTAATATTGTTAAAAAAATTGTACGTATCTTTCAAAAATATTATTACAGTGAGGAAAACTTGAGAATTAGGAGTAATCTTTCAAATTGAGACACGATATTCACATGTGTCACTTTTTTTTGCTATTGTAACAGAGCTAAAGAAAAATAACCATAACATCGAAAATGAACTGAATTTCTTCTTAGCAAGTTTCAATCTTTACTTGACCCTAAACTATTCATATATAATTCTATTTTTTCATCTATATTTGAAAAATTAGCCGAACTATGGTACGTTCTTTTTTATGGTGAAATCTTTCTTTGGTATGATATTAGTTTATTTTAACGTCATGAACCATATTCATGTTCTTACTTTTACCAACTTTTATAATAAACATATGATTGTATCTGAATTGATAACAACATTATAGAATAGTATTTGTAGAGAGAAAAGGTCAATTTAAATCCTGGAAACGCCTCTCATGGTTACTATAATATATAGTGATGCTAATTTTGGTTATTTTTTATGGATAGAAATTTCGGTGATCGTTAATCTAAATAGTTTGTAACATACTGTAGTTACATTTATTTTAAATTTAAATAATCTGAACACCTTTTTGATTCTACTTTAATGTACTAAATTAGAAGATAAACAAACTTATTCATACATAACAAGCAAATTAGAGGTTCTGTTTATTTCAATTTTCAAAATTATTCAAACTTTTAAGAGGTTTCACCAAAAAAAATTTATAATAAATCACCCGTGTTTTGTTTTCATATGAATCAATGGGTCCTTGCTGAAAAGATTAACATCTAACTTGCATACAAAATAATATCAATAATATTCTTATCTACTATTTACAACTAACCCAAAATTTTAAATTATTTTCTTTCTGTCTTTATATAAGAATTGTGTATAAGCATGTAGCTTATATATCAATTATTTACGACAGAATATTGTTTGAAAATAATGGAACTGGTATTGTGTATTTGCTATTGTTAATAGAATCAACTATTGCTGATATTTGAATTTTCAGGTTTTATATTGTGCAATTTTATGTCTTGTTCTCATTTTTTTAATTTCGCTTTTTACTTGAAGATACATTAATTCTATCACTCAAGTAAACAAAAAAACAAAAGTGATAAAAAAAATTGCATTCCCATTTTAGGCCATAATGTAAAACAAAATTATTAGTAACATAATATACATCAAGAAATAGTGTGAACCACCTCTCACTTAGAACACAATTCATAATGAATTTCGAGGTCGAGTGACCTTTGTGCCAACTGCTTTCTTAAGTCCATTATTTCCAAATTTTCACACAGTAAACTAAGTACTTGTTAACTCATATTTGCCTTATGGAATACCAAGATATTGCAATCTTATTCTATGTAAGATAATATTCTTATTAACGTATTTTTAAATTTCAGATTCCATATCTAGTGTTGGAATGGCCTAATTATTTTGCAAGTTCAATCTTAATAAACTTGTACTTTAGGTACATACTAAAAGTTCCTCTAATATAGTTGACTACTATCTTTAATTCATGGAATGAATTTGTCGATGACTGTGCAACTTTAAATTCTACTTTAGAAACCGCATAGCTTGTACCCGATCTCGCTTTTACACTTTAACAGCGTAATCTGGTAACAAACTATATATCTAAAATGATAACCTCATCTTATGATAATGTCCTACCTAACGACAAATAATAACTGGAATAATTTGCAGAAAAGCTATTCTTATTAATATATATAATACACAAAATACGCTTTTTCGTCTTGTCTATACATACATATATATAAAATTTCACTGAACCGTTGCAATACTTCAGGTGTAAATGATATTCCCATGTTACTATGGGGTACAAATTTAGTTGACAATGGACTTGAAAATAATAAAATATTAAAAAAAATTGTAATTACATGTGGACAATCAATTGTAAAAAGAAAAAGAATGCAATATATATTTATATATTTTTTTGGTTGAAATCAAAATTTTTTATGTCCAGTTATGCTAGCGATGAAGTTCACTATGAATGAAATTACTGGGATTAATGAAGTTTCTTTCTGTGTCTAAAGAAGACGATGGGTATAATAATAATAGTAATAATAATATATAAAGTGGGAGGGAGAATTAATGACGGATGAAGAGGATGAGAAACAAAAAATAAAAAGAGAAAACAAAAGTGTGAGCTTAGGTACACTATGCATCATATAGAACACATATGGCTTAATTCCAGACAACATATAAGTTGGAGACACGACACACTCTTTTTTTCTTGCACTATTTCTAATCTTCGTTGTAGGATTCAGCATCGACAACTTCTGATTGAGAGATGAAAGTAACTTCAGCCCAACCTAGACCCGTAGACTTCTTACCATCATTAACTTGAAGACTGAACTCGTCATTGGAATATTGATAGATGAATGGTTTAGTACCAGCGATACCAGAGACAATGTTCTTGACGAACCCAGGGATTTCTCCCATCACATCAACTCTTTCTACCATATTTTTCAATGGAGCCTCAATTACTGCTGTGACTTTATCCTTTTCCGTAAAAGTTTCATTTTCAATTTGTTCATCAGTGATGTTCTTAGAAATACCATTAAATTCCACTTTAATGTTATGTGGTACAGGCCAGCCAACTTCATCGACCTCTGGATTCAAATGTTCATAGTTGTTATTCAATGAAAGCATCATAACTTCATCCTTAGAAGTGATGACACCTACAGTGACCTTAGTGTTAGCGTATGACTTTGGTGTGATATATTCGATCAACAATGCAGTATTCTCAGGAGTGTGAACATAGACAAAATTCCAAGCTTTAGCGGCATGATGAGGTTTCATACCTTGTAGAGCCATAATAAACATCGAGTAAGCTGGATCATCTACCTCAAAGGTATAAGTACGGTCCTCGTAGACAACTTCGATTTCATCCTCGTATTCCGAATCAGAGTCGTATTCCGAATCAGATTCGTCCTCTTCTTCTTCTTCTTCTTCCTCTTGTTCTTCGTTATCTTCCAAAGTAGTACCTTCAACTTCTGTTGCAAGGACCTCGACTTCATCGACTTCAACAACTTTCTTTACGTTGATAGTACCGTGACAAGAGTTTCTTGGCCAGAATACATGTCTCATAGTACCCCAAGGAACATCCAAGTTATCACCATAGTATGTTGTTGGATCATCACCTGCCTTAGCACCAGGAGTCAATCTAGTAATATACAAATCAACAGTAGATCTTTCACAGACATTTGATACGATATGATAATTTGTATTATCTTCAGATAATTCGATAGATAAATCATCAGCATAAAAATTTGGACCATCTGTTCTAAAATTTTCCAATTTTGTTGAGGTCCAGACGTTAAGATCCTCAGGATTTCTGGAATCATATATTCTGAAAGTAAATTGAGCGGCTTTATGCATAGGAATCACACTAGAGTGAATCACTTGGACAAAACCAGTGATACCTGTCTTAAGATCACTAAAATAGAAGGTGACTGTCTCAACATTAGTATGATCTGGATTTTGCCAGTCAAAGTCCTCACGAGTAGTAGAACGGTATGGTTGCTTTCCTTTCAACTTATCTGCTACGGTATGAATGTACTCTTGACCATATTCTGGTTCAGCAATCCCAGTTACAGCAGATATATTACCTTGAAGCCACTTTAACATAATACGCAAACTATTTTCTCTTTCTTTCTAATTACGATTAGTACGTTTTTATTATCTTTAATAACAATCTCTACTTAATCACAACAACTCTACAATCACTCTCACACGTCTCTCTATACTTCTATATATATATGTTTCTCTCAATTGTGTCGTGGGCCCTTGCTCTTCCTATTCAATTCAACAGAAGAGGCGTATATCACGAAATTCCCTTGTCTCAATGGGTGATGAGCAAAACATTCAACTTTTTTTCGTTCTTTTTTTTTCTTTCTTCTTCTTTGGTGGTAGACTGTTGAGAGCCGTGCCAAGTGATGTGCGATAGAACTTTGCAAATATAATTTCGTGTAAAGTGATGATTTATGCCGATTTTGAATTTTCTCAAAGTTGAAGGAATCTCTCTAAGTATTATTTAATTGGAAGGAAGCGAGCAGTTATGAAAACAGGGGAAATCAGAGGCAGAGTCATAAGAAGAAAAGATTAAGACTAACAGTACTTTTGTCAGTGATTAAGCAAGTGTGGAGTTTATTTATACTGTGTCGTTTTCAATTGTTATCTGTTCAGAAGTATTGGAAATATTATCAGAAAAGAAATGACTACGTTTTGGAGACAAGCCGTCGAGACAATTAGTACCAGACAGTTTGTTAGAGGGTTACGTACACATGCATTGGCACATTTGAAAAGAGATGCTCCTTTAGAAGGACTGATGAGTGCTCAGGGTTTACGTACGGCATGGTTTGATAGGAGTGAAGATTATGTGAGTCGATTGAATCAACTAACCAAAAATAATGCAGAATTACAAGAGATGGCTCCCGAACAACTAGTGACTACTCATGCAAAATCAGCTAATAAGAAAGATATAGTGACATATGCATCGTTATTATATAATTTAGAGTTTGCGATGTCCTCATTGCAAGGTACAACAAAGAAAATGATGGGATTGGGAGAGAAACCGGGAAGTGAAGCATTATTAAGAACCCCTGATGCTTCAGTTTCATTTACTAACGAACCTCAAACTACTGGTAATCATTTACTACAACAGGAATTGGTTTCTTCGTTTAGATCGTTAGTAGAATTCAGAACGTTATTATTAAACTCTAATCTTGCAATCTCCGGAGATGGGTTCACATGGTTAATTGCTAGAAAATACAAAAATACATTTGGTAATACTAGTGATCCAATGTCTGCCACTGCAGGTTCCAATATTCAATACGATAAATTGTTTATAATGAATACTTATAACGCGGGTTCACCATTTAATTTCGACAGAAGTGGTCTTATGGATCAATTGAAAAAAGAACATTTACAATCTCAGTCTCAATCTCAAACACAAACGATCGATAATGAAGTCTCTTTGTTAGAACGTGCAAGACGGACTGCATACGATAACGACACTGTATATATCCCATTATTAGCTATCGATGCATCCCCAAAAGCCTGGTTAACTGATTACGGAGTTTTCGGTAAACAAGAGTACCTTGACAGAGTATGGGAATCTATTGATTGGAGGGTTGTTGAACAAAGGCTCCCAAAAAAATCTGCTATTGTATATAATTAAAAACAACAACAACAACTAATTTTAATCTAGGGTGGAGTCAAAATAACAAATAATTATTCTTATCTTTATTCTACCCTATATCATGTATATATATATACTTATATATTATTCTAAGTACGGATCAACGAAAGAGAACAACATAAATAAACAATATGTAATAATATTTTACCAAGTTAATGACATTAGAACGCAGTATACAATATTTTATATATTTATATATAAATGTCCGGAATATAGTTCGCACTTACAAAGCCAAAAAAAGAACAGACATGAACAAATCAAAACAAACCTACCATATCGTGAACGGTTTGTTTACACGCTGTAAGAGGACTTTGTTTTTTTCAGATGGTGTCTTTTTCTCAATGTTTCTTACCACCAACTTTCAGACTTTTTACCCTCTTTAAGAATTTATTCCCTGTAGAACTCTTCTTTGTACCAGAGTCAAAACGAATACTTCCACCTGTATTGCCACCTATATATACATCATCCTCATTATCTCCGAAATTTTTGTTACCATTAAATGAAGAAGTGTTGTTTCTATTCCTACCAAAATCATTCGGCGTATATCCTCCAGATGACGCCGTTGGACGACTACTTATTGTCATGTTTCTACGTATACCGGCATTATTTCCATTCCCATTGCTATTATAACTTGTTTGTCTATATGAAACAGATTGACCTCTTTGTATAGTTCTTGTTGGAGCTGGTGCACCATCCAAAAATGTAGTAGAACCAAGTCCCGAAGTTGTTGGACCATGAACTTTTTCAGCTTTTGATTTTGCATCTACTTGTCTTAAATCATCAATATTAGTTCTAATAGCATCCTTTGATGAATTTGCACCTTTAGCTTGATATAAATCATCATCTGCATCATCGACACCAAATACTTCATCAATAGCTGATTTTTTTCTAAAAGTACCACCAATAGTACTATTTGGACCGTCTGCCGGGAATGCCATCACAGGAGCAGCTTTTGAATTTTTATTTCTATGTGGAGTACAAGCATCAAATGGACCATCATGATGAAATGAACCACCAAATAAACCTGTAACATCTAGTTTATCAATAGTATCAACACCTTTTGCAGGTATCAATTTACTCTTTCTCTTATCACGTTTAGCACTAGATGAAGAACCTGAATGACGGTTTTCACTACCACGACGGTCATGTGGTCTTTCATATGAACTATGACCATGACGTGTTCTAGATCTCTCAGGTCCCGAACGGCTTTCACCACGAGTACTGGATGAAGAAACGTGAGAATTATGTGGACCAGAATGTGAACGTGAGGATCGTTTTTCCTCAGGGTAACTATTACCACTAGTATCTCTTCTATTACGAGATACTTCATCATATGTTGGAGGCATATCACGTAAAGATGTCGGAGTTCTCGTATCATCCAGATTTCTTTCTTTAATATATCTTTGTCTTATTTGGTCCTTTTCTTCCTTTGCAGATACATATTTACCACGATTGTTCTGATTATTATAATCATGGTTACGTAGTTGTTCATTACGACGTTGAACATACTCATCACCACTATCACTTCCACTTTCATCACCATCATCGTCTAAAAATGGATTAGTAGATGATTTACTTGGTGGTGATGTAAAATTCATATCTGAAGAATCAAAACTAGGATTTGATGTTGTAGATTCTCTATTAAATTGATTTCTAGCCCATTCTTGGAACTGTGGATCATGATCATACCTATTTGAATTTGGATCTCCTCCAACTGATGTTCTGAATGGATTAGTAGTGGAGAACGGTCTACTAGTTCCTGTTGAACTTGGTGTTTGCCATGAACTCTGCATTTTTTCTTCTTTCTTTTATATTCTCAATAGAAGACACGTAGTATTTCTCAATAGACGATTTATTCTTGTAACGACTGCTAAGTTTAGTTAGATCGTAACCAATTTTTCGTTTAAAATAAACAAATTAAAAATGAAAGTTGTTTTTTAATAAATAAACACGATCAATCAGTAAATGATAATAAAAAAGTATCTAAAAATAGTTTCTCTGTATTACTTTTTTTACCCTTTGATCTATAACGATTTCAAATAAACAACAACAACTCTAATATATTCTACTCAATCAAGATACTACAAATTCTTTTAAAAACAAATTCAAGTTCTAATTTAAAATTCAAACATTCCAAATCAATAAAAACAGATCCTGTCAAGAGTCTTGGTGCCAATCAATCAGTGGGGTTCCCACCGAAATCAATTCAAATCAAAAAATCAAAAAAAAACACTTCAACTTTCCAAAACAAACGCCTCTTTGGTCCCTTCTATCAGAAATCCACACTCTCACCGCTATCGCTTACGTCGCCTAGCCTCTCTCCACGCTCTCTATTACAAATGCGGTAAAAACAGAAAAATTGATTTTTCAATTTTTTTTCCAATTTTTTTAGAAAATTTTTAGTAATCGCTGAGAGGTTGGTCGTTTTGCACGGCATGCATGTACACATACAATATCTATGTAAATATTTAAATGGGAAGTGGGATGCACTAAGGAATGTTGGTTCGTGGTAACAAGGTAAGCATTGCTTATGAATGTATGAATGTATGTATGTATGAATGAATGTATGAATGTGTTTTATGTAGATATGCTATCTTGATGCGTTCTGTCTAAATGATCATGTTTAGTGCTATGAGGCCCACTAGCGTTGCCATTAGAGTCGATGAAGAGAAGTCCAGTACATAAGAGCACACAATTGGCATCTCTACACCTTTAATGGCTGCGGCACTAATCGTTGTCGATGCTGCACTGGACAAATTGATCGACAGACTATTGAACTGTGTCGATGATGATCTTGTCGTGGATGAAGTTCTAGATGTATCATAAAAGGATCTTGCTGGTGCCGTTACAATACCATTAGAAAAAATCGTAGCCGTATATTGACCTGGAATATTTGAACTTAAAGAGCTCACACTTGCTGGATATAATGTAAGTGAGGAACCATTATATGTCTTGTGTGTAGCAAATGGAATATAGCCAGATTGAATAGCAGCTATCGTAGTATTTATTCCAGAGGTACTTGAACTAGTTGATACACCTTTTGAACTAACAGTGCTACTTTGCTTACTACTAGTAATACTACTGACAATACTAGAGATATCATCAGGAGTATTAGCTTCTGCAAGTGCCACTGTACTACCTTCTAAATCTACCACTAAATAAGCGTTCCTTAAGAAAGATTCTCCAAGCACATTAAAACCGATATAACTATTGGCATAAAGTTTTAAGAAACATGCCGATTGACCATCTGAAAAATGTACAGTTTCATTAACAGATGAATCAAATGTAGTACTTAATAGATGTTGTAAAGGAACCTTTATTGTAACATCATCAAATGTAAAATCAATATGCGCACCAACTGTACCAACATCACATCTAACTAACCATCTATCGACAGATTCAACATATGTAGCACCAATTTGAATAGCAATTTGAATAATTGTATTCACTGGTAAATAACTACCAATAAAACTTGAATCAATCAATACAGGTTCCAAATAATCCTTTGATGTCATATTAAGACTCTCTTTGTCCACATTTGTAATATAAACTGGACCCATTGGTAAAATTGGATACCCTGTACTTGCTACACCTGTATCAGAATCCATAAATGGAATCATATCGAATTGAATAAGATCATTCTTAAACAATAAAGGATCAACCGCACCGAAAATCAATTGTCCACTGTTATCGTTTACAAGATTACCTAACATCGAAGTCTGAACAGATGTTGGATCATTATTTAACCAAAGTGAATAACTAGCACTTTCAATAATATTAGCATCTACTAAACTTTTCATAAAATAAAATTCATCATTATCAAAATTTCTATAATCAATGGCATTACCTGGATATGTAATTAATCCACCAAGTCCTAGAACACCAGAATATAAATTATTTGATTCATTAACGTTTAAAAAATAAGGCTGAGAAATTGTCAAATAATTGTTTGAAAAAGTCACATTTGTAGTAGTATTGTGAATAAATTTTGTAAATGTAGCCGCTGTCTTAGATCCATCGTCTGTTAAGATAGTAATGTTGGGAAAAGTAATTACATCACTCACGACAGTACCATTAACTTCGATACCTTCAATAAAATCTAAACTATATCTTTCACCTGGGTTAATATCTATCGCAGATGATGATTCGTTTCTCATATACAGCGTAGTATCACAATTTGAATGATTACCACATTGACTGTCGTCCTCTCCTGATAACACCCAACTATAAGGATTTGCTGTGTCTAATGCTAAAGCTTGTAATTGACCAGGTGTACCAAATGTTACATTGATAAAATAATAATTATTATTATCTTTACCTACTAATACTGTTGGAAACTGTCGAGTACTGGATCCAACATTTGTAAGAATCTTATCATTTCTTAATTGGAGACAACTCACACTAACTATACATGTGAGCATGCACAGAACAAACGATCGGGGACTTATCGTGAAATTATTATACTTAGTCATGATCAGATATGGAATTTATATCGTTATTGAATTTTTCAAAAAAACAAACAAGCCAGAAGGTGGGAGTAATACACTAGATTGGTTATCGAATGCTGTGTTCTATATCTATAATAATATTTGTAGTGCTTTCCTCTTTCTCTCTTTACAATATATGTGTATGTATATATTGTTTAATCTTAACGCGAGATGTATTTAAATAGTGAAACGAGTTTTACTTCTAGTAGCCAAATAAATAAACACTTTTCTCACACCCTAAAACACTATTTTCTTATCAACAGTTGAATAAGAGTATTATATATGTGTCGATAATGTCTAAGAATTCAAGATAACTAGCTCTCTTATTTCATGAACTAGTAATATATGTAATATGTACATATAATTATTTTCTTGGCTCCTCGCGTATATGGCAGTGAGGATTACTTCAATTTTTTTTTTCACTTTCGCTCTTCGGCGCAGTAGGTATCCGCCACACAGATATTGAAAGACAAAGAGAAAATGAGATACGACTGATTGATTATATAACATTGAAATACGTAAAAGAATATAGAATATGATCATGTATAGTGATAAATATTGTCACAAGAGTAGTTACTTCCGGATGGATATTGGTATTCTTTATGATGTAATCACTGTGAGGAAAATTGATAAGTCGATAAATATTTCTATATATCTTCAATTTTAGGTATTTCTGTTGGAAATGCCAAGAAATCTATATATATATATATATATATATATTTATTTTTGTATAGGAGATGAACAACATTAAATGTGGCGCAATTTGACAGTAATTTTACCGCAGTGAAAACGTGGTGTATTGAGTATCTTGATAAATGGAACTGTAATACTACACACGCTTCGATTTACAGATATAAGACTCTTTTATCACCGGAGAAAAGTTTACTGTATATATGTATTTACATATATACAGTAGGTAGCTAAAAAGTTCGAAGAAAGGACTCTTAGATAGATATTTAGGATTTATTTTGGAATTAATTTTGTTGACATTTTTTCCTTGTTCTTAAATTTTTTTATAGTGATATGTTTTTCTTTATTATTCTGCTTGCATATCAGATTATTTTGGAACAAAGATTGATTTAAATTTTTGTAGAATTAAATAAATGAAGGAGTTTTCGATTAAAGTCAAATTTGTTTTTATTGTTACCTACTAATTCTTTACATTGTGCAAGAGAGGTAAAAGTTAGAGAAAATGAGAAAATGAGAAAAAATATAAAATGAACAAATATAAACAATTCATTAAAAACATTTTTTGTCAGCATTCAGCTCTTACTCTCCACTAATTGGAGGTCGTTAAAGAATATTGGCTGTACTCCCTTTATATTTAGTACCTATATTAAAACTTTTAACAATGAAATACGGTAGTACGATTTATATGAAGATAATAACAGACTGTTGAACTTTACATCACATCAAGATATTCCAAACTGTCCTTTGAGTTCTTAGTCTAAATAAGTAATAATAGATTTGCTGAACCTTATTTCTTTATAAAGAAATAACATACGCTTATTACAAGAAAAAGAATGATAAATGATAAGAAGAAAAGTCGGTGGTTAAAGATCAAAAAATTGGTTTATCTGACTTGGTCTGAGATGAAATGATTCTTATATGAATAAAAAAATAAAGGAATTTCTTACATATATGAAGCTCATGGATTAGCAAAGTCGAAAATATCTATATCCTAAATCTTAGGGGTGTTTGATTTCGGGGTTTGAAAGAGAATCACAAAGAATAAATTGATTAATGATACTAAAACAGTCTTAATACAACTCAAATAGACACGATGCATTATAATATACAAGATAATCCTTCTAATAATATAAACACTTATCAATAGTGAACTCCTTTGTCATCTTTTATAACACACAAAATAAAATTTCAACAAGGTGGAAGTTTCGATTTCTGAATATTACCACATTCTGATGTTCCGATATATACCCATAATGACTGTCAGGTATACAAGAACTTGAAAAGTTGACCATTTGATGTTCTGGCTTTGGATATCTAAAAAATGGTTTTAGTTGTTGCCTTTTTAATAATAACAATGAGGTTATTTTACGATAAAAAGGGGGAGGGAAATGTGCGTTATAATTTATAACTCATATTTTAAGCTTAATTGGTAGCAGACTGCTATTAAATTAACGGTTAATATAGCTAAAATATATTAAGTATATGTTATATTGTTAACTTTAAAATTTATACCACAAATTCGATTGCAATATGGAATTAAATCTAGTTCAAGTTCAATAACCTAATTATCAAATAAAGTAACAAATAGTTCACAAAAACAACACTTTTAAAGTTATCAGGATAGTTGATGTGCAAAGGTTTTAGAAATTTTATTTTCATGTACTTTCTAAAACTTTCCTCTATTTATAATGGGTTTAATGTAAATATTAGAGAATTGAAGTTAAAAAGTTGATCCTTTCTTATGGCCAAATTCTAATTTTTTTTCCAGAATTTATATGCTTTTGTAGCTCAGTCGGAAGAGCGTCAGTCTCATAATCTGAAGGTCGAGAGTTCGAACCTCCCCAAGAGCATGTTTATTTTTTTTCGCGAAATTTCCTAAATTGGAAGGCGTCACATGACTGGCGCGTTTTCATAGTCAAAGTAATATATTTTATTTTTTGAAAAATATAGAAATTGATGGCCTTTTAGGTATTTGAAAATAAGCAATATCAACATTATACATATTAGAACTCAATAACAATCTTCAATTAGTAGTAAAAGGATTTTAAGACTCCATCCATCGTTCATTATTTCGATATATAACGAACATTGTAATAATAATATTTATTAAGTTAATAACGAGGTTGACAAAGAAGTCTAAATTAATTTAAATAGCAAAGATGTCTGCCGTTGACAGCATTAGTCTCATCGAAACAAGACTTAATGAAGAGAACGCAAATCTTCAGACAAAATATGCAATTCTATCAGAATTATGTGATATCCTTGATGGTGGGTCCAGAGAGGAGTATGAATTGTTTATGAGTAAGATTGTTCCTATCCTTTTAGTCAATTTAAATGAGATACCAATATCATTAAATAAGATATCTACCGAACATAAATTGAGATACTTTATTTTGGACATCTTAAACAGATTTTTAATGGCACAAGCCGCGGATGAGGATGTTCATAAGATTTTAGATATACTACTGAAGATTTTACCTGAAGAAAACGAAGAAAACGGTGTTTTATGTATGAAGATTCTTACTGTATTATTCAAGTCTTACAAAAATACTTTACAAGAGAAAGTTGAACAATTTATTACTATAATTATCCAATTTTATAAGAATGCCCCAGAATTGGTAAAAAAAGAATTCGAATCTGATGAGTCCAATGATGGTATAATTTCAGATGCTGACACGAGTGATCATAATTTACTTGATCCTGATGTCGATGAAGAGAAAGAGGAAATCTCGAAGTCTGACGATGAAATCCAGAATAACGGAATAAACGGCGACTTAGACAGCAACAGTACTTCCGTTTTAAGAACAACAATGTTTTCCTTTAAAATTCTGTCCGAATGCCCTATAACAATGGTCACTTTATATTCTTCTTACAAAAATTTAACAAGTTCATCACTGCTAGAATTTACACCATTAGTCATGGAATTATTAAGAACAGAAGTAGACCAACAGAAAGAAGCTCGTCGAAAGGCAGAAGCAAATGGTAGGAGACTAACATCTGTTACCTCGGAAATCAAGAATAGAATAACTTACAGCGAATTGATTCTTGCACAAATAAAAGCCACCTCATTTCTGGCGTATGTTTTTATTAGAGGATATGCTTCTGAATATTTAAGTGAAAATGCTGAACTAGTGCCTGATTTAATAGTTAGACTGTTACAAGATTGTCCATCCGAACTATCATCTGCCAGAAAAGAATTACTTCACGCTACCAGACACATTTTATCGACAAACTACAAATCTTTATTTTTAAAGAAACTAGATTATTTATTTGACGAAGATGTTTTAATTGGTCATGGATTCACCACTCATGAGGTACTAAGACCCTTGGCATATAGTACCGTTGCAGATTTCATCCACAATATTAGATCAGAATTACAGTTAAACGATATTGAAAGGACAATTAAAATGTACACTGGTTATCTATTAGATGAATCACTAGCCTTAACTGTCCAAATTATGAGTGCTAAATTATTGCTAAATTTAGTAGAAAGAATTCTCAAGTTAGGAAAGGAAGAGCCAACTGACGCCCCCAAGGCTAAGAAATTATTGATGGTGATTATTGACGCATACACCAAGAGATTCAAGATGTTGAATAGACAATATGGCTCAATCATGGAACACCACAAGGCATACACCAAAAACAAATTAGAGAAAGTTAAATTAGCCCAAAAATCTTTGAAGACTGAAGATATCAACCCTGACACCCAAATGAAGGATATATTTGGCGATTCAACCGACAAATCAACAGTGATAGCTAAATCAAACGACGAGGTCAATTGCGAAAAGAATAATACGAGTGATGATAAAGACGGCGACACCAATATGGAAAATGATGAGAATGCTACAAATAAATCACAAGTTGTTTTGGATATTTATAACATCAATGAGTATTACCCCATTCTTCTTGCCCCTGTGTCAAGTGGTGACCCAATTAAAGATGCCTTTTATCTTTACCGTACATTAATGTCCTTTTTGAAAACTATAATCCATGATCTAAAGGTATTTAATCCACCACACAATGACTATACTGCAGCACACGCCAAACTGTGGACCTCTGTTTCTAGAGGATTTTATTATGAAGAAGTTTTAATGTTTAGAGAGCTGTTCCATGAATGTGTAGTTGGATTAAAATTTTTTGCAAGTACGAATGAAAAAGCTATTGTACATCCCAAAAAGCACTTTGACATCGCTATGCCTAGCCTCCCAGTTTCTGCTACAAAGGATGGTCGTGAATTGATGGATTATCTGGCATTTATGTTTCTACAAATGGATAGTTCGACATTCAATGAAATCATCGAAGCTGAGATTGATTTCATATATGAGCGTATGTTGGAAGATTCCGCTTTGCTACATATAGCCCAATCATTTTTAACGAATGAGCTAACTTCACCGAACTTTGCTAGCATAATACTTAGATTTTTGAAATCAAAACTAAAAGACCTTGGAAATGTCGATTTTAATGAGTCTAATATCCTTATCCGTTTATTTAAATTGTCATTCATGTCAGTTAATTTATTTCCAAACACTAATGAACTTGTATTATTACCACATTTAAATGATTTAATTTTAGACTCATTAAAATATTCCACAACTACAAAGGAGCCACTCGTATATTTCTATCTTATTAGAACTCTATTTAGAAGCATTGGTGGGGGTAGATTTGAAAATCTATATAGATCTATCAAGCCCATATTACAAGTTCTACTTCAGTCACTAAACGAAATGATACCCACAGCAAGATATCCACATGAAAGAGAGCTATATGTTGAATTATGCATCACCGTGCCTGTCAGGTTGAGTGTTCTTGCACCTTATTTACCATTTCTGATGAAACCATTAGTGTTTGCTCTACAGGGGCATGCAGAACTGATATCTCAAGGGTTAAGAACTCTAGAGTTGTGTATCGATAACCTGACTGCTGAATACTTTGATCCAATAATCGAACCAGTGATCGAGGATGTAACCAAAGCTCTGTTTAAACTATTGAAACCACAACCTTACAATCATACAATTAGCCATACTACAGTGAAAATTCTAAGTAAACTTGGGGGTAGAAATCGTCGTTTCCTAAGAGCCCCTCATGACTTAAAAGAGGGCAATGAGCTAGACCTAGAGATAAATGCTTTATTTAAGGTCAATGGCTTGACCGAAGATATCCCGCTATCTGTTACACCTGCAATTAAAACGGCGTTAGATACATTAGAAAATTATAAATCAAGTGTTGAATATAAAAGAAGTGCTTTTAATTATATATCAAAAGTTTTGTTATTGTTTATCAAACCTTCAACAGACTTCCCAGAATCTTATGTTAGTGATATCAAAGAAGCATCAAGGATTTATCAAATAGAAAAATTTAAAGTTCCTGCGGATTATAATATTTATCCTGTTGTTGACCGTAACACCTTCTCTAAACAAGAGGAATTGGTTGTGAAACTTTTGGAAGCCCTGTTTTTAACTACATCTATAGACGAATTAAGAGAAGAAGCTACTGCCATTATTAATCATGTTGTGGACCATTTCTGCCTATTACAGGTCAACAATACCCTGCTTAGAAAGAGACATATTAGCAATACATTTAACCTTGATATAAAGCTTCCTGACCTATCATTCAATAGTAACATTCTAGTTACGGCCGTTTCCACAGCTCTATCGTGTTACATGCTCCCTGTCAGAGAAGCTGCTATCAACGGAATTAAGAGAATTAACAAAAGATGTATGATAATTTACGAAGAAAAATCTGTATTCCAATTTTCTCTGCTTTATGATTTGATGAAGCAATTTATGCATGATTGTTATAAGGAGAAGTTTTATGAGAAAAAAGCGGGTATAATTGGTATAAAAACGCTTATAGAAGAAACGTGTGTATCAGCAGAGGTACTGAAAAAACTCCAACCAGACTTAGTAGCCGGATTTTTGTTTGTGCTCAAGGATACTCCAGTCGGTGCACCTGCCACAATCACTGAAGGTGCTGAAGAGTTACTGAATCAGATATTAGTGCTAACATTCGATAATGTCACGGAAGCTGATCTTGAACTGAAAGGTATTCAACATACGTTAACTGATATTGTCTGCGAATTAGGGAATCCAAATGAAAAAGTTAGAAAAATATGCCAATCGAACCTTTCGATCATCAGTGAGAAAACTGACATTCCTATTGTTAAATTAATGGATAAATCCAAAAATTTTCTTCTTTCACCTATCTTTGCAAAACCTTTAAGGGCACTCTCATTTACAATGCAAATCGGGAATATTGACGCAGTTACATATTGCTTAGGTCTTCCAGATACATTTTTAACCTTTAATGAAGAATTATTCAGGCTTCTTCAGGAAGTTATCGTTTTGGCAGATGCTGAAGATGAGTCGTTATCAACCATTCAAAGAGCAACAGAATACGGAACATCAGAACAACTAGTTAAATTAAGAATAGCATGCATTAAGTTACTTACGTTAGCCTTGAAAAATGAAGAGTTTGCAACAGCACAACAGGGTAATATTAGAATAAGAATATTAGCAGTTTTCTTCAAGACAATGCTTAAGACATCGCCTGAAATTATTGACACCACATATGAGGCTTTAAAAGAGGCACTTGCAGAAAATTCGAGACTTCCAAAGGAATTGTTACAAAATGGTTTGAAACCAATGTTGATGAATTTATCTGACCACCAGAAACTCACAGAATCTGGACTATACGCGTTATCAAAACTACTAGAACTTTTAATTGCCTACTTTAAGGTCGAAATCGGTAAAAAGTTACTGGACCATTTAGGAGCGTGGTGTACATTTGAGGTTCTTGATAATATTTTTGGCCTTGATATAATAAATCAAACTCCAACAAAAATCATATCTAGTATCATAAACATCTTCCATCTTCTCCCACCAAGGGCAGATATGTTTTTGAACGATCTTATGGTTAAAGTGTTATTTTTGGAGAGAAAACTGAGATGCCATTTAGATTCACCTTTCAGAACTCCTTTAGCAAAGTACCTCAATAGATTCCATACTAATGTTATTGAATATTTTAAACGTAACTTGGCTCCAAGACAGCTAACATTATTCATGTGCAGCATTATCAAAAGACCCGAGGCAAAAGATTTAGCCACTGACTTTGAAAATGAAATGTTAAACTTTTACAATTATTATATTGAAAATATACCGTCCAATGAAGTAAGAGTTGTCAGCTTTTTTGCTAATATGGTGGATTTATTCAACACAATGATCCAGATTAAGGGAATAGAATGGTTAAGGGGCCAAGAAGATATGATTTTAAAGTTACAGTCCATGCTTACTCTCACATTAGATCTTATTAAGAAAAAATCCTTCTATATCGATGGATTACAATTGAGTCAAGCAATTGAAAAGTATGAAAATATTCATCTCGAATATATTAAATTTCATCCTGAAAAAAGTACACTATTATTTGAATTTATTCAATATACCTATACCAAAGATATTTCAATTTCAAACCAAATCGAAGATTATATATTTTCTCAGATTGTTAAGAATGACGATGCGGAATATCAAGCCTCTAGTATTCAAGACGCCCTGACATTTGCTTTAGACAGTAATAACTTAAAAACTCGCGTATTTTTGTTTAAAAAAGTTATTAACGCTAGTTTAATATTTGATGCTGTGACATACGGCTCATTGGATAGGTTGATAGGTAATAACAGTAGCTCCAAGCTAGTGGAAGATGTTGCATTGCATGTTTGGAAAAGTAAAAATGAAGGTTTACTTTCGAATATTGCTGGTGAACTAGACGGTTTCAGGTTTGAATTACTTCAATTATCATCTATATTTATGAAATGGAAACCAACAGCATTGGATGAATACAAAAAAGACTTTATCAAATTCAATTGGCATTTTATTAAATTGGAGGATACACTTTTGAAACAAGCTGCGTATTTAACAACCTCTTTTATTATCAAGGAATATGATTTCCCATTGAATGTCGTGGTTCAGATATTTGTCGCGCTATTAAGAAGTCCTCAGACAGAAGCCCGTTTCCTTGTTAGTCAATCATTAGATTTGTTAGCTCCAGTGGTCCACAATAAAACAATCGAGACAGACACGCCAAATGACTGGGTAAGCTGGGTTAAAAGAGTGATGTTCGAAAACTCCTCAAACCAGAACAGCACCTTATATCAGTTTGTGATTAATCATCCTGATCTATTTTTCGAGTCACGCCACCTATTTATTTCAAACATTGTCCACCGTATGAACAAAGTTACATTTATGCATAATGTTAACCCTGATACTCAAATATTATCTATTGACCTTGCCTCACTTATATTGAAATGGGAGGAAATGGATTTGGCTATAAATAAGAAGTCTAGTGTGGATGCCGATGGTGACATTGACATGGACACTAGCACTGTTGCAGAAAGTGTGAGTACGACGGCAGCACCGGCAGTACCAAGAAGTTCTATTTCGCTGAATCTACGGGAGACTTGCATATCTTTCCTAATACGTTATATCTGTGCAAGTGACCATAGAGCCATTGATAATGAACTTGGTGTAAGAGCAATCAATATTCTTTCAACATTGTTATCTGAAAACTACTGGTCCGATGTAAATGTAAAATTATCCTATTTTGAAAAGTACTTATCAAATATAGACTCAGGTGCAGAAAATACCGTGTACTATTGTATTAATACACTGGACGTTCTATACATTTTTTTTAACAATAAACCAAATGCGTGGGTTATAGAAAATTTAACGACAATTCAATCGCTCCTAGACAAATCAATTAAGACAAATCATCATGACATTCAAGAGACATTGGTCAAGGTACTTAACACCATATTAAAAACAATTAAGACGGAAAATACATTATTAAATTCAGAGGAGGAGAACCCATCATCAGAGTTCATAAAATATTTAGTATCCGTGATCAATCAAGATTTACAAGGTGCATCATCGATAGCAGCCGGGGTAACGCTTGCATGGACACTATTCGTAAATTTCCCAGAGCATGTGGATTCACTGTTGAATTCACTCATGAAATCATTCAACAAGCTTTGTAAGGACCACCTAAGTACTTCTCAACCAAAGGATGCTGTTACAATGGAAGAAGCCAAAATAACTACAAAATTACTTGAGAAATTACTGTGTTTACTGTCAATGAAAATTGCTTCTTTAGGAGATACTCGCCGGCCCTTCTTGTCTACGATTGCACTACTTATCGACCGTTCGATGGATCAACGTTTCCTAAAGAAGATAGTATGTTTATCCCGGACATGGGTTTTCAACAACGAGGTATTCCCTACAATTAAAGAAAAAGCTGCTATATTAACAAAAATGTTGGCTTTCGAAGTGAGAGGAGAACCTTCTCTTTCTGCTTTGGTATATGAGATCGTTCTAGAACTATTTGAAAACAAGCAATTTAACAATACTGAAATTACTGTAAGAATGGAACAGCCTTTCCTTGTTGGTACCAAGACTCAAAATATCGAAATTAGACGAAAATTTATGAAAATTTTGGAAGGGAGTCTGGAAAAGGATGTAAAGGAACGTCTTTATTATGTTATCCGAGATCAAAATTGGGAGTTTATAGCTGACTACCCTTGGTTAAATCAAGCGCTACAATTATTATATGGTGCATTTGACGAAACTCACAACTTGACTTTGATTGACACCTTTGAAATATCATCACCAAAACAGCTGCACGAATTTCTTCCAGAAGATACCAAACCTACTGATTTTACAGATCCAAGTGACGCTGATTCAAAATTAATCAACTTTATTAACGAGCACACCTCTGCATTGAAGAAATTATGCGATGTTTCTGCTGGCGACATATTTAGACCAATGATCGAATTATTCTACGAAGATCCAAATTCTATTCAGAAAGCTTGGGTAAACATATTCCCGCAGATTTATAAGTGCATTCCACGAAATGAGCAATACGGATTTGTTCGCTCATTAATAACTTTACTTTCGAAACCTTACCATTCTAGACAAATGTTTAACAAACCAAACGTTATTTCAATATTGCTTGCTTCAATTAGCGATATCGAAAGCTTAGAAATTCCACCACACCTTGTTAAATACCTGGCAATGTCCTATAATTCATGGTACCAGTCTTTGAAAATTTTAGAATCCATCCAGGAGAATAATTCTATCGATAACTCAAAGATTATAGAGGCCAATAATGACGCATTACTAGAACTATACCACAATCTTCAAGAAGATGATATGTTCTATGGTTTGTGGAGAAGACGTGCTAAATATAACGAAACTAATGTTGCATTGTCGTATGAACAGATTGGCCTATGGGATAAAGCTGAGCAACTCTATGAAGTCGCACAAGTGAAGGCACGTAGTGGTGCTCTACCTTACTCTGAATCGGAATATGCATTATGGGAGGACAACTGGATTTTGTGTGCTGAAAAATTACAACAATGGGATATACTAACAGAACTGGCTAAACATGAAGGATTTACTGATTTATTATTAGAGTGTGGTTGGAGAGTTGCCGATTGGAAATCTGATAGAGAAGCACTGGAACAATCTGTAAAAAGTGTAATGGATGTTCCAACTCCAAGAAGACAAATGTTCGAAACTTTCTTAGCATTACAGAATTTTGCCGATACTGGAAAGGGTGATCAAGATATTAGAAGATTATGCGACGAAGGGATTCAATTAAGTTTACACAAATGGGTGTCGCTTCCTGATCGTTATACAAACGCTCATAAATGGTTACTACATGGTTTCCAACAATATTTGGAATTTTTAGAGGCAACTCATGTTTACACTATTCTTCATTCCACCACTGCTCAAAATATTGATTCTAAGGCCCAAGAAGTGAAGCGTGTCTTCCAAGCATGGAGGGATCGTCTACCTAATATCTGGGATGATATAGATCTGTGGAATGATCTTGTAACGTGGAGACAACATGTCTTCCAAGTTATTAACAATGCTTACTTACCATTAATCCCATCACTGCAACAAAACAACAATAACAACATAATAAACACACATGCTTACAGAGGTTATCATGAGTTAGCCTGGATAATTAATCGCTTTGCCCATGTTGCGCGAAAGCATGATATGCCAGAGGTATGTATAAGTCAACTGGCTAGAATTTACACATTACCAAATATCGAGATCCAGGAAGCATTTTTGAAATTGCGCGAACAAGCTAAATGTCACTACCAAAACATGAATGAATTAACCACCGGTCTTGATGTTATCAGTAATACAAACTTGGTTTACTTTGGTACCGGCCAAAAAGCAGAGTTCTTCACACTTAAAGGTATGTTTTTATCCAAATTGCGGGCATATGATGAAGCTAATCAAGCATTCGCAACCGCAGTTCAGATTGATTTGAATTTGGCAAAAGCATGGGCCCAATGGGGTTACTTTAATGATAATAGACTTTCAGAAGAACCTAACAATATTAGTTATGCAAGCAATGCTCTAAGTTGCTATTTACAAGCTGCAGGTTTGTATAAAAATGAAAAAACAAGAAACCTTCTGTGTCGTATCCTATGGTTGATAAGTATTGATGATGCATCCAATTCATTGACTAATGCATTTGATTCCTTCAGAGGTGAGGTTCCAGTATGGTATTGGATAACATTTATACCACAGCTTTTGACATCGTTATCACACAAGGAAGCCGGTATGGTACGTCAAATTCTAATCAGAATTGCAAAAAGTTATCCTCAGGCGCTTCATTTCCAATTACGTACAACTCGTGAAGACTTTGCAGTTATCCAAAGACGTACGATGGCAGTTTTAGGCGAAAAAGGTGAAGCAAACAATTTGCAAGAAAATACAGCCCAACGTCAACCATGGGAACACCTTCAAGAATTAAGCAATATATTAAAGACTGCGTATCCATTACTTGCTTTATCACTAGAATCCTTGGTAGCTCAAATAAATGAAAGATTCAAAACGAGTCCTGATGAAGACCTATTCAGATTGATCAATGTTTTATTAATTGACGGAACTTTCAACTATGGACGTTTACCTTTACCTCGTGCCAATTCACAGCTTCCATCTAGTACAGAGACAAACCTAGTAAGGTTATCCGAAACATTATTGGATCCACATATTAGGCCAAAGTTCAATGCTGATTTTATTGATAGTAAACCAGATTTTGAAACATATATCAAGAGATTACGCTATTGGCGCAGAAGATTAGAAAATAAATTAGATAGGACGCCTAAAATTGAATACCTAGAAAGGGTATGCCCCAACTTGAGTAGTTTCCATCATCAGAAGTTTGAAGATATCGAAATACCAGGGCAGTATTTATTAAACCACGAGAGTAACGTCCATTTTATTAAAATTTCAAAATTTTTACCTACAGTTGATTTCGTACGCAGTACATTAGTCTCATATAGGAGAATCAATATACGTGGTCATGATGGTAGTATCCATTCATTCGCGGTTCAATCACCAGCTGCTAGACACTCAAGACGGGAGGAAAGAATGTTCCAGTTGTATAGGTTGTTGAATAAACTACTTGATAAGAATGTACAATCAAGACGCCGGAATTTAAAGTTTACATTACCTATAGCAATTCCCTTGTCACCACAGGTCCGAATTATGAATGATAAGTCATCATACGTGACATTACACCAAATGTACGATGAATACTGTATGAGAGCTAACATCAATCCTGATGAAATCCAGCAGTTTGTGAACGACCAACTAAATATCGCACATGATAAGTCATTACCACCTCCTGATATTACACTTGTTAAGATGGAGATATTTAGCTCCATTCATTCAATGTTTTTACCTACGACTGTTCTAAAGGACAGCTTCTGTGCACTATACCCAGAGTTTGAGGATTTCTGGCTCTTACGCAAACAATTTACCTCCAGTTATGGTACGGTCACATTTATGACTTATATGATGATGATCAATAACCGTACACCAAGCAAAATATTTGTTGACAAGCAATCTGGTGATGTGTTTACTTTGGAAATGTTACCATCGAGATACCCATTCGAGAGAATTAAACCACTATTCAAAAATTTAGAATTGAACTTACCTCCTGATGCTCCAATTTTCCACAATAACGAGCCGGTACCTTTCAGATTAACACCTAATATTCAGAAATTAATTGGGGATTCTGCACTTGAAGGTATTTTTGCAGTTGATATATTTACGATTTCAAGAGCGTTATTAGAACCAGAAAACGAACTAAACAGTTACTTGACTTTATTTATCCGTGATGAAATTATTTCATGGTACAGTAATATGCACAGACCAATAGTTGAAAACCCTCAATTACGTGAAATGATACAATCCAACGTCGATTTGATAATTAAAAGAGTTTCTCAACTTGGCCACTTAAGCTCAACTCCAACAGTTACAACCCAATATGTTCTAGATTGTATCAGCGCAGCCGTGAACCCTAGAAACTTAGCCGGTACAAATATTAGTTACATGGCCTGGTTTTAATAATGTCACGTTTGACATACAATATTATACTTTTTTTCCTCCTCTTGTATTAACATGGTTAATATTAGAATTACATATTTTTGTTGAACTTAATTACTGTTCAATTTTGTATATTATAATTTATAAACATATTTACTTATTAGATTATTGAAGAACATAATTTTATTATTATTTTTATAATTGCATCACTATCTTTTGGTACTGATAGTAATTTATTAAAGTGTGCTTAGAAATTTATGAATATTAACGTTTTGTAAGAGACATTTTTCATATCTCGTGTATTATGTACAAAGAATATTTATATTTGTTTAACAAGTGAAAGTAAATTATGTACATTGTCATCAGAGGTATCGTCTTCATCAAACATAAGGGAGTTGATTTCGTCTTCAAAATTATTAACACCAGCATTCATATCATTGTTTTCTAAAACCGTTGCAGATAATTCCTCTGGTAAGACCCAATTGTATTGTGCCGCGACACTAACAATAGTGCGATGCATAATTGGAAATTTACAATCAATAATCTTATTATACCAGGAATGCGCTGTCTCTATATCACCCCATTTGAGGTATCTTAATATCATAGAAGTGCATATCTTAAAGGTAAGCGGAATATTATTTTGCTCCATGCATGTTAAAACCTTTTCCACCTGTATTGGGGTCAAACCCAAGTTATCATAAAGGACAATTGAAAAAGGACAATCCTTCCCCTTATTTCTAATCTTTTTTGCAAATGGTTTTGAATAAAAATCTAATAGAAGTTCATATGCTAGTGTCTTATCAGCCAAGTGGGATAAAACACTTGAAATAAAACATTTAATTATTCGGGAATCATTTTTCCATAAATACCGTTTCTTAAAGTTTGCTTCCATGAATATAACGTAATTCATATACAATTGAATTAAGAATTCTCGGTATGACTGTTTGGACATAGTAAGAGAGCTGGTAGAAAAAATAGAGCTATAAAGTTCTGATAGTGGTAAAGACAGTTCTTCAAGTTCACCATACAATGAACTTGGTATTAGATTTGACATTCCTTGAATATCTTTTCTAAGTACCTCTATTGATAATTTGCGTCCATTGGTAGAGTGAAATATGGTTCCCCAAAGTCCCAAATCATTAAGAAGTTGACCAGGATCTGGTTTCTTAATGGCAGATACCAGGAATTGACACATTAATTTTGGATCATTAAAATATCTTAAAGACAGTACCAATTCATTTAAGATCATATTTTTGAACATGAATGTTTTTGGAATCTTGGTCAAATCACCAAGTGACGATGCCAATTGGAAAATAGCATCCTGATTTCTTTTAACACGTAATAAACGAAATATTTGAACTATTGGACGATGCATCAGTTTACCAAAACTAGCCTCGTCAATATATGGAGTATTTTTCATAAATATTATTAATGAATTAAGCAAAGACGTAAATTGTTTTGTATCCTCTAGTTTTGCAGTGATTGCGAGCATCTGAACAGCAAATTTTACAAATTGTATTGCCAATTGCTTCCCATTATCATTACCACCTTGACTTGTGACAGACTTGTAGTGGGAAAGTTTCTTCACCAATGCTTGCAAATAGAAGGATAAATTAGATTGCGAAAGAGTATCTTTTTTATTCTTTTTAATAGTTAAATTAATGATATTATACATATCATAAAAATTATGTAACTTAACAAATTTATCCATAGTTATATCTGGTGACGGAAATTCTTCTGGTCGCAAAAGGAAATAATCAAAAGTAACTAGCTGATACTCTAATTCAGAACCTTGGATTAGCCTGGTTGTAAATAGTCTTGAATATTCTCCCGCAGATAAATTCACATCGTTCTGTATTAGAAACATATAATGTTGGAAGCTACTCGTCTTTGGAAGATTCATATAGAACCACTTATGAACTACATCTGGGACTACTAAAGAGGCACCAGGTTTTGTAGATGAAAATAGTGTATTTTGAGCATATATAGCTTCATATAATGATTTCGCTGTTTTCTCAATAGTGCACTGATCCGAACGATCTAGTAGTAACTGCAAATAATCTGTAAATAGCTTGTATTGATAGCGTGAAACACGAGATTGCAATATCATATTAAGATAGAAAGGATTATCAGAAGTATTTATCAAATTGTTCTCAATTTTATTATATTCTTCAGGGAATTGGGTCATCAATAAATCTTTCACCATCTTTGTTCCTTTCACATCTTGAGCGGTTACAAACCATCTACCCAACCTAGCCAAATCTAATGACTTTTGTTTCAATAGGGATTCCCTAGGTAAAGTTTTCAACCACGTAACAATATCAATTCCAGTAGTTATGGTAGTGGCCATCGTTGCCTTTGTTGAATTACCACGCACAGCAGTCAGAAACAATCGGCGACCATAGTTCCATTCTCGCTGAGATAGTACTCTTCTAGGTAAATTCATCACACAATCGATCTACAAGGTAATGTCATTAAATAATGCTCTATTATGTCTTCTTCTTCATTTCTCTCTTATTTCTGACTCCTTCTTTAAATAGCCTATACATAAATAACAATCGGTAAATTTAATATTTAAACATATTTTGTTATCTCGAAAAATGAGTGTTTGTTCGGCTGTAACAATTCTAAACAAGTTCCAAAATATATAAAAATTAGATCAGAAGAGACATCGATAAGACGGTTGAATACACTTCTTAAGACCCCGTAGATCTCCGAGTATATACCCAAACAATATGCTGAATTACGGTTATACACAAAAATTTAGTGAGGTGATGGTCCTTGAACACCACAAGAATGCGACTCAATGTATGCAATCATATTGGCCTCTCATCTCTGATATTAGTGGATCGATCTCTTTCTTTGGTTCATTTGTATCTCTATTCCCACAAATCATAGAGACTTATAGAGATAAGAGTGTTGCTGGGTTATCGCCGTTGTTTCTATTATGCTGGCTTTGTGGTGATATTACATCTTTGGCTGGAGCCCTCATGACTCACCAGCTTATGTTTCAAGTGATATTAGCCCTATATTTCTTATTAAATGATTCTTTCGTTTGTGGACAATATTACTACTATGGGATTCTCTATAAAAATACTTTAGCTACAGTGGGTCACGAACCAGGCCCTGTACTTTCACAGTTACCAAACGTCATTGAAAACGGTGGTTCTGTTATAACAGCAGACCATTTAGAGAGTTTATTAGAAAGTACCGCATCACAAGAGGCTAATAATATGGGAGATATTGAACGTACAACATCCAGAGGTACTCGTGGAAGTAATCGTAGCAGACGAGGTCTGTTAATTGCTGCCGTATCCATTGCTAATCAAGTCCATAGTGCCAACGCGTGGGATGGTCATACTACAGTAAATAGTCCCGGTAGTGGAACAGTATTATCGTGGCTTGGAGCATTCTTCTACGTTGGTGCACGTATTCCACAATTAATCAAGAATTATCGTCGTAAATCTACAGACGGTCTATCCCCATTACTTTTTGCAACAACACTTCTTTGCAATGTCACATATTGTATGTCAATTTTCTCTAGTTGTAGATTCATTGACTCTACAGATAAATGGGGTTTCTTCGATAACGCTTTACCGTTCATCATTGGCAGTGCAGGGACAGTAGTATTTGACTTAATATATTTTTATCAGTACTACGTATTATATGCCAGAGATACTACATTGAGAGCCCTTGAGCGTGAAATATACGATGAAGGGTCCGATGAAGGATCTGATGACAACATGGATGATAATGAAGAAACAGCGTTGTTGAGAACATAGATTTCGCATTTTATTTTTTGCTTTTCACTGTCATCAGAAAGAAAGACATGCTGTGCCCCCCCTTATACACATGGGCGCATTACGAATTCTGTGTATATGAAAGAGGGTTGAGAAATGAAAGAAAGAGAAGTTTGTTCCTTTCACAGTTTCCATATTATTTTGGGAAATTAGGAAATATTTTGCCAAAAAAGACTCCGAATTCGGTAACAACCACCCCCCTCGATGCCCCTGTAGATCAGGTCCGAAGTCGCAAATATAAATAAATTTATATAATCATATATAAAGGAGAGGGAAGAAGCATTTAAAACTCGGTGATAGTGAATTAAGTACTCTTTCGACACTTATTTAACCTTTAAATATATCAATAGGTATAATAGGCACACGCATAAGAGTTTTCCTTTTTTTTTTTAACATCACATTCAAGAAAATTCACATAAAATAATACAATGGTTCACCATAAAGTTACAATTATTGGTTCAGGTCCAGCTGCTCACACTGCTGCCCTTTATTTAGGGCGTGCAGAGATTCCTCCTACTATGTATGAGGGTCTTATGGCTAATGGTATCGCCCCTGGGGGTCAGTTAACCACCACTACAGAGATAGAGAATTTTCCAGGGTTCCCTGATGGGTTAATGGGTGGTGAGTTGATGGATCGAATGAAACAACAATCTGTCAAGTTTGGTAACAATGTTATCACTGAGACTGTATCCAAATTGGACTTGTCAACTAGACCATTTAAGTTATGGACAGAATTTAATGAAGATGCAGAACCTGTCACTACGGATGCTGTGATCATTGCTACAGGTGCATCTGCCAAAAGACTACATTTACCTGGCGAAGAAACCTACTGGCAACAAGGGATATCTGCATGTGCTATCTGTGATGGTGCAGTACCAATATTTAGGAACAAGCCACTCGCAGTTGTAGGAGGTGGTGATTCCGCTTGTGAAGAAGCTCAATTTCTAACTAAATATGGTTCTAAAGTGTTTATGATTGTCAGAAAGGATCATTTAAGAGCCTCTACAATTATGCAAAGACGTGTTCAAAAGAATGATAAGATCGATATAGTCTTCAATACTGTTCCTTTAGAAGCCAAAGGTGATGGTAAATTCCTTAATGCAGTAGGTTTAAAAAATGTTCAAGAGAATAAAGAATACGATTTACCTGTAAATGGACTATTTTATGCTATTGGTCATAATCCTGCAACAGAGATAGTTAAGGGCCAAGTCGACATGAACGATGCCGGTTACATCAAGACCGTTCCAGGTTCATCATTAACATCAGTTCCAGGTGTATTTGCTGCTGGTGATGTTCAGGACTTTAGGTATAGACAAGCCATCACGTCTGCAGGGACAGGTTGCATGGCAGCTCTGGATGCCGAGAGATTCCTTTCCGAGCAGGACTAAACAGACTCCCACCTCCTCCAGCCTAAATAATATCATTCTACACACTAGCACACTATATACAAGAACACTAAATACAAGAACATCAGTAGCCAATTTTTTTAATTTCATTCAAAGTCTATTAGAGATGGTGATGAGTCAACAAATTTCAGTCTGCCAACTTTTTTTTTCAGTTTTGAATTTTTTGTCACGCAACGCTCAATTTGTAGCGAGAAGGGAATCGATTAATCAATCATCATCATCACCTTCACATACTGAAACCAATTTCGATAGAGAGAAATAGTGCATGGGATGGATACTTAAAGGCTTGCATTGAATAGCGTTTACTGTGTGTAGTTAATAGTATCAGGAATAAGCAAATAAGGAACCTTTGTTGAACACGATGTCTGAGATAAATCTGGTGAAATACACGAAGAAACTGTTGCCTCCCAACGATGGTACAACCCTGACGCCGTCTGAGTTGCATGATGCTATTGTTATTATCATGAAACTATTACAGGGACTAGGAACTAGTGGTGCTGGTGGTATTCCCGACGATGTACAACAATTGCCATTGATGGTGAAGATTTCTAGTTTCTTGACAGCTTTAAGAACTAGTGGATTAGATCATAAAGCTGAATATATAGCCGAAGCTGCTAAAGCAGTCTTAGAATTCTCACGATTGGTGGATTTACCAAATGTACCAGACAAAAATAAGAAGATGAATATCCTAGATATTGTTGGTACAGGGGGAGATGGTCAAAATACGTTTAATGTCTCAACGTCTGCTGCCATTGTTGCATCAGGGATTCCACATTTAAAGATTTGTAAACATGGTGGGAAGGCATCTACATCGAATAGTGGTGCTGGTGATTTGATTGGTAAGCTAGGTTGTGATATTGCTAAAGTTACTCCACAAAGCGTACCACAACTGTGGAACGATAATGATTTCTTATTTTTATTAGCACCATATTTTCATGATGGAATGTCTCTAATGGCTCCATTAAGGAAGTTATTAGGTATCCCAACAATTTTCAATGTATTGGGACCATTATTACATCCAGTAGATCACGTTAATAAACGTGTCCTAGGAGTTTACTCACATGATTTAGGCGAAGAATATGTTAAAGCTGCAGCCATAGTATACCCTAATAGTGAAATCTTTGTTGTTTGGGGGAATGTCGGATTAGATGAAGTATCACCTATTGGGAAAACTACAGTTTGGCATTTTAAAAAAGATAATGAATATCAACAAAACATTTTCGAAAAATTTAATATTGAATCCTCAATGTTTGGCCTTCAAGAACATTCTTTATCAGATTGTATTTCATTAGGTCCTGCTGAAAATGCACGTATCTTAAGAGATGAAATTCTTTCTGGGAAATACAAGTTAGGTGACAATCACCCAATATACGACTACATCCTAATGAATACCGCTGTACTATACTGTTTAGCCGTGGGTAACCATGATTGGAAAGCTGGTGTGCAGATGGCAGAAGCCAGTATACAATCTGGTGCAGCATTACAATCTTTACAACATTTTATAAATTCTGTTCAGTCTTTGTAAAAACTGTCGACCCTCCCATTCTCGCCTACTCACATACATGCAAACGATAAAACTTACTATAATTTATATACACGAACACAATTTCAATTTATCCTATTTATAAATATCTCATTTGAAATGGAAATCATAGCTCATAGCTATTATCAATTCTATATAACAAATGATGTCTTGCTCTCTCTCTGCTTGTCGTCCACAGTGTAAAGGAAAGCTTTTTTTCATTTGTTTGTGACGCGAAAATTTCACAAATAATAATAAAATAAACAAACTGGAAACCATTTTCATTTTTAAAAAAACAATGGTTAATCAAAGGGAAAGTAAACAAGAAAGAAACTGTAGAGGTGGTATAGGTATCTGCCATATATTGAAAATTACTTATATTATTTAACAGAGAATAAGGTGTTATTAGAAGATATACAAAGACAAGTGTATAGACCATGAGCAACACCGCTATTAACTCGAAGAATTCGGAGTTTACGCCCATTGGGTATCTTTCGAACAAGCGTAGGAAATTATCAAATGACAAGGATGAATTGAAATCACCTTCCTCGAAATATATAGCTAGTGGTGATAATGACGCTGAATTGAGTTTTGATGAAAACTTAGAGGATCCCGGAGATGACCATATACCTTCTAGAAAAGCACCTCGATCTGCAGATGATGATACCATTAATTCTAATAATCTTTTCACAGAAAATTCACAATTTGATAATGATACTTTACCAGAGATACCTGATATTACAAAGACAAATAATGTCAGTACTAGTGGTTATAACATGGAACAATACCCAAAGAATCTATTGTCGAATTTGAATAATGCTACAATGTCTGAACCTATTAAAGAACAACAGGAGATGACAAAATTGTTATTATCAGGTAAAAGATTATCTAATGCTCAAATAAATTTTTTCTTACAATATTTAAAGAATAGTAACATCTTTGGGAATAATAATAATAATAAAAATTCCAATAATTCGTTAATGGGAGATTCTGGAGCCGATCAGGAAAGATATAATGCATTATATGCGGATTACCAAGTGTTACAAAGGAAATATTCAGATCTTGCAGATTCTAATACTCAAATGAATGATGATAACGATGATACAAATAATGTCGAAATCCCAGATCATAGTGAATGTGAACTTAAACAGAAACAATTGGAAGATACAATAGAGGGTTGTCAGAAAGAATTAAAAATTTTAAAAGAACAACATCAAAAAAAGATTCAAGATTTAAAGAAACAAAATGAAAAATTGAATGTAGATATTGAAACACAACGTGCTACAACAGAAGATCAAAAATTAGATAATGATAGCAATTTGAGAAAATTGAGAGAAACAATCCATAAACTTGAAGATGAAGCGCAATTATTAGAGAGAAAATATAAGACAAAGATTAATGATCTTGAAAATCAATTGTTAGATTTAAAAAATGGTCAAAAACATTCTGTAAGCGAACTAGAAAATCAATTACATTCGAAGGATCTCAAGATGTCTACTTTTGAATCACAACTTAAAGATTTAACAGAACAAAAAAATATGACATCACAGAAATTAGCCACAGTAACAAAAGAACTTGATGATAAAACACAAGAATTTGATCAATACAAGTCCCAAATGAATAAAAAACTTTCAACAGAAGAATTAAATGATAAAGAATTGCATGATAATAATAAAAAGATAATTCAAAAATATGAAAAAGAAATTGAAACATTATCTAAAACAAAAGATGATATTGAAAAAGAGTTACAAGAGTACAAAGCAAAATTAATTAAAACTGAGAAAAATTTAAGTGTATTCCAGGAGAAACATTCTATTGAGGTAAAATATTTACATGATTCACTTGATAAACTAAACGAAGACTCTAAAGAGACATCTGAAAATATAACAAAACTGAGAGAACAAATATCCAATAAGGACAAAGAAATATCTCAAAATGTGTTTATGATCAAAAGGCTAAAAGAAAAAATTCAGTTACTCGAAACCAATACTTCTCCCACAGAACGCCATACTAATTTAGTAAAGGAACTTGATGATAAATTGGAAGAGATTGATCAATTAAAGAAGAAGGTTAATCACTTAGAAACTTCTAAGAACGACCAAATAGAAGAATTAGGCATAGCGAACTCGAAATTATCATTATTAAATAAACAACTAAAAGAAGCTAATGATGAACTTAAAACTACCCAGGAATTACTGGAAGCAATGAAAAAAGATGCCAATAATAAACAAGCCACCTTAGATGAGACAAATAGATTGGTAGAAACATTACAAAAAAGTTTAAAGTCAGCACCCAGTGGTAATGATTCAACTTTGATAGATCTGAGACAAAAATTTAAAGAACAACAAGAAAAATTGAAACTTGCAGAGACTACCAATAAAAAATTACATGATCAAATTATTCAAGGTACAGTGAACTCAGTTAATGAGGTAAACAAGGATATAGAGGAGAAAAATGAACGTATAAAAGATCTAGAAAATAACGTAGATATTTACAAACAACGCTTAAAGACGATGGAGGGTCGAATTAAAAACTATGAGGACCTACTTGAGGAGTTGAAGGACCCTCATAACGAAGCATTGAACCATCAAATGGATGAAATTAAAAAGTTGACTCAAATGTTACAAACCAGAAACAAAGAAATGCATAATTTAGATCTTCAAATAGTTGGCCTAAAGAATTCTAATAAACTATTGCAAAAGGAAATGATTGAAAATTCGGTACATATGGAGACATTAAATGAACAAGATAAGCAAATCAATACTTTGGAACTTAATATAGAAAAGTTAAAGAGAGAATGCAATGAACTAAAGAAAATGAATAAAGAACAGATAAATCAGATTGAAGATCTTCTGAAACAAAGGAAACTTGTTAACGATAATTATAATATTGTCAAGAATTTGAATACGGAATATAAGAACGAACTACAAGCAACCAAAGGAGAGTACCTGAATAGGGAACGTGATTTAAATGAGAGGCTACTTGATTTAGAAAACAGCAACATGAAATTAAAAGCAGCTTTAAACAGAGAACAGTTATCTAATGAATCTCGTTCGAGAGACACAGATCTACGTGATTATTATCGTTTGAAATATCATAGAGAAGTACGCCATAATAATGATTTACGTATGATAAATTATTACCTAAATCGTGTTTCCCAAAGGACAAGTAGACAAATGAAGATGGATTACAGAAAATATAACAGAATACTGTCAGATTCCAAAAAATTTGAAGAATCATTGAACGACTATGATTACATAGAACAACCACGATTTGATCCAGGATTGAGGTATAATTACAACAATTCTTCAAATACGAGTTCACGGAATGATGTAAGGCCTGGACCCTCTCGGTTTCCAGACAATTCGAGTCCCTTATACTTTAACTCACCAAGATTAAAATTCAAAACTGTAGCAAAATTTGTACAGGCTTGTGTTCGAATGAAACAAGTTGCACTAAAGAACCATTGGGATGAACAAAGGATAAGACATCTAGAAAGACGTATCGATTCATCGGACAACAGTGCTAATTGGACGTTATAAGGGATTCTATCATTTATTTGTTCTATATAGTATTTTATGTAAGCGTGTACATTTTGCATTAATAATGATAACCGGTTGTAAATATACCTAACAAAGTTCAAGTCAAATAGATTAATAGTACTATGAAAACAGAACATCAAGTTAGTAATAAACACCAGGAATGTTTATGGATGTAGATCATTAGCATGCCCATTATTTGTTTTTACCGTTTTCAATTCAGCAAATATAGTATCTAATCGTTCCTTGAATGTTTCAGAAATGAAAGCTATTTGTTCTAACATATCAAAGTAGTTCTCCAGTTCGTTACATTGTTCCAGTAAAACTTTAAATTCAGCTACATTTTTGTCAATTATACCTTCTACAATATCATCCTTAATAACCGTGTCATGTTGCTGACAAATAGCATGTGTTTGTATCTGTATGGATTGGACGTAATCATTTATTTTATACATAAGATAGTCGTAGTCGACGGCCAATTTATTAATTCCTAAAGGGTCACCATTATGTGATCCATCATTACATATGTTACCAGCTCCGTTGTTACTGGGCGCATTAGACATTTCCAGACACAACTCCACTTAACAGGGCATCTATCAGAGAGTGCATACACTAACCCTAGTAATTCCTTGCTTCAACTGACTATTTTATTCGGAATCTCTTGTTCTCGTTTACGCTACTATTTGTATATGTATACATCCATGTGTAATTCAAAGTAATCAGACCTCATTTGCCCTTCCAGGAAATTTTAATTTCACAGCGGAAAAAAGGAGACAACACACTTTTTTTTTTGGAAGAGAGAAGAAAAACAGTTTTGATGTGTGAACGACTCAGATAAGAGAAGGAAATAATACCCATTAGGAACACGTTTCGAATCATTTAAGTATACTAAACTCAAGAATTACCAATCAGTTAGGTACAATTACGCTTTTCAAGTTGAATTATTTTCTCTTTGCTTTATACTTATTGAAATAAAGGCAAAAAGATATTCCGTAAGCGTAATAGTTGATTAGGGGCAAGCTTTTAAAGAACACAATTTCGAGAGGTAAAATCAGTTGCCAAGAACTATTTCGGGTGATTCGTAAACTAAGATGTCTCACGGTGTTTACCTTGGAGATACTCCAGTGAGAAGACCTGGTATTTCTACTAACCCATTGATGCGTAAAATTCAAAGGGCATGTAGAATGACCCTTCCTGAACCAGATATCGCTTTAAATCTGGATGTTGCTGATTATATCAATGAAAAACAGGGTGCTACGGCTCATGATGCCACAACTACAATTGTGAAATTGATTAATAGTCGAGACACCCATACTGCTGTATTTGCATTGTCTTTACTAGATGTTCTAGTGAAAAATTGTGGATATCCAATACATTTACAAATATCTAGGAAGGATTTCTTGAATGAATTGGTTAAGCGATTCCCAGAACATCCTCCTATGCGTTACTCAAAAGTTCAAAGATTAATCCTGACTGCCATTGAAGAATGGTATCAAACTGTTTCAAAGCATTCCCCATATAAGGATGATATGACGTATATCAGAGATATGAGAAGGTTGCTAAAATACAAAGGGTATGTACTACCAAAGATCCAGGCCGAGGATCTGGCTGTTATGAGACCTACTGACCAACTAAAATCCGTCAGTGAAATCCAAAAGGAACAAGAAATTGCTCAAGCTGCGAAATTAGAAGAATTAATTAGAAGTGGTAAACCAGATGATTTGAGAGAAGCAAACAAACTGATGAAGGTAATGGCTGGCTTCAAAGAAGATAATATGGTCAATGCTAAACAATCTATCAACACTGAATTGAATAAATTGAAACGTAAAGCTGATTTATTGAACGAAATGTTAAACACTTCAACCGAGGCAGATTTACAAAATAATGAAACGGTGGAAGAATTATACAGTGCCTTGAAAACTTCGCAGCCAAAGTTCCAAAAGATTATTGAAGAAGAACATGAAGATGATGATTTAGTTCAAAGTCTTTTGAAATTTAATGATGCCATCAACCAATTGATCGAAAAATATGCTTTACTAAAGATCGGTAACAGAGAAGCTGCAGAAAGAATTAACCCAGCAAACCTAAATGATGTTACTAATAATATATCTCAGACAGGGGGAGCCTTAGCAAATGAAATTAATTTAATCGATTTTGATGATGATACTGGTGCAGCATCTCCTGCTCCAGCATCTAGCTCTGCTGGTTCTAGTAACAACAATAGTAATTCTGATCCGCTAATCGATTTATTAGGCGATTTAAACATATCATCAACTCCAATCACTTCCACAAATACTACAAATAACAACCAATTCTTATCCTCAGAAGTCGATGGTGGAATATCATTAGACTCTACAGTTCCTCCATCCTCTAGCAATACTGTTCCAATATCTGCTTCTTCGGGTGATCCATTTGATCTACTGAGCGATTTTTCATCTCCTAATGTATCTACGCCAACAGCCAACCTATCAGCTCCAACCGCGACTACAACATCTCCAATCATAACTACCCCATCTGCTACAGCCAACAGCTCTGTTAGGGCCAATGTGAGTAAATCAGCCAAAATTCAAATTGATGTACTTGTTTCGAGAGAGGACAATTCTACAATAAAGATTAAAACTCTTTTCAGTAATTCCTCTCCGGACTTGGTGAAAGACTTTGTATATTCGATGGCTGTCCCTAAATCATTTAATTTGAAATTACAACCTCAGTCATCGAGTACCCTTGCAGCATTTACTAATGAAGGTGTACACCAAAATGCATTAGTTGAAAATGCCGTCAGAGAAAACCTTGAAAAGAAACCATTAAAAATTAAATGGAAGGCTACATACAATATCAACTCAAACCCCGTCGAAGAAACTGCTATTTTCCAATTACCAGTTGTGTAAAATAAACCAATTTAGTTGATCTTAAAAATCAAAAAATACTATTCTATAAAATGTAATTCACGTATACATATATATTATAATTACAAAAAACTATGAAAATGACAAGATGTGCAGATTCGTTACACCTGGTCATATTTCTAATTAGAGTTCTATTCTTAATTACCGTGGAATACAATTGTGTCTTTAAAAAATGTTCTTATATAGTATTGCATACTTAACTTGAAACCTTTATATAATTGCGTATACGCAATGACTGTACCAAAAGGGTATCTTACTTTTGAAATCTTTGTAAAATCTCTGATGGAGTTGGTGATTTTATTTTAGTTGCATTGCCATTGTTAGAACCACCCATTGTAGGTGGTTGCAAATGTCCTTGTTGAATGGAAGGATTCAAATTTTGCTGCGCGGAAACAACTGATAAATTACTTGGTGATGGAGCCTGGGGTTGTACAAGCTGTGACGGTTGTTGCTGTTGTTGCTGTTGCTGTTGCTGTTGTTGTTTCAATTGGATTTGTTGCTCTTTAACCTTCTTAACATAATTTTCTGCAGTTTTCCATGCTACACCTGGCGGAAGTTCTGGATTCTGTGCTAGTATTTTCTTTGTATAATTTAAGATAAGTATCATTTCAGGATTATTTTTATCAATCGGGGGTATTGAATTTGATACTCTAGAATCTGGTACTGGTTTCCCTACCGCTTGTTCAGGTGGAGGATCTTTAGAACTGACGCCATTTAGTTGTCTGGAATTTGTCTTTCCTCTTTGTTGTTGTGCTTGTGCTGCTAAGAATTGTTTTTGTTGTGTTCTATTCTTAACATTTCTTCTAAATTGAACGTCCCTACGTAGGGCCTCATCTCTTTGAGCTTTCAATTGAGACATCTCAGCAGGTGTAGGAATTTTCATATTTTTCGTATCCAATGGTTTTCTGGGTTGTGACTTGTTTGGTTTTGGAGCATTCTCTCTCTTCTTTATAGTTTTTCTCATGACTTCAAACATACTAGCCCAACGTAACCTCTTATGACCTCTTTGAATCGATTCCTCACCGACACCAAGGGGAGAAATTCTTCTATTTTGTCTTTGCTGAAACTTATGTGCTTCAATTAGCCATTGTTGGGCACTGTGTGCTCTAGGACCTTTCATGTCATTAAAAGTGAAACGCTCGTTTAGTTGAACAAATCTTTCAAAACATTGCCATGGCGTCCTAATTTCAATATTGGACAGATATGATCTCGTTGGTCTATGTATCATTTGTGAACTAATCAATTCCCAATTGTATGAATATGCATTAATGTTCTTAACCAACTCTTTGTCATCTTCTGGAAGCCAAATCGTAGGTGTTCTATTTCTCAAATATCTCAATGAAGGAACAGCTGGTGGTCTTAAATAATGATTCCGTCTGTTGGCGTAAAACATACCTCTTCTTTTACTCAATTGATTCAATGATTGCTCGTCATTCATTATTTGTTTTTCAATGACTTTGAAGAAATGATCATCATCTAGAGTCATCATTGATTTAGATATTGGAATGAATGATGTATCTTTTCGGTTAGGCTTATCATTTTCTTTATCAATTCCCATATATATTGGTATTTCTTTTGTCAGATTACGTTCAGCTGTCGTTAAATCATCCATAGAAATATATAATTTAAATGGATACATTTCCTTTCTACGAATATCTTGATTTTCTTCAGCAACGCTCTCTAAAAATGTTGATGATTGGTTTACATCCATTGAAGAGCCAGGTGTTACATTTAGCAAGCTTGGGTTAATGCTTTTTTCAGGAGATTCAGTAGTTTTGTCAGATACTAGTTCAGTACCAATATTTTCTAAATTCTTTTCTGTGTTTTCTGCTTGAGTTTGTTCACTGTTATCCTCTACACTAGGTTTCTCTTTATCTTCTACTGTATTAAGATCTGACTTTTTATCACTTCCATTCTCATCGATAATCTCGTTCTTGGCTGACTCTGGTTTTTCACTTATCTCTTCTGTTAAAGTACCAGTATCTGTTTCAAGAACTGCATCAACATTTGCGTTAATAGGTGGGACAATAGCTGCGTCCATTTCTGCATCAATATTTGTATCAATATTTGTATCAACATTTGAATCAATATCTGTGTCAGATACAGTTATTGGTGCAATATCTACAATCGGATGTGATGGAATATTCTCATCTATAGAATCCGGTACATCTGTAGTGACATCTTCTTTTTTCTCATCTAATTTTGTATCCTTATCAAAACTATTCCCAGTGTCAACATCATTTTCTTTATGTGTGTCTGTTTCTGTAATTGGTGAAATAGTGGATGAAGGTAATGTTGTTCCATCTGGTCCTGCAATAGTAGCTTCTGTCGTAGTTGGTAAAATCGCATTTTCTTCCTTTAATACATTTACGGGATCTGATAAATGTACGATTGGCTTCTTTTTTATACAACATACTTTCCCATATGTCCAATAATCCATAACAGCTTGGGCTAAAGTTACACATGTTGCAATTCTATAATTTTTTCCTTCTTTAAAATCTGCCTGCATCCACTTAGCCTCTTCTAATAATCTAGTATAATATGTATGATCATTATTCCAAGGGTCAATAAATAATTTTGGCTGTCTTAAACACCACAATGATAATCTTCTTAATTCTTCAATTCTAGAGCCAACCACAGTAACTCTTGCTTCATTCAAAGCATTATTAATTATATCTGTTGTAAGTACTTTATGAGCTCTAGGAATCAACTCAATCAATGGCAAAGTCTGCGCCATATATTTTAATTCTGCCAATGGGATAGAATGTGGAATCTTAGAAGGTACTTGATCCTTTGTCATTAAATATACTATATCTTTGGCATTGATATCGTCACTATTATAAAAATTCGAAGATTTTGTCTTTGATTCGTTTAATTTATTCACGATAGAATCTCTATATTGCGGTTTAATCTCTACAGGTGTTGGTTTTGATGGTGGAATATATAAGTTTGAATAATAATTGTTGCGTGCTTGTTTTGCTGCAGCAATAGCTGCAGCAACTGCAGTATTAGGACGGTTATTATTTTGTAAAGTTGGAAGTGATTTTTGTTCTTCTACAGTCTTTGATAAATCTTTTTTCAATTTTTTTGTTGATATTTCATTATTATAATTATCTTTATTTTCTGTAGTATCCATTTTTCTCTTCAAAGGTGGTGGTGGTAATGACGATGATGATGATACGATTGATTTATTTAATAAATATTCTGAAGATTTTGAAAAATTGACTAAATCTGAGTGTGTTTCAACCTTTTCAATTATTTGTTGTGATACAGTTGGTGTTGGAGAAGATGCAGAAGAGACAGCCAAAGCAATCGATGATCTTTTCTTATTCTTATTTGTATTTGTTGTAGATACATTATTATTATTATTATTATTTTTCTTAGTAATATTTCCTGTACTAAGACTCTTTCTTGGATATAATGATGAAGAAGTTGATGTTGAAATATTTGATGTTAAATTTGGATAATTAAAATAATTAACTTTAGGTAAACTTTCAACTTGAAATTTTACATTTTTCATAATATCATTTCTATTTAAACAATCATTAATATCGTTATTTAAATTTTTAGCATCTTTAACATTCAATAAATCACTCAGTCGCGAAACACAATATAATTCTATAATTTTACTATTTCTCAATTGAACCATTCTTTCAAGATGTGCTCTTGAAGAAACCTTTGCATTAGATGATTTAGATCGGAGAATATTATTGTTTTTAATAGTGCTATTTGTCATATCCGTTGGAGATTGTGATAAATTGGAATGATTAGAAGTTGCCATTTTTTACCGCTTGTTATAAAAAAAACACACACCCTAAAATCAAAGAAGAACACTATTACTCGTTGTATATCCTTCAATGGTAAATTGGAAACAGAGAACCAACCTTAACAAGTGAGTATTGTATTGATCTAGGGGATAAAAACCTTTTTGTTTATTTATTTCTTTGATCTGTATTCTTTAAAAAAAAATATCAAGTATATTTGCCGCCCTTACCGTGAAAATTGGCCCTTCTTCCCTCAAAAAAAAAATAAATAAATAAATATTACCTGAATTTTCTATTACCTTAGATGGAAACACGACGCTCTGTGGTAAAAACACACTATAATGGGCGTATATGTAAAATTTACGTTATAATTTGTTAATGTTACAAGTGAACAAAGAAGACACACCGTTAAATAACAACTTGTTTCTTCTTCTTCTTATATATGAATATAAAAGATTTAAATATCTTAAATGAAAACGGCAAAAAAAACACTTTACACACCAGTGTTGACTGAACTTTGCCTAGTGTATAAAAGGACATTTTTGGTGTATTTAATGTTATTTTGCCCTTTGAGCTTTCTCCCCTTTGCCCATCGTCGTTGTCGTCGTTCGCCGCGAAGAATTTTTATTTTGGGCGAAAATTTTTTTTCCCGTTACTGGTTGCACCTCGTGGGCGGTGATGTTGCACGTGATATTTTGAAACATATTAATACAATTACTATACTGATCGATCAAGTGATATATATATATATATGTGGTGTTTATTACATATGAGATTTATTTCTTACCAGTTAGCAATCTCTGCCTCTAAATCAGCGATACCATTCATTAGACCTTCATGATCTAATACCATGTATGTACTGATTACACCCTTTCTTGCTTCAGATTGAAATTGTATTTTTGCATATTTTTCTAAGAATCTATCCTCTTCATGGAAATAGTCAATTTCATCATTTTTAACTCTTTTACTTGATCTTAAAGTAGTTTCATCTGTATCAAAATTTACTTCATATTTCCTACTGACAATAACATAAAAATCAAAATGCTCTTTATCACCATTAGCAGAATTCTTAATGTCATCCATTGTAATTCTATATAAAGGAGGTACAACTTCAGGTGGCATATTAATTAATCTTTCACATATCACTAAAGCACATGTCTTATCATTAGAATTATCAATAGTTCTGAAAAATGTTGATAATTTAGTGTCGACTTTATTTAAATACTTAGCATAATCACTATCACGATTTTCTTTATAATCAATAAATGAAATAAAACAATATGGATCAGATTCAGTACCATCTGTCTTAATTGTAGTCATTGGTGATGCAAGCATTAAATCGGCTAAAGCACTAAGTTGAATCTTATTACTCTCTTGAGCACCAAATAATTGTCTCGATAAGTTTTTCAATGCTTGGAAATCAACATCAGGGTTTGCATTGTAGAAATCAAAATCAATATTGACTATCTCTTCTTTATCGTCATCATCATTATCTTTATCTTCAGCCTCGGAATCAGTACTACTGATATCAATTTCAGATTCTTCTTCTTGTTCTTCCTTATCAGTATTACGTCTCTTTCTATTAGCTAACTCGCTCAGTTTGACAGTTTGTACCATATTGAATAATAGTCTATTGTATGTCGAATGGAATTAACTATATATATCAATCCACTTTTTTACTTTGGAAGCTCATCTCATCTTATAGTGTTTAATAGTTCTTCTCTTTTTCTTCTTATATTTAATTAAAAAATTTTAAATTTTCTAAAATTTTTCAATTTTTCAAACAGAGAAAAGTCCGCACAATTCATAGAAACAAAGGGGAGATAAATTAAGCTCATCATCACCTTGAACTAATTTTTTGATCTTTGTCATTTGTTTTTGCTTATTAAGACATATTTAGGTGGGAACTTAAAGAAACATAAATATAATAACTGAGTAATATACCATTTTAAGGATCCTTTTTTTGTTAAAAACAGTTTTTAATAATAAACTTGTTCGATTCGTGGGTTTTAAGTTCAAAAATACACACAAAAAATGGATGGTGAACAGGAATTACTGAAACAGATTGAGCAGTTAAAGCTAGAAAACTCACAACTGCGTAATCAATTGGAAAATGGTGGTTCTTTAAAAAAGAAGACTTTTGATGATGATATGAATACTATTGGTGATACTGAGTATCCGTTGTCACTTGAGGAGTACCATAGATATGGTAGACAAATGATAGTAGAAGAGACTGAAGGTGTCAAGGGACAAATTAAATTAAAAAATGCTAAAATTTTAGTTATTGGGGCTGGTGGGTTAGGTTGTCCGTCTTTACCATATTTAGCTGGTGCAGGTATTGGAACCATTGGGATAGTAGATAATGATACTATCGATACATCTAACCTACATAGACAAATTCTTCATAGTACTGCTAATGTTGGCATGTTGAAATGTGAATCTGCAAAGAGATACTTGGAACAGCTAAATCCAAACGTTAATGTGATTACATATCCAGTACGTCTAAATAATCATAATGCTTTTGAAATCTTTAAGGATTATGACCTTGTCTTAGATTGTACAGATACACCAATTACAAGATATTTAATATCAGATGTTGCAGTGAACCTGGGAATGACCATTGTTTCTGCTTCGGGTGTTAGAACAGATGGTCAACTAACAATTTTAAACTTTAAAAATGTGGGCCCATGTTATAGATGCTTCTATCCTGTCCCACCTTCTCCAAATTCAGTTTCGTCTTGTTCTGAAGGTGGCGTTATTGGTCCTTGCATTGGTCTTGTTGGTGTTATGATGGCAGTTGAAACCATCAAACTTCTTCTAGACGTCTATACATTAGATAATTGGGAACCATTTCTCATGCAATATTCCGGGTTCCCTAAACAATCATTGAGAACATTTAGGATGCGTGGAAGAAAAGATAGTTGTAAATGTTGTGGTGAAAGTCCAACAATCACTAAACAATCGATCGAATCTAACGAAATAAATTATCAAGAATTTTGTGGAGTTCGAAATTATGACGTTTGTTCAACAAATGAACGTATTACAGTAAATGAGTTCGAAGAATCATATCATAAAATAGATAAAAAGGATTACATATTATTAGATGTAAGACCACCACATCATTATGATATATCTCATCTTGCAAATACCTACAATATTCCAGTGAAGTCTCTTCGGGATATGGATGGATCACTTGAGCAATTACAAAAGATTATCCCAGATGTTAATGAAAAAAGTGAAGTTGTTGTAATGTGTAGATTTGGTAACGACTCACGTTTGGCAACAAGATTATTAAAGGATGAATTTAAAATTAAGAACGTAAAGGATATTGCTGGGGGTTTCTTTAAATACATCGACGATATAGACCAAAAAATTCCGAAATATTAAATTAAATATATATAAATCTATAAGTGGCTTATTATTTTTATCTCCTTAGTTAACCGAATCTAATTTCTCAATCGTTAATAAACCTGCACTATTGCTAAAAGCATAGAATTTGCCAGATTTTTCATTTTCATTCCACTTAATACTAGTCACATTAATGCCATGCACATCAATGGCAATCTTACTCGAACCTGTAGAAGTACACTTAAAGACTTCATAGTTATGATCCAATCTAAAATATTTATTAACTTGATCATAGTCCCATTTCCAAAGTTTTAAGTTTCTGTGCGTTTCAGAAATGTTTTTGATACCAGTCAATAACCTTCTCACTAGATTTTCAATGTAAACTGAACCATCTGAACCACCACATAAATTAAAAGGGTGATATTTAGATGTGCTGATAGTGTTAACAGTTGCATTTGTAGGTCCTAGTTGATGTGTCCCAAACAAAGCGCGAGGAATTGCTGCTTTAACAGAATTAGAGCCATCTGAGTATACAAGAGAATACAATAAAGGACTGTACACGAGAGGTGCTGTATTACTACCACGAAATCTTTGGTCTAGGGTAGTCTTTGTTGCTTTGATATCTTGTAGGTCAAATACGAATATGGTACCATCGACACTATTCGTGGCGACAGCTGTTTTTTCATAGTCGGAGTAGGCAACCGCTATATTGAGGACATATGTATCATGCACTTTCTGATAAAACGAAGGTATTGTGGAATCGGCTAATATATCAAATTCTGCAATGTTTCCATCTCGGAAACCACATAAGACGGTTGAAGATGATAGGAAATCAAAACAAGTAATACGATTATTCGGAATCGATATACTGGTTATAATATCTTCATATAATATAACATTTTCTTTCTCTGACTTTTTCTTGGAAATCTCTATATATTTCAGACATCCATCCTGGCAAACGAAAAATAAAAGACCCAAACTATTCTCAGATTTATAACCATCGTGCCATTTTAAATTCCAAATTTCACCACTATCATGTAATATAGTCTGTATCTTTTCGAATCCAAACGTATCTGGGTTCATCTTAAAGATTTGTATACTAGAGACATGCGACACTGCATCGAAATTTCTTAATTCTGCATGGGAGGGCTTATCCAAATATTGGGAAACTGCGACAGCTAAATATTGGTCAGTTTCATCATCCTGCGATAACCATGCTATATCAGTAATCATACCCCCAACATTATATACAAACCCTTTACGTTCATAATTTGAGAAAACTGGAAATTCTACCTTTTCTGATGTCTTTAAAGATGTTTGAATATCACCAATTAGGACCTCCAATGGTTCAGACCGCAGTTTAAATTTAGCGGTTTCCTCTTTTCTTGATATAGAAGATCGTTGATTTTCGATCAGTTTATTATGTAACTGATCATATATATTCCTCTGTCCAGAGGGAGTAATTTTTGGAATATAATATTCTGAAGTGTTCTGAAGAAGCTTTTCTGGGAAATCAAATAGATACGCTTCAAAGCCTTCTTTAACTTTAGCCAATTCAAGTAAACGGGTTTCATTAGATCCATAAATTCTATTAATTTTATCTTTGGCAGCACTTAGATCCTTTAAGCCTCTAATGATACGATTTTTATTAACAGTTGTCTTGACTTTTGTTACCCTTTTCAATCTTTTCGGGGTTTCTGTCTTAATCTTACGAACTTTTCTTTTAGGTTTCTTCTCCACTAATGATTCATTATCATCATCCACCTCAATTGGCATATTCTCGTCTTCTTCAGAGGCAGGTCCATTATCTTGAAAATTCTCATCATCATCGTTATCTCCATCACTTTCTATCATATTTTCCATAAAGTCGGGGTCCCCATCAACTGTTTCAACTGCTTGAAGGGCCTTTACAGCAGATGCAGCCACATCAAAAGTTTCATCATCATAATTTGACTGTTGTTCAGCCAAAATTTTGTTTTGACTAGATGATTTTCTAGGTCTACCCCTACGTCTCTTCGGTATATTATCTGTTTCTTCCATGCTGTCTTATAGATAGTTAAGTATGACTAGAGTGTTTAGTTGCTGGTAAAATATATCCAAAATTGAGAAAAAATAATTTTCTTGAAAGAATTAGACAACTTGATTACTTATTTCTTTAGTGTTACTTCAACAATTTTATTTGTTTATTCACATTATCACAATTTTATATTACGTATTTCACTTATTTATTTTCTTAAAAAGAAACCGCGTAAGAGATTTCTTTATTTTGTTGTACGAATAATAAATTCTAAAAGTGATATCAACTAGAGAAATATATATCTATATATACTTATGATATTATCTACAGAATTTTCGAAACACACAAATGAAATCTAAGCATTGTCTTGTAAATATTGAAGGGCATTACCCAAATCCTTTATCAAATCATCGACATTTTCACACCCTACAGAGACTCTGATCAAAGTTTGATCGATGTATGGATCTGTTAAAGCCCTCCATTCAACTAATGATTCAACACCACCAAGAGAAGTAGCATGTTGGAAGTATTTCAACTGTGGAGGGAACTTCTTACATTGCTCTACAGATTTCAAAGTTAAAGCAAAGACAGGTCCATATCCTCCTTTCAATTGTTTCTTAACGAAATCTTCTGTCTGTAAAGAGGAATGATAAAGTTTGTTAAGGACTTTATCATATTTGGAACGATTGTCATTCAGGAATTTAACTATCTTAGTAGCATTATCTGACTGTTTCAACACTCTCATTTCAAAAGTTCTTAAAGATCTCAACAACATATAACTTTCTAAATTAGCAACGTTTGTACCTAAATATATTCTATCATCTCTTAATTTCTTACATATTTCTTCATCTTTAACTACAAGAACCCCACTCAATAGATCAGAGTGTCCACCAAAATATTTTGTAGCTGAATGCATAACCATGTCACAACCGAACTCCCAAACATCTTGTAAAGGTGGAGGAGCAAATGTTGAATCAATGATTAATAATGCACCTTTCGCATGAGCTCTATCTGCAAAACTTTGAATATCGTAAGAAGTACCATATGGGTTCACTGGTGTCTCTAGATGAACCACATCACCTTTCTGAGCAAATTGTTCTATCTCATCTAGTGTATGTTGTTCAACATCAAAGTTTCTGGTTAATATGTTTGCAATCGCACGACAACCATGATAACTTTGACCCATGAAGACTCTCTTTGGATTATAATGAATCATAGCAGCAAAAAAAGCAGAACAACCAGAGGAGTAAATAACAGCATGGCCATTTAAAATCTTTGAAAATATACTTTCTAATCTAGTACTATTTGGATGAGCTAATCTTGAGTAAATTGGTTGCTTTTCCATAAAATCCAGATTTTCTCTATCATTCCATGCAACTAGATCATCATTATCGTAACGAAATGTAGTAGCCACATTAATTGGTGGAGCAACATCGGTGACTCTGTTGTCCTTATCATCACCATGAATCAATTCAGTAGATAGGTGAACCATTATTTGTCTTGTTCAATTGTTCGATTTTATCCTTCTATAATTTAAGTAAACTTAAAAGACAGTTAACAAATAATTTTTCAAGAACACAACCCTCCCCTTATATACAGATATTTATACATATATAAAATATGTAATGTGTAAACGAACAGAAGGAAAATATAACTCAAATGGCTGTCCTCACCGAGTCTAAACAGTCGCATTAAAACTTGACGTACTCAGTTCCTCTATTACATACAGAGAATTAACGTCTCTCTCGAGTACCAACTACGGTAAGAAGGTAAAATTCGAAAATATTTGTCACACCCACCTAAAGTAATTGCTCACCAGTGAAGTTTACTCAAAGCACCCCAAATTTATCCATCGCTCTACCCAAGAAACCCTGGATAGTTTGTTCAACCCCAGGCAATATCATGTCAAAATTAACAAATATAGATCCACTCATAGACCAGTACCGGCACAGAAGAGGCAAAAAACAATCAAATTAAATAAACATCGCTTACGGACTATGTGGTCTGATAACAGTTTTGTTGTGACTAGTTCTTCACTGACTTGAGTGTGGCCGACCAAAAATAAACAAATCTGAATAAATTTGACTGTAAGAAGACAAAATATGTTCTTTGGTTCTGGTTAAGTGAGGACGAGGCAATCTATCCCCACAAGAAACGCGGAGGAAGCACGTCACACAGTTTGTAAAATTAAATGACAAACATGTTACCTCGGAAAACATGTGCCATATTCAGATCTAAAATAAAGGCTAATGAAAACAATCATTAGATTATAAATATACATATATAAGTATCTACTTACCAGCCTATCTTGACGAGTTAACAATCTGACAATCGGCTCAATCCTGCCTTTATAATTTGTAACTGAGCGTTGTCAATCTTGCACATCACGTATTAATTGAAGTTGGTTTAGAATATATCTGCGAAATTTCACGTGATTTATTCGTTAAACCTTGTATGAACGACAAGAAGTTTGTTCAAGATAAAAGGTGTCTTATAGATAATATATATGATTACACTTAACATCGAGCATTTTAGTGTTCCCTCCATATATCTCTCTCTATAGGTCTCAACTCATCTCAAAACTGGTTATCCCCATATCGATCTCTGTGTAATATATTGAGGATTGCTAGGCAAACGTGGTGAATCTTATTTTTTTACTTTGTATATTCATATTCGGCAACAATTAGCGAGCGAAAAAGGAATAGTAACAATTTTGTTTCCAGTTAGTTTGTTTAGGTAATGGTAAAGTAAGCGATGAGAAGGATCAGCAGTAATAAGTCAACAAATTAGGTAAACAATAAGAACATAGAATAACAAATATCGCTTTATATAGTATATGACCCGTTAGTAAATAAAGTGTTTTCTTTTTCTATATAATAATCATATTTATCTTTATATATTCATATAGGAACGAACCACTAACGACTTACACAAGTTAAACCATTTTTAAATTTGATTAATAGTCAGGTACTTGAGATGTCTGATTCAGAAGATGACGATGACTTCTTTAAAGCTTCTTCCTCTGAGGATGAAGAAGACCTTAGAAATCACATAGAAGATATTATAATAGAATCTTCAAAGCCTAATAACAATAATAATAATAATAATAATAATAACATTAAGGATGACGCATTTAATTTGTTCAGTGAACCTAAGAAGGATGATATAAAACAGAATAAGAGTAATTCTGATGAAGAGCATGTGGTCTTAGAAGATCGAAGTTCAAGTAATGGTTCAAATAATTTGAAAAGGACATCGGATTCTGACTCAATGAACACAGAGAAGAAAAGTGATTTTGAAAATTCTAGAAGAAAAAGAGCAAGAACAAGACTCCGTAATAAAGAGCCTATATCAATAGATGATGATGATGATGAACAAGATTCATTTTCAGAGATAAGTAGTAGAGTAAGTTCACCTCAAAAAAACGATACCACTAATAGGAAAGATAATTATTCAGATTCAGATGATGAAAATGATTTATTTTTTAAAGAATTATCAAGAAAGAAATCACCTCCTACGTTAGAAGCACCAATACCAACAAGTGAAGCAAAAAGATTATATACAATACGATTTATCTCTAAATTGGATGGATCAATTAATAAATCTGTTAGAGTGAAAGTTCTTGGAAAATTTACATTCGCTAAAATTTTACCCTCTGCTTTACAAGGTTTACAAAAAGCTTACAAAATACCAGCAGTGATGAAAAAAATTTATCAAGCGGATAATGTTGCTTTATATTGGAATAGTACAAAAGTATTGGATTTCATGACTTGTAATTCTCTCAATATTAAACAATCTTTTGAAAATGAAATATCCAATATTGATATAACCATTGTCTCTAAAGAGATGGAAAAGAGCATGGAACTATCATTAAGGGCAGAACGGCAAGAAGCAGATGCTAAAGAAGCAGCAGAGAAGGCTCAAAGCAATGGTTCTAGGGACAAAACTAATTCTATAAAAACTTCTTTAGATGACAATCAGAGTGCAGATTTGATTATTGAAGAATTCGAAAGAGAATTACATGATATCGCACTACCAAATGTTATTGAAAATTCTAATACAAGCAATGATCGAACTCTCGACCCAAGTGATGATACGAAAGAAGAAATTATGAAAATTTCATTGGTTGGCAATGACAATAAAAAGATTTTTGTTAATGTCAGAGGAGGAACAATATTATCAAAATTAACAGATTATTATAGGAAACAGAAAAAATTACCACAAAACACAAATTTTGAACTATATTTTGATGATGAGAAACTTGATTTATCCATGACAATAGGTTCTTATGATATAGAAGATGAAGATATGATTGAAGTGAAGGTTTTAAATTAGTTTAAAAGTATTTATATATACAGGTTTTATATTAATAATGCATAAACAATTTTATTTATTACCTTATTATTGTTCACTTTTAGAATATTATTCAACATTGGGCCACAATATTTAAAAAAACCTTCAAAAATGTTAACATAAATGCAAAATATAAAAGAAAATGACCCCAAACAGAAACACATTCAAGCGACAACACCAGAAGGAATATATTATACATATGTGAACATAATTCCAAAATAACAAGTGTTTATGCTTGTACAGTTTATTTACTAGCAACTGGAAAATATAAGATCAATTACCATATTATTTCAGAAACTTACTTTCGAAAGGAAAATAACTTCATTACTTGAAATATACCAAATTTTTTAGTTATAATATCAATAGAAATAATAAACTAAAAATATAAACCGCCTAAAATCTGCTAAATGTTATTCTACAGCAAAAAATTGAAAATTTAAAATGTTGATAACCTAGTATATTTAACCAAATTTTCACAAATTAAGCCTTGTTGGCGCAATCGGTAGCGCGTGTGACTCTTAATCACAAGGTTAGGGGTTCGAGCCCCCTACAGGGCTTTCCTTTTTTGGCTGCAATTGTTTCTACTTTTTTGTAAAATGGTTCATATTTTAGTATCTATTCAATAGTCACTTATGTTATTGAGAGTATTTTTTTTTAAAACTGTAATAATTGCCATTGTTGCACCGAATTACTATAAGTCACAATTTTGTTAGAATTATTTGATTTTTTTAGGCTTATAATTGTGCCATTTCAATTCAATCTACCTATACTAATAAGTATTTGTTTAAGAGAACATAACAGTTGTAGATTTTATGGTTCTTAATTGGACATGCTTCGTTTTGTATAGTTCTATCTTGTTCCCCTTTCTTGATCATATGCCCCATGTTCATTTTATATTAAAAAAAATACTTAGAATACCTTTTGGACTTGGCCGTGAAAAATGATTTCGCAAGTGGCGAACAAGTAAGATTAAGGAAAGTGTAAGCATTTAAAAGAACAAATGTTACTAACTTGTTTAGTACCCAAAGGAAAGAGATTTACAAGAAAGAGATTCGAGGTGCCACCCAAGATTCCATTATACATATAGCCTAATGAGTACTACGACTGATAAAGCAAACACTACCACTAAAGAGGAGATAACGATAACTGAAAAACCAACTAATCAGAAGAAGACGACGTTGGAAGAAGATGATGAATTTGAAGATTTTCCAGTGGACCAATGGCCAGCTAGCTCCACTTTGAAGGAATCAAAAGAATTTCACACAAACCTATGGGAAGAAAGTTGGGATGATGTTGAAGTTGACGACAACTTTACAAATGATCTGAGAGCGGAAATAGCGAAGTACAAACAGGAACACCAATGAATAGTCAAGTGCGTTATTGGACCTCAAGATCAAAGAACTCTACAAGGGTCTTTTTCATGAAATCAGGATATGATACAAATATCGTATGGATCATCTACATAGTATATTTTTTTTTAATAAACTCATCTCATTATTCTATATATCTATATCAAAGACTAAATATGCATCAAAAATTTGATTAACGTATGTTTTAAATCACTAATCAAGTAAATATATTTTACCTGCAGGTCCGGAACATATTACTTTACTGGTCTCCTGTGGGTGCCATTCAACCTGAGAAATGGGAGATTTTCCAGGGATTGATATCTCTTTCAGAAGCTTCGATGTGGTCCAATCCCACAACAGAACCTTGCTTCTGCTATCCCCAGAACATATGTAATGACCGTCTGGCGAGAAAGTAAACCCTATTGCGTAACCTACAGATTTCTGCCCTTTGAAAACTTTATTCGGAAGCTTCCTAAATTTTGGTTTCATGTTATACGTATATATAGCATTATCCATACTTTGTGTGCAAAAGTATTTTTGAGTCGGGTGTGTATTGATAACAGGCATAGAATATTGTGCAGTATCACTTATATTTTTTATAGGAATATTAACTCCATTATCCCAAATCATCACGGTCTTATCTTCAGAAGACGATATAAACTTAGATCCATCTTGAAAGTATTTAACATCTAAAATACCCCCAATATGATGATCGTACGTTTGAATAAGTCCATTCTTTGAAGTTACACGTGTATCATAATGCAAAATTCTAGAATCTGAAAGACCAATTATAAATTCGTTGGTTCCCGTAGGACGAAATTGACAGCAACTGACACCATCTTTATAACGAAGTCTCTTCAAGACAGACCCCCTTTCGGTATCCCAAATTTTTACTGTTTTATCATAAGAACTACTTATGAATGACGTACCATCATTTACAAAATCTAACGAATTTATTGATTGGGAATGTCCTTGATAATCCCGTAAACAATTTCTCCGGTGATAAAAATCCCATAATTTGATCTTATTATCATTACCCCCTGACAAAAATAAATGACCTGTATGAGGAAGAAACTTTAAACTTGTTGTACCATTTTTATGACCCTCAAAAGTATATTTAACCTTTTTTGGAAGATAAGTCTTGAAAGAAAGCTGGGGTTTATCCAAAGCTATATCTATATCTAGCGGTGGTTGTAATAAGTTACTTCGACCCCGATAATCTTTCTCAGATTTACCATAAAACTGAGATGTCTCTGATTCACCAATACATTCTACCTCTGAATTATCGTCCTCGGTATTAATTTTGTCGTTATCCCAATCTCCAATAGAACCGTCGCTGATTTGATTTTTATCTTCATCATCACTGCTCCAGGATCCCCAGGGACTATTAATTTTCCTGGCCTGTTTTCTCTTCTTCAACTCACTTTTTGTAAAGTGATGTCTTCTTTTTGGTATAACTGGATTGCGAGGGGTCCCATTCACATTGTTTAATAATGGAGTTTCATTTGGATTTTCCGAATCAGAACTTGAGCTATATCCGTCAACAATCCCCATAATATTTATTTGTAAGTTAGATCTACAGATTTTTTGACATATCCAGTTAACTATCTAACAGATCTGTACCTGCACCCGTTTATCGATACTTCCTCTTAACAACAAAAAATAGCATAATAGAAATTTTCAGTCATCTAAAAATTTAATTTCAGTCGCTTTATGAAAAAAGCTTCATATATGCAAGGGTAGTACGTAATTGTTCGATACAAACTAAGTGTACTTGTAAATATGCTTATTATATAACATTTTTTATGGTGTAATTCTAAAATATGGAATTAACTTAATGTACATTATTTATATTTAATTACGGTTCTTCTTGTTTTTTAATTTTTTTACAATATTTTGAATATTACTCTTAGAAGATGAGCTGTCGCCACCATCATCTCTTCTCTTGTTATAACCATGTGGTTTTTTGGAACGCTTATTAGATCCAGAATGGTTCTTCGAACGCTTGTTACGTTCTTCCAACATTTTTTTGGTTGTTTTGGTAGCTTTGAATTCTGGCCTAGAAGGATCAATCGCAAAATCTCTATCTTCAAACATTTCTTTAAATCTAGGATCATTCAAGTTAGCCTCAAAATTATCCTCAACAATCTTTGCTTTATTTTGGTATTTAGATTTTTTACCCTTCTCCTTTTCTGACCTTAAAATTTCGTTCATATTAAAATGAGCGTCTTTATTTATTTTATTATCGGCATTCTCTTCATCATCCATCATTAATAATTCCAATTCAGCTCTTGATTTACTGTTACCTTCAAATTCCCTATTCTTTTTATCCTTCAAGGATCTTAATTTTTCTTTCTTCTCCTCTAAACTATCTTTCTTCATTTGTTTCAACTTTTCTTTCCTAGACTTTCTACGTTCTTTTTCTTTACGTCTAACCTTTTCAATAGTATTTTCTTCTTTTTCTTCTTCCTTTTCAGATGCACCTTCTTCTAGGCCTGGGGTGAATGTGATTTCCATATCAACTTCTTCACCCTCTTCTTTTTCCTCAGCCTTTTCATTAAAGTTCTTCCCTACTAAAGACAGTAATTTATTTCTAGAATTTTGATCAACATCTTCATCCGAATGATCACTATCCGATGCTAAGTATGCCTTGAAATCCATATCTTCAATCTCCTTCTGTGAAAATGCTCTTTTTGAGATTGCAATTCTGTCTGCAGGAGTTTCATCCCAAGTCAATTTAACATTAGAATGTTGCAAAGCATCTGTACTGAATTGAAGAGGTTTATAATTTGCCGGTGTGGTTGCACATTCATCTCTTGGAGCATCATCGAATGTCATGCCATCTGGAACGAAACGTAGATCAAACATATTTGCAGTAGACTCGAATTCAGTACCATCACAATTTTGATAAATAGAGGACGCAGTTTCAATGTTATTACAGTATACTACCGCATAATAATATCTTAATCTTTCTAATTGATATTGACGTAGAGCCTTTCTATCAAAATCTTTATCTGCATCACCCTCTTCATAAAGATCTTTAATACCTATATCTTCATCGCTTTCTTCCTCCTCCTTACTACTATGTTTCTTACTCTTCTTTTTTTGAAATAATTCCTTTGGAGGACCCTCAATTTCTTCCCTTTGCATTCTTTCTTTTCCAAACTCACTTGGGTATATAGCAATTTTGCTAATCTTACCACCTTTTGGAACAAAACTGGACAATGTAACAAATAAATCCTCTGCTTTAACATGGTCCCAATCTAAATTGACGACAGCTAAAGTCTTTGAAGGTTCACCAACTTCTGGTTTTGTAGTTTCAATTTCTATCTCAGATTCACCTTCACTTTCTAAATCACTTTCTCCCGAAGATTCAGACTCAGAAGACGTATAATCATCCGAAGAACTAACATAATCGTCTGGGACCTCTCCACGAGCTCTATCAACAATAAATTCTTTAGATTCTTTAGATTCTTCAGTGACCTTGGTTGTCTCACTTTCTTCATCTTTTTCAAAATATTTATCGAAATCGTTCAGATCCTTATTATTCGAATCAGAATTAATCTTTCTACCATACTTATCAACTTTACTTTTCTTTTTAATTTCTAGATCTTTCTTGCTAAATCTATTATCTAGTTTGATCTTGACGTCTTTAGAGCTTGTCTTTTTAAATTTAGGATCATTGTAAACTCTTGAAAATCTTGGATCAGAAGATTGTCCTTCTTGACTCCCACTACCACTTGATGACATTGTGTAATTGCAAATTTGATGATATTTGCTACTCGAACCATAAAAACTTCAACAGAATATAACATAATACGTTCAATTATAAGTTTCTCTTATTATATACTTGTTAGTAAATCGATGCTCATCGCTTCTTCTCGCGTTGAAGGAACTGAAAATTTTTAGGCGCACGTAGAATGTGACGAAAAATATATATTCTTTTATATCATATGAAGTTATTATCAAGTTATATCTATTAAATATTTAAACTCTCTGAAAATGTGTCTTAATTCCAGGCTCGTTGCAATACAACAATTTCGTACAATCGTATAAGTAATAAAAATCGAGCAAATGTTCTTTACTCAAAATTGCATAAAGCTTGGTAATCATTTCCCATAGAGTGACGTACTTCATCGACTACGGATCAAACCCAAACCAAATAGTACCTACTCTGTAGAATTCGAGATAATACATGCACGTATATATATCTGTTGATTCTTTATTTTTTTGATTTAGTCTTCTTTACTAATTTCTTTTTAATATGTTTTTTGACCTTTGTTTTACGTTTTTCACGTTTAGCTTCTTTAGCTTCCTGTTTCCTTTGTTTCTTTTCATCTTTATCTTCATATTTTTTACCCTTTAAAACCTTTTCCTCTTCATCAGAATATTCTTCTTCACTTTCTTCTTCTTCATCGTCTTCCTCTTCTTCTTCCTCTTCTTCTTCCTCATTATCGCTTTCATCATCTGAGATATCTTCATCAATAAATTCGTCCATATCCTTATTATCAGAATTAGAGAAATTTTTTTCATTATCATGAGCTAATAAACTTTTCAATAAATCAAATTTACCTTCTGTAAATCTATCAAAATCTCTTTCTTCTAAACCATTCAAATTTCTAACTAAATATAATGATCTAAAAACTTCATCCTCAGCTTCATCCTCTGCAGACTTTTTAACAATTAAATTCTTTTTAATGTATTCTATCAAATCAGTTAGGTTTTTGGCATCACCTTCAAAATTTGGTAATATTTCAGAAATGACAAATTGGAAAATCAAACGTTCCGAGAAGATATCAATACCCATTTTTTCAAAATAGAAATTCACATTCTTTATATCCATTCTTAGGAAATCTAAACTCATCGGATGCTCTGGTTGAACACTTTGTGATACATCAATAAAATAAAGTTGGCCATTATGAACCAATGTGTTATATTCTGAAAGATCTGCATGGACTAATTGACACACTTGATAAAGTAATCTTATATCAGCAACCATATTGTAATAAAAATGATATATTTCATCACGGTCCTTATATGGATAATCTCTAAGACGTGGTGAAGCAAATCCATCACCTCTATTCAAAAATTGCATTACTAAGACATTATTTTTCACTTCAATAGGTTTTGGAACGGGTATCACACCTGCTTGATATATTCTCTTTAAATTACGAAATTCTTTTTCTGCCCAAATTTTAATCATTTTTCTTGGGTTATGTTGAGATCTTGAATTTCTGAAACGAAATTCACCATCAACATAACGTTCTCTATCTTTAAAGACTAAGATAGATGTTTTGTAAATCTTAATAGCATACTCCTCTTTCTTTTCTGGAGAATCTTTCAAATCAGTATTAACCTTGTCATCACCTTGATTTTGTGATTTTTCATCCTTTCCGTCTGTATTATTTAGTTGCTTATTACCAGCGAATGCGTGGTATACATTAGCTTCTTTACCTGTACTTATACAACCATTAAAATCGGATATAATACCTCTATTCATCAAAGCTTGCAAAAATCTCATGGTTCTAGGATCCAGCACATTTTCCACTGTTGCTCTATTGGCTTTATCCTTATTGGTTTTCCCTCTACTGAAGGACAATTCATCCGTTTTGATCTTATCACTAAATTTGTCCAGAATTCGAGTGTTAACATGCTCACGATTCTCACGGTCATCGTGTAGATTCATTTTATCAAACTTATCCTCGAATGACATTTTTACACTAGTAAACTATTTCTAAAATTATTATAAATTGTTAAACTTGCTGTTAATCACTCCACAATTCAAAAAAAAATATATTATTGATGGTAGAATTGGTTCATAAAACCTTCTATTTATCCTTATACCGTTTTCTCATTAAAATGAATTGAAGTATAGCTCATCGCGGATTTTGTTCTGCCATTTGTTCTTCCTCCGTTACATAAAATTTTCCAAAGATTTAGAAAGTGAACCATTGTTATTATTATTGTCATAAAAATTTTCAATGCAAATGAAGAAAGCGAAAGAGCGAAGATGTACAGTGGCAGCGTTGTTGTGGTACAAGCTTAATTCAAAACAAACATAATATCATAATAATCGAAACTTTTTTGTTATATAAAACAGTTACCACAGTACGTGAAGCGAATATAAAGTATACTTCTTCTGTCGTATTTTGGTCCAAAAAGGAATATAGTTAGAAATCAATTCTACTTCTTTTTTTTATTTTTATTTGACTCTAACGTTTTTTAATAACATCCATGCGAAGAATGAGAGCATCAGCATTCAGGTTCCCAAAGACATTTCTAGGGTTTCTACCTTTATATATAGCTGTTGAAATCGTCCTTGGTATAACGATATTAAATAAATGCAGTGGTGCATACGGTATATTAGCCATCTTTACAGGCCATCCTTTGGATTTCATGCAAGGTGTATCATACCTGTGGTCTATATTTACATTAATTGTATATGCTCAAGGTTTATATGAGATTGCCAAACCTACGTTACTCACATTTTCACAGATATTCATGTTCTATTCAATTGATACCATCTTCACTTGTTTCTTTACATTGTGGTTCACTGGTGTTTGGTTTGGTGTCGAATCAGCTGAATCTTCAAACGCTGACGTTAATAATAATCATTCCAAACGTGGTGCAGATATTGCTAGTCAAGGTGCATCACAAGCATATGAATATACAATTACCATGTTTATTACATGGGTTTCTTTAATCTTCAGACTTTATTTTAATTTTATTTTGGCATCATATGTTAAGGAATTATTATCAAATCCAAAATTCATGATCGATCAAGATGATGTTGCACAGGATCTTAAGAATAAGAAATTCTATAGAAGATGGTGGGTTAAATTACAAAAAAATTCTTACAAATTATGTAGACGCCTATTGGTATGACCTAAAAATCAAAAAAACATTTAATCTAATTCAAACTGCTTTAGGTAATAGACTTCATAAAAAAAAAATAAACTAGCATTACTATTATTTATTTGTCACATCAATAAATAAATATATATTTAAATCTAAGATATATATCTATATTTCAATTGTTTACAACAGATATTACATTGTTTCACTAACAAAACATTTCTAATAACTACGGTATTAGTATTGCAGGTTGAAATGGCATATCGTAAACATTCATTCAATTGACACCTATTCTCGATCCGAAACTTCTATTATTGAAGAAATATATATTCATTCAATAAGCTTTCCAGAGAATCCAGTTTCGTAGGCTTCCGGACCACTCTCTTCCGTAGGTATGCTATTCTAAATCACTTGTAAGCTTGGCGGTGTCTAATTATGCATCACCAAACTATTATGGCCCCGCCCTCCTTTTAATTTTTTAAAATTGTCGCACTCACAACGATAATGTCATCAGGGGAAGGTGGGGGGAGGTTGAAGAAGTAAATCTGTCCATCCAAAAGAGGAAATGCCCTAAGTGTTCCGGGCATCCAGTCTGTAGAATTCGAAATACAGTTAAACAATTGAACATCAAAGGGTAGCAAAATTATGTGCCATTACTTTTTACCCCTTCCTTAAAACAACAATAGGTGTTAGTGAATAATGTGGGGATCTGTTAACTACGTACGTCGTGTAATGACTTTAGTGCTGTGATGACTTTCTTTCTTTCCTAGAATTGACAGGAAATAAGTTCTCAGGACTTAAGATATAATTTTTCATCAGGATATAAGAGTCTTCCACAATTTTTCGGATCGTTATGAGATCTTCCTCGAAAATTTATATTTAAGTAAGCACTTATTTCATATCTTGCACCCCCTAAAGATTTCTTCTTCTTGAATAATCATATTACGTGCTTTTTGTTTTCCACTAATTCGTCATATTTATTTTTTTCTTTTCTTTGTCAAGCTGAATAAGGATTATAGCAATTACCATATAAATCGTTATCATCTCTAACAATGGCTCAATTAAAAAACAACACTACTTATCTTAAATTAAACACAGGTGCTTCTATCCCATCTGTCGGTCTAGGTACCTGGAAATCTACTGGTGAAGATGATGGTTATAAATCCGTGATTAAGGCTCTAGAAGTAGGTTACAGACATATTGACACTGCTGCTATTTACAAAAATGAAGATCAAGTTGGTAAAGCAATCAACGACTCTGGTGTTCCAAGATCAGAAATCTTTGTCACAACAAAATTATGGTGTACTCAACAACATGACCCTAAGGAAGCCTTAGAACAATCCTTAAAGAGATTGGGTCTAGATTATGTAGATCTTTACTTGATGCACTGGCCTGTTCCATTAAATCCAAGAAGTATCAAAGATGGTAACTATTTAACTATCCCATTCAAGGAAGATGGTACTCGTGATGTTGAAATTGATTCTTGGAATTTTATCAAGACTTGGGAGCTAATGCAAGAACTACCTGCTACTGGCCTAACTAAAGCTATCGGAGTCTCCAATTTCTCTATCAACAATATCAAAGATTTATTAGCCTCTCCTGGTAACAAAATTACCCCAGCTGCTAATCAAGTTGAATTACATCCCCTATTACCACAGCAAGAATTGATTGATTTCTGTAAATCTAAGGGGATTGTTGTCGAAGCTTACTCTCCTTTAGGAAGTAATAATGCTCCATTATTATCTGAAAAGATTGTTATTGAAGTTGCCAAGAAGAACAACGTCACCCCTGCCGAAGTTGTTATTAGCTGGCACGTTCAAAGAGGTTACGTTGTTTTGCCAAAGTCTGTTAACCCAGACAGAATTACAAGTAACTTGAAGACTTTTGTCTTATCTGAAGAAGACTTTAAGGCTGTTTCTGAAATTTCTAAGATCCAAGGTGAAAAGAGAGTAGTTCTTCCAGACTGGGCTCCATTTATTCCATTTGTGTAAGGATCTTATAAAATTAATATTCTGTAGCTTTTTTTTAAAAAAAACAGTACACTAAAATATTTTATATCAATTCATATCTGTGAATGATGTTTTTGAGTAATATATATATTTATATATTATCTTGAAAAGAATATACTCACATATCAGTTCTATTAATGCACATAATGCCACAATATATATAAATTCATGCCATCCTTCTAAATTTGAAATTAGGACCGTCATCCGAATCATCAGAGTCCGAATCCGAAACATCAATCGTCGACGCCAATTTTTGAACTCTTGAAGATGCGGGAGTCCTAACAGGAGTTATTGACGTTGTAAGGTTACTATTATTAACCTGGTCCCTTACATTTTCTTCTTCCTCTTCTTCTTCGTTAGTAACAAATAACGCATTAGAACTATTATTAGATCTTGAAAAGCTAAAAGAATTAGATTCATTTTCTGAGTCACTATTATCCATGTTATTGTTTTGAGGAACAGTACATTGAGGAGTATATCCTTCTCCTTCATATTTGCTATTTCTAAGGGTATTAATTGATTCTCCTCCATTACTATCTAAACTTTTATCTTCTATACTGTCATTTCGTGTTTCACCAATGTGGTCGCAAATTTCAGTGGCGGATTTCCTTGGTTTACCATCGTACGACTTCGTGTCAATGTAACTTCTTGTAATTAAATATGCATTATTCGTTATTGAATCGTTACCGCTCCTTGAAGAACGGGAAACTTTAACAAACTTCTTAAAATTCTTACGCCCTTGCCAAGGACCTAAGGTGGCTTCTGAATGAGGCTCATCACGTCTCACTATTAAAGACGGGTTTTCCTCAATTTCCAAATTAGCAAATTCATTTAATGCACCTTCTGTTAACTCCTCAGGGCGTACCTCCACAATATTTGTTTTCAATCTTTCCACTTCCTTAGATTTTGTAGATTGAATGACATCTACCAGTGTTCGTGGCCTTTCCATTAATGCACGGTTTGAATCTAATGAGACTGGCATAGAGGTCACTTTCTCTTCAGAACGATGTTTAGCAAGGGAAGAGCTATTTTCAACAATATTTTTAAAAGCACCCATAGGAATGCTCTCTTCCTCAATAATAGTTGAATGTTTTGGATCATTATTCGTTTTCGTAAATATATCATTTGTTTCTATGTTTAATTGCCCTTCATTCGGTTTGTCGATTCCCGCAAATGAATTAGGTTCCATAGGTATTTTAGATTTACTCTTATCAAGATTTTCTGACATAGTTTCATCTGTGCTTGTTGTGTTTAATTTAGAAATTTTTGTTTGAATGACATCTTTATTCGCAGGACTTTTGGTTTCATCCACAATTGGCATTGTTACCTCTTCCTTTCCCTCTCCTGATAAGTCTCCACCACCAGCAAAGAAGCTCAGGCTATTCAAAGGTTTTATCTTAGGACGGGTTATTCTTCTCCTTTTAGTCGGCATTGGATTTGGCTCTTGTGATTCACTTATACGATGTATGGTAGTAGGTTTATCATCATTTTCACTGATTATAGGATCATTAGTCTGTTGCTCAGCCTTTTCATATGAAATAAATGCTAGTTTTATATTTGATAACGGGGTAATGAATTCATCAAGTTTTTTCGATCGTAAATGTTTAACAAAATTATCAATATTTATAATATTTATATTGGAAGATTGCAATATTTCCAGATTTTGTGTTTCTGCTAGTTTAATCACAATAATTCTCTCTCCAAAATTTTCTCGAGGTAAACTTTCCTTCAGATCCTTAATATTCTCGTAGCTTTTGGTAGTCCCATGTATTTTTCTTATTGCATTATCTAGGTATAATTTGTTTGTTTCATCTGTTTTTCCAATCAGAATGAAGTTCACCGTCTCTGCGATTTTTCGTATCTCATTAAGATCATCATCATTATTGTTATTTACAATTTCAAATAAATCAAACTTCATCTCATTCCTCCATTTTTCATCAAAATTAATGTTCTTGACCTCCATCCAAGTCTGGAGATTTTGTAATTCAGATAATGTCATATTATGTATTCCATTTGTGTATGTAAATAATTCTCTGTAGTATTTAGAATCGGTCAAATCATCTATAAATAATACTGTATTAATATTTTCCAACAAATTTGAACTCACAGAAGCTTCCTCTACATATTGTGTTCCATATTCTTCTAGTTGATCAAATTGATGAATATCAACTTTCTTCGGTATTAGCACATTTAATGGAATCCAGGTTAGGGTGACTTCAATTGGTGAAACACCAAGAGATATATTGATTTGCTGACTGGTACTATTGTTACTTTTCGATAAATCGAGATTATCAGCTATCGAGCAAGCAAATAATTCTGATTCTTTTTTGTATTCACCATTTATTGCAGTTAATTTCCCGCTATTTATAATGTTCACTGTATCTCCTTCCCATTCAATCGAAATATGATTACGTGATATACTTTTGTCATTCTTAATCGGAAAGGTGCATTTACCAGATCTACCTATAGTGTAGTTTGTTGATCTCTTAATGCATCGTGATACATCTAATATTTGACCAGAGGCCAAAGTATTCTGGTATCTTAATAGCCACATAAATGGATGCAGATTCTTGGATTATGTATAGGTCTAAAATTCCAGGACGATGAAGAAAATAATAATTAAACAAATTAGTACTATTGCCTATATATAAATCGTAGCCAGTAATTTCATCTCTGTCATGTCCATATGTGATGAGTGCAATGTTTTCTTATTCTAGATTATCGGAACTTCAATTAAAGCCTTAAAAAAGCTAGAACGATAATTAAGCGGCAATGACTGAAAGCAGATCCTATAAAGAATTTTACTTTAAAGTTTATGAAATATAAAAACGAAGGATTATAATTTACTCTCCCCTGTCATATATGTTCATTATTAAATATGCATAATGTTAAATATGGTTTATTTTATGTAAAGTTTGGAATCGTAACACTGACTGGAGTAGAATGCAATTTCTTTACGTGTATGTTATGACGTGCATCTATCTTGATCTTAAAGGAACGTGGACCTTCATCTACATCCGGATTTGCATTTCTTCTTACTAATTCACATATAGATCTTAAACAATGTTGAAGCCACTCTACGGCAACATTTGAGTTATAATTGAAATCCTTGTTGTATGGCGTAAGATTTCTACTATTAAATTTTCGATATAAATTAGTCCTAGAGTATTGCAGTATATCATGTAAAATACCGTCTGATGGATTCCTGATCCCAATGATAATATCTGATTCTGGGCATATTCCTGTTTGCAGCCACGTTTTCAATAACTTTTTACGATGTTGTGGGTTACCCATCTTTAAATTGGCATAACATTTCAGTTCACTGTAAATATCCTGGGTTGCATTATAGGCATCCATTTCACAACGTAACACTAGATCAATATTGTCATCGAGTCGTGCTTTAACGATAGAAAATGCTGGACTTTTGGGACCATCCTGGTTTGTAATTAGATCTTCGAATGCAAATCCTGAAAAGCATATCTTTTTCAGGATCGGATCCGTAGAGTATATACCATCTTTGGCAAATGATTTATTTTGAGTATCCTGAGAAAACAATAGAAGACCATTATCAAGGTATGTGCATATTAAAGTAGTATCTGCATTCTTCTCATTAGAATTAAATAGGGACATACCAATATCTACTATATGATGTCTAGCAGATACTATTGTTAATTTTGGAAATGCGCTTAACCAAGCACCACATTGAAACTGGGATTCGATATATTTTAAACAAGGTTCAATACTATCTAGATCTTTGTCGTCCATTGCTTTATATATTTCAAGGTTGTCATAAAGGTTAGTTCCAATAAATTTAGTTTTCAGAGCTTTCGAATCAGTAATGGATAGATCAGCCAGCAGTGAAGCATTATGTACCAATACAGGCATTGCAGTTAATTTCCTCTTTTGGCTAACATCACATGTAAATTGATCATCTTTAAACAGTCCTACTTCCTCAATAGATTTGAATATCCGTTTCGGATCATTTGGTAGGTAGTTCTTACTGGAATGGTTAAATGTGTGATAAGGAATAGAATCATTAGCGTTACTTATTTTATTTCTTCTTTTGCTCTTCACTTTTTTATTTGCCTTTTTGCTTTTCAATTTCAATGCAGCCACACCATTGACAACATTATGAATATTCTCAACCGGTGAAGGTGTTTCGACAGGCTCTTTCAATGACATTATATCAGGTTAGTGCACATTAGTATGCGATTGCAAGTTGAAATTGGTTATAGGATCAATAACAAAAAGAAAACACATACGTGTTGCTTCAAGTGATAGTAATTGTTGTACACAAGTGTGTAACTGCCAATAGTCTCCCTATTTGAATAAATTATTTAGTTGTTACCTTCCATTACCTAGATCTGTGTCATAACAGATGGTGTCTCTACCAATTCTCTCTTTCCACGAATTGTTTCCAGTAACGATCCAATAGGCAGCTAGTTCCGTTTCAATTTACCGCGATGCTGTGAAAAATACAATAGTCATCCTCCCTTTACATAAGCAAATGTAATAAAAAGATTATTTTAAACTACAAAGTGTTTTGTATTAACCTCAATTCCAAACAAAATTTCTAACTAAATACGGAGAATTACTCAAGATATATATTTAATTTTCTGTGAACAAGAAAAAGATGACTGAATGGTGTGTTATTATTTATGATAAAGCTGGCTCCGATAGATCTAAGCTTAGACCACAGCACTTAGCTGGTATTCCTCCTCAAGTTGAGCAAGGAAAGTTGGTCTGTGCAGGTGCCATTTTCAATGAACCTACAACTCCAGGTGGTGAACGTACTTTTGCTGGTTCCCATTTACAAGTGGTCGCTGATACTAAAGAAGAAGCCCTAAAAATTGTTCAAGGTGATATTTTTGCTAGAGAAGGTATCTGGGATATGGAAAACATCATTATCTATCAATTTGGTTGTGCTGTCCGTCAACCAAAGAAGTAAGAAAATGGTAAATAATTGACTTTTTTTTTATTTCCTATATAATGATTGTATGTTTACAAGAGGTGTTTAAATTTTATGCAATTCAGCTGCTTTTTTGAATGCTGAAAGTTGAACAATACTATAGGTTCAGACTTATCGTCGATTCTCATTTTATTAATTACTGTATATAGCACTATAATACTTGAATAAACGATCAGTATGTTTCTTTAATTTTGAAATTAACTCTTAAGTAACTTTGGTATTATATACACTATCGTGGCTCAGTTTTAAAAAATTTCCCCTGACGTAATGCAATAAGCCCTCCTTCATTCAGATTGACATAATTCTAAAAATAATAAATAAAAAATAAAAAAAATAAAAAGTCAAGGCATTGAGTGTTTGTGTGCTATCTATTCGATGCCGGCATTCAATTTTATCAAAATTGGCAACAAAATAAGGATAATAATAGCTAATTTAAGATGACAATTGACGATATTGATAAATACGACATTGCCCGAGCTTTAGAAGAAGTGTCATTTATGAACTCTTCGAGATCCTCGTTAAGAGATGACAACCAAACTGGACACAGAGTAGTGAGTGGTGTCTACTATACAAATTGGTCGCCATACAATGAACTAGGACATTTCCCACGCGACATTAATTTTGCTAATGTTACTCATGTCTATTATGCGTTCTTTCATGTCGATGGAAAAACAGGTAATTTAAAATCCACAGATTCATGGTCTGATTTCCAAATACCTATCACAACTGGAGAGGGACATCCTAATCATCCCGAAGGATGTCTAGGTGAATTATTTATACTAAAGCTACATCAAAAATTCAAAGTTTTAATGTCGATTGGTGGGTGGTCCAATAGGAAAGAATTTACTGAAGCTATGCAAGATATTGAGAAAGTTCAAAACTTAGCTAAATCATGTATTGAAATAATGTTTAGATATGGCTTTGATGGAATTGATTTTGATTGGGAATATCCAAGAAATAATGAATATGAACCCAGAAATTTTGTCCATTTAATTGAAAATGTAAGGTTTGGTCTAGATGCATTGGAGGCTAACATATTTAATACTCCAAAGAGAAGATTTGAAATAACAGTAGCTACTCCTGGTACTGAAGACAATTTACAAGGTATACGATTTAACAGATTGATTCCTTTAGTAGATTATTGGAATGTAATGACATATGACTATTACGGGGAATGGTCCGATAGGACAGGATATCATAGTAATTTATACAATCCAGCTTTTCAAGATGAATATTCAGGTTCTGATACTACTGAAGAAGAATATAAAGAGAAAGACGAAGTAGTGAAAGAACATAGTCTAAGTGCGAGTGGAATAATATCAATACTTTGTAACAAGTATAAAGTTCCTAGAAATAAAGTTGTAATGGGGATGGCATCATATGGTAGAGGTTTTACGAACGTTAAGACTAATGTAAATAGTGCAGCATATATCGGTAAGAAATATAGTGGAGTAGGAGGAAGTGGACCGGAGAAAGATGGTACTTGGAAATACAATGAATTACCATTGACTGGTACGGAAGAAGAATTTGATCCAATGTATGGTAGTGCATATTGTTTTGATAAAGAGACGAAAACATTTATTGGTTACGATAATTATCAATCAATTAGAATGAAAGGTGAATATACTTGGCGTAGTGATTTGGCAGGTATGTTTATGTGGGAATCAGCCGGTGATGATTACAAATATCCAAATTTATCATTATTGGAGATATATGCACATGAAGTTCATTATAAATTAAAGAAAGATAGATCTCCATTCACTGAGAAATCATTAATTGAATTTTATCTTAAGAGATATCCAAAGAATGGGTTTCTAACAACATATTTGAAAACTATACTTCAAAATACTGAATAGCATGACTCAAGTTGTCATACATAAATACATATAACAAAATAAATATATTCTTAACGGTCTGTTAACCCAATAAATTAATTAGTTCAATAGTGCTCTTCATAATGGTTAATAGTACTCAAAAAAAAAACTGCTGAAAAAATAACAACAACTAAACAAAGAACATAAAGGTCATCTCGCGCGTTAAAAATATTTATAATATATGCAAAAGGAAAATAGTTGTAAATATGCGGAAATAAAAGAGAAAAGGATACCTAACAATTCAATTAGAGAATAAATTGAAGTGAGCATACAAATAAAATTAACACAGAACAACCTTTAGAAAGGAGATTTCTGTTTATCCCAAGCTGATACTAACCAAGCAAACAACGTCCGTTCGATAATTTAAAATATGGGTGCTAAAGCTTCAAAACTTTCAAAGGATGATTTAACCAGTCTTAAACAATCTACGTATTTCGATCGTCGTGAAATTCAACAATGGCATAAAGGTTTCCTAAGGGATTGTCCGACTGGTTATTTAACTAGAGATGATTTTGTGAAAATATATAAACAATTTTTCCCATTTGGCCAACCAGAAGATTTTGCAAATCATTTATTTTCTGTATTTGATAAAGATAATAATGGATTTATTGAATTTAAAGAATTTATTGCTGTATTAAGTACAACATCCAGGGGTACATTAGAAGAGAAATTAGTATGGGCTTTCCAACTATATGATTTAAATCATGATGGGTATATTACATATGATGAAATGTTAACTATTGTCAGTAGTGTATATAAGATGATGGGATCAATGGTACAATTAGATAAAGAAGAAGCAACACCAGAACTTAGGGTTAAAAATATATTTAAATTAATGGATAAGGATGAGGATGGATATATAACGTTGGCAGAGTTTAGGGAAGGTTCTAAAGTCGATCCATCCATTATCAGTGCAATCAGCCTCTATGATGGCCTGGTTTAATGTCATATATATATACATATATATATATCGTTATACAATTATTATTAGCATTAACATATCATACCATTCTTTCAATTAATAAATAAATAAATAAATAATTTTATTATTTTATGTATGTATATGAATATAATGAGAGAGGTTAGGGTAGATACAAAACTATAGGGAAAAATGGTAAATTTCATTTCATCACTATTATTAATATTGTGATTACCATCTGCTCATTCTTCTGTATCTAAGAAAGAAGTAACTTTAATATGTTTTGATTGAAAAATATTTAACATACTAATTCCCACTTCTTTTGGTAATATTTGAGTATCTCTTGAATTAGTTACAGGTTTATTTTGATTATCTGGTACAATTAAATGTTTAAACATTCTGTTTTCAATATCTCTAACACATAACCATTTAATTTTAAAAGCAGAACCATATTTCGAATTATTTTCCCATATACTAGTATCCAAATCCTTTGATAAATCAGAAATCATTTCTGCAACACCACAAAATTTACCAGATCCATTAACAGAAAAGAATAAGAATATTTTTGAATCAGATTTACCTGATTTAAAACAAGAAGATAATTTTTTATTACCAACATGAGTTGATGACCAAATATTATATTCATAAGCACGTTGAATGTGTTCTAAAGTAAAAGATTTAATAATGAAAAAATTTGAATCAGGTGGAATATCAAAATATTGTGGAATAATTGCAGAATTATTACTGTAATTAAATTTTTTTTTCAATGATCTTTCATTACTATATGAATAATCAAATTTTTTGGTAAATTTTGAATTGTAAGCACAATAATTTTTTTGATCAATGTTTGAGGGGAAAGATTGCTCATAATTATTGAAATTATTTTCATTAAGAAATTGTGTGCCAAACCCAGTATTATTATTAATCATTGAACGTGGAATATTATTAATATTTTGATTTGTTATTGAGAAAAATTCATCTAAAAGATCATCTTCAACAAATTGTATACCATTTTGAATACAATAATTTCCTTTCTTTGTTGAATATTTCAACGGAGTCCCAATAGGATCTTCAAAATCCCAAATATCCATGACTAAAATTTATCCCTTTTGAACCTCTTACGCTTTCTTTCAAAACAGCCTTGCTACCGACAATAAAACAAACCTGTTCTTCTTCTTTACTCAAATAACCACACTCTCCAAGTAATTATTTCCCATATATATATATATATATATTGCTGAAACTTTTTCTCCCTCCACACCTTGCCTCTTATATAGAAATATGTTTAAAGTGGAGAAACCAGTTTCAACGATCCATCTTCCCTTCTAAAATAGCCGCCGAATCAAAGAATCACCCAAATTCGAAGAATCGATTTCCCGCCCTTTGTCTTTCTTTTGAAACAACAGTATTTTGCAAAAAAAGAAGAAGAGACAATCTTTGTGTGTGTGTGTGTGTGTGTGTGTGTCGCGTCACCGCAGTTTTGTTTGGGGATGTGCGGTATTCCGTTGGAGAGACAGACAGAACTACTAATGCTTTGAAAATTGATACTTCCAATCCTCTTTAGCTTCACTGAGAGGATGAGACAGACAAGCCAGGGAGATTAATATTCAAAATACATTTATTGGCTAGATAAGTGGTGGTGTTCGTTTTAGCAGCATATAGAACATAGTTGTTTTGTTTGATACAGTAAACACGGTCAAAGAACTATGAGTGCGAGTAAGAAGTTAAGTAAATATATATTGAAAGAATTGAATAATATTTCAGAAGATAACGTGGTCGATGTTAGTAAGAGCGATGAACGACTGTTATCAGTATCATATCAATTACTAATGAAACATGTGATAGATCGTGCTAATGATTTGGCTATATTAGATCATTCTATAGAAGTTTTCCCAAGACATATTGAAACCGCTTTAAATGAACTAATTGAAAAAAATGGAAACTTGAAAAAATAGAAAATACTACTACTGGTAGTAGTAGTAGTATATATATATATATATCAATATACTGAGAAAGAAAAGGTTTTTTTTTTTCCTTGGTAGTATACTTGAATCAAGTATGGTTGAATGTGAAGTACGATAAACAGTATTTATTTTAAGTGAAATATTCTATGGTTCATTTATGGGTTCATTTGTAAGAAATATTTCTATTATTGGATCGGGTCCATCGGGACTTTATACAGCATATCATTTAATTAAAAAAGCAAATACAATTAAGATACCATTTAATATTAAAGTATGGGAAAAATTTCCAGTACCATTTGGTTTAAGTAGGTTTGGTGTTGCACCTGATCATCCTGAAGTTAAAAATTGTGAATTAACGTTCGAATCAATGTTTAAAGATTATAAAAATTTAAGTAATGGATATTGTCAAGATTTACAATTTATTGGTAATACTATTATAGGTAATCAAACAAATACAATTGAAAATAATATTCCATTAAAAAAATTATATAATTCTCAAGATATTATTGTATTTAGTTATGGTTGTAATGGTGATAAAAGATTAAATATTTTAAATGAAAATTCAACTTCTGGTATATTTACAAGTAGACAATTTGTTAATTGGTATAATGGACAATTTGATATGTCATTAAATGAAAAGTTTATGAATTTTAATTGGTCAAAAGTTTCAAATGTTGGAATTATTGGTAATGGTAATGTTGCATTAGATTTAGCAAGAATATTAATTAGTAATCAAATTGATTCATTATGGTCAAATACAGATATTTCAAATATTGCTTTAAAAAAATTAAATGAAGCTCCAATTAAATCAATTAAAATCTTTGGTAGAAGAGAATTTTCACAATCAAAATTTACAAATAAAGAATTTAGAGAACTTTGGGAATTAGAAAAATATGGTATCTTTGGACAAATTAAATCAGATGAATTTCAATCTATGATACAAAATTTGAATAATAATAATTCAAACAAATCTATTTATGATCGTGTAATGATGAGACGTCTTGAGATGTCTCAGCAATATATGTTACCGTTTGATCAAAGAACTAAAAAAAATTATAAAAAATTTATACCTCCTGTAGATAGAAAAGATGCATTAAAGACGTGGGAATTTCAATACTTAAAGAGCCCTCAATCAATTAATATACATGATGAAGATGGTATGAACCGTTCCTTAAAATCAGTGACATTCACTAACAACAGGGTCGATCCTAACGGCAATATTATTAGCTCTAAGGATAAGAACGATACAATTACATATGATCTTGATCTATTAATAACCTCGTTAGGTTATAAAGGTGAACCATTAGATGGGTTTGATGAAATGGGGATCTGTTTTGAAAACGGGCATATTAAGAATAATAAAGGAAGAGTATGTTCAAAGGATGATCATACATTACCTGGATTATATACGTCGGGATGGATAAGTAATGGTGGTCGTGGGGTGATAGCTAACACCATGCAAGATTCTTTCCAAGTAGCAGATCAAATATTGACAGATTTACCCATTCTATCCTCTTCGAAGGAAGAAAACTCTATAAATTCAATACTTCATGATACCACATCATGGAAGGATTGGGAAAAAATTAATCAAATTGAAATGACTAATGGTGTACCGTATGGGAAACCAAGATTAAAGTTTCTCACTGTAGACTCCATTATGAAACAGATATAGCGACTTGTTATTAGCTCACACTTGACTTTAACTGAGTTTCATATATATATATATATTTCAATAGTCAAAACTTCTTCATCATCTTCTTCAGTATATTTTTTTTTTCAGTTAGTTAGGGTATGTAAACTATCAACCAATAATATTCGAGATCTGGTACTTGGCCTCGTGCGGCATGATTCAGTTTTTAAATTTCTCGCTTTAATATCACAGAGCGAACAAGGGAAGTGTAAGATAGTAGAACTTTTTACAATGTATGTATATATCTTTAAATACTCAGCATCTCCGTTAAATTTATAAATCATTCAAGGTAGTTGCTAGTTAAGGAGACGTTAAATTGAACTCTTTTTTCTTGTTTTAGTTGCTAATTTCAATAAAGTGTTGTTTCAATTAAAACTAAAAGCAAAAAATTGAAGTTACCATATTAATTTGGAATTAATCAAAATATACATAGATAATATCCCACCTTTGTTTCCCTGATTACGTTTTTTCTTCATTTTTCACTACAAATAAATAAATCGAAGCATGTCAATGATTTTTAGTCGTCGTTTATCTACTCTAATCCCACCAAAGGTTGTTTCTGCCAAACAGTTAGGTAATGCACCAAATGCCAAAAGAGTGGCTAATATGGTCAGTTTCTACAAGTCACTTCCACAAGGTTCAGCACCTGCATCTCAAGGTAAAGGTATTGTAAATTGGTATAAAGCTAAGTACTTTGACGGTGATAAAGCTAGTGGTAAACCATTGTTACATCTGGTCTTTGGTCTAGCCGCTTTTGGTTACTCCATGGAATACTATTTCCATTTGAGACATCATAAGGGTGGTGAAGAAGAACATTAAACATAAGTTAATATCTTCTGATCTGTTTTTTTTTTGCGTATTTTAATTGATGGATAATATCATTAGTATTTAACGCAATGTACCCTTTTCATCTCTCGCCATATTACTTCTTCTTCTTCTCCTTTAATTTAACCCAATTCTTACCATTTCTTTTCTGAAAATAAGTAAAAGATATGACTATATATTCCTTTCATAAAAATACAAAAATAGTAAATAAGAAAACAATTCATATTATAAAATCTTTTTAAATTTTTTTTTATTGTTATTATTATTACAAAATACACCATTATATATATATACAACAATTATACCTCACTTATATACATGACTTGAGTACCTCTCAAAAAGACATCACTGTTATAAGTATTAATTAATCCATTATTTTTATTCTCGTAGTGTTCTGTAGCACTCGATAATGCAATGTTCATAAACCCATCGATGGATTCCAAAGTACCTACATAAAGCATACCAGAATGTAACTTAACATTTACTGGTTTACCAATTATATCAGAAAGAAATTGTGTAGAGACACTAGTGGATTCTTGTTGTGCTACACTTGCCATCTTAATTAAATGTGTGTATGTGTGTGATATTTAATAATCTATCCGTAGAGAAGATATTCTAAGTAAAATGCTTAAATAATGAGAACAGGCGTTATAAATGACCAAATCAAAACCTCTAGACTGTCAATTAAGTATGAATGTATTGTTGGTATTAGAAAACTGTAACTGTAATTGAAAACCAATATATATTCTACACAAGGAGTTTAACCTGCAAAAGATAAGCATTTGTTAGAACTTTGATCGCATTTGAACGCTAGACACCCACTGTTTGTCTACTTACTTTAGTCCATGTTGCCCAGCTTACCTTAGCTTAGCATCGTGTAGCATTAGCTGAGTGTGAGGAGGACCAAAAATTTCAAACTTCCCGCAAAGGCAAAAAAGACGTGAAATTTTTGGGTCCAAATTTGGCTGTCGTATTACACGATGTGTTATGTGCCTTGCTAACAAAATAAATGGTATAGGAATGTCTCAGTATCATCTGAAGTAAGAATGTAAAGATTGAAATCATATAAGGGGAAAGCAATTGTTAATTTCCAGAACAGGGTGGTAGTTAATATTATACAAGAGTACCTGTAGCTTAGTTTATATATATTACGATCTATTTAACATGATAATACTTCAAACATTTCTTTAAATAGAGACATTCTTCTATTTTACAAAATAATAGACATTTCTTTTCAAAAGTTTCCTGTCTTCTAGAATGAGGTTTCAAATCCTGAAACTTCTTCAAACATTGACCAATAAATTTGTCGTAGATGCATTTTTTAGCACGGTTATCTAATAAACAGTCCCTCATAAAGGAAGAGATAACAAAACTCGAGTAATTCCAGGTTTTACGTTATAGTAATTGAAGATATCGTACATTATTACCATTCTTTGATTATAATTGTATATATTTAGCAAGGTATACCAACATGTACACGTAGTTAGTTTGCTCTTGTACTTTAGTATCCTTTACAAAAATATGCATATCTCTTCTTCCTGTATATATTATATGTATCTCATTCTCCATATATTAAGTAATTTTTACCCGATCCGGGTAGTAATTACGCAGAATGTTAAAATTTCGGTTCTTTTATGCGTTATTAAAAATAGATTTGGTAATTAAGAAATTGAAATAAAAACTAGAATTGGTGTGCAAGATATAATTGTAAGTATTGATTTTTCAACCATTTTTATGAGTTGGTTGATAAATAAGACTAATAGAAAGTATATACACATTTATACAACGGTTATTGATCATCAATTAGTACCATTTTTATGTATATTGCACATTTGACTTTAGATCCACCAAATTGATACATTAAATCTACTGAAATCAGCAGATAGATAACGAATATACACTTATTTTGATTTTTTGATTCTCGATTAAATTTTTTATTGTTTGCAAAGAAATCGCAATTTACATTCTAATATAATATTCAAGATTACAATGTCATCGAAATCTATATTGGAACAGGGAAACCAGCAATCACAGCCACAATATGTTTGTATAAAATGTAATAAGCAGATTCAATCAGGAAATTTTTATACTATTAATAATTTTCATTACCATAATGATTGTTTCCATTGTTTTAAATGTCAAAAAATGTTAGCACCTCATGCTACCGCTGATAGCAATGATAAATTGTTAGTTTTAGAAAATGGCACATTAATTTGTTCAGATTGTTCAGATTCTTGTAAAAGGTGTGGTAAAAAGATTTATGATTTAGCTATTATATTATCAAATAATGAGGCATATTGTCCTGAATGTTTCAGATGTACAAAATGTGATAAAGAAATTACTGATCTTAAATATGCAAAGACTAAGAATGGTATATTTTGCGTAGATTGTCATCAAATTTTATTACAAAAGAGGCGACTCACAAAGGAAAAATTATTGAATAAACAGAAAAATGATAGTACTATTGATAGTATAGAGATACCTATACGGTCACCAAGCCGTAATAAGAATCGCGATAATCCAATATATAGTAAAATTCCAAATACTTTACCTAAATTAGTACCAAAGACTTCTTCTCCTTCATCATCTTCAGTATCGATAATATCGTCGATGGTTAGTGCTCAATCTATTACAAGTAATAGAACTACAAATTCTACAGCCGATGGGTTTTCGTTAAAGGAACAAACAAGTTTGAAAAAACCTCCAACTTTAGTTAAAGATCAAACATTTTCCACTTTGAAAGGTGTACCGTCAACTTATGAAGATGCTGAAAGTAAACAATCTACCGAATATTTGGATTTAGAGAGTAAAGCTGGTCATACCCGTAATGTCTCCATTGACGATATGTTAAATGCAACACTCGACCATGATGAAGAGTTTAAAGATTCAGACGAAAATGAAGATCATGATAGTATTGATGAGGATGAGGATGAGGGTGAACAAGATGCCACTGATAGAAGTTTCCTACATTATACCCCTGTTAAACATAATATGGAATCGATATTTTCAGAAAATTCGTTAATTGACACTTATGATCGTGAGTCTATATCACGAACTCCTGAACCTGCACGAATCATCGAACAAGTGGTTCCTGAACTACCAACAAGTAGATTACCTGATATTGAATTAAAGGATACGCGAACGACTCCAAAATTATTAGCCACACCATCCTCAAAGAACGCACTATCGAATATTCCATTAAACAGCCCCATGGCAATTGATTCAAAACAAACTGGAGAAGCCAAAGGTTTGGCATTAGACTTGCCAATGTTTTCTTTTGAAGACAAGGATTTGTATTACAGAAATAATAAATCCAGTGGTGGTAATACCGATACAGGTATTCCTAATCTTAAGGAATCGTTACAACAAGTCTTCTCTGGGGCTCACGATGAAAAGAACAATAGTAATTATAATAATGGTAAGCCCAATTTTGCGGATGATGATGATGATGATAAAATAATTCAAATCACAAAGGATAATAATATTCTTGCTAATTCTTCACCACAAAGTGCTCATAAAAATAAGAAATTAAACAGATCATTTTCATTAAGAAATAATAAATTTTTCAATGGGTTTAGAAATAAATCTTCAGAATCTCCAAAGAATATTGCATTATCTCCAAATACTAATAATATGCACGGTGCCATAGATACCCATTCAGGTTGGGGTGTATCGAATAACAACACTTCGAGAATAGTCTCTGGAGAAAAACCAAGAAATTCTTTTAAAGGTAGTAGTGACACGTTAATCTACCACAGACATAAAAACGATACAGATATATATAACACTTCTAATGGACCTATCAGTATATCATCGCCAGTAAAGGTAGAAATGAGTTCAAGTGCCGGACATGCTAGATCACAGAGTACTGCTAGTCAGTCTTCTCAAGTTGCATCGAATATTGCAATGTTTAGAACTCCACCACTAGATAACAACGCAATCTTTAAAAGAGGTGGTACATTATCATCTACATCAACAGATCACAATAGATCAAAAAGTTATGATGCATCTTCTCAAGCACAACGCACTATTTCAAAAGAAATTGCTGAATCAGCAAATACAACATCTACTGAACCTATCTATGAAGATGATGGTAATGTAAGTTCTCAATCACCTCGTGATATTGATTCTAATAAGATTGCTGCACATCATAGATCTATTAGTTGGCAAACGGCATTACATTTTCGTCATAAGAGTATTAATGAAATTGATGAAAATATTGATCCAACAGAATTACCGTTACAATCTCAAACATCATTAGCTAATAAGAGACCATCAAGTAGAGGTGAATTGTTAAATTATGAAATTAAACTAAGAAATTCTAAATTAGAATTGAAAAGTATTGAAAATTCTAAACAACAATTATTATTAGAGATCGAAAACTTAGAACAATATAAGAAGAATCTTATTCATGATATCGATCAACTTAAAAGGACAAATATGGTTGATGACTCTAATTTTATGGATAATGTATTACCTTCGACTATACGTTCTTCTGGTCATAGTAGAACCAATAGTTCAACAAATAATGATATGAATGTATCAAATATTTCTACACCAATAATGTATAGTACATCTTCACCTCAATCAACTTCAAAACAAAAATTTTGGAAAATATTTGGTAAAGAATCTAATGGGAATCATCAACGTAATAAGAATTCAACACCGTTAAATTTTTCAAATTCAAGTGGGAATTTACAAGATTCTATTAATTCAAATAATAGTAATGATATGAATTTAAAAAATAATCATGCTATAAGTCCGAATCAATCAAATATTAGTGGATTACAAGAAATTGTTTTAACAGATCTTTGTCGATATGAAAATACAGCTGTACCACATCTTATAACAACATGTATTGATTTTATTGAGTCAGATGATGAATTATTACAAGTTGAAGGAATTTATAGAAAATCTGGATCTCAAATTCAAATTGAAACAATTGAAAAAGAATTTTATGGGATAAATAATAATATTAATTACAAATTTCCAAATGATATTGATATTAATGTTGTTACAAACATTTTAAAAAGATTTTTAAGAAATTTGAAAAATCCTGTCATAACATTTGAATTATATGATACATTAATTAATTTTGTTAAAGATAATAATATGATTCAAAAATTATCATTTAATGATAATCAATTGAAGAATCATGACATTCAATTAGTTAAATTTATTAATGGTAGATTACAAAGTTTATTATTTCAACAAATGCCAAGAGAACATTTAAACCTTTTACAAATTTTAATAACGCATGTTAATAAAATTGCATATTGGAAAGATGAAAATTTAATGTCATTACATAATTTATCATTAGTTTTCACACCAAGTTTAATTCATGATTTAAATTTTGAAAGAGATATTATTGATATGAAAGAAAGAAATTATTTGATTGAATATATATTTACTTACAAGATTATAGTTTAATAAATTAATGATAAATGGTATGACATAAAATAAAATAACATGTTGAAAAAGAATATATATGTACGTAAATGAATAAATTAAAAAATATGAAACGTTTGGTTTTTTTTTATTTATATATATGTGTATATGCATGAAATGATTAAAATTGTTGTTATTGTTGTTTTTAAACTAAAATTTAATGAATATCCTTAACATCATCCTGAGAATACATCTGTAATTTTCTTGATCCCGTACGTAATAAATATTCGATTGTTGTAAAATCTTTTCTTGGTAAATTTTTATATTTATCAAATTCTTCATGAATAAAATTCATAAATCTTGGCTGTGTATTAATTGGTTTAGTATGTGCCATTCTTACCCATTGTCTATATAAATGAATTACTTCTTTTTGTAATCCACTTAATTTTCTAACTGCCGGCATCCCTATTATGTTTCCTGTCTATAAGTTGTTCGGAATAATTTTTGATATATCTTCTTTCGATATGACTAAATGGTGAAACTATTATCCTTGATAATCGAGTAAGTTAAATCATCGATGATTAAAAGATATTGTATTGATTATAAATTAACTGAGTAATCATGAACTAACTTTAATTCCGTTTCTTCCCGTTTCAAAGAAAGTGTAAAAAAAAATAAGGGTCGATTCATCGATGTTTAGTTATTACTGCGTACTGTTATTGTTTTGTGTGTGTTCTTGAACTCTCTCTCTCTCTCTCACTTTGTTCCCCGTTGCCGAACAAATCAAATTGGAAAATGGGGTCCTCGGTAAGTAACGGCAAAAAAACCCAACACACATACATAAATTAATTACCCGTGGTTTACCGAATAAATTTATAAAAACACATAATTAGAAATTAAAATGTCACAAAAAAATGTGTGTTGAATTGATAAATTAAAGGATTCGGGAAGAGAATGTTTGATTTTATGCCATATGAAAAGAGGGATATAGACGTATCTCGGTTACTCACGGTTATATTCATAAGAAATAGTATTAATTCAGCCATTCTTTCAAGACAAACTAATGAATAAAAAGTTTATTTTCGAAATTTTTGCTTTGAAGCAGAACCAAAATTGTGTCAAATTCATATAAACGTCTAAAAAATATATTGTTTTTGTTGTTGAAAGTTTAATAAACATATTAGATTACAAGATCATAAAAGGATTAAATTTTAAGTTTTTAAACAATATATAAATATGGCGTTTTATTGTAATTCGTTATTTGTATTTGTAAAACTATTTTGTGTATTTTGAAATTTTAGATATATATATATATATTGTAGTTATTAAATAGAGTAGTGAATAAAACTTCGGTTTTAATTTGTTAAAAAAGTGTTTAGTATTTAGTATTTCTTTTTTGTTTTCCCTCTAAACTATTTTTTTATTATAACAATATAATGACACCTGTAACTTACAATATTGAACAACCAACAAATTTTAATTTTATTAATTTGAAGACAGGTCAAAAAGAAATACCATTTGGTGAATATTTATTTCAAAGAATTCTTGATGCAGGTACAAAATCAATTTTTGGTGTTCCAGGTGATTTTAATTTACCTTTATTAGAATATTTATATGAACCTCAACTAATTGAACAAGGTTTAAGATGGATTGGTAATTGTAATGAATTAAATGCAGCTTATGCAGCAGATGGTTATAGTCGGTATTCTAATAAAATTGGTTGTTTAATTACGACTTATGGTGTTGGTGAATTAAGTGCAATGAATGGTATTGCAGGTGGCTTTGCAGAAAATTCAAAAATTTTACATATTGTTGGTGTTGCAAGATCTGTTGATTCAAGATGTAAAAATTTTAAAAAGAGAAATTTGCATCATTTAGTACCAAACTTAATTGATTCAAATTTTAATGGACCAAATCATAAAATTTATTATGAAATGATTAAAGATAAAATTTGTTGTTCTGCAGAATATTTAGAAGATATTGATCAAGTTTGTAATCAAGTTGATAAAGTAATTCAAGATATTTTTAAATATTCAAAACCTGGTTATATTTTTGTTCCAGTTGATTTTGTTAATATGACAGTACCAATCGATAATTTATTAATAAATCCAAAAATTAATTTAATTGATTGTATAAAACCATCATTTGATGATGAAATTAAAATTATTGAAATTACAAAATTAATTCAAGATCAATTATATAAAAGTAAAAACCCTGCAATTATTGGTGATGTCTTAATTGATCGTTATGGTGGTCAAGAATTAATTAATAGATTAATTAATGAAACTCACATATGGAATTTTTCGTCAGTTAATGGGAAATCAATTATTAATGAATCAAATTCAACTTATATGGGACTTTATAACGGTGATGAAGGTCCAACATTGGTTAAAGAAAGATTTTTACAATGTGATTTGATTTTAAACTTTGGTGTTGATAAAAATGAAATTAATCAAGGTCATTATACTTTTAAATATAAACAAGATTGTCAATTGATTGAATTACATCCAAATTATATTAGATTTAGTAAACCAAATGATGATGATAATGATGAAGAAGAAGATGAACAAATCTTTAAAGGAATTAATTTCATTCATATTCTTAAATCTTTAGTAGAATCAATTGATGTCGGTCAATTAAAATATCAATATCCTGTTTCTATTAAACCATTTAAAACTGAAGAATTAAATTTTGAACATGATCCAAATTCACAAATTATTACTCAAACTTACATTCAAAATAAATTTACAGATTATTTAAATCCAGGCGATGTTGTAGTCTGTGAAACAGGCTCTGTACAATTTGCAATGCGTGATTTGGTTTTACCAAATCAATTAAAATATATTTCACAAGGGTTTTTCTTATCTATTGGTATGGCTTTACCTGCAGCATTAGGGGTTGGTATTGCAATGCAAGATTACCCACGTAATCATTTATCTAATAATGATATACCAAACGATTACGTTCCAAGATTGATATTATTAGAAGGTGATGGTGCAGCTCAAATGACAATTCAAGAGTTATCATCAATGATTAGATTTAATATTCCAATTGAAATTATGTTGTGGAATAATAATGGTTATACTATTGAAAGAGCAATTTTAGGACCAACAAGAAGTTATAATGATGTAATGAAATGGGATTGGACCAAATTATTACAAGTATTTGGTGATTTTGATGATCGCACGGATAGTTGTACCATTAATACACCAAAAGAATTGGCTTATAAGATGGAACAATTGAAAAAAGGTAATAAGACTAAAATCATTGAATTAATGGAAATTAAATTAGAAACTTTAGATTACCCAAAACAATTAAAACATATGGTAGAATCTGCTAAAGTCAAGAACATAAAATCAACAGCCATATAATGCATTTCTTTTATATCTTTATTTATATATATATTTATATATTGTTTTAGTATATGCATACTCAATTTTTAAATTTACATATCGAAAGGTTACCCTCTTTCATACTTTTTTTGTTTTTTTTTTGGCAAAAAAATTTTCTGGGTGGCGTGGAAAGAGTGAAATTTCATCGAACTATAAAAGGAGAGACCATGGACGAGGTCGTTTCAAAGAGAAAAAAAAGTCTCCTTTTTTTCGCCGGTTTGCTTAACTAAACAATCGATCGATTTTAGAAGGAATATAACCCCCATATTGTTTTATTTATTTCCTACTGTAAATCTATTGAAAAAATATTATAAATCTCCCTCAGTTTTATTTTTTTTTTTTTAATTTCCCCTTTTTCCCATATTTATTCCTTATTATACAACTTTTAACCAATGTCCAACAACCTAGACAAATCTTTAGACGAAATCATCGGTAAGAAGCCTATTAGAGCTACTCGTGACAACAAGAGAGGTCCAAAGAAGGCTTCTAAGCAAGTCGGTAAGCGTCGTAATGTTGCCAACAGTGGTAGAAACAACAGACCAGCTAGAATTCCAGTCGGTGCTGTATCAAGAATTGTAGGTCATCAATTAGTTAAGGTTAATGTTGAAGGTTTACCAAGGGATATTAAGCAAAGTGCTGTTAGAGTATGTGATTTTTACAAATAAAATGTGCATCTCATGATATGATAAAATATGTTGTGTATTCTTTTTTTTAATTCTCGGTTTTTCTGTAACCAGAAATAATATGAAAACTGAAATGGAAATTTGTTTACTATTTACGAGTGGATTCGTAAATTCGTGATTCAATTTAATGTTGATATTATTTTTAATTCTCCGATAATTTTAATTTTATTGAAGAACTATTTTTATTCAGTTTAGGAAGCCACTATATTTTTGTTACTAAATTTCCCATATTGGAAATTTAATTATAGTACAGAAAGAAAAATTGATTTTTAGATTAATTTTTCCTAGTACTATTTATATTGTCCAAGTTTCTTATAATAAGAAATACTGGGAGGATTTTATTGTTAAGATTTTTGATATTTTCCATTTCATTTTCTAGCAATAATTATCTATAACAATGAGTGACTTCGTTAATGATTGTCCTTCTTCTTTTTTTTATAATAGTCTGGGCCTAACTTTAGTGTGATGTTTTGTGTGATTGTGTTCTATTAATTGATATATTGAATATATTAATAATGAATCAAGTGATAAAAGTCCATGTGTCTACTGTTCGTATTTTTTACTGTGTTGACATAAGAGATTCCTAAGGAGCAATTAATTTTGTTATTCTTTATAGAGGGAGTGGATCTCATGTAAGAAGCTTTTAAAGACATTTCAAGTTTAATGAACTTCATCAGGGTGTATCATAAAGTGTATAGAAGAATAGTTGTTATCATTGAGTTCATGCTACTTCAATTGACTTAATACCTTACAACTCTTTCTTTACTTCCTGGTTTGTTAACTTTTTCGATTTGTCTTGTTTGCACATCAACAAAAAGGTCTAATGAAAAACTATTATAAAAATATGAAGGATTTTTCATTATTATACCAAATGATGAAAACGTTCTACTTGGGGTGAGTAATTGTATTCATTTACAAATGGTTTTGTTCATGATTATTATCACACATTTCGGTAAACGTTTTATATGTTCCAATTTAACAAAATAAATTTTACTATTCCATAAATGTCCGCACAATGTCAAATATATCGTGAGAAAGCGTGTTTTTTTTTTTATTTATCCAATTAATGATTATGAAACTAACAATTTTTTTTATTGAAATTATTTACTTAATTTTGAAATTATTTTTCTATATAGGAATTCTTTGCTGGTCAAGTCGGTGGTGTCCACGGTGTTTTATTGAGTTACAATGAAAGAGGTCAATCTACTGGTATGGCTAACATTACTTTCAAGAGCGCTGAATACGCTAATAAGGCTGTGTCTAGATTTAACGGTGCTCCAATTGACAATGGTAAGACCAGATTAAAGCTTAACTTAATTGTTGATCCAACTCTAACCAACCAAAACTTGGCTCAAAGATTAACCGGTCTACAAGGTAGAGTAGGTAAGCCAAATGGCGTTATTGCTGGTAGACCAAATGCTAGAAATGTCGGTAGAAATGGTAGACCAATGGTCAGCAGACAACAACAAGTTAGAGGTCCACAAAGAAATGGCCCACAAAGAAACGGTCCTCAAAGAAATGCTCCAGTTGCTCAAAAGAAGAGACAACCAAAGAGAGAGAAACCAGCCAAGAAGAGTCTAGAAGATCTTGATAAGGAAATGGCTGACTACTTTGATGATGGTAAATAAATTTCCCAAATGTGATTGTATTCCAGTTTGTTACAAAATTTGTATTATTAAGTATTAGTATATACAGTTTTACTATGTAAGTATCTATTTGTTTTTTACGTTATAATAGAAACTATCGTATTTATAATTTTTCAGTTTAATTAAAATTTTAAAAGTGCTATGTTCCCTCTCAAAGGGTTCACTATAATATTGATTGTATGGACATGTATTCTTATTCATTATTATTGTTGTTATTATTACCTCTCCTTCTGTCTAGAAAACCTAATCTATCTCCACGTTTTCTAGATAATACACTCATACCACTCCCTTCGTATTGACTCTTCCTCTCATAATGTTCTTTGTGATTCCCTATTATTTCATCCTCTTCATCTTGTGGTATTGGGAACCCGGGTCTAACTTTAGCTAAATTAGCATAATAATCTGTTTCCTTATGAAGCTTTTCCTTTTGATAGAGTTCTTCATTAGCTTTCGCAGTTGGATTGAATTGTTCCTGTCTTCTCCTTCTTATAATGGATTTGGCAATAAAAATCGATGATAAACCAATGGTCGATATAAATAGAATATTTTTTCTGTTTATGTTATGTTAGTCTCACGATAAAATCATTTTTCTGTACTCGTGGATTGATTTTATTCAAGTTCATTACGATACATACCCGACATTTTTATAAACTTGGTATTCCATATTTCAAATATATAAAATTACTAGTGTAATGTTATAAAGAAATGATGTTTGTTCTTTTTCTATCTAACGTTTACGACAGAATAACTTTTTCTCAGTAGCCTACTAGATGTTTAGTCTCCTTTAAAAATACATCATGTTAATTTATTTGTTTGAGATCGCATTCTATTTTTCGGTCTCATTAGTTTCTTCGGAGAATAGTTCTTTTAAGAAATTTCTGGCAGAATATAATTACTACTGAACTGCACATTAAGAGTGGGACAGAAACCAAGGAATGTCTTGCCAAATATGGACTTGTTTGAAAGCCAGTTATCACATTAGGTACTTTTTAAGGATATACATTTTTGATTTGTGGGGCATAAAATTAAATGCTATGCTATTTATCTCTATATCTATATAATAAAATATGTAAAAATGTAGATGATTAGTTTATATATTATTATGCCATCTTGGATAGTGTCTCGTATGTGTAAAACACAGTAGCATTGGCAGGTATAGCTCTAATTAATGTAATACCTAAACCACGGTAAAACCCTGGAATACCTTTGGTTTTGAAAACTTTCAGAATTGCATTTTTCAAGCCAATATGTTCAGTTTGCATAACAGATTTAACTGTATCAGCTGGAAATATACTTGCATTGAAAGCAACACCAGCACTAGCACCACTAAACAATAATTCCCATGTTTTATTTTCTTCACCACCATGTCTATCCTTCAAATATTTCTTCATCAATTCATATGTGGCAAACCATGCTACACCACCAAATGATTCTCTGATAAAAGTACTACTTTGCCCTTGCCATAACCCCAAGATACCTCTTTCTTTTAAAATAGATACAATGGTACCAGATATTTTAGTGTTTTTGATATTATTTGTCGCATTTTTATTTAGGTTTGCAATTTGTAATCTACATTTAACCAATTCGACAGGAGTCAAAACAAAACTTGCACATGAACCAGCCACTGCACCTGAAATTAAAATGTTATTTAATTCTGACATACTCGAGAATTTTCTTTCCAAGAACTTCGATGTCTGGTTATATGATACAAATAAGGTGGCATTCTCCAAGGAAGCACCAAATATAGGGGAACTGATACCTTGAAAGAACCCCTTTAGGATACCTTCATTCTTGTATGTGTATTTGATACATGACCATGTGGTTGGAAAGATATGGGAACCCTGGGTTTGAAGTCTAACTTTTACTGTGTCAAATGGATACTCTATTATTTTACCTAATGCACCTGCAATGGACCCATTTATGATATCAGTTAGAGGTGATGATGGAACGTTAATCGGCGAACTTGATTCTTCAGTCATTTTGTGCTTTGTAATGTAAATATGTTGAGGTTTATTATGAAATTTAAACTGGGATGAAACCTGATATTGAAAATAAACTTATTAAATAGATAACTTATAAGTGAAATTAGGGAGTATGAAACGAGCTGAAATGGATATACTCTTACAAACTCAAAGGTTGAAAATATTTTAAGTATTCCGATATGATGTGTTTCTTCAAAAAACAATTATAGAAGTAAATTGATTAAAAGGTGTGTTATCTTCACTATTAGATATTAAAATTTATAACCAATAAAAAAATACAATTAGAAAATAGCTTATTATCAACAATCAAAAGAAACTATAATCAAGATATAATAAGTGAATTGTCTATTTACATTATGCCATCGACCAGTATCTTCTTTGTCTTGATTAGTCAATGATGCTAAATTTTTCACCACGCAGCATGACGATAGTATCTCTACGCGATTTATGTGCAAATTTACTAAATCGGAAAAGTCAGATAGTTCAAATGACACACATTCATAGAGATCCCGATAATCATCCAATATAACTGATCCTCAACCTAATATGATACAACAGGAAATTCCTTAACCGCATCTGAACTTGATATTTAAAGCTTTACTAAGTAAGATGTACTAGGTTGCTACTACTTTTACGAACAAGTGTCGTCAGATTAAATAAATCGTATAGCTCAGTTATGATAGCAGTTTTGTTTATGTGGGAATTTGAAAGGGTTCATCACACCAGATATGGTAACATACTAGTCAAATAATAAACCATATTATTTGATAACGAAACTGGGTAACTACTATACAGTATTTTTAGTTTATCCCTTCAATATGTTTAAGTTTCTGTCCGGGATAAGATTATTTGTGTGGATTAAATAAAAATGCACTTGAATATATATGGTTTGCCAAACCCAATCAATAATGTGCCATATGGTTATTAATTGTGATATGTAATTGAAGCCTTAATGGTCAAAATTCATCTAGTCTGGGCCTATATAAATTGTGCTACATAGTAGATAACGTTTAAATGTCACGTGCCTGTTCCCATATTTTCGCTTAACGCGAATATTTGATCACTTATCGTATACTATGACACAAGCACTGATTCTTGTTTTTTTTGCGTGTGGAAATTTTTCACCAAATTTCATTTAATATCTTAATGTTTTTTTCATTAATAACCCAAACGTCAAGTAACTTAACTGTACTTTTGACTTTTAACTTAATGATATTTTAAAGCAACTTTTCAATAATTATTCTATTATTGTTTTAGGTGTTTTCTTGTTTTCTTATTTTATTCTCTTTGTATAAAGAACCCTAAGGAATAGTCTGCTTGATTTTATCACTGCTTAAATTGATTATTTCACACATACCAAGAAGGTCAATAATACTAAGAAATCGAAAATGAAGTACCTAGCCGCTTACTTGCTACTAACCCAAGGTGGTAACGCTACCCCATCTGCTGCTGACATCAAGGCTGTTGTCGAATCTGTCGGTATTGAAGCTGATGACTCCAGAATCTCTGAACTATTGTCTTCTCTAGAAGGTAAGGGTTCTCTAGATGAAATCATCGCTGCTGGTGCCGCTAAGTTCGCCTCTGCTCCAGCTGCTGGTGCCTCTGCTGTCGGTGGTTCTGCTGCTGCTGCTGGTGCCGCTGGTGAAGCTGCCGGTGAAGCTGCTGAAGAAGAAGCTAAGGAAGAATCCGATGATGACATGGGTTTCGGTCTATTCGATTAAAAAGTTTAAAAACTAATATAAATATATAATATTATTTTATGTATCACATTTATTATGTGTATTTTTTCTGTAACTTTTAATCCTAATATCATTCACCTTTTTCTTTAAATTCGTGTTTGTACGTTTCTATATAAAAGAATATCTAAGTAATTCACATTTACATAAAGTGTACGAGAGAGTTTTCTATTTATTGTTAAACTCACTAAGAATCTTCTCTATCATTTGTCTCCTTTCAGGTGATGTATTCGAAGATTTAATTAGTTGTTCTAATAGGTCTCTCATTTCATCAAGACTTTCATGTAACATCTGAAAAAACTTTGGCAAATATTCTTGTAAATCACAATTACTTCCATAAGTTTCTTTTACGACGTTTTCCAGGGACCGTACTTTGTCGGCAGCCTCCTTCATAACATCTAACTCTCCTTCACTTATCTCAATCAATTTACATTGCTTTATGAGTGATTTCCTTACATTATTATATTCTTCCAAAAGTTGTTGTTCGTTATCTTCTAGACCAGTTGTTGTTTCTACATTATTTCGTATAACGATAACTGGTAAATTGTAGACATCAACCATCAAATTTATTAGACTGACCCCACCACGACTGACCAGTGATTCCTGATTTTCTAATTTTTTGTTTAGCTCTGTCCCTACAGAATATTTGGGTATGTCGCCAATAAACCGTGTGACATCTTTCAATTTTTGAATCTTCCAAGCCACTTCTAATTCATATATTCTAGTAACAAGAATATCTTTCGTCACTCTGTTAACTTTATTATTAAATACTTTAGTCACTTCTTGATTAATTAATTCTTGGATCTCTAATGGTATTTCTTCCTTGTCAAATTTTGAATTGTTTCTTTCTTCTATTTTTTGACATTGTTCCTCTACAAATTTGGAAATTGTGTTAAATGTGGTGTCATTCTTTCCTTGGGGTTTAGTCGAATTCATTTATTTTATGTCGATGATAGGGATGGTATTTCAATAAACTAAATAATATGCGTTGCTGTGATGAAGTGATGTAAACGTGTTTTTCGTGTTGTATTTGTTTACGATATTTTGTTTTTTTGTTTTTTATTTCACCCTAAATTAAAAAAAACACTCTAGAGGATTAAGAAGTATATTACTCTTAGATTAAAGAAACATGGTAATTTTGTATATGTAAATTGTTTGCTTTTTTGATCTTTAGCAATATGCATTATTGTAATAAATTTTTATATTTTGTTAAATTTTACACAAATTTCAACTGATCGTTATAAAAAGATGAACTTCGCCTCTACATTAAAATAGTGCGATTCCAATTTATAAAGTAAACAAAATCTGTCACAGACTGTAATTTAATTAAATCTATAAAACTCTTAAATATAAAAGTTAAAAAAAAATAGGCCAGTTTATTATTATATTATACATCAATTACTACTAGATATTCCCCCAAAAGAAGAGATTTAACCTTTAAAAGAAAAAGAAAAAATTGTTTTTAGTTTTGTAATCTCTTCTCAATTGGACGAATGTAAACTATTTTATAAGACCTTTTAATATTATTATTATTATTATTGTTTATTATTATGACGATGACTATTAATTATGATGATGATGATGATGATGATGTTATTGTCGTCGTTGTTACTTGTTCACATGCAAAAGAGAAAAACAAATACGAACAATGACATATCATCCTTTCTTCCATTTTGAAAAGTTTTATCTTTTCTGTTATTTTTTAAAAAAAAATCATATTTATACAGTTGGAGCATGAGGCATCATAGTTGCATTCAAATTGATATATGAATTTTCTGGAGTAACCACCATACAATATAATGAATACCAACCACAACAACTTGACAAAATACCGAAATACCCACCAGCCATTTTAACATTATTATCATCAATGAAACTACCAATGCATAACAATAAGAAAGTTAAATCTAAAAATAATAACAATAAGAATAAACCCCATGAACTCTTTAAAGTACACATTAGCATCAAAAAGGTGAATACTGTCCAACCTGCAAGGAAAAATCCGACACAATTATCAAACATTGTAGTATCATCACCATAGCCTGTAATACTATGGAATTGATCAGTATTGATACAACCCCAAGAGATCCAAAACCCACCGAAAGAACTGAAAACGGTCATTGCATAAGTATCACCAGTGACAAAACATAATAAACCTGCAAACAATTCAATAGCACCACCAAAGAACATGAATAAACTGATTAATACTTTAACATTTGTGACACCACGAACATTAGCATTACATAAAGATAAAGTTAAACATGATAAAGAGAAAGAAGCTAACCCTAATGGAACTGGGTTACCTAATACTCTTCTATTAGAAGGTGGAGGTGGGTAAGCATTAACATATGGATTAGTACCATCATTTGGTTTCAATACGTTTAAAAGATCAGTACGTCTATAAGTATGTGGACCTAAAGTAATGAAATCATCATCTGCATAAACATCTTGAATGTTTTTACCAATAGCATCTGAATCAGTCTTGGAGACTTCGGTTGAAATATTTCTAACCTTCTCAATATCAGAGGAAGAAGAAGTCATACTGCTTGTCATTTAAAAATAAAATAAAATTAGAAATAAAATATAATTATTTGTCTTTGGACAATACTATTAGTATGATTTTAAATCAAAGTAAACAAACACAAACAAATAACAATTCTTTAAAAGAGAAGATTTAAATCAAGAATATAAATTTTTCAAATTAATTTCAAAAAGAATATATTTATATATACAAATAAATTAGAACAAGTAAAAGAGGGATGGCTGATACATGAGGACGCAGTAGGTTCAACGTTATAACCCACATCAATGAGAGAATACGATTCATATATATATATATATGAAATTCCACCAAAAACCTGAAGCTTTAGTTTACCAAAGATAAAAAAAAAAAAAAAAAATGCTAAAAAGAAACAGAAAACTCAATAGAAAGTTTTGCTCTCGATGTATCTTGGAATTAAAACAGGCAATAAACAAGAACAGAAAAACTTATTTTATTAACTAAATATCCACCAAAAACCGTATTAATTAGAGGAGTGAACGGAATTTTTTTCTTTTTCCTTTCTGCAATGTAAAATAATGGAATGAATAGCTAAGCATTTAAATTTGTGAAGAGGCAAAATACCGGAAGTACAATACAGAGAGAAAGGTTTGCAGTTTTTCCTAACCATCATCAAATCGACACTTAGTGATGGACTTGGAAAAATTAAAAACAAAACAAAACAAGACAATGATTCAAAAACCAATGACCACTCTCTTCTTCCTTCTCTTTCTCTCTTGTAGGTGGTGTGACAGTCACACGAACAAAAAAAGAAATGAAGAGCTTTGTTGGTGGGTGATATTAATTTTGCTAAGAAACACCCGCAGGCAGATCGTCTTTCGCTCCTATATAATCCGGCCAAGCGGGAAACAACAATATGAAAGAAAATTGCTTTTTTGTTTTTTCTGTCCCATATTCGAAGCTATTAATCCGCGTACGTGAAGTATACAAATCTGTGTCTATCGACCGACCCATGCATGAGGAGTTTAAGCAGAGAGCAGATTTACAGTTGTGGAGGAGCCAGTAAAAATTGGATGTGGTGCCCCTTCCTTTTATTCGGAGAGCCTTTAAACAGAATATTTCAAACTTCTGACAGAGGAAGAAGCTAGGGAGAACAATCCCGCAGCGGCTAGAAATATATCGTACCCTTGTTTAAGAACCGTTAATAACACATTGTTACATGGTTACTAAATTTTCTTTAACTAACAAGAAATAAAATCGGAAGTTCAATGATGAAATGGCTTCTGTCACATTTTGGTCCCCGCTGCTAATGATTTCACTTTACTTAAACCATTGACAATATGTTAAATCCTGTTACTTAATGTCCTCTTTTCCCTACGTACTTGTGGTGTTTGGGTGCCGATCAATAGTACAATTGCATTAAAGAACTTACTTGTTCGAATATATTAGGAGTTTTATTCTTCATGATGATTGACATCGTGATTTTATTGTACATATCCCTGGGGGGAGGGAGGAGAGGTCAATCCTTTTAAATTATTGAATTCTAACAAATATATATAGTAATTAATAAATTACGGTCAAATTGTTTTGATTTTCTATTGAAGTGATGAAAAGGGATCGTGCGGACTTTTTGGTAATACTACAATTCCAACATAAACCGTTGATTCCGGAGATATCTCATTCTTATGCTTATTCTTATTCTTCTTATATAAACAAGCCACATCCCGTGGACGACGGGGGGAAAATAATGATGGAACACCATCGATATATATTGAAATTATACTTTCAATTATTAACTTTTACTTTATGTCAATTTTGTACCGAAATGCATAGCGGCTGAATAATTGAATCAAATTTAAAAAAAAATAAATAAATCAGCAACCTTGCTTATCATATTTCCCCTACCTTTAAGATAAGATCAGTACGAATATCATCGATTTATAAGGTTTTTTAATCGAATGAATAACCTTAATTCTTTAGGCAATTATTAAATAGTCTGTTCTTAATTTGAATGGAAAAGAATCGCACATATATAATACATGTATCACTTGACACGAAGATAACAAATATCAAACTGAAATTTATATGAATATTTCAGCACAGATAATGGTACCATAAATTCACAGACGCACAAGAGATTCAATTTTAGTTTTTGTCTTCACGTTTATGGTGTTAGAATAGAATTAATTCCCCGAGGGTCTCAAAAGGAAAAAAAAGTGAAAAATATAGAAAATAAAGGGAGTAAGAAAAAAAAAAGGCGATGACCTGCTGCTTACAAGAACTATACTAAGACAAACAGTAGTATCACCCCGTACAAATAATGAATTATATAACTTAATAAGAAGAAACGTGAATAAAAGTTTAAGGAACGTTTTCACTGTAATTATTATTATATATATATACATACTGGCTTTTTACAAGTGACCATAAGAATGCTTAGGCTACGTCTTGTAATATATAGACATATATATATACTTTGGTAATTAATATCCGAACAATTGACTTGTTCGTCTCCCTTGTTAAGACCTAATTGAAATACAACCAAACAAATGTACTGATAAATGCTAAATTAAAAGTGAAAAAAGTTTTTTTTTCTGTTTCCTGCCTTTGCTCATTTCTTGTTTTCGCTTACTATTGTTCGATCAAGGTGCAATCCTTTATGAAAAATACGTACAACTATGTAAAATGAAAAAAATAATTGTATGCATAATAATTGATGAGAAATCGTCTATTTGTTATGTGTAGATGGTTTACTACGTATATCTCTTACCGCTAAATATATATATATACAGATAGACGTATCCTTTTAAAATATTAATTGGCTCTCTCTCTCTCTCTTTGTTGCTTCAATTATTAACTGAAAGTTTTGAATTGCTCTGTTTCTCTGTTTGTAAGTCTCTGCTAGTTTACTTAATAATTTTGAACATCGTGCATATAATTATTACACTTCTTCCTACAACGTTAAAGAAAATTTTTTCTTCCCTTCACTGTCTTCCATTTTGGGCTGGCAATTTTTTTTTTTTTTACAGTGTATATGATAAAAATTTTTCTCTCTCTCTCAATATATTATATTCATTTACCTTTAGATCCATGGTATATATATACTTAAAGGATTTTTTTTGTACTAACTACAGTTAATCTCACTTACATTTTTTTAAACTCCTTTAGATGACTTCCTACTTACTCTTTTTTCTTCTTGATATTTTTTCTTTTTTCTTTCTTTCTTGATAATTCCTCGAGAACTCATTATATAACAAACAATACAAAATGGTTGCTTTCACTGTTGACCAAATGCGTGGTTTAATGGACCATGTTACTAATGTTAGAAACATGTCCGTTATTGCTCACGTCGATCATGGTAAATCCACTTTGACCGATTCTCTAGTCCAAAGAGCTGGTATTATTTCCGCTGCTAAGGCTGGTGAAGCTCGTTTCACCGATACCAGAAAGGATGAACAAGAAAGAGGTATTACTATCAAGTCTACTGCCATCTCTTTATTCTCTGAAATGACTGAAGAAGATGTCAAGGAAATTAAGCAAAAGACCGAAGGTAACTCTTTCTTAATTAACTTGATCGATTCCCCAGGTCACGTTGATTTCTCCTCTGAAGTTACTGCTGCTCTTCGTGTTACCGATGGTGCTTTAGTTGTCGTCGATACCATTGAAGGTGTTTGTGTCCAAACTGAAACCGTTTTGAGACAAGCTCTAGGTGAAAGAATTAAGCCTGTTGTTGTTATTAACAAGGTTGACAGAGCTCTATTGGAATTACAAGTCTCCAAGGAAGATCTTTACCAAACTTTCGCCAGAACCGTTGAATCCGTTAACGTTATCATCTCCACTTACGCTGATGAAGTTCTAGGTGATGTTCAAGTTTACCCATCCAAGGGTACCGTTGCTTTCGGTTCCGGTCTACATGGTTGGGCTTTCACCATCCGTCAATTTGCTAACAGATACGCCAAGAAATTCGGTGTTGACAAGGAAAAGATGATGGAAAGATTATGGGGTGACTCTTACTTCAACCCAAAGACCAAGAAATGGACTAACAAGGAGACTGATGCTGATGGTAAGCCATTAGACAGAGCTTTCAACATGTTCGTTCTAGATCCAATCTTCAGAATCTTCGCTGCTGTTATGAACTTCAAGAAGGATGAAATTCCAACTTTACTAGAAAAGCTTGAAATTGGTCTAAAGGGTGACGAAAAGGACCTAGAAGGTAAGGCTTTACTAAAGGTTGTTATGAGAAAGTTCTTGCCAGCTGCCGATGCTTTGTTAGAAATGATTATTCTACACTTGCCATCCCCAGTTACTGCTCAAAACTACAGAGCTGAACAATTATACGAAGGTCCAGCTGACGATGCTAACTGTATCGCCATCAAAAACTGTGACCCAACTGCTGACTTAATGCTTTACGTCTCCAAGATGGTTCCAACCTCTGATAAGGGTAGATTCTACGCTTTCGGTAGAGTTTTCGCTGGTACCGTTAAGTCTGGTCAAAAGGTTAGAATCCAAGGTCCAAACTACGTTCCAGGTAAGAAGGAAGATCTTTTCCTAAAGGCTATCCAAAGAGTTGTTCTAATGATGGGTAGATTCGTCGAACCAATCGATGACTGTCCAGCTGGTAACATTATCGGTTTAGTCGGTATTGATCAATTCTTACTAAAGACCGGTACTTTGACTACTTCCGAAACCGCTCACAACATGAAGGTCATGAAATTCTCTGTCTCTCCAGTTGTTCAAGTTGCTGTTGAAGTTAAAAACGCTAACGATCTACCAAAGTTGGTCGAAGGTCTAAAGAGATTATCCAAGTCCGATCCATGTGTCTTGACTTACATGTCTGAATCCGGTGAACATATTGTTGCTGGTACTGGTGAATTACATTTGGAAATTTGTCTACAAGATTTGGAACACGACCATGCTGGTGTTCCATTGAGAATCTCTCCACCTGTTGTTGCTTACAGAGAAACTGTTGAAACTGAATCTAGTCAATCTGCTCTATCTAAGTCTCCAAACAAGCATAACAGAATCTACTTGAAGGCTGAACCAATGACCGAAGAAACCTCTTTGGCTATTGAAAACGGTGTCATCAACCCAAGAGATGATATCAAGGCCAGAGCTAGAATCATGGCTGATGAATACGAATGGGATGTCACTGATGCCAGAAAGATCTGGTGTTTCGGTCCAGACGGTAACGGTGCTAACGTTGTTGTTGACCAAACCAAGGCTGTCCAATACTTGAACGAAATCAAGGACTCTGTTGTCGCTGCTTTCCAATGGGCTACCAAGGAAGGTCCAATTTTCGGTGAAGAAATGAGATCCGTTAGAGTTAACATTCTAGATGTTACTTTACATGCTGATGCTATCCACAGAGGTGGTGGTCAAATTATCCCAACTATGAGAAGAGCTACCTACGCTGGTTTCTTATTAGCTGAACCAAAGATCCAAGAACCTGTTTTCTTAGTTGAAATTCAATGTCCAGAACAAGCTGTTGGTGGTATTTACTCTGTCTTAAACAAGAAGAGAGGTCAAGTTATCTCTGAAGAACAAAGACCAGGTACTCCATTATTCACTGTTAAGGCTTACTTACCAGTTAACGAATCTTTCGGTTTCTCCGGTGAACTAAGACAAGCTACCTCTGGTCAAGCTTTCCCACAAATGGTGTTCGATCACTGGGCCACTATCAACTCTGACCCATTGGACCCAACTACCAAGGCTGGTGAAATTGTTCTTGCTGCCCGTAAGAGACACGGTATGAAGGAAGAAGTTCCAGGCTGGCAAGAATACTACGATAAGTTATAAGGAGCTTTCACTAATCCAAGTGAAACTCTGTTTTATAATTTATTTGTAGTTTATTTCCATGTTTCTAATTGTTATATTAGCGTTTACCATATTTAATTATATCTCATATATTACTGTATATTTGTAAAGAAAGTTAAAATTTAAGATATTTAATATATTTAAAGGTCACGGTGTGATGTTATGTTTGTTTACAATGAAAACCTCACGATTTTTTTTTGAGCTATATTAATAATAACAATAATAATTATTATTATTACAATTCGCGTTTTTCCTAGTAATCATCTAAACATATGCTTTGAAGAGAATGTACTAACTGAAATAACTGAAACTATTTTTACTCACAAACATATATGTATTTCTGAAAGCAAACGAGTACCATATTAGATAAAAACCTTCACCACAAGTAATCAATACAAATACAAATACAAATACAAATGATATAACATGGAAACTGAAAATTTAAAGTACGTATACCTAGAGTTACTACAGAACATGTTAGATGAGCTATCGTCACATCAAGAACAGCTCCAAAAGACATATTCGAAAGCCAAAACGAATCTCCAAGTGTCTGAAGGGCACTTCTATCATCCCAAAGATTTAAAGAAAGTAAAGGGGATCGGTGATACTATCATCAAAAGACTTGAAATGAAACTCGAGATATATTGCACGAATAATAATATAGAATTCCCGACCTTTGAAACTCAGAAGGGAAAGGCTTCATCAAAATCTACAAAGAGGAATCTAACGTCATTAAGAGTGGATGGACACAACAAGGAGATCGAACAACAACCTACCAAGAAGAAGAGAAAGTACATACCAAAGAAAAAATCCGGTGGTTATGCAATTTTACTTGGATTACTGGAACTGAATGCTATTCGAAGACCTTGCACAAAAGAAGAAATCATTGAAATATCCCAAAAATATGCCAATGGCAGTATGAACAGTAACTTTGCAACGAAAGAGTTTTACGGAGCATGGTCTTCTATCAGTTCTTTACTAAAACACTCCCTAGTGTTGGAGGAAGGTAGACCTAGAAGATACAGTTTGACCTCAGAGGGTCTTGAAATGGCCAAAAGTTTAAAAATTGCCGATAATATTGTATTTAGGAATGACACAAAAATGAATAACATAGATATTTCCCTGGATCTAGCTAACGAAAGGACCGTTAATTTAAGTGAATTATTAAAACAAGATAAACAAATACGGCAATACAATGAATCATCGTTTAACTCAGCTTTTAGTGATATATCACGCGAAACAAACCACTCAATTAATGCAAGCACTCCACAGAGATCGAGAGTTCTACAAAATATTTCATCTTTACCTTCTACTCCTACCACGAATAGAAGTAACCAACAAACAAGTACTACGACAGGCATAAGCACCAACGAGAAATATTTAAAAGGAAAGGTCCACATGAATAGGAAACGATTTACAGGCATAAGCTACGAAATATGGAAAAATGGTTCATACGAGATATATCCCATAATTGATCATCGTGAGGTAAAATCACAACAGGATCGTGATTATTTCTCCAATGCATTGAAACTGAAGGGAGTTAAGATGGAAGTACGCCAACTTTCTGTAGGTGATATTATTTGGGTTGCAAGACATACAGAGACCGGATTTCTATGTGTACTTAATACAATAATCGAAAGAAAAAGATTAGATGATTTAGCTGCCAGTATAAAGGATAACAGATTTATGGAGCAAAAAAATAGATTAGACAAATCTGGTTGTACCAACAAATATTATTTAATTGAGGAAACAATGGCCAGCTCTGTGGTTAGCATGACGGAGGCATTAAAAACATCTCTGTGGATGATCCTATTATATTATAGATTTTCAGTGATTCGATCTCAGAATAGTAATGAAACTGTGCAGAAATTACATGCTCTTCATTCTGTTGTAAAACATCATTACAGTAAGAAAGATTTATTAGTGATGTATCCGAATAATTTAAAGGATCAAGACCATTATCGAAAAATATTGGAAAGATTTCAATTAGAATTTGGAAATCATACAAGCATTGAATGCTGCCACACATTAGATTGTTTTCAGGAAATCATGGGTAAAAATGATTCTCCAACAGTGGGCGAGATGACAATACAGGTTTTGATGTATATAAAAGGTGTTTCTTTAGAGAAGGCTGTTGCAATTCAAGCCGTCTTTCCTACATTAAATATCATATTAACTGCCTATAGGAACTGTTCATCACAATTGGAGGCCAAAATGTTAATGTTTCAAAAGCTAGGTAGCGCCCCAGGTAACAAAAAGATTTCGAAATCTTTATCAGAGAAAATCGCTGACGCCTTTACTTGATGATGGAATTAGTCTTCTAAAAAGGATAAAAAGAAGAATATATACATTATACATGTAATTACTCGGAAGCTCTTAATAAGAAAACGAGTGTACATAATTCATTAAACATAGTGATACATATATATCATGAAAATCATCAATAGTAATTCCTGTATATATAATGAACATCAATACCATCAGAAAATACCTCACCAATTTCTTCCAATGACAAACCTTTTACTTCAGGGTACCATACAAAGACGAAACCCCATGCTAATAACATAAAGAATGCAAATACTAACATTGTGTTTTCGTTACCTACAGAGTTCATAACACTCAAATATGTCAACGATACTAAGGTGTTTGTAAACCAGTTTGTGCAAGATATGCATGAAGCACCGAATGCCCTTTGGTTCAAAGGTAAAAATTCTACAGAGCTCCAAGGTACGGTCCCTAATGCGGATGCATATCCTGCAACATATATGATTAATGAGATTAACAATAAATTAATATTGTTATGATCAAATCCTATACTAGCTAACAATAATCCGAGGATCATTATCCAAATTGTATACAATAAGATTGCCCTTCTACCTAATGAGTCCACAAGAAATAAGGCAACAAATGTAAATATAAAATTTGTGGCCGCAATTATCATTGCTGGGATCAAGGGATTTTCTGTTTCGAGTTTTGAGAATATTATTGGTGAATAATACATGAAAGCATTAAAACCTGATATCTGTTGGAAAAACATAAGAACACATCCTATAATTAAAGCCCTTTTAGTCTTCGGTTCCATCTTCTTTCTCCTATTATTTTGAGATGGGACTGGTAGTTGTCGTCTTATTGAATGTTCATCATTACTAACTCTCGTATCTGCCCTTATTCGTGCAAAATTTTGTGGTAAAATAGAAGATGGCCATGTTTGACTATTGGACCTTTCCAGTAGAGGTGTTCTTGAATCCACCTCAGAATGATTTTGTTCATACCTTTGTAACTTATTTAAAGCCATCAATAATTTCCTTAATTGTAAGTTTATTTGAAGCGAATTAGCATTAGGGTATAACATTCTCAATGAATTCTGTGCTTCTGCGTATTGATGAGTATGAGCTAACCATCTTGGTGATTCTGGAATGAAATCAAGTATTAATATGAATAATAATGCTGGTAGTGCAGCAATACCAAATAAATACCTCCATGAATGATTGGCATTCCTTACTGAATAAGAAATAATATATGATAATAATTGACCTCCTGTGATAGCAACCGAATTTAAAGTTAATATGAACCCACGTATGCTGGCTGGAGAAATTTCACTCAAATATATCGGAATACATTGTGCAGCTACTCCGATGGCTATTCCCACGATCAACCTTCCAAATATCAGTATATTCAAAGTACGGGCCATAGACATCAATACTGATGCGAGTATAAAAATAGCACAGCATATGGCTAATGTGATTCTTCGACCGTAGCGGTCAGCAATCTTGAAAGCAACTAATGACCCACCAAAGGAGCCAACACCTGTACTAGCGGTGATAAATTCTTTCTGTAAGTCTGTAATACTCGATCGATGTAAATCAGATGGTTTCAAGTATAATAGAACTCCCGAGATAACTCCAGTATCATAACCAAAGAGAAGTCCACCAATAGTGACACCTACAATAATGGTAAGAGTTCGTAGATTTAAAGCATATGGTAAATGATCTATATCATTTATTGTGGAAGTGGTCACTTGTGAAAAAGTAGAATAACAATCTGAATAAAAATCTTCATGTGGGAGACTATTTTGTTGTGGTATTTGTGAAGTTATTGCCGAATGGCTTTGTTGGGGACTGTGATGATGGTGATGTTTTGCCTTCTTTGACATTTATGCCTTAAAATTGGGAATGATCAACAGTTTTGAGTCTTAATAAAATAAAGGAAAAATCGGAGAAGGGATATAGAGATCCAAATTTAAAACCATAAACAACAAACCGATTATCTTGGATATATTCTATACTTTTGTTATTGACTGTCTGAAAGAAATGTCACTCAAGTGATGATGATATTACTTATTTGCCGTCTCTCCGGGGATTCAAATATAATACTTTTTAAAGGGAATTTTTCACAATGAAAATTATAATCTGAAATACTATTTAGTGACATTGTAAATTTTGCAGGAAGATACACGTCGTCGCCTTAATCATGTCGAGAATTGTGGGTTGCAATCTATTATAGCTATGCCGAATGCCTTACTACAGATGAAGCTAAAAGTCTCTGGAGTCCAGTAGACTTCAATGACAAGGTTACACCACGTTTAATTAAGAAGTGAATGATAAGAAGCATGCATGTGATTCTTTGTAGTTTTTCCACAAGTTATCAACATAATCAGAGATGCAATTATACGACATTTGTTAGAGGGTGTTTTACTCTCCCGATCCTTTACGTCTTATTCGAATAAGCTTTGTAATTTATGGAGCAAGCGGAATGGTATTAATGGCAAGAACTATAATATAAAGGGTTATCAGAAAAGAAATAACACGCACACACAAAATGAGGCATTTAAACTTCGAGATACTGTAAGATACATACATGATCACCCTGCAATTGTTATACTAATCTCATACGATGATCATTAATCTGTGTAAATGAATAGTACTTCTGCGGCCGTGAAAAATGACCCACTTGCGAGTCACATTTTAATGGTTGTTCTGGACACATACCGATCTATCTACATATAGAGGAAACAGGCAATAGAGGTTCCCAGTATTGCAACAAAGTATACAGCCTGACTTGCTATATATAGACGCCTCTTGTATGTAATATTTATACAACTGAGAACTTAACCGGTGTTGTCGGTTAAAACAGTATCTTATACATAGCTGTTAACTCTTTCTTGTTTCCCCCTTCCCCTTTACTAAAAGGACTCGGCGAAGCCAAAGGACAAAGCGAATTGACGACAATAGAGTTCATTGAATTGAATTCAATAAATACAGGGACTTGAAATAACAATTTTGAAAAGAAGAAGGTGTGTATAGAGAAAAGTGATTGAAATAATCTGTTCTTTATAGGTGAGGTAACGAGAGGTTTTGAAAAGTATATATAGATACACATAAATCTACATACTATTAAGTTATGAGTTTTAAAGGTTTTACGAAAGCGATATCGAGAGCACCTCAGAACTTCCGTCAGAAGTTCAAGATGGGGGAGCAAACAGTGGATCCTGTTTATGAGGATGCTGAGAGACGGTTCAAAGAATTAGAAGATGAAACGAAAAAGTTAAGTGACGAGTCGAAGAGATATTCTACTGCTGTAAATGGGATGTTGACCCATCAGATCGGTTTTGCTAAGGCGATGGAAGAAATATTTAAACCAATTTCAGGGAAAATGAGTGACCCTAATGCTACAGTTCCAGAGGATAATCCTGATGGTATTGAAGCCAGTGAGCAATATAGAGCTATTGTGGCAGAATTGCAGGAAACTTTGAAACCTGATTTGAAATTAATTGAAGAGAAAATTGTTAAGCCATGTCAAGAATTATTAAAAATTATTGGATATATTAGAAAGATGGCTACTAAGAGAAACCATAAGAAATTAGATCTTGATAGACGTTTGAATAATTACCATAAATATGAAAAGAAAGATGAACCAACTGCTAAAGATGAAGAAAGAATGTATAAAGCTGAAGCTGAAATGCAAGTAGCACAACAAGAATATGATTACTATAATGAAATGATGAAGACACAATTACCAATTTTATTTGGTTTAGAGGCTCAATTTGTTCAACCATTGTTTGTTTCTTTCTATTACATGCAATTGAACATCTTTTATACTCTATACAATAAATTTCAAGATATGAAGATCCCATATTTTGATTTAACTAGTGACATTGTTGAGGCTTTCACTTTGAAACGTGGTAATGTAGAAGAACAAGCCGATTCTTTAACTATTACACACTTCAAGATTGGTTATTCAAAGGCTAAATTAGAAATGACCAGAAAAAGATACGGTGCAGGTGCTGAAGAAGATGGTACACCTGGATCTCCAGTAGTTGGACAACCTGGTGCTTACGGCGCTGCTGCTCAACCTGGTGCTTACGGCGCTGCTGCTCAACCTGGTGCTTATGGTGCTGCTGCTCAACCTGGTGTATATGATCCAAATGCCACAGCCATGGGCGCTCAACCTGGTGCGTATGGTGCCACTTATGACAACAAAGCCGCAATGGCACAACAAGCATACGGAGCAACACCAGCTGCGGCCCCACCTCCAGCCTACGGTGCTACTCCTGTTGCAGCTGCCGCTGCCACTACCGCTGCCCCTGCTATACCTGGTGCTGAGACTTGCACAGCCTTATACGATTATCAAGCACAAGCACAAGGTGATTTAAGTTTCCCAGCAGGCGCTCAAATAACGGTTGTTCAACGTACTGCGGATGCCAACGAATGGTGGACAGGTTCTTACAATGGTCAACAAGGTGTATTCCCAGGTAATTACGTCCAGATTAACCAATGATATCACGCACCCCTCCCCTACTTTAGTTCTTAATATTTTTTTTTGCTATCACCTCCCATCATTCTCCTTTCTTTATCTATGTTTTTATCTATATAATGTATATCATTTCATAATTATAACCTATTACGTTATGAACTACTCATAGTTTCTTTGTTTTTGCCTATTTGGGAAATATAATTCATCTAGGTGGGTTCCCAAAACGGGAATATGCTTCCTCTTCCGGGGCTACGCGATCTGTCTGTCTGCGCCCCAATCAGGAAATGGCCTTCCCCGTCGAAAACTGTTCGGACACCAAATCCGTCTATCATTTTGTCATTTAGTTTCCCTCATCGTGAGAAAACACCAATCGAAAACAGTTTGACAAAGATGCTATTGGACCCTACATTTAGCATATTTTAAACATCAGCAAGTATGATAGATATAAATATATACATGTAAATTCTGATGCTCTATTTCATTTAGTTTTAAACTCCAAATAGTCTACTATTCTTATTGAAAAATTTGCCCTTAAATATATATATATATATTAATTTTTTTTTTCTTCTATTTTTTCTCTTTTTTGTTAAGTTAAGAAAAGGGAGAACGAAAGAAGGTCATTTTTCTAATAAAGTGAATAAAATATAAAGGAAAAAAAAACAAACTCTAAGCCCCAAAGGAGTTATCTGAATATTTTAAAGAGTTGCTTCACGTAATTTTACCTCTCCCCGATCGAAAGCCGTGCTATTAATAACACACAGCCTCTGCATTCGTGCATCAAATAACATTATAATATCTATTTGGTTTTTGAAATTTCCTATAAAGATAGTGAATCCTTTATTACCAGATACTAATTTACACGTAACTAATTGAATCAAAATCACGCGTATTTTTTTTTAATCGTACTCTCAATATTCCAAGATTAACTTATTTTATGCAAATACTGTTTTACTAATCTAAGCCCTGCATTTATCTGTTTAATTTATTTTAATTACTATCAATATCTTATATTGATATATATCTATACTATCAAGTTTTGTCCCCCCCCCCTTACGTTTCCTTTTTCAAATTTAGAAACGTTTATTCCAATATATATAAACATATACTGGAATTTTGGTATATCAGAAAGAATCACATATATTTATTTTATTTTAAAGTAACTGAAAGATGCCTCAATTTTGGAAACAATTACTCAGTAACCCGAAGAGTGTTTCTTCAGAATCTCTACCGACATCTGAAAACGCTCAATCATCCTCACAAAATATTAAATCTCAACCTAGACCTATTCTAACAAATAGACCTTATTCGTATAGTTCGATATCCAGTTCGACAATGAAACAAATTTCACCAAATAAACCAAGAAATCCATCTCATTTAGGTGTCAATTCATCAAGAGATGATCAACTTGCTTATGGTACTAGCGTAGGATCTGCAGAGTTTAAAGATCACAGAGACAAATTCCTAACAGATAGAAATGGATTTGTTGGTCGTGTCTTTGGTGTATCATTATCCGAATCATTAAGTGTCGCTTCTGCCGAAGTTATCGTGCAAAGTGAATTAGTAAGTTTTGGTAGAATACCCATTTTAATTGCTAAATGTGGTGCATATTTAAAGGCTAATGCTTTGGAAACACCCGGGATATTTCGTATTGCTGGGAATGGTAAAAGAGTTAAAGAATTACAATTTATTTTTTCAACTCCGCCAACGTATGGTGCTAAATTTAATAATTGGGATGCTTATAGTATTCATGATGTTGCATCTTTATTAAGGCGATATCTTAATAATTTAGAAGAACCTTTAATACCTTTAGAATTTTATGAAAGTTTTAGAAAACCAATACAAGATAAACCAAGAATTATTAAACATATGTTAAGCCGTCATGTTTCTCATCCAAATGCAAATAAAGAAAATAGTGTTACAATAGAAGATAAATCTAAGGAGAAAAATACTACAATAGTACCCGCTACACACAATACTGCTAATGAAACTGCTTCAAATACTACACCAAGTGATATCACAACGAATCCCCATGAAATATTAAGTAAATCTCATAGACATGAATCGTATGAAGCCGATAGAGAAACAGAAGCCGAAGATACAGATGAAGAATCTAAACGAAAGAGGAAACAGCGTCATAAGAAGAGACTTGCTCGTGATATTAAGACTGCAATTAAGGAATATGAAGAATTGTTCATCCAGTTATCCAATGATACCAAACAATTGACAATTTATTTACTTGACCTGATGAGTCTTTTTGCAAGACAATCACAATTGAATTTAATGACAGCTAGGAATCTGGCTGCTATTTTCCAACCGTCAATGTTATCACATCCACAACATGATATGGACCCAAAGGAATACGAATTATCAAGGTTCGTGGTGGAATTTTTGATTGAATACTCATACAAATTGTTACCTAATTTACTTAAAATCACTAAAGAGGAACAGGAGAGGAACACAAAGAAGACCTCAATAGATAATGGTCACGAAATTACTGCACCTACTCCAAGAATTATTACTCCAAATAGTGTTTCAAATGCTAGAAGACCTACCGATTTAGAAAGAAATTCATCAAAGAAATCTATCAGATCCATTACTCCAAATTCCCTATCTGGATCTTCAAACGTAATAGATATACCGAACAGACCAACAAACCAGAGAAATTTATCAAATTTATCATCATCTCCAAAAGTTGCAGATAGATCTCCTGAGAAACAAATGCATGATGCACATAAATTAGGAATGTCTTTGCAATTACCAAAAACAAGAACCAGACCTCATTCAAGGTCAATCGGTTCAGCACCTGTGCCGCCGGATGTTATATCAAGTAACAAACGGAAAACTAAATTGTTCCCTTGGTTACATAAACCTGGTATTCTAAGTGACACTGGTGATAATTCTGCCACTGAAGGTGAAGGTGATGATTTATTAATGTCAAATGATGAAGATGGTGGTGACATAACGCATTCTCCAATAGCAAAGAAGAGACTAGATGTTCCGACAATAGCGACAAACATAGAGAAATCCAATTCTTCACTAGGTGCAGTTTATTCTAATGATAGTTCTCCATTAAATTCAAGTAGTTTATTAAGGGTTCCTCAAAGTAAATCTCCAGTTAGAGTTGATTCTAATTCTTCAAGTAGAATCAGACCAATGTCAATGATACTAGACAAAACGAAGAGCAGATCGGCGGATGAATTGGGTTATATATCTAATAGTGGTAATTCTTTATCTAAAGATAACGAGAATGAATCGCGCTCATCAAGGAGTAAGAAAAGGGAATCTTGGTTTCAAAGGTGGACAAGTAGGTCAAATTCGGCAACTAGATCTTAGGTTATAAATTAGTAATTGCATATATACTGGACATTTATTAAAAAGAAAAAAGAAAAAAGATACTTTTATTATTTATTTATCTTAAATTACAAAATAGAACTAAAAGTTTTGAGTAGTTCTGTCGTAATAGATATATATATATATATATATATACATTATGCAAAAATTATACATTGTTGATGTTTCAGTCTAATTCAATAATATCATCTTCTTCTATAATCTCCATATCATCCTCTTCATGCTTACTCCTTTTATTCTGAGTAGCATTTGAAGATTCCTCTTGTAATTTGCGTTTTTTGAGATCTTCATTATCATCATCAATATCCAAATTGATAACCTCATTTGTTTGCAGTACTGCTGTTTCAAATGTTGAGCTCTCGTTGTTTTGTTCTTCAGGAGTAGTCATCTGAACTAATGGAATTTTGAGATCTGGTAATGCGATGTCAGATATCTTACCAATATTAATGTCCTTGGCCTCAATATATAATTCCAGTGGCTTTAAACCCATCCCATTTTCATCCTCTGTCTCATCAGTGACCAAGATAACTGAACCAGGTACAACTTTAATTTCTTCTAAAGTTTTTTCATCTAAACTATCGAAATCAAAATCACTTAACAATCTTTGTCCCGTAGTGTCTAAAATAGATAACTCCTCAGTATCAAAATTATACTTTGCAGCCAATATATTAATAACATCCTTTAATTTCAATTCTTTAAAAATGTTTGATGGAATATTCATTACACCACGCATAACCTTAGAACATACTGGGCAGTTGCAATTAGGTTTTGCCAATGTTGGGTTAGATAAATATCTATTTTGAGAAATATTACTTGCCTTGGTGGTAAATGTCATGTTCAAGTCGGTGGGTTTAGATATCTTTGCATAGTCTAATAAACTTAGAACACGAAGAGATACCAGGGATGATAGACCAGCAATAATAGCATTTGTTGTTGCAATTGCTGGTATAATATTACCAGCAATTTGTTTTATATCGAAAACACTCTTCTGTGGGATGTTAAAGATGTGTGACCTAATGTTTGCGGCAGTGGAGACAAATTCAAGGGTGTCTTTGTCATCTTTGTCGAATTCGATATGATTATCCTCTTCCTCCATACGTTTCATTAGTTTGCTGGTTATACTGCTAAATTTTTGAATCTGGTCCTGAATTGACCACAGAGCACTAAGGTCGAGGTCTCTATCGGTCAGATCGGTTTTTATGTCGTTAATATTTAATGGTATTGGTTTAGTTCTTGTCTTCCATAAGTTTTCAATCTTTAGTAATTTTTCAATATCATGAATAAATATCTTTTCAATAATCTTTGGGATCAAAGAATTGTCACCAGACAAAATAATGTTTTGCAATTCTTGCAATTCATTTGTCTCCTGTTTAATTCTTTTGATTTCATCCTCATCAGTGGTACCCCAATCTTTATTTTCAGAATTGCTATCGACATTAATATCTGCTGCAAACAATTGCGCAAACAAAAAGTTTTTAGCCCAAACTATACAATGAATTGGTTGAGAAGGTGTAGATCTTATAGTACAAACAGGAAAAGTCTTCGGAGTTTCCTTTTTGGTACAGTCAAAGCATTCCGTCTCATTTGGTATAATTGGTTGCATGTAACCATCAAACCCGGATGTTCCTGATTCTAATAGAGGAATGGATAGAAATTGAGACATCTTATTAACGTATCTTCTAGCCGCAAGATTATCCAAAGCGTTAAAAATTATATCGAATTCACCAAACCAATGTAACGGAAATTGTGTAGTGTCCATGATATTACCTTCATAAGGTATTAATTTAGAATTATTGAAACCTTGGACTGCTTTTACAGCTGTGGTAGATTTTGGCTGTTTTATATCACGCTGTCTAAATAAAAATTGTCTGTTCAAATTAGATAAATCAATAGTATCAAGATCTACCAAATGGATTTCACCAAATTCCATTAATATTAAATCTTTTAGTAGTTCAGAACCAATCCCACCGGCACCGATCAATAGGCATTTGGTTGCGCGTAACTTATTAAGGTTATCTTTACCAATGATCTTTGTAATGTTAGAGTCTCTAGACATCGTAAAATATGAGTTTATTCAAATTGAAGCGGCTGCCCAATAGTTGTAGCACTGAATAGTCCTTATTATTTTGTTAGCTTAGCTAACAAAGATCAAATTTTTGAAAAATTCAAACTTTCTTTGTAATTTCAAAGATGAATTCTATTCACTTTATTTCGCTTTCAATATTTTTTAATGCGATACGCGAGAAAGAGTGGAAACTTGACTGACACATAAAATATATCAATATATTGTCGATAGAAAAATTAAGAAGTAAAGTAAGTATTTATTGTACCAATTATATGTAATTAACACTATGGTGGATATGTCTTAAAAATATATATTCACCGTTAAAAGATTGGCTAAACTGATCACGAATAGAAAAATTTCAAAAAAAAAATAATTGCGAAAGCCGGGAATCGAACCCGGGCCCCATCGTTGGGAACGATAGATTCTAACCACTGAACTACTGACGCGTTTAAAGTTCTTAAAAAATGTGGGTTTGTAATATTATGACAGATATATTGTCACGTGACGTACAGCACTGAGTTATGTGCTTATTATGATGTATTAGGCCTATTATTTTCAATATTGTTACCTATTTGTTATTTAGCACCTTCCTAATATTTAGAATACCAATAATGCAAAGGAAGGGATGGGCGAAAATGTCATTTAAGTGAAACATTATGAAAACTCTGTATTTAGCTGAACTAGAGTTCAAATAGTGATGAGTTGTAAAAAAGGTTTGTAGCAGTCACTAAATGTAGTATAATTAGTATTGGGGGTGGATTCTGAATGACATACTAAGCCAAGATGCACCATACGGCTCCCTACCTACGCTTTTGAAGTTAGTTATAATGAGTTATACTTCCTTAGATATCTTACTTAAAAGTAGAGGCAAAAATGACAAATATATTTAATTACAAGCAATATTATTGTTTTTATAAAGTAATATTAACCGTAGCATCCCTCTCTTTCCATAGGAATGCAGATTAAACGGCCTCAATTTCGCAAGGCTAAATAACTGCAGCTTGTGCAATGGCTTTAGAATTGAGGTTTCAAATTACTACAATTTTCCTGGGAAGAAGAGAAAAATTTTCGAGGTCGTTGTTTTTACAAACAAATACCTAGAAAAACTATTTGAATATAGATATTGTTTATGTCACAGTTGCTATCCATCTACTACAAAAGATGTCCTTAAATATATCCTAGATCGGAGATTTATTTTGTAACCGCGAAGTCTGAAAATTGTTGATATTATAATACGGAAAAGGCTATTTAACTATATTTATAAAGCAAGCTTCAGACATAATAGCATACCTAATAAGCATCGTTTAAACTGCTCCATTTTAGCTAGAAGAACCCTGAATTGATATCTTACTGAGAGAAACCAAATAAGATCCACTGTCATGATAGATAATAATCATAAATATAGAGTAGAAATACAGCAAATGATGTTTGTTTCGGGTGAGACTAATGATCCTCCCATTGAAGTAACGTCCTTGATAGAAGATATAGTGAGAGGTCAAGTGGTAGAGATTCTATTACAAGCGAACAAGACGGCACATTGTAGGGGTAGTAAGAGTATTCTCCCGGAAGATGTTATATTTTTAATCAGACACGACAAGGCTAAAGTTAACCGTCTGAGAACTTACTTGTCATGGAAGGATTTACGTAAGAATGCTAAAGATCAGGATGCTAGTGCAAGTGCAGCAGGTGCTGGTGCTGGTGGAGACGATGATGATGGTAAGAAAGGGGCCGATAAAGTAGACAAGGACGATAAAGATGGTGGTAATATGATGAAAGTTAAGAAATCACAAATTAGATTACCTTGGGAATTACAGTTTATGTTTAACGAGCAACCACTAGAGAATAATGAGGATGAGAATGATTTAGATGAAGATGAAAGAGAAGCAAATATTGCCACTTTGAAAAGATTAAAAGCTGCAGATGACCGTACGAGAAATATGACCAAAGAGGAATATGTACACTGGTCTGATTGTAGACAAGCAAGTTTTACATTTCGTAAGAGTAAAAGATTTAAAGACTGGTCAGGTATTTCACAATTAACAGAAGGGAAACCACATGATGATGTTATTGATATATTAGGTTTTTTAACATTTGAAATTGTATGTTCAATTACAGAAACAGCATTAAAGATGAAGAAAAGGGAACAAATATTGCAGAGTCAAAACGCAAAGAATAAACAAGCATCACAGGATTTGACATTTGAAGTTACGACATTAAATAAAAGGAAACGATTGTTTGATGGGCCAGATAATGTTGTCAATCCTTTACAAGCTATTCATATTGAAGAAGCTTGGAGAATCCTACAAGCTGTAGATACGAAACATAAAGCTTTAACCAATTTCAAAGGTAGTAGATTATCAACAAGGCCAATTCTTTTATAAATAAATATATTTTATAGGTTTTGGTTGGATTGAAATTTGTAATAAGCATTTATATAGAAGACATTACCTGACTATGATACATATAAAGAAAGTAGAACGTTAATTTTTCTCATTATTTGATATTTTTGTATTGATTAATTTATATCATTTATTTATTTAATGTACATAAGTGTCAGGAGATGATGAAGAGAAGAAAGAGTATGCTGGAGTAGTTATTTATTTGTTTATCTGCTTGTATTGAAGAAAATACAGAAAGAAAACAATTCAGAGACAAAGATAGAGAAAGAAAATATTATTAATAACGTTCTTTCAATCTTGATGCAACAGTACGCAAATTACCGTAAACTTTACCTGGTGGCGAACCAAGAATTAAACTAACAACAGCTTCTCTAGCCATTCTAATATGTGTAAACCCACCTAAAATATGAATCTTACTATCAGCAAGGACGATTCTCGTTCTTGTAGCATTTTCAATTGCAAATTTAGTCTTACCATCTTTACCAGCAATACGACCGATAGCTCTTGATAAATGGTCACCATTTAAAGTTTTAACATCCTTAACTTCGAATGTTTCAATATATAAATCATCTAATCTTAATAATGCAATAGCATCATCAAGATCAAACCCAAGTGTAAATGCTTTAATGAAATCTGCACCCTTTTGTAAAGCACCTGGGTCAGTTGTAAATTTTGGATTTGTTCTTAATTCAACAGATCTAGTCTTTAAATTCATTCTAACTTGTAATTTTAAATGTTCAACTAAAGGTGGATATATTTTAGTCCAATTATTTCTTAATGGAGTCATTCTATGTGGTGGAACTGCAATCTTTCTACTTTCCAACTTAATCTTTGTTAAAGTAGTTTTATTTGCTTGAGCAAAACGTGGTTTCCCAGATTCATCAAATACAACACCTTTAGATTCTTTTTGTTTTTTAATTTCTTCATCGTTTTGTGTTGGTGTTACATCATCAGCATCATCTTGATCTATCAAAATATCTTCATCTTCGTCATCTTCAATCTTTTCTCTATTGTCCATACCTATTATTCTACTTGAAGTTGTAGCAGAAGAAGCAACATTACTAACTTCAGAAACTGCAGTTTTCTTCAAAGCTGTTGGTGCAACCATTATTATCTGTTTATTAGTGAAGTTTTTACAGTGGAAGGTATGAAGAACAATCTATACTTTACAGATCAAACACAAAATAGTTAAATATCTATTACTTCTATATAATGAAGACTTACTTTTCAACTACTAAGTTGAGATGAGATGGCTTCTATTCCTACAGGCCCAAGAGAAAAAACAGACTGAATTTTTTGTTACTGAAAATTTTTTCTGGATTTCTTTTGCCCATCGCGCATACAAATTTTGCTATTACCATTATTCCTGACTGTATATAGCTTTGGGCGTTGAAGCGATGAGGCGACGCGCGGAGATTATAAGAGAAACACTGCAGAAAGAGATGAGCATTTACTTATGGTATTTTATAGGTTATCATAAAATATACTGTTGATATAATGACTTTATGGATGATAGGGACTGTTAATGCATGTTTGAATTGACTTGAAGTGTGTTTGTTTGACTGCTTATAATGCCTTTGAATAGATATCTATGTATTAAAAGGTCGTAATATCTGGCCGTTGTTATTCAACCAATTAGTTTTAACCGAAATGCGCTTAGAACTTTCGGAACTTCATCGGAAATTATAAGTAAGAGATGACTGAAATTGATAAAAAAAGAGCCAGTCAAGGTAGATAGAAAGTAAACAACATAGAGAAAAGGAAATAATTTTGTTTGCATCAATTGAGTGTGTGTGTATACATTTTTCATATATCGGAGCTCTACAGAAACAAAACTTTACATATTGGGATATATCTGTTTTGCTTGTCTAAAGGTAATGAAATATATAAACGTGCGGGTGTTTTTGAATTTGGGTAATTGAGATTGAATAAATATTTAAATAAGAGATATGAACGCACTGGTACGACATAGAATGGTAAGATGTATTACCACAGTGAGAAATCCGATATTTATAAATGGATTCCTACATACTAGATCATTTTCTTCATATGGTGATCAATTGTGCTTCCAAAATGACTCATTTAAATTGAAAGAGGATAATAAAGTTTGGGATACCGTTGAAGATAAATTAAAGGTTTACAAATTGAAATATGTTGACTTGCAAGGTAAAATGGATAAATATAAGAATCAAATATTTTCACAGGTTAATGTAATTAAAAAATCAATTAATGAAGCAAATAAAAAAATTGAAGAACAAGAGAAAGAAGGTGCTGATGAAAAATTGAACTTTAAGAGAAATGCTCAAACTAGCGATGATATTATAGGATTACCATCAGATAGAGAATTGAATCGAAAACAATGGAAAAGAAAATTAGAATTTTATTTGGATTCTTTACAAGAGACAATTTTTACTGCCACAAGGGCATTAAATGATGTTACTGGTTATTCAAGTATTCAAACTTTAAGAAACTCTATAACAATAATGGAAAAACAATTAGATGTTGCTAAGCAAGATGTTAAAAATTATAAATCTCAATATGATAATGCAATTGACTCTAGAGCAACTTCTCAAAAACAATTAAATGAATTGTTACAAAGGAAAAGTTCATGGACCCCACAAGAATTAAAACAATTCACTGATTTATATCAAGCTGATGCAACCAATTCACAAAATGAAAAAAAATTAAAAGCTAAATTAATTGAATTGGAGGCAAAAGAAATTAAATTAGAAGATGAATTATATAGAGCAATTTTAACTAGGTATCATGAAGAACAAATTTGGTCAGATAAAATTAGAAGAACATCAACTTGGGGTACTTTCTTTCTAATGGGTATGAATATCATACTGTTCTTAGTATTCCAATTGTTATTAGAACCCTGGAAAAGAAGAAGATTAACACGTTCATTTGAAGATAAAGTTAAAACTGCCTTACAAAATTATTCTCACGAGCAGAATGAAAATACTTTAGAACTTTTAAAACAGCATAACATTTTGACGACGACGAAAAAAGAAGAAGGAAATCTCGATATTGAGCCTGATAGTACACCAAGTTCATTGCTATCGGAAAACACAAGCACAGATATACCATCCGAGTCAGAAGGGACTACTAATACAGACTATTCATTTCCAAACATACTGGCCAAAGTGAAACATTTTGGAATTAAACTAATGAGTTTATCCTCTATTCAAGGTACTAATGAAATTCTTTTATCGAATGCAGAATTTTATATATATTCTTCCTGTCTCATAGCAGTTGGTGCACTCATAAATGGTATATTTTCTAATAATTAAATAAAAGACTAACAAATGATAAAAGACACAAAAATAATGAAATCATAACTCATTTATAATATGTAATGACAATATTCAAGTAGCCCATTGATGTTTAATAGTATATCAATGGTTATATACTGATAGGAAAATTATATTCATTTTCGACACTACCCTAGTCGTTCAACATGATATTTCTTCAAGATTATATTTGCGAACAAGTTACGGATATTTATTCTGTATTGTAATAGAGCCGGTGGCAAAAACTAAGCTTGAATTTTTAAAGGTTTGGGTAGTGATGGATAATAACAACTAGGAAAAACACTTTTACACCAAATATATATACGATTAACTTAAGTATAAAATAAGTCAAGTTAAATTTAATCTTTCTTTTTAAATTGCATAACGTGTAGACTAAAAGAATATTTATCCGAGTACACCATTTTTGGAATATAATTCTAGAGCATTAACCCAGTAATCACACAAGGGTATACAATTCAAAAACTACATCACATAACATAATATAATATCTCAATGGAAGAATTAGGTATCACTCCATCTAAGGAAAATATAGCAGAGGAAAAGCGTGAGTTTAAGTCATACGGTGACTTATTGGCAGAATTGAGCAATAGTAATAGTATTGTGTCTTCTGGTTTGAACAGTGACGTTTACTTAAGATTAAAAAAATTGGAAAGAGAACATGAGTTGCTGACTTTACAAGAAGATTATATTAAGGATGAACAACGTCATCTTAAGAGAGAATTATTGAGAGCTCAAGAAGAAGTTAAGAGAATCCAATCAGTACCTTTAGTTATTGGACAATTTTTGGAACCTATAGATCAAAATACTGGTATTGTATCTAGTACAACCGGTATGAATTATGTTGTTAGAATCTTATCAACTCTTGACCGAGAATTATTAAAGCCATCAATGTCAGTTGCATTGCACCGTCATTCCAACGCATTGGTTGATATATTACCACCAGACTCCGATTCCAGCATATCAGTGATGGGTGAGAGTGAGAAGCCAGATGTCACATACGCAGACGTTGGTGGTCTGGATATGCAAAAACAAGAAATTAGAGAAGCTGTAGAATTGCCCCTAACACAGGCTGATTTATATGAACAGATTGGTATCGATCCACCAAGAGGTGTATTACTATATGGTCCTCCCGGTACAGGTAAAACAATGTTGGTAAAAGCAGTTGCTAATAGTACAAAGGCATCATTTATTAGAGTTAATGGTTCTGAGTTTGTTCATAAATATTTAGGTGAGGGTCCAAGAATGGTTCGTGATGTATTTAGATTAGCCAGAGAAAACGCCCCATCCATTATTTTCATTGATGAAGTTGATTCTATTGCTACCAAACGTTTTGATGCTCAAACTGGTTCTGATCGTGAAGTTCAACGTATTTTAATTGAATTATTGACTCAAATGGATGGTTTCGATCAATCGACAAATGTTAAGGTTATTATGGCTACCAATAGAGCTGACACCCTAGATCCGGCACTATTGAGACCAGGTAGATTAGATAGAAAGATTGAATTCCCATCTCTTCGTGATAGACGTGAACGTCGTTTAATTTTTAGTACAATAGCGAGTAAGATGTCTTTGGCTCCAGAAGTTGATTTGGATTCTTTAATTATTCGTAACGATTCATTATCTGGTGCCGTAATTGCAGCTATTATGCAAGAAGCAGGTCTACATGCTGTAAGAAAAAATAGATATGTAATTCTTCAGAGTGATTTGGAGGAAGCTTATGCCGCGCAGGTTAAGACTGATAGTGATGTTGACAAATTTGATTTCTATAAATAATTGAAGTTAATCATTTGGTAAGTCATCATAAAACAAAACAAAAGCAAAAAGAAGATCGCATCTAATGACATTTACTCAATTATATAGTTTTATGTGTAAAGTTATTTTAAGATATTTTCAATCATGAACGAATAATAACAAGATCAAACGATTTTAAAAAAAGAAAGATGACATTATTGTGTATATTGGAGTTCTATAACTGAGAAACCAGGAATAAATGTAGTTAAATCATCGCCATCAAGGTGGTCAAGATCTAAATGCCTCCTTGTGTGGTAAACTTTCTCGTAAGAGAGATGAGTGTTGTTTAAAATCTGTAATACTTTACCCTCTACCGAATCAGGGTAAAAAAGTGTTAGGTTTTTTGTAAAATCATCTCTTATAAAATTCCATATTGTATCATTTGCAAGTTCTAAGTCTGAACCTTTCAAATCAATGATGTAATTTTCATGTATACCAAAATTAATATTATCAATTCTTTCGATATTTTCAATAAAATTTGTTGTACTAACAGTTAGATTATCATTCATATACATCCATGTCGGTGGGGAGTATGCCTTCCACCAAATATGGACGCTAATATTTTGTTCTTGATAATATTTTTGCTTCATTAAAGTATCAGCAATACCACTTTGATGGAAAACTCCAATGATAATACCCATGATTAAGTTAAAACCTACCCATATTTTGAAGAATGTTGTAGAATGATGCTCTGTTATTTTAATACATACGAATGGAAGTAATGGAGTCAAAAACCTTAATTCTTGATGTGGGAAAATAGATAACACCATTAATGCAGAGTAAATAGACAACATTTGTAATGACATGAAAGAGGATTTTACTTCTCTTTTATTATGAGGTACTATATATAGCATAGCAGGGCCTATCAATTGTGGCAAATTTACTAATATATGAGTGTACCTGGGATGCAAACCATGTTTGGATAAATTAGAGACCGACATATTGTATAAAAAGTTATTCATTGGTGCAATAATATATGTCTTACTATCATATAAGGAAGTATCAACCAAGATGCAAACTGCTGATGTAGCGAATATCGTTAGAATTAGTACAAGGAAATTTCTTATATGTTTTAAAAAATATTTCCAAAATACTATTAATGAAGGTAAGAGTATGAAAGCTGGAAATGTCATTCTATTAAAGATACCCAAAGTTATTAAAATACCTTGAAATATTGAAAGCCACCAGTGGTTTTCATTGGATCTCCCTATTTGAATTGAAAAAGTAGTAATGGTTGCAAGCAGAATCAAAGTCTCTAACGAATTTGAGAAAGAATGACTTTGAAAAGACCAAGTTACATACGAAGTAATCACATAAGCATATGTCCTTGATCTGTGAATATCATTTTTTGGAATAATATAACACAAAGCAATATATGTAATCAGTAAAAATGATAACGAGTGTTGTAATCTCACACAATATAATAGTATGACTGGGTTATTAATATGCAGAATGTTTGAGAAGAAATAAAATATAGGTCCATAGTACAGCATCAAAGGAACAAAACTACGGGCACCATTTTGAGGATCGTATTCCCAGGGTATAGTACCTTTAATTCCATAGAAAAACTGCGTCAGTATCTCTAGACTTTGAAAATGTTCATCTGGATGTATATAGGAAGGTTGTATTGAAACTAATATACCAATTGAAATAGCGAAGATTTCGAACTTCGATAGCAGCATGTTATAGTATAGTTAAAAATTGTCTTCTAAAGTAATATCAAAGCCACCAGCATTACCTCATCCCCATGGACATACATATATAAGTTCAAAGATTTATTCAATTATCAACAAATATTTAATAATTGTATCCATCTCTTCGTTTGTTCCTGATGACTTATATACATTAAGAAACAATAACAAATACTGAACCAACCCTAACATCATGTTGTACGAGGTAAGCCAAGTATCCTTTTTCTGTGACGCTGATCACTCAGAATATGCCGCACAAACACACAAATTATAACCTAAAAATGAAAAATTTATTTTGTTTTTTGTTTTTTTTCAATTTTTGACAGAAATTTGTTTTAATATTGGTGACAACCAGGTAGGCTATATGTTTTTTTACGTATAGTGAGAGAAGATCATCAACTAACGATGAGCTAATGAAATATTTTCAGAAAACTTCAATTACGTTCATTTTCTGAAACATTCACTAGCTATAGATATAAGATATCTTGGAATTGTCATAGATTAACTTTTGCTTATAAATCTTAAGTGTTTATAATTTTATTAAAACAGGTTTTTTTTCCAAAACAACAATTAAGTAAGAACAAAATATGTTAGATGAACAGGCTATCATAGCCTGCACTGGGCAAACCATGGTTGCAGATGCCAAATTGATCAAAGAAGCAGAAATGAAATTGTTTGAATTTCAAAAAGAAGCTGGTTTTACCTTTTTATTATTAAAGATCGTCTCTAATGTTGAAGTTCCATTAAACATTCGAATGTCATGTGCCATTTATTTTAAGAATAAAGTATTTAGATCATGGGTTAATTATGATAGTACTAGCCAACCTGTTAGTGCAGATGATATTAATCCTGAAGAACAGCAGATGATAAAGGATAATATAATTCAAATTATTGTCAATAATGTGAACGATAATCATATTACACCTCATTTAACTGAGGCGTTGTATAATATTTTAATTAGATGTAAAGAATGGGATTTAACAGGACCTATTTCTGAATTATTAAACAGTGGGAAACATGATTATATATATGCTGGGTTATTGGTTGTCTTTGAAATTTGTAAAGTTCATAGATATGACCTTTGTGAGAAGAGAGAGTTCTTTGATAAATTTATTTCCAATGTATTTCCAACTATTGAAGGTTTACTTTCTGAATTAGTTAATCAAACGGATTTCAAATCAAGTGAATTATTATATTTAATCCTAAAGAGTTTCAAGTATGCTTGCTTGAATAATTTCCCTGCTTATTTCAATGACATCTCTAAATTGGATTCATGGGTTCAATTACATTTATTTATTTGTGCTAAACCTGCACCAAAAGAAGTCTTGGAGATTGACGTATCTGATAGATCTTTGGATAAGAGAGTTAAAGTCAATAAATGGGGGTTTGGTAATTTAAACAGATTTATTCATAGGTATACTAAAGTCACCAAACATGTTAGTGAACAATTTATTGCAAATGTTTTCTCTAATGTGGTTCCAAGAATATTACAAGAATATTTTAATATTATGAACACATGGAGTCAAAAATCTTTATGGTTAAGTGATGCATCTTTATATCATTTAATTAGATTCCTTGAAAAATGTTTAAGCACCGATGGCTTATATCCATTAATTGAACCTCATTTAGAGGCAATCTTTAAGTCTTTAATATTTACATGTTTATGTGCAAACGCAGAAGTAGCAGAATTATTCGAAATTGATCCAGAAGATTACACTAGACGTTATTTTGATTTTAATAAAGAAGGGTCAACAGCGGATGTTGCCTCAGTTGATTTTATTGCTCGTACAGGTACGGGTCGTCCAGAACAATTATCTGTAGTTCTTCCATTTGTTAATGATATCTTCAATCAATTTGTTCAAACTCCAGACAATGTTGAAGTTGCTTATAAACAAGAAGGTGCTATGAGATCAATTTCTTCATTGTTTATCTTTTTTGAGGGTAATCCAACTGAGTTAGAAGGTATTTTCACTCACTATATCATCAATATTCTTTCTCAAACAAAATATCCATTTTTAATAGCTAGAGCTTTAGCTACAGTATCAGATTTTCAAGCAGAATTTCAAAATATGGAAACTTTATCTAAAATATATGAATTGGCTTATAAACATTTGATGGAGACTGACATTTTACCTATTCAAATTGAAGCAGCAGATGCATTGAGGACATTAATTATTTCAAACCCAAGCATTCGTAGTCATATTTCTGGTCAAGTTCCTGGTATTGTTGAAAAATTATTAAAATTATCAAAAGAATTTGAAATTGATATTTTAGCTGAAGTTATGGAATCATTTGTTGAAAATTTTGCTGATGAATTAACTCCATTTGCCAAGGATCTTGGTAGAAGTCTTGCGGAACAATATTTAAGATTAGGTCAAACTATGATTGAAACAAGTTCAGACAGTTTTTTTGATCAAGATCAAGAGATGCAAGCAAGTTCTTTATTACAAACAATGACAACAATGGCAATGTCAATGAATAAAGTTTCATTAGAAGATGAATTTATTCCAGTTTGTAAATTCATTATTCAAAATGCACAAATTATTTTATTAACTGAAGTAGTTGATTTAATGGATGCATTAACACTATCATCAAGAAATTTAAATGGTGGTATAATTTCTGAAAATATTTGGAATTTATTTGGTGAAGTACTTGAATCATTTGAAATATATTCAATGGATTATTTTGAAGCATTTAATATATTTTTTGAAACTATTGTTCTTCATGGATTTCCAACAAATCAAAGATATATTGAACCATTTTTCCAAATTTTAAGTGCGAAATTAACAAGTGGTATTGATTATGATATTGAAAATGTTTTCAATTTATTAACTATGTATAGTTTATCAATGCATGATATTCCATTATTTAGTGAATGTTTAAAGGTTTCAAATGATAAAGATTTAGGTATTGATACAAAACAAACATTAAAATTATTTTTAGCAAATTTAATGACTAAACCAATTGAAACTTTACAAATTTGTGAATTAGAAGGTCAAACATTAAATATGATTAAATTATGGTTTGATACAAAGATTGTTTCAGTATTTGGTATTAAGTTACAAATCATGGCGATTTTATCAATTTTTAAATTAGAACAATTACCAAGTAGTATTGAAGGATTTATTAATATTTTAAGTAATAAATTAGTTGATTTATTAGAAATTTTACCAAGAGCTATTCAAAATCGTGATACGGCCAATAATGATGAAGCAATGGGTAATTTACTTCTTGATAATGAAGACTCTAATAATGATGTTGAAGATGAAGATGATTATTTTGATGATATTGATGATGATCTCAAAGAAACAGAACTAGATCAAATTAATGCATTTGAAACAGTTCATCAAGTTATTCAATCGTTACAGACACATTCAGTTAATAGATATCAACAATTCATTGAGTCATTAGATCCAAAGAAAAAACAAACACTACAAGTAATTTTTGAATTTGTATCACAATCATCCAAATAAATAAATAAATAAATGTATGTATGTATTAATTAATATATTATTATTGTCTTTTNGCAAGTGAAAGACAAATCTGATCTGCAGATAGCCGGTTTTCTATGAAATATATGTAAGTATAGCTTTTATAAATAAATAATTATTTTATTAATAATAATAAAATGAATGGTATAGCAATTAATATAAAAATATTAATTTTATAAATAAATTAATAATTAGGAAATTATAATAATTTTATTAATAATATTAAATCTCAAAATTATTTAATTATCCCAACATTCCTCCCCCTAAAAAGGGGGGATAGGGGATTTATAAAAAGTCAGATTATGTGCGATAAGGTAAATAATCAAAAGGGAAACAGCCCAGATTAATATATAAGGTTCCAAATAATATATTAAGTGAAATAAATATTAAAATATTATAATATAATCAGTTAATGGGTTTGACAATAACCATTTTTTAATGAACATGTAACAATGCACTGATAAATAAATGAATAATATTTCAAATCATATATATATATATGTTAATAAAAAATATATATATATATATATATATATATATATGTATCTCACTATACCACTTTTCACCTTAAACCCATCGGAAAGAGAAAGAAAAAACAAGAATTACGAAAAAACCAAAAAATTGTACAAAATTGTAATATATTTATATACATTATTATTGTTAATGTGTGCAATGTGATTATTATTACTATCAGTATGCTCTATGAGAGATGTGTTTGGTGTTACTCTGCGCGTGCTTCTGCGCGGGATGTCGTTGTTTCTTGTCGCGTTGGATGGAAAATGTACATATTTATATTGAATTCTCTTGTTTTGCGCGCGGTTTTCTTCGGTGAGGTCTCGTTTTCTGTTTCTGCGCAGGTTTTGTGGACGCGCGCGAGAGGTTCTCAGTTACCCCGCTGTTCTGGCAGAGAGAGAAAAAAAAATTAAATCGAGCGGTCACGTGATGTGTCACGTGCTTTATCCGTACACAGTGATCTTGGTTTTTCTTTTTTCCCATCATTATTATTATTATTAATGTGACTTCTTTTTTTGAAATTTTCAGGTGGACAAAACGCTGTAGAGAGTGAGAGGGGTGTGTGTGAGTCCTACGGGCATTTGTTATTGAAAACGGGACACTCAGCAAATGCTTCTTTGTTCTTTGTAATTTATTATTTTAATTACTGTTAATATGGATGTGAGTTGGCCAAAGGTATGATGATTCCTTTAAGAGAGAGGAAACCCAGAAATAGAAGTACTGGGACGTATAACCGTTTGGGTTTTTAGAAGAGAGAGAACATAGTGAAGATGGCTGTTGTTAAGCACTCCCCCCCCTCCGGTTTTTTACATGTAGTAGAGCTATTGTACTGCACGATATTTTTAAAAAGAGAATTTTTTTAAGATTTGTTAATTGACCTTTTTTTTGGTGTTGTTGTCTTGCGATGCTCATCACTTGAAATATATTTATATATATATATATATATAGGAAACTGTAAGTTGTTTGAGTTAGATTTGATCTGGTTGGTTTATTTATTTAGTATTTACTATATATATAATTGTAGTTCAAACCATACACTGTGTGTCGCATATCTCTCTACTTTTTTTGTTTTTACTCGTCTCAACAATGTCTGAAGAAAAACAATATATTTCATATAATAATGTACATCAACTATGTCAATTAGCTGCCGAAAGAATTAAAACTTTTAAACCAGATTACATTATTGCCATTGGTGGTGGTGGATTTATCCCAGCAAGAATTTTAAGAACTTTTCTAAAAGAAAAAGGGATTCCAACTGTTAGAATTTTCGCGATAATTCTTTCATTATATGAGGATATAAATTCTGTTGGATCAACAGTGGAACAAGTTGGTGTTACTGTTCAAAGAACTCAATGGATTGATTATGAGCAATGTAAATTGGATTTGGTTGGTAAAAACGTTTTAATTGTCGATGAAGTTGATGATACTCGTACTACTCTACATTATGCTTTGAGTGAATTAGAAAAAGATGCAAAACAACAAGCAAAAGATAAAGGTGTGGATTTGATTAAAAATCCAGAATTAAATACGAAATTCGGTATCTTTGTATTGCATGATAAAATGAAGCCTAAAAAAGCTGATTTACCTTCTGAAATTTTAAATGATCCAAATCGTTATTTTGCTGCAAAGACCGTCCCTGATGAGTGGTACGCGTATCCTTGGGAATCTAAAGATATTGTATATCATACAAAGATGGCTATAAAACAAGGTAATGATATCTTTATGGAATAATCGTTAAAAAATAAAATTAAAAATTGTATGTCTGTCTTTGTATCAAGCATTTTCGTATATATATATATATATACATATATACATAAATATGGAAAATCGAACCAACTAAGTTTGAAGAAGTGTAGCAGTGTTATCAACGATGTACAGAACGTTGCATGGACGTATCTTCAACAACGTGGGGAGAGTCTCTCTATCTCATCAGTCTATCTTCTTTTTTTGCTCTGCCCATCGAAAGTCCTCTCGAGCTGAGCAATATTTGCTTACTTTCTTTTTTTTTCTTTTTTTCTGGTTCGCTTTACATAAGGCGAAATGAGATAGTTACATACTTTGCATATATATATATATATGAATTAGTTGAATAAAGGGTGGGTGGGATACGAAGAAGTGGAAGCCACAAGGACAACAGATAGAATATAGATATAATCCATACATAACAGTTACTGTTATTGCTTCTTCTTCGCTTACCTTACAACACAATATATTTATTATAACACAAAAAAATGACTATTACTACAATTCCAGTCTGGCTAGATTGTGATCCAGGTCATGATGATGCAGTTGCTTTATTATTAGCTTGTTTCCATCCAGCTTTTGACTTAAGAGGTGTCAGTGCCTGTTACGGGAACGCATCTCCTGATCATACAGATTATAACGCTCGTTCACTATTAACAGCTATGGGGAAATCAGGTAAAATCCCAATATATAGAGGTGCTCAAAGACCATGGGTACGGTCTCCTCATTATGCACCTGATATACATGGAGAATCGGGATTAGATGGAACAGATCTATTACCAATACCAACTTGTGAAGATATCACTGATATAGATTATGTTGAAGCCATTAAAAAGGAAATAGAATTAAATGATGGCCAATTAACAGTACTCTCAACAGGTGCTATGACTAGTATTGCTAATGTAATGAAATTACATCCTGAATTAAGATCGAAAATTAGATACATTAGTATTATGGGTGGAGGGATTGGTATTGGGAATGTTAATCGAAATTTAAGTGCAGAATTTAATGCATGGATAGATCCACATGCTGCAAATTTTTTATTTCATGATCCTTTGTTAAAATCAAAAATTATTTTATGTCCATTAAATTTAACTCATACAGCAATAGCGAAACAAAATATTATTGACAAAATTATTGAAAAGGGTTCGAATGATCATCCATCAAATCTTAGAAAAATGTTCTATGGTTTATTTCAATTTTTTCAAAAAACGTATAAAGATCATCAAGGGTTTAAAGATGGACCACCAATTCATGATCCAATGACTCTATATCCATTATTTACATTGTATGGGTGGGAATCAAATGATGTAGTACAGTTTCAATATAAGAGATTTGACTTGGATGTTATTGATGATCTTGATAATCCAGACGTAGGGAAAGTTATTGTCAAAGAAACTTATCCACTAGATGAAATAAATCCAAGAGGTACAATGGTTGGGTTTAAGATAAATATAGATTTCTATTGGGATCAATTCTTCTTCTGTCTGGCTGAGGCTGAAAGGCATTCTACTATAGAGACATAATGAAATGTTACAAAAATATTCCCTTTAATTTTAAAATTTTTGAAAATTTATTCTGTACGTTTTCTAAGAATTAGGTGGATTTGTATGTAAAAGTAATGATAAATTTATATCCTTTTTTTAAAAAAAAATATTTAATGATACATTTGTATATATAAAAATTAAGACATTTCAAAATTATTTTTAATTATAAATAATACCTTTTTGTATTCATCTCAGTCAGATAACTGTAGCGCCTTCTTGCTTGGTCGTTTTTTCACTCTTTCTATGAATTTCAATCAAAACAAAAAAGTGTCTAAAAATTTTTCATCTAAACAAAACCTAAATTTTGACCTCTCTTTCAGTAAAGTTCAAATGAAGACCAGCAGGACATAATGGACCAGCAGGTGTGACTCTATCTTCCCATCCAGGTGCCACAGTTATTTCAAATTGTTTCAGTAATTCACATATAGTTATCCTCATTTCAGAAAGCGCCAACTTCTCCCCTAGGCAAGCTCGTTTACCACCATGGAAGGAACTTAAGCTACTATTATTTTTATGGTGTCTCCAATTCTTCATGATAGATTCAATATCATCACCCCAACGTCTAGGTTCAAAATCATCAGCCGTATTTCCCCAATGAGTTTTATCGTGACTTGCATTATAATTATGATATCCAACATATGTATTCTTAGGAATAATAATATCATTACCTAATCGACATTTTTTGGAGGTACATCTATTAATGATTATGTTAAGAGGAGGATATATTCTAGCAGTTTCCAATATAAATGAATTAAGTTGAGGTAAATTTGGAAGAAATTTCATATCTGTGACATCTTTCACTTCATTCCATATTAAATTCTGCCAAGTATCTTTATGCTTTGCTAGGAAATATAATAAAGATGTCAGTAACAATTGTGGATTCTCATGACCAGCAACTAACATTATTACAATGTTATCTGTTAGTTGCTTATAATCAATAGTTTTGTTAGTGTATGCTCTTATCAAATCACTAGAAACATATTTTGTTTGTTCAAATTTGTAATTTTCAATCAATTGCGTTTGAACTCTATCAACCAAGATATTTCTAAATTCTTCGATATCAGAAAAGGCCTTTTTTCTTTGAGGCAATTTCAATAAATCAAGAAATGGAAATGTTAAAAATAATGGTTGAAATATTTGTCTCTTAATACGAATTAGATGTTCATGTAATGGTACGCTATCGTTAGATAATGTTCCAAAATTAAACCCTAATAAAGTTTGTGATATGTTATCCAGAGCTAAACGTTGAATTAAGGGAATCACAGGTACACCATTTTGCTCCAGGACTTTTTCATCGGTATCAGATAGTTTCGTTCTTATAAGTTTAACAAATAGTTTTGCATTTTCCTCAAATGAGCTATCATCAAACTGCTGCAAACCTGTTGTCATAATACTTCTATATTTTTTCCAAACTTCCCCATGTGCACTAATAATATTATCCCCTGTATATGCAGCAATCGCACTATAAGGGATTTTCTTTTGGTTTCCACTCTTAGCAAAGATATCCTCTTTTTTGAATATTTCTGATAGATATTCAGGTCTACCAATTAATATATTCCATCTAGCACCAAAAAATAATTTTACTGCACCATATTTTTCCAACGGTTCCTTTAGGTATAATTCATATAGTTGGAGTTGATCCATCTTAGTTATACTTGGTAGGAAAATCACATAAAATGGGATTGTTGGAATATTTCTTGGAAAATTCAATGGAGGTAAAACAATTTTGAATATAATTATTCCTATTAACATTAAAAATACTAGTGAAACGAAATTAATTAGAGATATCATTTTTTCTTTTTTTGTATAAGATTGAATATGTGGTTTACTGGGGAAACTGTGTTGGTGATAAAACGTTATTGGTTGAAATGGAAGAGAAAAAGAAAATGAAAACTCTATTACCAAGAATTGTAATTCCATAGCAGATATCTCCATGCTTGTTATATATCATTCTTTTAGAATATATCTATTGTAGTAAATTACAAAGAGGGGGTAAGTTTTGATACTCCAAATGAAGGTAATAAAAATTTATTTAAGGTTTCTTTTACTAAGTACGGCTCCAGCATAGGAATGAGTATTATGAAGTATTTTGGTAATGATACCCACCCTACTTAATCCAACCTCCGTATCTAACCTCCATTATATGGTGATACCCTCATCAACTGTTCATGCTATCTGACTTATTCCACACAACTGACCTTTAAATGTATTTTCTTTTTGTTTCCTGTTGCGGAGTTTTGTTTGAAATTTAAGATCAATTTTTGCGCGGCGGTTTAGTTTCCATGACAATTTTTTTTATTCATAATACAGTAGAGAAAGGCTCATCGTCAGCATGACATTAGTGGGGAAGCCAACGTAATCAATCTAGGTAGGTAAGCATCAACTATCACGTTGTATTTAGCCATCTAGGTAACGATTGAAAAGACAAAAATGAGCTGATAATAGTTAAAAATAGATTAATGACGTCTTTTGTTTTTTTAATCTTCTAAGAAATGTCTTTTATTTCCTTGCCTACTGGCAGGTTATACCATAATGAACTTGCCTATTCTTGTTTTGCTTTTATCCTTCTTATTAATGGTACGTTTTGTTTTGGAGATCCCCTTAGTTAGCACACCATGTGTCAAGGTAGGGGTATCGGAGATATTCATCCGATTATGAAGAAAGGGATATTTTACATGTTATTTAACATTAACCTCGCCAATCATATGATTATAAGCAAATATAAACAAAAGGTCATTCCTTACTCCAACTCTAGAACCTTCTCATTGGTAGTATTGGGTAAAGGGGATGCATGATAACTTCACAATAGTCATGAGACAGAAAACAAAAATAAGGTGTCTGTCTCCCTTCATTGGTGTTTATGTTTTTAATTAGGAATTATGTGACTTTACATCCTTATTTTTCTGGTAGTTTCATAGTTTTGTCCAATATTCTAGATACATTCAATTATAAAGATGGAGAAGATATATCGCCCTTCAATATACAAGGTGTTAGTATGTATCATGTGGTGTTATATTGATAGTTCTATTTCAACTTTTATAAAGTTTTAACTGACCTGGAGTATCCTACCTATTATGAAGGTTTGAAAGAAGATGAAGATTCCAAGCATATTTTATAAAAATAATATAAAAAGGAAACAAAACGTTCATTTTTTTGTTAATTATACATGATCTGTTTTTACAAATGTATTATGGCTTCATCACAACATCGTTCATATACTTAAAATAATCAGCAAAGTTCAAGAAGTTAAGACTACAATGACTGTTACTGAAAAACCTAAACCAATCGCTGAGGTGCTAACAGCATCTACACCTCCTGATTCTGAAACAGAGCGTGAGATCTTACATAACAAAGGAAAAGATATTTCTACTTTCTCAAGATTTTTAGCCATATATACTAGAAATAAAGATGATATGTCCATATATTGCATCGAAGAAAAGAAAGGTTGCGACTTTTCTAATAATTGGACATATATTACAAACGTCTTAACAAGTCAAAACAGTTATTCTGGAAATAATGGTAAATTGACTGAATATTTGATTCCTGCTTGTGATGCACACATCTTTGAAGAATCTCTCTCTCATCAATTGAAGATTACCGAATATCAAAAGGAAGGAGAAACCCAAATTAGAGGTTGTATTGTAAAGGTCGAAGTTGAAGATCCATTCAATGACTGGTTTATATATCATATGTTGGATCAGTCAAGATTGCAATTCAATGATTTTGAACTTTTAAATGTTGATCATGCTAATAATGTTAGATATCATGACATGTTTGCTGATTTCTTCGCTGCTAATCTAAAGAATACTATTAAAAACGATGAATGGGATGAGTCTGGAAGAGAATATTTTGTTGACCGTGTCAGGTATTTTACAGACCGTTATGTTAGGATTGAATGTATTCTTCCAGCGTTCCCTTGTAAATCTTCTAACATCAATAAAGTTGGTGGTGATATCCCTGACAAAGGTGAAGAGTTGGCTCTAAGAAGACTAATTCAGATTACTAAGGATGTTAAGGACTTTTATCCTCCAGGATTAAAGATTTGGATTGTTAGTGACGGACATGTCTTCTCAGATTGTATTGGTGTTGATGATGACGTAGTGGACAATTATACATCTAGATTACATGAATTATATGATTTGTGTAAGGACAGTGATGCAGATGCCATTGGGTTTTGTGGATTGAATGATCTTTTTTTCAATGGAGAGTCTTCAGAATCATTCGATCCTACATGGGTAGAAAGCTATACAGTTTTACACTATACCGGTACCATGATTTCTTCTAAATCAGATGCAGCAAGACAAATTCTAATGAAGGGGTGCGACACCGATGACGGATCTTTAAGAAAAGATGTCAACATTCCAGATCATCCTAGATTATATTTATACAGAGGTTTCTCCAAATTTATGATGGAAGATTTAGCTGTCTTACCCTTTTTCCAATCTTACTCTAAAAAACGTTTCAAAAAAGTTATTTCCAAGATTGCATTTAATATGATTAGGAGAAATGACGCATACTCTAACCTTGTTGAATTGATGTTTCCTCATCATATGAGAATCTCAATCCATGCTCACAAGAATTCGGGACCAAAATTTGGTGTTAAAGTTATTTCTAATCAGCAATGTAGTATTGTTAAGGATCTCCAAAATATAGAAGAACCAACATTTGAAGATCTGTTACATATACCAACTCCTTGGCATAATTGTGTCGTTAAGGTCACAGATTCGACAGATTCTGAGAAACAGAACTATTTTTTAACTAAATCGAGAGTTATTAAAGATGCTCTTGCAAGTGGAACCTATAAAGGTGAATGGAAAGAGACTTGTTTTCAAAGTGGAAATGGTGGATGTTTTGAAATTATGAAACATAACTAGATATTGTTTCCTATTCGTTTTATTTTTAATTCCTGGTGTTTTAATGACTTTTTGTATAACATTCCAGAAGCATTATCATTACCTCGAGGAAACCATTTGATAAACTTTCTTTTTTGTTATTTTTATTTTTTTTTTGTCTTTCTCCTGTTCATTTTTAATAGTTCTTACGATTTAGTTAATTAAGTACATCTTATTTAATTAATGCAATAGATTTATTGACCTTTTTAAATTATTTTTCCTTTAAATAAACTCAATATGTGTATATGCTTAGTTTATCTAATAAAAGGTATAGATGTTTTTTTGCTTTGTAATTACGTTTTTTGTCACTTACCTGCTTACCTTTTTATTCAAGCATTAGAGAAAGCGTTGCTAAAGAAAAGTACAGATACATAGTCGAGTTATAGAAGCAACTTATTATATTGGCAAGGTATTGACTTGAGATTCAAGTCATATACATGTATCATTTATTTAAGCTCTCTAGTTCTCAGATTAAATCAACTGTGAAAAAGGTAATAAGTTTACCCTAATTCAGTTCTACTCAATCAGGTTGATACATACGTACATCGGTGTAACAAAAAAAATATAATACATTAAAAATGGATATACATGCAAATGAAGAAATAAAAAATATATTAATTGTAGTCTATTGCTCCTATTTTCTCCCTAAAATACACATCAAGTCATAATATTTGTGATATATGTATTTTGTAAAACCAAAAAGAAAAGATAATGACATGTTTAAATAGCACCCAGATAATCTTCCTTAATACTACCGATTGCGTGAATGGAACTAACTTGACTGATACAACCTTCAATTTTTACTCTGATTCTACTCTTGATTGTAATGACATCTTCGGAGTTTTGATAAGAAGGAGGGTTGGAACCTGCATTAAATTGAAGATCCTGAGGCATTAAATGTTTTGTGACAAAGACTTTCATTGGTCCGACTTGAACTTCAAAACCGTGCTGCGAACATGACACAACAGTACCATCAACCACTTCACCTTTGAATGGCTTGAATACCACTGCTCTATACTTAACTGTAAATTCGGCAGAACCATCAGTTGGTAATATTCTACCACGTTCGATTTCTATCTTATCATAATCCAGGACACATAATATATAACCAAACTTACCCGTACAAGAACCTTCAACTTCCTGAAGCAATTTACTTTTTAGGAATTGTTTCATTCGTGGTCCGAAATATGAAGGATGTAGCGTAATATTGAGTGATAAATCTTTGATAAAAAACATTGTAAGAAGTTGGAATTAGACTTTAGAGGTGTATATTCTATAATAATAGATTTTACTGGATTTTGACAAATAGACCTTATTCTTAGAATAAATATGAGGGAAACTGCTCAAATTGGTAGGTTATGTTACAGTAAAAAGAAAAGGGAAGAAATTGAAAGCTCGTTAATCAATTACACCTTTCAAAGAAAAAAAAGAATATCTTGTATTAATGTATATCTATTCAATTGGTTAGAACCACCACTACTCTCTTCTTTCTTAGTTTGCGAGTCCTATATTATGTCTGGTATCTTCAGGCTCTTTTCAAGTTTTTCAAAAACAGTCAAATTATTTGTTTGGCTGAAATTTCACGAAGTTTCGCTCTTTACGTCGCCGTGCCAAATGATACATCATGGACCGGGAAAGTTAGAAGTCGGAAGGGGAGCCAATTCAAAACCAAATATACCATATGCTTAAAGAAAGTTGAACTATTTTAAGAAAAGATTTACCGACGAGATTAAACGAATTTGAGCCCAAGAAAAAGATTAACTTAATTAGGTGGCTATATATCACTAATAGAAATCGTTTATTGACAAATACATATATATGAAAGGATGCCTAGATTGACTCCTTCAACGGTTCCAAAAGTTACAAATTTTGGTGAAAAAATATTAAATTTAACTAGAAGCAGTATAGGATCTGTAACTAATGATGTAGGGACAGCAACTAGTGACTTACTTCCTCATTTTAGAGTAGGTGAAAAAGAAATATATTTCCCAAAGGCAAGAATTATCTTGTTAAGACCAAATGCCAAGCATACACCATACCAAGCAAAATTTATAGTTCCCAAATCGTTTAACAAACTTGATCTAAGGGATTATCTGTTCCATCTCTATGGTTTAAGGGCATTGAATATCACTACACAACTGTTACATGGTAGATTTGTTAGAATGAGTGCTTTTTCAGGTAGATTTAGAGGACCACAGATTAAGAAGATGACAATAGAAATGGAACAACCTTTTATCTGGCCTGAAGAACCTGAAAGCAGTGAAGTTGCACGTTGGAATGAAGAATTCCAGAATGAACTGAATAAATACAAAGCAGAAAATCAAATGTCTGTTGGTTCTGATATAAATAAACCTTCAACTGCCTTCGATGGTACGTTAGGTAAATACGCAGAAGGTGCTCAACCGTTTATTCCAAGATTTTGGAAGAGCGAGATTATAAATAAAAGAGACAGAGCAGAGAAGAAGATTAAGTACATGGAACAATTATCAAAAATAGATAAATATGCCAAAAACAATGAGATAACTCACTAAATTGAGTACTATTGGTTAATCTGTTACTAATAGAACGTATTAATAAAACACCATAAATAATCTCAATTAAGTTCAAGGTTATCATTTATCCTCAATACAATGAAATGTCAAATATATACATAGATGCTTAAAATATTCTTCATGTAAATAAATATAATAAATTAAATACTAAATAATCTACTATAATGACTGTGGTATGTTAAGGTATATATCTATAACTTAAAGTTTTTATGCGAATGAAATATTTATAATTGTAAAAAATGCGATAGATTAGTACAATATTCTACTATAATTATGTTTGAAAATTTTTCAATTCACAGTTAATATTATACTCTCTGAATCAAAATGTAGTAGTGGGTCCTGATTATCCAATCTTGCAACGGCCGCACATATTTCATATACGCCAGGTTCGACAGGAAGAAGATCAAACTTTGTACTAAAAGGTTTGTCAGTAGACACCGTTTTAGATAATGTACCATTATACAGAACTCTGCCATTTGATCTTGGTAATATTTTCGAGGTTTTTTGGTCTATTATCCAAATATTAAGTTTTCGTTGGGATGGAATATCATCAGTAATAATTTCCCTCGTATTTTCAAGATGTACACTCAATTTGATGTTACTACCAATACTAACGGTTGTGTTATCGGCTGTGAGTTTCACAGTAAATAGAGACTTTCCCTTATAAATAGTGGAAACCATTTTGGAATCAAATTTCTCGAGGAATTTTCTAAAATCAACTGATCCACTTAAATTGTTGTCATGGAAAAAGTTCCAATTGCACTGTAATCTTTCAAGAATGTATTCACGGCACCAAAATGCTTCTCTTAAATCTGATTCTTGTTTCACATTTAGGCCACTCTGGATAAACTGTCTCCCTTCAACAATATGAGGAATTTGTTTGTTACCAAAGCCCTTCTTCAAAAATTCTATTTTCTTAACTGGAATGATCATTCTTAGGGTGTGGTTAGCCTCAATGAGATATTTCTTGCTCTGGAAATCATCAAAATGAACCTGCAGGTTAAGTCCATCCAGCCATGAGTTTCTGAAATCAAGGAGTAGCAAAACAAAATCATGAGTATTGCAATTGGGATCATTTTCTAATTTAGTTTGAACAAACTCTATCCAATCTACGGATGACTTATCATATGATATATTGTCGTTTAATGGAATGATATCTAAATTGGCTACTTCGACTGTCTTTTGGATGGTAACTTCATACGGAATTTCTAGTTCTTTTATATATATATGGTTTGAATCAGAAGCAGTCATACCATATTTAATTGAAAGAACAAATTCATTAAAATCAAAAGGTGCATGCGTTACATCAACCTCAATTTCCAATTGTACATCTTCCCCTGGTTTAAGACTTTTTGGTGCATTTGAAACCTTAATGGCACAGGTTTTCAACTTATCTAATTGCTTTTCTACTTCAAATAATTCATCGGGTTTATATTTCTTCCAATAATCACTTTTCAACTCTTTTTCAACATTAGTAATAGAATGAAACATTATATAATCTATTGGGCAGTTTAAGGATTTGTTTCTTATATTTATAATAATTTTTGTTTTGGTACCATCAAGAATCATTATTGAGTTTTCAGCTATGTTTGACTTATTCATAATCTGAAGCTGAGGTTGTTCTGGGAAAATCTTTATATCTAAAGATCCATATTTGCACCTTTCATTCGCAAAATGTTCAGTATCAGGAGTTAAGTTTTCATCCTTTTGTACTTTATTCAGTTGATCTTCTAAGAATGGAAAACGTCTTTCAGAATCTACAATTTTAAACTCTTCCGGTGGGAGCTCAAATGCTGATAATGATAAGCTATCTATTGTAAAACCGTCATTTGATGTGGCCTTTTTCAGGATGACAGGGATTGTTATTTCTTTTAAAGATTCAGCTTTTATAACATACGGATTTGTTTTACTTAGATATATGTCCTTGAGTTCACAATATTCCATGATACTTGGTGGAAATTGGAGTTTTGTGATTTTTAAATCAAATTTAAAAGGATTTTGTAAGGTACATGTAAATTCGGCTTTGTCTCCAACAAGTAATATGTTGTCACTTACCTTTGTAGGAGCAAATTTAACTTTCTTAGAACTTGAAATTTTAAATGGATTAAAGACTTCATCTGTCTTTATTTGTTCAGCTGCATCCTTTATAACGGATTTATTAATATCTGAAATGGCAGCCTCTATAGGTAGTTTAGCACTTTGTCCCCCAGGTTCATCAAATTCTAGTCTTTGAAAACTACAGTTTCTTATAATAAATGGGTCCCAATAGCTGCATATCGATCCAATGGATATACATGGTTGGATATAGTCAGTAAACAATGATGATTGTTCCGATGCAGTGAGCATGTGTGTAAAATTTGACAACAATTTCAGAGCCAATTTAGATATTAGATCGGTATCATCGAATTTTTTAACAATCGAAAGACATAGATTTAAAGCGTTCTTTTGTAATATAAACCAAGTCCTTTCCGAAGCATCTAATTGAAGCAGCTCCGAGTGCCTGGAATTTACTGCGTAAATATCTAAAATATCTTCGATAATGGCTCTATGGTTTTCGGACCAAAATATTTGTTCAGTTGAAGAGCTTAATACTGCGAGTAATAATCGTAAAACAAGAGCTTGCTTCCTTTCGAATCCAAGTGTTTTGAAAGTATATGCCAGCGTTATGTATAGTGTAACTTGTGACTCTATTGGTATGTTCTCCAATTGTATTTCCAATAACCGAATTGCAAACATATATATATCCTCTCTTGAAAATTCTTTCTCACCATCATCGAGTTCAAATGGTTTTCGTTTATTTGCAAATTGGTGATGAACTATTCTTTCTAATGTTTCAGGTGAAAAATTTTCAGTATTGTGGCATGCCACCATAAATGTTAATGTCTTTAATACAAAATTGCAATACACAGTACTTGGAACATATTCACTGTTATTGCTTAATGTAAGTTCATAATAATATAAGATTTTTTCGGCCATCTTTCTCACTAAATGTGGTAAATTAATTGTCGTTACATCTATATCCAAAAATGAAGCAGTTACATTCATAGAATTTCTAGGGGATTGTAATTGAGATGGCATTGTTGATATGCTAGTTCTTGGGGCACTTTGGGTACTCGGGCTTGCTGTCGGTATATGAGGTTTATTATTGACTACGGTATCAACAGTTTGTAATGGGCATAAGAGGTTTATGATCTCAGGGACTTGAAACGGGATTTCCAAATAACTTAACGAGATAAAGCAGATTGCAATACCATCGATTGCAGAAGCCAACCATAAGAAATCTCTTAACTTATATAAAAGAGTTACAGACTCAGTGAAACTTGTCAATGCGTCTGAGTATCTCCCTGCCAATAGTTGAAAATTACCTAAGATCTTGAGTTGCCTACCTCTTGATTTTTGTTGAGTTCTACCATCTGACGTTGAAAGAGTATTTGCTAATTTTAATGATGCAGATCTTTTGATACTGTTTGTAGTTATTTCGAACGATGATAGACGTTTTACAGAATTTGAAGTTGGTTTTTGAGTATCTGTTGGATTCACGAGGGTGTTAGTGCCATGTCTATTTATAATTGTCTTTGAGATAGAGTTCCCCCCAATGGCACCTGGGGATCTTAATGTTACATGTTTATATGATGAATAATAATGTGATAATGCCTCTAAAAAATTATGACCAATATCACATATAATCGTTTCTAAATTTTTGGGAGTTTGAAATGTTGTAGAGAAAACATTTGGAAGTGATTGGGGTAGTGAATCATCAAATCCATTGGAATAAATAAGATTTGTTGATATTGCCGTTGGATATTTTTCTTTAAGGGTTTGTAAATTTTGGTTTATGGAACTGTCGTTGTTCACTAGTCCTATTATCACAAATGTTTTCCTAAAAGGTTGGAAATCGTAGAGAAACAATTCTGAAGAATCGTTATGGCCTATAATATCGAAATCGAATAATAATCTACCATTGGGGAACCCTTGTGGAGTAAATAATGGACTATCAACTGGTGTAATATCTAATAATCGAATTTCCGAATATTCTTTAATATTATTAACAGCTCTTATGAAATCTTTTCTTTTCCATTTACCTATGGGTACAATAAGTGTTCTAATCCTAGCAGGACTAATATAGCTTGGGTATTTCGCCACCAGATCCATATTTGCTCAATAAGTATATAATATTTTTGCTTTCTTCTACTTAATAAGTTAACGTCAATTCTTCTGATTGATTCAGTTTTATATCAGAGCAATTGCGAAGTCAAATTAAAAAAAAATAGGATAACTCGTTGTAAAGGGATGAGGGTATGATGATGGTGGTGATTCTATTATATGTCCTTATTTGGCTAGAGATAATGTTTCTATATAGATATAGGTATATCTGAATTTAATTGCATTATGTATGTTGTTGACCATAGTGGGTTTATCACATAATTGGTTTTTGGCGCTGTACTTATTAGTAAATCGCACTGCGAATTTCTTCCTATTTTTTTCTCTCAGTAAGCTTTGCTTTGGGCTGTTAAATTTCAGCAGCGATGGGTTTTCTTTTTCGTATAAGACATAGATACTAACCAGTGCTCTCTTAGACTATATATAGGAATATATTTCATAACCTTTTAATGAAAGTAGTAGCAAATGTCTTATAACAACAATTGTTATATTTAAAAAATGATTGTGTGTATGTATATATATATATATGTATAGTATTAATGTTCATAATCACTGGATCTTTTCTAGACAAAGAAATGGTAAATCGGGGTGTATGATATAATATGCATTTGTTATTAGATGATTTAATTTGTTTTTGAATCTAACGCCTTCTTTGTGGCTTCTACTATAGCGATATGTTCAGTAGCGTGTACTCTAGCTTCATATTCATCCAAAGTTTCTTTCCCAGGTATAATTTCTAGTTCTTTCACCACTAAAGGTTCACCTTTATCTACTTCTTCAATGACATAATGTACCATACATCCAGCTATTAAAGGTTTTTCAGTCTCTTGACATTTTTTCCAAGCCATCTCAATGGCATGAGTTGTCCCATCAAATGCACCAGGTAAAGCAGGATGCAAATTAATGATCCTTGTCTTTCCAACATTTGCTAAGAATGTGGGTCCCAAAATTAATAACCACCCAGCACAAACCACTAGATCAGGTTTATCCTCCAGAACCACTTTGGCTAGATCCTTTTCAAACTGAACTCTTGCATGTGCTCGAGCATTTTTATCCTGTTTATCTATACTTTTTGTATATTTATATAATGAATGTATCTTTGTTGGGATGTTTACTTGTTGGGCTCTTTCCAGACCATATGCATTCTTGCTGGAAGAAATAACCGAGACAATTTCGCCAGAACCTAGTTTCCCATCCCTTTGTGCATCTATCAATGCTTGCAAATTAGAACCTGATCCCGATATCAGCACTGTAATTCTAGACATTTTTGACAACTTTCGTTCAGATAGGTATTAAAATGTATATATGTGATTGTTCAGAATGAAATATCCAGTTTTACGTTCAAAAGAAAAACAGAAATGATTCGAAGAGTATTTATCACCGGTAACACTGTGTCAAAGATCTATATATATATATATACATGTCTTACCCAATGATTAATTCCACCATTGACATCCTCTTTATATGAAATTGACCATAATAATGAGAAAACAGAGTCAAAAACCGTGAAATTTTCTGCGGAAATAGGCGATGAGGATTTTTGACACAGAAACCCACGCAGAACAGATAGAGATTCTCTGATCACGTGAAACTTTGACAATATTGACTGTATTGTTACTTTCAACTACAAAGAGCTACATGTTACCAATGTCATTGACATATTTGACAGGTTTTATGTCAAACGTGTTGAAGAACGACATTTGGTGGGTTCTGATAAAACTGTAGTGTGTTTTTAAATGTCCTGCCTGTCCTCTTGGTAATAAGTTTTAAGTACTTGAATATTGAAACATTTGGGAATGAAAGAACACTGAACGGTAATAATTCTTCCTAAACCATGTATTCTGATCTTGTTATATAGCATAACCTCGTGCGGTAGTGCAACTTACACTATATCATGTAATACCTTGTGTATATGCATATGTATGTCTAAACCCTTCATGCACCCACGCACCGCATATATTTACGATGTTTTACAGAGTAAACCGAAAAGTGAAAGCGAAATCTTTAATAATGAGTTTTGAAATTTCCATTGACAGCTGTGATCTACGGCTCATAAAAGAAGATGGAATTGTGAAATTTCAAGGTTAGATAGAATTGTAAGACCAATAAGGATTTTTATCGAGGTGAAGTGTGTCTGTGATCAGATTTCATCAGGAGTAGGCAATTTATCTTTATATCCTCTACATTTTTATTTATTATTTATTAGTTTTTTTTTGGTCCTAAATCATCAAGTGATTAAGTACCTAAAAGGCACAAGAATATTATTAGAAAGACGGTTGTTTGTTTTTCAGTTATTGTGAGGTATTCATTTATTTATTTATTTTACTGAAAAGTTTCATTATTAGCATTGTTTATTACTTTGGTGAGTAAGAGTTTGATATCATAAAGAAGATTATTTTGCAGCGAGAAATGGATGAAATACTACTTAATGTCCGTTATTTTAAAGTTCCACAACTTAAAGCACTAAGTAGAGCATGTAAGCTTAGTGCTAATTACAAAAAAGCAGAACTACTTAAAAATTTAGAGGTACTGTTTGCAAGTTTTGAAAGGGATACAAATTCATTTCAAACTTATGTGATATGTTTACAATATTTAATTGAAAAATGTAAAGAAGGTGAGCAGTTACCGCCATTAGATGAATTAGTTACAGCTAAATATTATAATAAAAGTTTAGATTCTGTACATACTAAACAAAAACGCCCCTCGTATGCAAATTCCACTACGTCAACATCAATAAAAACAAGAGATAAAGCAATGATGAGTCCCTATGCTAATACTATTCATTTTGAAGAATCACCATTTTATAAATTGGAAAAATTGATACCTGAATCTGCTCAGAAAATTTATGTGACTAATGGTAGAGGAACTTGTAACATTAAATTTCAATTAAACAAAGATGAATTCCATTCATTACAAATAGATCAAAAAACAAGATTATATTTATTATGTGGAATGGTTAACGTTTTGGGTACAAGAGGTAAAGAGACTATTCAATTTCCAAGTCCTAATGAAATTCAAATGAATGGACAAGTTGTAAAAGCAAACGTAAAAGGGATTAAAAATAGAAAAGGTACGACGAAACCTGTAGATATTACACAGTATCTTAAAAAGGATAATAGCTTAAATTTTTTCCAATATATTTATGCATTTACCGTCACAGAATTCCTCATTTATCTATATATTGTCAAAGTAATTTCACCTGAAGAAATTCTCAAACAGATTTTGAAACAACCAAAAATTTTAAAAGCTGCAACATTATATTATTTGGAACAAACAATAGATGCAGATGCAGATGCAGACATTGTTACTACATCGGCCGTCATGAGTTTGAATTGTCCAATTTCATATATGAGAATGAAGTATCCTGCCAAATCAAGTTCTTGTAAGCATTTACAATGTTTTGACGCATTATGGTTTTTACATTCTCAATTACAAATTCCAACATGGCAATGTCCGGTCTGTCAAATACCGATTAAAGTGGAGCAATTAGCAATTAGTGAATATGTTGAAGAAATCCTACAGAAATCTGATGAAAATGTGGAGCAAGTAGAGCTTTTTAAAGATGGTCGTTGGGCACCAATCTTTGACGAAAATCAGCACGGTAGTGATTCTGAGTCTGATGGAGAAACACCATATGGTGTTGCAAAAGATAATCAACAAAAAACATCCTCAGTGACAAAAAATGAAGAGGCAGGACCTATTGTTATTTCATTAGATAGTGACGATGATGGAGAAGGAGAAGGGTCGGCTACAAATCAGAAAGATATAACACAATATAACGCAAAAGATGACACTAGTTCGAAACAAGGCACATATATTGATAATAATAATAATAATAATAATAATAATAATAATAATAATAATAACTACTCTAGAAGTTTGGATCCTAAAGGTAACCCTAATACACCTCTTAAAGGAAGTTTTAATACAGATTCAAGCTCGAATAATTTGAATTATCCAGCAACTAGAACTTCCTTTGTTGTCGAAGAAACTTCAATAAATTCCAATTATAGTACACCTCTTAGAGAAAAGGATCTCGAAAAACGTCATCCAAGTATATTATACAAACAAATCAAATTTCCTCAATATTTACAAAGTAAACCATTAAATGATAATACCTCGACAGATATATTGGAACCTCATTCAAATAAGGATATTGGGCATACGCCAAATGTCGAGAGATTATCTAGTACTTCTTCTCAGTCAACAGTTATTATGACTGATCCTTCAACTGCGTTATCAAATCAGCAACAAATCTACTCAATGAGTGGTATCTCTACACAAAATGATATATCAAGTAAATTGGAAGGTATTTCAAATCAACCATCTGTAGAACCACCAGTAAGGGAACATGGAGAACCTCAAAATTCAAATATAGAAGAACCTGAAAGAGATGTTTCTAAATTACCAATTATTCCTATTTTACCATCCCTTAAGATTGGTGACAATACGACAAATAGTTTAGATAAATCATTTGAACCCTTACAAAGTTATGAGAAAACATCAGTTGTTGAATCTTCTATAATGAAGAAACCAATTGTCGCGCCATTTCAACCTAGGAGGAATTATTCAACTACTATTCCTCAAAAGAGACACCTTTCCAGCTCATCTGTTTCTAGCATACCAAGCAAAGAGAACAATCCTTAGCATAATAAAACAGCATCTATATTTAAACAAAGTTTATAAATTAGTTTAATTATACATAAATAATATATCAATGAATCGGTTATTAATTTATTTAAAGATTTTATTAGTACACACTATATGCATATTTTTTATTGGATAAAAGGAATCCAAACTTTTGTGTTTTTCTTATAATTTATATAATCATTTCCAAAGAACGAAATCAAATATTCTTCTTCGACCTTAATTCTCTTACTGAAAAATCTCCACAGTACTAGTGTAAAAATTAATGAAGATAAAGGATTGAAGAGGACTAATTGAAGACCAATTGTCCACCAGAAAAATCCGAAATAACTAGGATGTCTGAAATAAGCGTATAATCCAGTCGTTACTAAAGTATGGTCTCTTTCCTTCTTTCTTTTAAGGATATGTGAAAATGATTGTGCGGCAGTTTTCATAGCCGTTGTTCTGATATGCTGGCCTATTATTGTTAAAATCATACCAATGATTGCAACATAGTGCTGGATTCCTGTTGTTTTTTTAGATTCAGGCCATATAATGTATTCTACAAGACACTCCAGGAGAGCGAATGTATGGGCTCCAATGTATTCTTTACCATTTCCAAATAATAAAAATGAATCAGAGTGGACCTTTCTTGGATTATATTTTGCTGTTATATAATATTCCAAAAAGTGGAACAAGGTTAATGCAATAATATAAAAATTTATGCCTTTAAATTTTAATGTTGGAATTAAGCCGACAAACAGTCCAAACACTATACCTAATAGAAAAGAGGTCAATGATATTAAGTCTGGTTCATTCTTTGTGATGTCTGCACAAGGTTTATCGTCAATGTTAATTGGATGATCAGATTCACTGGAACTTTCATTGCTGTAGTCATCGGGAACAGGGGAGGGACTATCCATTTCAAAAAAATTCAATCTAACTAGAAGGGTAGCATACAATTTCTTTACTCAAATCTCAGAACAACGTTCTAGTTCAAATTGGTCGATATATCGATAATGTTCGTTGTCTTGATGTCCGGTTATATACTAATCCGTTCATATAATTCTCTGAGTGTTTGCCTGTGTTTTTTCCTCGATGCGGTAAAATACATGAAACGTCTAAAAGAGGAAATAATGAACCTCAATATATCGAGAAGGAATTATTTAGTATTAATTAGATTGAAACTGGATTCAAGACTTCAACCTGTAAAAAACTAGAAATATAACTAGCAGAGAAAACATCTTTAAATAAATCTATTTAATTATTTACAGTTTTTCTCTAAATTTGTAAAAATTAGAAACAAAAAAGTGTATTTAGTAAATCATTCTTCTTTGGCACCTAAACGCTGTCCAGAACCACGAAAATTTCCAGTACCAGCACTTGTTGTGCTGAGACCCGATGAGGTGGCATTAGTTGGTGCTTTAGTGTCTTTTGTACTTGTTTGACCGATACCGCCAAGCTTATTCCCGCTAGTAGACGTGCCACCTAATCTAGAACCATTACCCTTAAACCCGGACTTACTTGAGCCACTAGAGGTGGATGGTGCTACCATTGTTGCAGCAAATCTGTGGCGTTTGTCAATTCTAAAGATAGTTTCGTATAAGTATACAAACCACCGTGGTGCACAAAATTTGCCACCTGGAGCCCTTCCATAACTAGAACTTTTTTTGGTAATGAACCCCCATATTGGACCAAATGTCCGAGTATCCAAGCATAAAAATATATAACCGACCAATATACCGATTAAAGAGACGAAGAAATTACCTTCCCCAAAGATAAATGCTATTGCAAGTGTAATTAATGGATAATATTTCCCATATACCGGTAAAACACCATAGAATAAAATTTTGGTGTTGGCATTATCTACTGCCCAAGTAAATGTTAAACATGAGGTAAATGCACTTGTAAGGACCATATTTGAAGAAGTACCAAATACTAATGCATTGATATTGGCAATGAATAGAATACAGAAACAGATGTAGAATGTGTAATCGATAGATGGATTCGCTATACTAGTAATAAAAAAGTGTTCATTCTCTAGTTGAGCTGATCTAGTAAAAATATTATATATTTCGAAAAGTGCAGGCATAGCTTGTGCTGGAAGAATCATACATGATGTAATCATTCTCCACAATTGGAAATATCTGAAAGTTTCATTCCATTGGAAAATAAGATATCCGAAATGAACCAGTTGTAAAACATAGGCAGACGTTACAGTACATAATAACAGTACGATAGCTCTGGTTACTGGTGGAATACTATCCCATATTGTTCTAAATGTTGGATTTGATACATTGGATGTATTTGAACTAGATCTTCTTGAATCACCACTTCCCAAGGTGTGTACATTTCTTGGTGGCATTTTGAAAAAGTTAAAGAAGCTATTGTAAAAGCGATTGGTTAAGGAAATATGGAGAAATAAATTGTTAAATTGTATTATCTATAAGGACTATATTGGATGAAAATGTATAAATATCTTATCCTTTTGATAAAACAGATAAGTTTCCATATGTGTACTAAATACGTGTTCGTTACATAATTTTATCATAATCACAAATGTGTGGTAAAAATAGGGTCTCCGAGATTACCCTCAACCTTGAATTATTATTCTTTTTTTGATTTTTTTGTCATTGACTGAAAATTTTCAAATTTCAAAAATCGATGAGCTCAGTGAGAAGACGGTCATAATAACTACTTCAATAGTAGAAGAGATTGTATAGTTCCTTTAATCGTTGAATTTCTAAGTAGCTTAGCTGTTCAAAATTAAGGAATTTACTTTGGTGAATACAAGGTAAAAGATATTTATTGTTTTCATTAAGGAAACATGGCTGTTAAATCTAATAGACAATTACTGACAAAGGGTAAGGGTTATGCTACCCAACAACAGAAAAAATTCGGTACTGATGAGGTCAGCTTTGATAAGGATTCAAGATTAGATTATCTAACAGGGTTCCATAAGCGTAAACTACAGAGACAGAAAAAGGCTCAAGAAAATATTAAAGAACAAGAAAGATTATTAAAGATTGAAGAACGTAAGAAAGTACGTGATGAAAGAAAGAAACAAATGGATGAACAAATGCGTAGGTTTAAAGAGACTTTAGATATTCAAGCAGAGATAGAAGAACTTCGGGATGGTAAAAAAAGAAGTGATCCTCAGGACCATGATTCGGATAATTCATGGCAAGGGTTTGAAGACGATGAAAGTGATGATGATGATTCTGTAAAGCCAATTCTAAAGACAAATTCCCTTGGGACAGCTATTTATGAGGATGAGACAACTGTTGAAATTGAGTCATTGGAACCAAATGAGAATTTTGCATTCTTAGCTAAGACAAATAACGTTGAATTAGAGAAATCAGAAAAAATATTGGATCAAAGTATAACGAGAGCCAAGAAATATGCTAAATTTTTAGGTATGGATGATTCTAAGGACAATAAAAAGAAATCTAAGAAGAAGTTTAGATATTTAACCAAAAATGAAAGAAAGAATAATCAAAGGAAAGCATATCAAAACAAGCATAGGAGATAGGCGCGTTGCATCATAACAAAGTTTGAAACTTTACAAATAAGAACTGCATTCAGTGACATTTATAAAACTTATAATAATAATTTTTCGAAAGTTTATTTTTTCTTAGGTAATTAATTATATTTATTTATTGAAGCATATTGCATTAGAGGTATACAATTTTTAAACTCATTATATGATTTTTTCTAAAAAAAATTAATAGTTTTATGATTTTATTGGTCTATTTACGTACTCAGATTCCAGTTTGAATATAATCCAATTGGCCCTTCGTATGACTTCAAAATAATATAATTCATATTTAAAGAATATATGATTTTGAGATTCATTTTGAGTATATATTACAACCCATATCCACCAATATCTAACAATAAAATCAAATAAAATTGCAAAGTAATAAACATTAGGTTTAAATGTTAATTTGTTTTTCCTTAATGAAAAAATAGATGGAATAGTCCAATCTCTTCTGACATCCCAATAGAATGTGTATGATGAGTTCAATACTAAGAAACATAGTTGGACACTATAGAATAGTTGAGAAACGTTACTCATATTGTGTGTTCTTGTATACCATGTGCAGGCAATTATAGGAAGATTAGAACAATACTTACATGCGTTCAGTAATAATTCTGTATCATGTAACAACTTGTATTCTCTTAAACATTGAAAGATTCTGACACCAGAAGGTAAGGAAGATAGGAAAAGATCAAAATGAGTCAATGGTTTCCCGAGTAATAATGATGTAAATAATGTAAAATCAATCAGAGGTTTATTGAATGATGTTAATGTATCTGACAACAAAATGTAGACATTGCGTAGAATCCGAGGGTTAGGTTCAATCAATAAAAGTCTCTTAGTACAGTATCTAATAATTTCAGATTCTCTTAAAATCAAAAAGACTATTACTATAAATTGTACTAATGGTAAGGAATGAATCACCAGGTATTGAATTCCAAATATATCTTGTTCGTTATAATTACTAAATATTAATAATATGGCAACATGAGTGAGTATGAAAATTTTAGTTAGTTTCCAGGCAAAAAGGTATGAAAATCTTAATAATTGTCTATTTGTAGGAGCCTGGTGCATATCGTTCCTTAATTTTAATTGTAGAACATCTGAGATGTTTATATTGTTGTTATTTAGGTATTTGACAATCAAATACCATAGCCACACGGCTGTGAATAAAAGAACATTTAATCTTTGAGGAACAGGGGTTTGAACATAATTTAACAGGAGCCCCTTTTCAGTACCTTCCTGAAACTTATCCTGAAATTTCATGTATAGTATTAGGTTCCCCTCGTGAAAGTTAATTTGAGATTATTCCCAATATCCTATAAATGGTTAGTCGTTCAATCTATTTCATAAATAAAGTGATGACTTCTAAAAGTAAGAAACGTTGAACTTGTTCGAGGTAAACAGATTTTCGTGTCTGCAGCGCGCTTCCTTCTTCTGCGTTTATACCCCGGTGACGGTATATGGACACATACGTTCATTATGTCATTTTACGTTCAATGGATGGTGGGATATACAAATATTGACAGTTTAATCGCATTTATTAAAAGAGCATAAAATTATATAGAATATGTAATAAAATATATTATGATAATGTATTGTGGTTGGCTTGGGTGTGATATGGCTAGGGTAACTGGGATTTAAACGAACATCAGAAGCCGTTCCATTCTCCTAACTCTAGTACTGTTCCAAGCACAAGCTTCGTATGTTCAGCCATGTGACTAATACTTAGCTTGTCAATTGTATCCATAGTGCTATGTATATATTTATTTGTTAATTTAAAATCACTCTCAATCACAAATGAACCAGGGTATCCGTTTTTAGTGGCACTACCGTGATCACTACAAGCATATCCACATTCAGTCTCAACGTATGGAATGGAAAGATAGTTGTCAATAACAGTCTTGATAAAATTGGTTAATTCAACGTCAGTGTAATCAACAATAACGCCTACATGTTCATTTTTTGAATCGGCAACAAAACCAGTCATATCTTGTTGTAACATGGCAACGACTTTTCTGTTGAGACTAGCATAAGCTGTAAATACATCAAGGGAACCTAAAAGTCCTCCTTCTTCAGCAGAATAAAAATGGAATTCTACCGTATTTTTCAGTGGCTCACCGGATTTTGTAAGATATTCAGAAAATAATCTTAATGCCTCCAGGTTGGTCACAGTTCCTGAACCGTTATCATCAGCACCAGGTGCAGGTAGTAACGTTGGGAACAGTAAATTTATACTATCCAAGTGGGATCCAATGACCACAATATTTTCAGGAGTGACAGATCCAGTAAATTTTACAATAATGGAATATTGTTCCCATTCCTTGTGATCAAAATGTTCTACAGTAACCATATCTTTTGGTAAGATATCGACAATATCATGGATTTGGCTAGAAAGCCATTCAGCAGCTTCAAGTCCATATTTAGATTTGTAATACCGCGTGTAGAAACTAGTGAATTTCGCCAATTTATTATACATATAGTCTTGATCTATTTTTGACATCAAAGATTTTACTACGGTTGATTGGTTCATAACCTTTGGAAAAATATATGTAGGGACCACAGGGTCATCTGAGCGATGAGATATTATTGTATTGGAACGTTGTTGTTTCGTAATATCAAAAAACTTAACACCTCTCTTCAATAGCGAAAGCTTTTCAAACTCATTAACGGTAATTACTTTTGAATCACTCAGTTGGAGGATTCTCCTTTCCTCGAAAGGGAATCCATCGACAAGTGATTGCGTGGCAGCTATCCAGCATAAAACAGTACCTAGCTTCATTGTCTATGTTATGTTTTTTATATATATAAAGAATTCGATGGACTGCAAAGAATAAAAAATCGATGTGAGGTATCTGGTAGTTTGTTTATTATAATATTTATACTCTTGAAAACACATTATACTTATCTTTTCATAATTACCTTTATTTTCTTCGAAAAGAAGTCCCTCCACATCTATTTACGAATGTGTTTTGCCCGCGGAGATTAGAAGTTCAATCAATCATGCTTGAAAAATTGCTATATAATATATAATATGAAACGAAAACAAACCACTGGGTAAGGTTATCAAGTGATAATAAAGGTACCTAGCTAAGAACAATTTATATTTGCTAGACTCTCCAGTACTATAATTCAAGAGGAATTTTTTTTGTGTTTCATATTCTGGTTCATTGCTAATATATATAGTTTTTCCATGGAAGACATTAGTAAATACATAAAGGATGATGAGGACATCGCTTTCGAGTATGAGTTACAAAATGACCCTGGACAGCTCCAAACATGGGTACGTTATATAGATAGGTGGCGGGAACAGAATACGAATGGTCTGAGGTCGGAAGATTGTATTCTCTGGCTCTTCAGACGATATGTTAGACAATTCATGAACAATGTGGATGTATGGTTTGTATTTATAAATTGGGTAATTGATAATCGTATCTATACAGACTACAATGAAGTTGCAACAATATATGAAGAGAGTATACGGAATTGTGGGAATAAATCAGAGAAATTATGTGTTAACTTTTTGAAGTATACAATTGAAACAAGGGACTTAAGTTTAATAAGGAAATCGTTTGATTTGGGATTAGAGTTCACTTCGAAACATTCACATTACAAATTATGGGAACAACTCCTGTCATTCATTAAAAACGTACTAATATCAACAACTGAATCGTTAGATAAAGATGAAAAATCTCAGATAGAACAATTTGGGGAGACGATCAGCAAGGTTTTTGAAGATGACTATGACATAGATAAAGCTAAAGAAGAAAATAATAAAACCTCAAATATATGGGTATCGATCTTCTTAGAAAGATATCTTATTGTTTGCCCGAGTAATGAGCTTCTTGATAGCTTAACAATGTTAGGTGGTACACATGACTATAAGAGAATTAAAGAACAATATGATAAATATCTCTTTCAAAATCGAGACTACACTAACTTAACAAGGATTAAGGACTTTCCATATTCACTAAATCTTGTCTACCTTCGTGTACTTTGTGAGCTAAACGACAAGTCCGAATATCAAAGATTTGTTGGCACATTAAAACAATTATATTCGTTTAATCATACCAATTTAGATTTAATAACAGCAAAGTATCTTATGACTAATGAGGGGTTTGAAGCACTTGAAGTCCACTTGGATACTCTTTTGCAGAGTACAGTTAATATTGAAGATTTTAGTAAAGTAAGTAAATTCCATTTTGATTTCGAAGAAGCCATTATCGATCAATGCTTGAATCGAATAAACAAAAAAGAAGTTCAAAATACAAAATACAATTTCCAAGAAGTCATGAAGGTACATCTCGAAAAATTGCAGATGTTGACAAACGACCACTCTATAAAATTGAATGATTTGTACCTTAGGAAATCACCCAACAACGTGGGGATGTGGTTACGTCGGGTTAATCATTTTCAAGCTTTAAAGGAAAAGATTGATGTGTATGTTCAAGGTATTTTACAAATAGACCCATTGCATGTTAAAGAGCCAGGAACGTTTGGAAGATTTTGGTGTAATTACGCACAACTATATTGGGACAATAAGGATTATGATTCTGCGAGAGAGATATTTGAAAGAGCTCTGAAAGTGCCTTTCCCATACTTGAAAGATTTAGAGACCATCTGGTTTTCTTGGGTAGAGGATGAATTAAAGTTGAACGATCCAACAAAAGCATGTCTTCTATTGGAACAAGCTCTAAAAATACCGGATAATCCTATGGCTATCTTAGAACAATATGAAAATTCATATGGCAATATACCTACTAGAATGGTAGTTTTTCACTCTTTAAAGCTTTGGACATTATACCTTGATTTGTTAGAATCAGAAGTTATTAGCACTCTTGATAAGCCAGATGAAATGTATAAGAAAACGATACAGATATATGAAAATATGATACGATTAAAGATCATAACACCTCTTTTATTTGTGTCCTATGCTAGGTTAGTTGCCAAATATGAAAGCCAAATTAAAAGTTTCCAAATATATAATAGGGCCATTTCTTCATTTCCACCAGAAATCAAATATGATATTTGGCTGTTATATTTGAATGTTGCAGTTAGGTCGACACTTTCTGTAGAACAAGTAAGGGACTTGTTTGATGAATCATTATCCCAATTGATACCAAACCAAATAAATTGTATTTCAATTTATCTATTGAATAACCAATATGAAGAGAAACAAACAGGTGTAACACAAACTACAATAACTAAATTAGTGAAAAGCGCTAAAGAACTATCTAGTAAATTCGTGGAAAGCAAAATACAATTATGGGACTTGGCATTAGAAAGAACTAAATCTCATTTTGGTCTAGAAATGGCAAGACCTTTATATGAGGAATGTATTACAACTATTCCCCGTGATAAAGCAACAGAATATGTTATGTCTTTTGCTAATTTAGAGGTTGCATTGGGTGAAGTAGTTCGTGCTAGGGAAGTTCTACGCTATGGTGCTAATTTGCTGCCTCCATTAAGAAATGAACCCCTATGGAAGTATTGGGAGGAATTTGAGATCACGAATGGTGATAAAGAAAAATATAAAGATATGCTAAAATTCAAAAAAAAACTCGATGAAGAGATGAAGGTTAATACAGAACAAGTCAGTCAAGAAAGTGGAAATATTGAGTTCGTAGCATCAAAGACAACTACTCATGTTAGTCAACTAAGTAATAATGCTCCAAACCCGGAAGAGATCAATCTTGACCTATAATAATGATTGAGTTTTTACACTTTTATAGCGTTTAAGACCACGATATATAGCATTGTTTCTTTGTTTTTATTATAAATATAAACTTAAGTGTAAGAGAATATCCTTGGTATAAAACGTGAACTGTTTTAAATCACGGCTGTTTTTTGTGACGTTACTAAACCCATACATTATTGGGTGCTGGGATGTTTTTTAAATTTCTATAGAAAAATTATTAAGTTTTTTTTCTCTCAAAGTTTCAATTTTTTATAAATTTCATTCGGCCTAATTAATCGGACGAAATATTTCACTTTCCACAAGAATTTCAGCCAAACTTTTCACTTTCTAGACAGAGAATTGGGAAGCCGTCGGTTCTAGTAACTGAAAGTCCTCTCTAAATCTAACGGAAATGGGATGAGTTGGGTCTATCTCATTCCTAGGCTAGCTCTTTGCTCCCACATATTGCTTAGGTAAGACCTCTTCGTTTTTTGTATCTAACTTCTTATTCCTTTACTGAGAGACACATGAATACCCTAGTAAGTATTCATGTCCAAATATTCAACTGAAATAAAAACAATTACTATTTCAATTATATATAACAAGATTATCTAAATTTTTGATTTTATTATATTATTTTCCTTTAACAAAGACGACGATAACAAAATAAGACAATATGCCTCCAAAGTTTGACCCAACTGAAGTTAAATACCTATATCTAAGAGCCGTTGGTGGTGAAGTCGGTGCTTCCGCTGCTCTAGCTCCAAAGATTGGTCCTCTAGGTCTATCTCCAAAGAAGATTGGTGAAGATATTGCCAAGGCTACCAAGGATTTCAAGGGTATCAAGGTTACTGTCCAATTGAAGATCCAAAACAGACAAGCTACTGCTTCTGTTGTCCCATCTGCTTCTTCTCTAGTCATCACCGCTCTAAAGGAACCACCAAGAGACAGAAAGAAGGATAAGAACATCAAGCACAGTGGTAACCTAGCCCTAGATGATGTTATTGAAATTGCCAGACAAATGCAAGAAAAGTCCTTCGGTAAGAACCTAGCTTCTGTTACCAAGGAAATCTTGGGTACCGCTCAATCTATCGGTTGTCGTGTTGACTTCAAGAACCCTCACGACATCATTGAAGGTATTAATGCTGGTGAAATTGAAATTCCAGAAAACTAAGAATGTCGTATATAATAAAACGCCAAAATATTCCCCATTTCCACATCATATCTATACTTTTAATATAAGGTTTTAATTTGATAAAGTCTTCGATACGTTTAATTTTTTTGATTCTATTTTTTTTATTATTATTACTATATTAAATATCCCGTAGTGGTAGTTCCCCAGTAGATTTTTTTTAATAATAGTTTCAGTCTTCCAAGCAATTGAAACTCCATTATTTAACTTACAATTCTTAAATTCAAGTTTGACAACACTCTGGTGCCTTATATTTTGAAATTTCATTTCAAAAAAATTCCGTATTTGGTTCCTATTTTGGCTCAAACAAGATTAAACTGACAATTACTCATCGAGATAATCCTCCCATGATTATATTGATCCATCTTTCACTCGTCAGAAATTTCTTTGCTTAGTATTACTCTTTCTTGTTTCTTATCTTTTCGTAGGCTTACCGGTATGCATAATTTTTATCGTTATTAAGATCAATGGGTAATTCTCGTCCCTGAGGTATTCATCTGTCATCTAGTCAGGTTGTTAGAAATGCGCTTGAACTTGTGTAACTCCTTCCATGTTAATATCATAGTCGGACCCTTGCGAATTTATTGCCGTAGGATATGACGTAAAATCAAAGAATAATGAGTATATTTTTGATGATCTCATCGAGCACATATTTTGTGTGTTATATTTCACTTTGCTACAGGTTAGAACATCTAATTATTATAAAAAAGTAAACATACAGATTTCAAGATCAATGTCTCAATTTACATGGAAAGATCTCATCCAATTAAACTCGGACTCTAAATCCTACCTTTCACCTCTATCATGTATGGCACACGTTGATGTGAATGCTTTTTTTGCACAAGCAGAGCAAATACGATGTGGCTATACAAGAGATGATCCAATTGTGTGTGTTCAATGGAATTCAATTATCGCAGTTTCATATGCAGCAAGGAAGTATGGGATCTCAAGATTAGACACTATTGGTTCTGCGATGGAAAAGTCCGGTAACAAACTGATTCCTATACATACAGCCGTTTTTAGAAGAGGAGAAGATTACTGGCAATACCATGATGGGTGTGGTTCTTGGAATAGCGACAAGAGTAAACAAATTCCTGCAAACCTATACAAAGTCTCCTTGGATCCTTATCGAAGAGAGAGTCGGAAAATATTCAGAATATTTCGTAAACATAGTGATAGAGTTGAGAAAGCTAGTGTAGACGAAGTCTTTCTTGATCTAGGGAAGCTTTGTTTTCAAAGATTATTAACAGAAGATATAATATCGAAAAGTACAGAAAATTGTGAAAGTCTTGGAATCTTAAGAGAAATTTTTCAACAAGGAGAGTATAACATAGATTCGACACTACCTACCGTGCCTGAGGAATTGAAACTTTTGAATTTTGTTGGAGATGTTTACAATCCTGAAAATAAACCATTGATTGAAGATTGGGATGATGTTATATTTGCAATTGGTTCCCAACTTGTAGGAGAGATGCGGGATGATATTGAGGATTCATTGGGTTTTACAACATCTGCAGGAATAGCAAGAACAAAATATGTCGCTAAATTAGGTTCAAATTTTAAGAAACCAGATGCACAGACAGTAATTCTAAACAAATATGTTCAGGACTTTTTGGATGGAGAATCTTTTGATATTACAAGCTTTTGGACATTCGGTGGGAAAATAGGTAATGAGATATGTACTTTATTGAAAACCCCAGAAACTGGTAGTATTAAGTTTATAAGGGAAAATTGGCCCGATGGTCCTCAAGGGTTGCACAATTATCTGAATAAAAGAATTCTAGAATTATCAAATACAAACGAAATTCAAACATTAGATTCTTCCAAGACAGAAGCTCTTTCTCAGAAATTGTATGATATTTCAAGAGGTAAATTTCTATTACCACTAAATGAGAAGCCGATCGTAAAATCAATGATGTCAAATAAAAATATGAGGAAAGATAGTTGTTGTAATATTATTCATGCCATATCATGGATAGAGGTTTTTTCTGGTGAGTTAACAGCAAGAATTAAAGAACTAGAACAAGAATATTCTAAACTGATTGTGCCAAAAACCGTTGTCCTCTTAGCGACTACCCTTAAAAAGAAGGTTTACAGAAAAACAGGACATTTTATACATAACCACAGCGAACTTACACCGAAGGATTTTATTCAAATTGGTACAAAACTAATGCAAGATATCGATAACGAAAATTATGGAGCTAAGAATTCTTTCTTTTATCCTTTGTTAAACTTGAGTATTACAATATCTAATTTTGAAATCTTCGATACGAATAAGACGATAGTTGACATGTTTGGGAATCATGCCAAAATTTTAACTAAAACAACTAATAATACTAAAGAAGTTGAAGGAGGGAAACAGGAGGAACTTAATCTGTTTTGTTGTAAGTTTTGTAATATTAATTTTGAAACTAATAAGGAATTTCAAGAACACAAGGACTTCCATGTCGCCCTGAAACTTTCTGACGCGATGAATGGAATATCTGAAGATTCCAAAAATCTTACAATAGGTGAAAGGCGGTTATTATTGAATAAAAAGAGGAAGAATTTTGATAAAACGCCACCCAAAACTAATAAAAAGTCTAAAGGGAAACGTGGCTCCACTCCCGGTATATTAAGTTTTTTTTCAAAATGAATATATATTATTTTAAAAGTAATAAATATGTTCGTGGTTATTTTAATCTTGTCAATGATATTCCACCTTCTATATATTGAAACTACACAAATTTTAAATGTCCTTCCAACATCTTGAGGTAGACATTCAAAATAATAATATACGGATAAAATTTTACCCTCCTTGAGATAATCGATATAGTTATCAAATATGTGTCGTATGATTCAACAATTTTGAAACAGCGAAAGAGAAATACTATTCTACTTTTCGCTTGAAATAATTTGAACAATATAGATGGATGGACAAAAGAAATTTTGTAACTATAAAAAATATATATATATATGTTGTTGTTTTCTATGCCTTTGGATGTAAAAGCAAATTTTATTTCAAATAAATCAGTGGAAAACTATAAATATTTGGGTTAGTAGTGGTGTTGTCTTGTTTAGTACATAAATATTTTAGTGTTCAATATTAATTCATGTTTTACTCCGTAATATGCAAATTATTCTTCGTAGATCACAACGAACCTAGAATAAAATATATATATAAATTTTTGGACCTAGGAAATTAATAATTCTATGGTATATGATGTTTATATATGTTTTGGTATTTATTCAAATTGTTGTTCACAAGAATCCCGTTACCTCAGATTAATTTGAATAAGCCTTTTTTAATATTATTAAAGAATATTTTGTAGTTTAATTGATATTCTTTTTGAACTATGAGGAATTAGAATTGATGTAATGAAAATTATGAGCTAAAGTTTGAAACTTTTGATATACATAAGAAATTAAACTGAATTTGGCAATGTACCTAAAAGTTATCAATTCCGTCTTCTATATATTAAATTTTTTACTTCTGCAAATTATAAAGAAATGTGATGAAATTCATATTTAGTAAACAAAAATATAAAAGTGATAAAAAAAAAATCAGCAGAAGAACAAAATGGGGGAAATTGGAGATTAGTATCTAAATAAATGGTACAATTCCTTTTACAAATTATGGTTCTAGTATACTGTTGCAAAAAGAGATAGAACGATCGGTTTTCTAGTCTTTTTGGAAATATTAAAAAATCTAGAGTCTGCACTTATTTGATCGAATCTTTAAAACACACTCAATTTTCTACAAAAGGTAAAACATCTACTATGACTATTCTAAGAATTTTAATAAAAGTAAAATGTTTGTAAATGACACTTCCATTATGCAAAATTTCTCTAAAAAATATTTTCGTCTGTGTTTCTTTTCAGAGGGTTTTTGCAGATCCTTGTTAAAAAAATATTATATACGGTAACTTATTGATTGTATAAATATTAAAGTTTTAAAGTATTCCTTTATATTTTTGACTAACTATTGAGTTTCACATATGGTAAAGAAAAATTATTTATATAAATATTGTAGAACGCCCCAAGACAAAACTCAGCTGATATTTAGCTTTAAAAATGATTAAAAAATATGAATATACGTTGAAGGTAGATATATCAATAATTATCTGTGTGGAATAATGTACAAAATGTGATATTTTCTTGATTTAGTGAGCTTTTGAAATATTTACCCGGATAATACTATTAAATATTACAAGCATATTTCTGTTTCTCAAGCATAAATTTTGAGGCAACTTGGCCGAGTGGTTAAGGCGAAAGATTAGAAATCTTTTGGGCTCTGCCCGCGCAGGTTCGAGTCCTGCAGTTGTCGTTATTTTTTAAAATTCTATTCAAGAAAATCGTTTTCTACGAAATAGATATGCACATGCTCTTCATGCAGTAATAATACAGAAATGAATGTAGATATCCCAAATAGTGTTATGAAATGATGTATCATATTCTTAAGTATTAGCAATATAAATTATTCCCATATTGTGTATATAAAATTAAATTAATGAGAATATCTTTGAAATGTAAGAAACTCTAATGAAGCGTGGTACGACAAGCTAAACAACTCATAAGATATATACTTATTAATACATTATTCTTAACCTAAAGATAACCACAAAAGGATTCGATGACCTTTAATTTGTGAGACTAACATTATTAGCCACCAAAAACTGTTGAATGCAAGTAATGCAATAGGTATTCAACATTTGGACGCAGTCAGATACCTAAACTAAAATATTTTTGAATTACAACGATGATATCAAGTATTTTACCTGTAAATTTCTTCACTGTCAGGGTGAAGATTTATCGGGACGACAAGGCTCTGCCGTATAAAAGTGGATTGACACCTATGTATTATTTTATAGTTAATTTCCATTTTTGCTCTTCTGGTGACCCAGGGCAATAGTGGTAGAGATTAGTTCTCTTCTCCCCTCCAAAGCAACCCCAAGATAACGTTGCTGCGAGAATCATTGGTAAAATATTAATGGTAAGAAATATTGGTCCCACCAATGAAAGAGGAATAACTCAGTCTTTTTACTCTTAAGATGTCCACGCTAAAGAGCGCACCACGCCCTTCGGCAAAACACGGATCCAAAATTGCAATACTTTTTTTAATCCACTTTTGAATAGAACAGCGAAGTAAAACTTTTTACTCCTAGCATCAAATTTTAATAGAGACATAGAAATATGTTGTGCGGAAGCTTCTGTTAATAATTATTGAATGTGCACTTGCTTTTTTTTGTTGTAAGAAGTATCCTTATATAATTCAAGTGAACCACAATAATACTATATAAGTGTATAAACCAGTTTACACTTCAACTGAATTTCTTAATTCAGATACAATGAAATATCCGTATCAATCACTCTACATATGGATAATACGGTGATAAAGAAATAACTTGCGTAGATCTCATTTTTCATTTTTTGTATGACATTTTGTGTGGGTGACACACTTTTCTCACCGCGTCGTTGAACAATATTCTTAAGTAATTAGATCGGTCTAATTACCGTTTTTGGCTACAAGGTGAGAGATCTGAGATCTCACTGCACAGACCACATGCATGTTCACTGATGTGACTATCAAAGAAGAGAGCAAAAAACAACAACATTTCTCCATGGATGGCAACCTCACTTCCTTCACTAAATCCTGATAGCGTGGAATAAAAATTTCTTAATACAATAATATTGCTACATTTGTGGGAGAAAAAAATTCATGCAAAATCAGGTTGTTTGTTGTTTTCCAATGGATGACAATACTATATATTATAAACAACATATCTTGTATTTTAATTTATTTAATTAATATTTACCATTTTACAGACAACCAAACATATTATTGTTAAAAAATTGACTTAACAAATTAAGATTATTTACAACAGTAGCGTCAAATATAGCGACCTCCCTTTGTAATTGAAAATACGAAGTTATCCTACCTTATTTTTTTATTATTTTACACAACCCTTTCATAACTCCATGAAGTTTGACATTGGAATCTTTCACTAATGGGCCACATATTTTCAAATAACTATATCTTCCTAGCGACCTTATTGATAAACTACTGTCATGCAACCTTACTGGATGAACATGCTCTTTATAACAATGGATCTTCTTCGGTTAGTGAGATACCAATCTCCTCGTCTAAAGAGTCTCCTGCTTCAAGCTCATTCTTAAGTAATACAGAGGAACCGTCCATAAGTTCACAAGACTCTTTACCTGTGTCAAGCACGATTGAGTTATCATCTGTTATTACTACAATGTCAGAAAGTTCCATATATACTAGCACATCAAGCATAATAATAGAAAGCACAATAACTTCCGTAATACCGTCGTCCTTTAAATCAGATTACTCATCTGAATCCATTGAAGTGTCATGGTCAGAGTTATATTCGTATGTTCCAAGTTCAGAATCTATAATACACTCTTCAACTTCAACGTTACAAAACCCATATTTTAACTCCACAACATCTTCTGATTCTTCAATAGAACCAACGTATTCGCGAGAAGAAGTAGGTACAACTTCACAAGTTGCTGGTACAACAATAGTAGAAGTTACAACTGTATTACCAGATCAGACCGTGACTATAGATACAAATACTGGAATTCAGCCAGTAGTTACACAGAAGGAAACATATACAAACATTCCTGGTAATATCAATGCTGAAACAAATATGAACAATGGTCAAAATACTGCTCTAGAAACCACTGAGGCCACTAATAACCAACTAGGTGATAACCAAGTTCAAACTACAACTGCAGCTGAAGATTATAACCCTTACCACCCAGAAAGACCTCAGGTCAATAACGATGCTAACACAAACACTGACGTACAATATACTGTACAAACTGCAAAAAGCCAGTCTGTTACTACTAACACTCAGCTGCAGAATGTTCAAGGAACAGCTGTTACCTACGCAAGTAATGCTAATGGAGAGGACCGAAAGAATACAAAGGCTAATGTAGATACAGTTGCCAGTAATAAAGACACTGCAAATAATGAAGCTACAAAGTCTTACATCTCTCAAAATACATTTCGATCAGACACCAAAACTCTAAGTGGTCTACAATCTACAACTGCAGAAACAAATGTAGCCGTTTCACAACAAACCACTGATAAATATAGTGTAAGCCAAACCCAAGGCGTGGCGAGTAAAATTACTGCAAACGATGGAACTGGAACACTGAAAGATAATAAGAAAACCCAAGATACCCAGACAACAGGAAAATCACAGTCCCTAACCAATACTATACCCGAAAATGACGATATTGGAACAACAAGAGTCTCCGTTGAATCACAGTCCCTAACCAATACTATACCCGAAAATGATGATATTGGAACAACAAGAGTTTCCGTTAAATCACAGTATACTGGGAAGAGTGCAGTAACTACTGAAAACAAAATTACACACATCAGTTCAAATGAAAAAGCTTTAACAACTAAAGGGAACACAGCTGATAATACCTACACCACCAATACTGTTTACTCAAAGGAGTCAAAAGTGACGAATACCAAAGTCAGTGACAATACTGCTACTACTGCGAAAGTTAAGTTAGGTTCTGCTTCCAGCAATAAAAATTCTGTTGTTACAAATGCAAGTGGTAAAATGACAGTCACAAATAATGGAGTGACAGGTGCGGCTGCCGCTACAAAGACTAAAAGTTCATCAAAATCCAGAGTCACGATTCCATACACCTTATCAGCTAATAATAATTGGCTTCCAAGTAGCATAATAATTCAAACAACAAAAGCCTCAAAGTCTGCCACCTTTCTCAACCCATCCTCATTCCCAACATCTCTCCCAGCCGCTATTGCTGCTGGAGGCGAAGTATCAGAACCATCAAACACCACTTTAGTCACAATTGGGTTTGGTTCTGAGTTAAACTACAACTTTTTGGTTGATAATCCATTATCTTCCGCTCAAATTTTTAATTTTCTTCCTGAGGCACTGCTCTACCCATTTTATGTCGATGAAGTATCGGATGAGTCTGATGTGAATGATGATAATATATCATATGAGTCTATTTTTGTCTCAATATCTGTATCCGATGGTACCACGACACTTTCTCCAACAGCAAGCTTAGTCGAGAGAGGGCTATCCTTTGTCAATAATACTTCTGAACTTGCACAAATTCTATCTCAATCATCAGGAATTATCAACACCATGGAAACTGTAAATAGACTTGTCGAACAAACTACTACAACAGCAACCCAAAGTGGATCTTTCACAACTGTATCTTCTACAGTATCTTCTTCCTCTGTCGCCACCATAGACAGTTCTTTGATTAAGGTTAAACAGATATCGCCGTACATTGATCCCGAGAGAGACTATGTGGTATCCGTTGCAGAAGTTTATTTCCCAAGCGATTTTGTGGATTCACTGAAAGCCCATTTCCAAGATAAAAATTCTGTGCTATATGACAACCCTGTTCCATCGCTAAAATCGTTAATGAACTTAACAGACTCATCTGTAGCTCTACAAGGCTTAGTCCATAGCTCCGACGATTCTGAATCATCTACTAACTCAGAAGAGAGCAACGAAAATGAACAAGAGGCCAGCCAAGTCTTTAAATCCTCTATAAAGAATGGTACCCAATATGGTTCATTAGATGTTACTGGTATCAAAGGCTCCACTTTACCTAATCCAATCAGAAACCGTCTAATAATATTTTTAACATGCATGGTATTTGGTACCTTCATGTGGGTATTTAGTTTCTTGGCTTTATTCAAATTTATCAAAAGAAGATGGTTTGTTTCAAAATCCGTATCATTAGACAATCCACGTCGTTCTATTTTAAATATAACCAAAATCGGATTGTATGGTGATGACATAGGAAGTCTTTGGTCGGGTGATAGTTCCAATTCTTCTGATAGTTTCAACGAAAAAGTTAAAAATATAGTAGAAAACAGAAGATCAAGACATCAAAGACAAACGAGAACATCTGGTAATGGCGATAACTTATCCTTATGTTACAACAATTTCATCCAAAACGCCAATGGTGATACACTAATAACTAGCAACGGTCTGAGTTTTTCTCCAGTTAGTCACGAATTCGCTGATTATACTCATCAGATAGTGCCTACTTTTAATAGTTCAGAATATGAGACTGTCAATGATTCTTTCGATTTTGATTTAGCAAATACACACAACAATCCATTTTCCGACAATTATAGAATATCACCAAAGTCTAAGACAATCGACCTATTTCGTGATGATTTGGACGAAAATTTTGAGATTGGGGAAGAAATTGAGGAAGAAGAAAGCGTTGCTGACATAGATGTGGGAGAACTTGACGAACTTGACGAAGAATTATACAAAAATCTCATGGGAACTATTAAGGGAAGAGACCCTAACGATCCGCTTTCAATCGAGGCCAAAAAATTGATGGCTCAAATTGGTAAACAATACCCTCATAACAACTTCCAATCAATGACCGACCAGTAGGTGTGAAATATTAACTGACTTATTTTCATTTTAAGTTTTTATTTTAGTTCACTACTTAATAGCGATCAAAAAGTATTACTTATACTCACACAATTATACATTCCTACAATATCATATAATAAATTGCATTTACTCTTTATAATACCCCGTATAGAAAGGCATATACATACATATATATCGTTTTAATCTATTACAATAATATTTAATCAAATAACAGCAATGTTTCTTTTACTTTGATAAGTTCATGTAATGGAATATGTTCTTGTGAGCACCGTATATTAAACGGCGGGAGCATAAAAAAACAATATTTCGCCTGTCAAATATAAGCCCATCATCATCTTGGTTAGATTGGCATTTTTAGTTAAATCTAAAAAGATGATAGAATTTTCAAAGGATACATTTAGAAAAGAAGGACATATATTCCGTTTCAGTAAGTGAGTAATTTTGTACTGTTAATACTCTCATCAGAAGGTGTCAACACTAGTCTTTTTTATATGACCAAAGAAACCAAAGTTACCAAAAAACAAGGAAGATGGAGAAGAAGTTACAAGGCATGTTTAAGTTGCCGTGCAAGAAAAGTTAGATGTGATCTGGGACCCTTTGATAATCCACACGCTCCTCCTTGTACAAGATGCAAACGGGAACAGAGGGAATGTCTATTTACATCAAGAAATAGAGAATCAAAATACATCGTTTCAGAAGATGTTTCACCTATTACTGATTCAGTAATCTCATCGATGACCGAATCTGCTACTATTTCGAAGAGTAATGGTAACAATAGCAACATTAATAAACTAGTGGACGCAAATATGGATAATAAAGATACAACGCAGAACGATATGGCTCTCTCTAATGTAATCATTAATGACGCTGACCTAATGGTATCTAACAGCAACAAGAATAATCATAATGTGGCGAAGACCACAGCGAACAATATGAGAAATAACCTTGGTAATAGACATACGTCGAAAGAAATGTCTTCCATTAATGGGAGATGGGGAGTAGGTGTAACTTCTATGCAAAATACTTTAGAATTTCTTGCCAATGCGGCAGGTAGTGTTGCACAAGAGAAACAAAGAGAGAAAGGATTAGCACAGATAAATCAAGCGACAAACCAACAAGAAACAAATAACATGTATCATGATAAAGATTTATCTAGTAGACCTACGCCATTCCTCGATCCTTCAGATGAGAATATTTTTGCACCACTATTGCAAACATCAGGTTCTCAAAGACCTGCCTCTACCTTAATGGAAAAAGTGAGAAGTGTAAGACCTGAAACAACTGATAAATTAGCACAAATTGAATATATTGGTTCAAATAAATTACTTTCAGAAAGAGAAGCTATTGAATTAATTGATGCATTTTTTTTATCGATGCATCCATACTTCCCAAATATTCCTATTCAACTGCATGATGCACAAGCGTTAGCAGAATATCCGATACTGTTATGTGCAGTGCTTACTGTATCTTCACGGTACCATTCACTCGCTGAATTTGGTCTTTATAATGGTGAGGATAATAAAAAGAATGTAGAAGTTCATGAGAAACTATGGAGCCATTGCCAATGGATGCTATCACAAACAATATGGGCTGAAGCTAGCACAAGGTCCATAGGTACCGTATTGGCATTCATTATATTAACTGAATGGAATCCAAGACAAATTCATTTCAAGAAAGAAGATTACGCCAATAGTATATTTAAGACAGTTGGAAAGAGCGATAAAGAAATACCTACAGGCGTTGGTGCTATTAGACGTAGTGATAGAATGGCATGGATGTTTACAGGTACTGCTGTTAGACTAGCACAGGATATGGGTTTCATTGATACTAGTACAAAGATATTTGTAGCAACACATATATCTGACACATTTTCAAGTATTAATTTGAACCAGAGACCTGTTTTGGCCGATACTTTCAGTGGGACTAGCCTCGGAATGAATCATCCTAGGTCATCAGGGTATAAAACTGAGTCTGCCTCAGGAGATAATGGTGTCGGGAATGAAAAATTCTTTTTAGATGAAATTTTAAAAAATGATGACAGTAAAGAAAGATGGAAAAATGTTTTGACTAATTCTGAGAACAATTCAAATGATCAAGATTATGCTTTGACAGATCTTGAAAGAGAGTTTTTAAATGATGAGTATGTTTTATACTATAGAAGCAAAGGTGATGACTTATATGAACAACTGACACCTTTACCGTTTGCCTTGAATTTCTCACATGCACAGAGAGCTAAGATAGAATTAGTCAGAATAACGTTGGTGGCTTATGAAACAATTTATTACGACCAAGGGAAAAAGAAAATGTCAACGAATGATCAAGTGCATAATTTAGCAGTTCTCGATATCCTTTCGCCCCTTTTGGATGGATGGTATGGAAACTACCGTGACTTACTGAAACCTGTACCAGAAATAGATTATGATATTAATATAAGAAAAAATAAGAGAGCCGTTTATCAACTAAGTCAAATCATTAATCGAGAGAGTATCCTTGCAGATTATTATTATTGTCAATTATATATATACTCTCTTGCATTACAGGCGGACAATAAAGAAAATTGTAATGGTAAATTACGAATTAATGAAATTATAAAGAGTGCAAAATATGTCGAGCTTGCATACGTTGCTGCTAAAGAAATCTTAGAGTCTGCATCAAGAGTGCACAAGATAAAAATGTTAAAATATATGCCAGTTAGGTGGGTAGTAAGAATTGTAAGATCTGTTTCATTCATGGTAAAATGCTATTTAACATTAACTACTAATAATGGTTCACAAAATAAAGATTCACAATCCATCCTTAAATTATGTTGTATCTCACTAGATGAAACGATCACAACTATCAGAACAGCTGCTTTACTTCTTAAAGAAGCTACACCCGATGAACTTCATTTGTGCGTCAGATATTCGGCAATATTACTTTATTTGTGCAAAGAATTAAAATTGAAGAAAAAAAGAAGCCAGGATCTATTCCTTTCTCGTGGTGTCATCGTTAATGAAAACACCACATCCCAACAAAACAGCTTTAATCGGAATCTTAAAAATAGCACAAACAAAGTCGCGCCGGTCTCATTAACTGTCGAAACAAATAATGTGGGATCCAAAAATATTTCTAATGGTATTACGAAGGATGGAATTGATGAGTCTAAAAATACTATACCTCACTACAATGAAAATAACTCATCTAACTTCAGTTCGATAAAAGTTGGCAATGAAAATGAAAACAATGACCCTAGTTATAGGGATATCATCAATTATCAAGCTAATGCAGGTTTAGGACACAATACTGGCATACCAAACAGTGTAAACTATAGCAACAATGACAAAGAAGACATAATATCCCACGCGAACGCCGTCATTTCGGAAGACAATGCGGGATATTTCCAGTCGTTACCGGATCAAGTCATCGACTGGTTTGCCGTCAGGGATGATATTGGATTAGATTTTGTTGAACCCTGGACTCAAATGATAGAGCAACAGTACTTACAGAGCAACAACGACATATTCTCCGAAATTGAGAATCAACCATTCTAGACTTCAGAGTAGTTCAAACTGGAAAAAGCTAAAAATATGAAGCGATTATCTGAGACAATGAAGAATATAACTAAAAAGTAATAGAAAAGGGCTAGCTTTTTAAATGAAATTTTGAAGATAATGCATTCGACAAAACAGGAACAAATGGCAAACGGTCTGTTGTTCCTTATGCCCGAGGAGGTAACATCCCAATTTGTTTCCCGTTTATTTTTACTTATTCATCCTTTGACGCCACCAACATATGCAGATAGGAGAGTATAATAGGACCGCAACATAAACAACCATTTCCTATCGTACCTTCGTTATGTTTGGGTGCAAATAAAATTTGCCCTGATAACCAAATATCCCACTTGCCTACGAGAACCTCATTGGTATTTGGCATAATAATAGTGGGGTACGTCCATTTCTGTACGCGATGCGTTCTTTTTTCGTTTTCGTTCTTTCTCTCTGCGCTGGTTTCTGAGGATATCAGATACAGAATTATTAGATAATCGTTTATTGATGAGAAAGTGTCTGTTCTGAAGAATAGGGATGACGATTGGATTGAATCCATGGAATGAACAGAGTTGTATGTGGAATAGCTTCACATCGTTACTAATAATATTTCGATCAAATTTGGTTCCGGAGATATTTTAAACGTCGTATTTTATTGTTTGTTTTTTCTTTTCAGATCACTGATATTTTGTTCAAAAATTCATGAAATCTTCTTGCCCCCTTTGAAATAGATATATATATATATATATATATGTACTACAATAAATAGTAAAGAGAGAAAAGAAAAAAAGTTATGCAATTACATGTGTAAATTTGGTACTAACCATCAAACTTAACATATTTTGCTTCCATATATATTTTTTGTTTTATCTTTCTTTAATTATTTCTTACAGGCTTATTTAGAAAAATGAATTTTAGTGCTGAATTAGAAACACAACAAATCCCAAGTGGTTTATGGTCATGGTACCTGTCAAACCTTAAAGAAGGTACTTTTGAACAAATCGTTGGTAATGAACATAGATTGAACAGAATTAAAAAAGAAAACACTCTATCAGCTGTCAATGTCATCATATCGGTTCCTGAAAATTTAGTGTCGCCTGATACAGTTAATATTCTAACAGAAAGTTTTGAAAAATATATCCCAGATAATATTGTTATTGATCTGAATGAAATTACTACTACAAATGAACATTTATACTTTATTCGAGATACTTATAATAAATTTGTCTATAAATTTAGATTAGAGTCTATAAAGATCGATATATTACCCTTACTAAAACCATCGCAATTGCAATTGAACTCACAACAACCATCACCGCCCATATCTGATGAAAGTGATAATAGTCACATTGCAATGGAAAATAATACAGAAAGGATCATAGACGACATAAAAAATGAAATGATAGCGGTCAGTGAAAATTCTGATTACTCTGAAGATACAGAGGATGAAGACAGTGGTGCAATAATTTTAAATTTCACTAGGAAGAGTCGATCTGGTTCAAGGCCAAATTTTGATAGAGATGACCTTTTCACTCCAGTAGAAAGTGAGGTTATATCGATTAGCAGTTTGGAAAATAGTACCACAATGGAAACAGACTTGAGTAGATTAGAAGAATGCATATCCTTGAGAAGAATCGCTGCAAATAACGGTAGTTCAATACTTGACAAGGTAATAAGTACAAATGATATTGACTTAAAACTAGTTGGCGCAGTTTGTAGAGATGGTAGGGAACTAGATTCCTTTTCCACCGCTATTCGTCAAGGTCTTGGTGAGGACTGGGTACTCTATGATAATGACTTTCATCTTAATAATCTGGAGTATTGTTCAATGGAAGAAGTCCTCTATGGGGATAGAGAAGTGACAACACTAATCTTCACAATAAATCCAACGTTAGGTTAGTTGAAATTGGATTAAATTAAATGGCATTACAAAATTTTGGGGAATATTTATATATGTAGATATAAGTATTTATGAGTTATATAAATATCAGTGTAACTACATTCGGATAAACGTTTATGAGTAGAATAAGCAAAAACAATAATTAATTATTATTTTTTGTTTTCATTAATGATACATTAGGTTTTGATATCTTCCTTTTCAGAAAGCTATTTTGTGTTTGGTTGAGAAGAACATGGGGCATACATGACTTGTGTAATAAATTTTCCTGCATATCTTGTAGTGCAACCGACGCATATGATCTCATCTTTAATAGAACTGGTCAATAAATGATTCAAGTTGACGTGTGGGATAATATGGTTAACTTCATTACTAAAGTTTTTATTCAAATAATTCGAATTTAAGTACACAGGAAGCTCTGCTACTTTAAATTTGGTTAGGAAAAATTTCTCAGCTTCATCTGCGCTCATCTTGGCGACTCTTTGCATATTGGCAAATAATTCATCTTGATTACAATCGACAACTTTAGATAGTGTCATATCAAAAGGTGCATTCACATCAGCTGGCTGAGGTGGAGGACCTGTTAAATCAGTGTCAAACTTAAATAGTTCAGGAATCTCATTACTATATTCTGGTTTCTTGGGGGTTAAAGGTTGTAATGCATTGAAGTAATTGGCAATCCTTAAAGTTGATCCTGAAGATTTATTAATCATTGAATTTGATCTACTAATACCAGCATAATCTGTCAATGATGCTGTTGAATAGGTTCTCTGAGCTGTATTATCACCATTATCATCGTAGAGATTTATTGAACTAGAATTAATCTTATCATAATCACGGTATGGTTCAATTTGTTCATATCCAGGAAGGACTTCGAACCAATTTACTATGCTACCTAAAGTATTAGTTGCGGTTGGTAAATAGTTTGAATGGGTCAAGTTACCGTTAATAGAAAACTGAAATCTGTAAATACCGGCAGGTAAAAACAATCCCGGTACGAACCATTCTTTTTGCTTTTGATCATAAATCATATGTAATCTACATTCTTTCTTATCTGCTTCATTTATTTCATGATGTGGATGAACGGCCAATAGCGTGGAAACTATTTCCTTTGAGATGACATATATCTTAACATCAGCAATATCTGAAATTTTATCCCTCCATTTCAAGATAACTTCTACGTCTTCTTCATCTTCGTCCATGTCTGAGTCAGTATCTGAAGAGTATGATGATTCTGTGGTAATTGTCTTTTTCATTTTCAATTTTTTATTTTCTGGAACTATGGAAGGAGACTTAACATCTAGTTCCTTTGATTGAGGTCCATCTAATTGTTCAGCTTCCTTCAAAGCGTAATTTTCTTGTCTCCTTCTTAAGGATTCTTCAAAGTTGACATCACTGTTATTATTGTTGTTACCATTTAATGAATCAGCACGTTTGTATACCTCATTAGCTTTATCATTTTTAATTTGTGTATCATTATTATATAATTTCATCATGATTGCCGCTGTAGCAGACATCTTTTGTTTCTCTTTTGGAGATGATTCTACGGATTGTTCTCTTTTCGTTTCCTTTGATTGAGTCATTGCTAACTTAGCACCTGTATTACCACTTGACATTGAATCATTTCTTTTCCTCTTCATGTCACGTTTAACAACGTTTTGAAAGATGGCTTGGTTAATCAATTTGTCCTCATTTTGTAACACACCTGCATCTTCATCAATACTATTACTATTTTTATCACTTGTCAATGGGAAATATTCATATTGGTATGGATGACTTTGCTTTTTACCATAAGGGGATTCACTTATATTATTTTCATTCACTGTAGTTCCTTCAGATTGAGGAATTATAATATGATTAGTATCTGTCGATGTTGTTGTTGAGTCCTCAGATATCGAAGGCGCCATTGTTACATCCGTTGTATCTAACAAATTTTGTTTCAAGGACATTATAGTTGGATTAGCATCATTTGTTGTAGTCTTAATAGCATCATTTACATTAGTATTATTATTATTATTTTTTGCCGTTGTATCCGCTAAATCTGAAATATTCAATGGAACTTCTTCAGTCTTTGGAGTTAATACGTGTTCTGTATGTTGTACAGTAGGATCACTATGACCCGGATTAACCAAAGGTACAATATTATTGGCATCTGTCTGAAGTGAAAGGTTTGCCATATCTTCATTAATATTTCTAGTTGAAGAGGATGAAACTTCTTGAAATGATTTTCTAATTTCCCCTTCGTCTTCTTCAGATTTCTTATTTAAGGAAAAATGCCTCTTAAAGAATCCTTTATAGTCTCTATGAGAATGAGTATGATGATGTTGAGGAGATTTTGTTGGACTTCCTGTTGTAGGCGAACTCAATGACATTATTAAAAGAGAAAGTAAAAAATAATTTTTTTAGTGAGATAAATGCAATGCAATAGTAGTTTAAAAATTCCCTTATTATAAGAGTATAGCGTCTTAAAATGTAAAACAGAATCCAGTCTATTTTTTTGTTTTGCTTTGCTAATAACAATAAGAAGAATTAAAAACGATCGATGAAAGAATAGGAAATGTGATCAACACACTTAAAAATCACCAATAATAATATAAAACAAAATACCCAGAGGATAAAAATGCTAGCAAAAGAGAAAATGTATTGATGAACAAAGTCTTTCGTAATAATGATCTACTACGAATTAGCAGGGGGAGATAATCTAGTAAACTTTCTTCTTCTGTTTCAATTTTGAAGGAAAATTAGTACCTTGTTCAAACTTTCCTATAGGAACCAATACTACAGTAGCTATAAATAAATAAATAAATGTATATTTATATATTTATGTATGGCCACAAGTAAATGAGCCAAATATGTATAAGACCGTAAATTACTTACGTTAAATCACATTTAAACACTGTTGGTCTGTCATAAAATTTGAAATATTTCAGTTCGCAGCTCCTGTTCATCTGTTAATTGATCGATCATCAACAAAATCTCCCCCTTCCTTCCTTCCCCAAACAAATTTTCTTCTGCCAAAAATTTACTATTAGCGGCCTTTGGGGATAGAGCACCGACCCCGTACCTACAAACGAGCGCGAGGCAGATTTCATTCCGCGGCGGTGAATTTCTGCTTGCATTTTGCCCTTTGGACTGAAAGAGTTTCATTGAACTTAGCAAGAACTTCGAGATAAGCTCAGGGCTTCAGGTTCGGATTCTTCCAAGTGTAGGCCGTTATAGTTGTGTATATGTATATAAATGTGTATGTGTATGTAGGAATATCGAATAAATGTAGTATGTGTGTATGTGTGAATATGCGGGGATATATAGAAATGAGACTAGGACATGATCTGTTTCTTCAAAGCAGTATCGAAATCTCTTGGTTTGATTGTAATGCCTTCGTCTGAGTAATTGATTTTTGTCATTAGCTCATCACATAAATTATCGATATCGACTGCCGAGTACTTAGGTAACGTAGTGATATGTCTCCATAGGTCTGCACATTTCATTGTCTTACCTGCTTTATCATATGGTAGTGTGACTCTATTACATTGCTTACCATCACAATCTGCTGCACATGCAGAAGCGACTGTGGAATTCCCTGTAGCCTGGAAGTTCTTGTCTCTAAGGATCGACTGTATAGATTCATCATTGATAATATGTCTTGTAAGAAGTTCACATTTGATAGGTTTACTACTTTGATGATGATCATCATCAACAGTATTATCATGATTACAAGCACAATCTGGAGTCGGCTCAGAACAACTTGTATTTTCAGGAACCGGTTCTCTGAACATAACATTATCGTCCATATCTGGGAACGCTAATGAACTATTTAAGAAAGACATGAAATGAGGTCCATTGCCATTCACATTAGTGACATTATTGCTGTTGTCGTGGTTGCTATTGTTATTATTATTATCATTACCTGTTGTCTTCAATTGAGATGGAACATCAAACGCATACTGTATTGCCGCAAGATCGTTTCCATCAACAACACTGGATTCTGAGCTTGTTATATGATCTGAAGCTGATGCGGTAAAATTATTGTTCCATGTATTGGTTAAATTGTTTAATGTAAATTGAGGAACAGTTTGTCCAAAGGTATTAGAGCTATTGTTATTTATATTAGTTGTTGCGATTCCATTATTATTATTGTTACTACCAATGGCCCCATAAATTGAAAACATATTAGTGTTGTTACTAATATCAGGGAAATGGTTGGTCATATTATATTCGGAGTTAATTTCTGAATTAGTGGTAGTGCTAACTGACAGGCTGAGATCATTAGCGTTATTGTTACCAAATTGATCGGAATTATCTAAAGAATATGCTGCATTAAATAAATCATCAATAATATCCATGTTACTACTGCCATTGGATGAACCAGAAATTGAATTATATTTTTTATCACTATTAAGATCTGAATCATTTGTATTACTATTATTGCAACCTCCAGAACATGTTCCACTTATATTATTATTAGAGATTCCAGTTGTATTGGTATAATTGTTATTACCCATTGCAGCTGCAATGTCTGCAGCAGCAGCAGCAGCAAACAAAGATTGTTCAGTAATACCATGACCAGCATTATTATTGTTACCATTAGAATTTATTGACATTGGTGAATTCGATGCATCCGGTGTATATATTGGTTCTGGTTTAATACCGATATGTGATTCTCTTTTTAGTAACTGTGGAGTAACGTCAGGTTGAACTTCATTAGGTGATGACGATGAAGATGCAGTTGTTAAATTTGCAGTTGTTGTTGGAGTAGTTGTAGTTGTTTGAATACCTTTTGGATTATCTAAATTAGCAATATTTTCATCTTCTTGAAGATTTTGTAATTTTAATTCTTCTTTAATAATATTATTTCTTGCTAATAAATCTAATACTTGTAAATCTTTTTGAGATTTTGGTCTAAATCTTGTAATTTCATGAATTAAATCAGCTAAATGATTTTTTAATAAAGCAGATTCATATTCCGATTGTTCATTAATTTTTTCTAAATTTGAAATTTTACTTTCTAATGATTTTAATTTTTGTTCTTTACGTTCTCTAAAGGCTCTTTGAGCTGCTCTATTTTGTGCAGTTCTTCTGTTTTTAGCTTCTGTATCAATCTTCTTTCTACCTGGTCTACCAACTTTTCTCTTTGGTTTTTGTATTGATACATTATCATTACCATTACTATTACTCATTGTATCAATATTCTTAGCAGTAGAAGTAGCCATATTTGATTAAAACTTTAACTTTACTATATAAAAAAAAGGTTGGAAAACAGTAAAATAATAATTCTGTTTAATATATGTATGTTTTAAATTAAAAAAAGATCCCAGCCAATAAATAAAATAAACGTGTTGCTCATCAACTTCCTAATGTTTTCTTCTTTTTTGCAGTTATAATGTAATAAAATAATTTGACCGGTGATGGATTATAATAAGAGCCAGTAAAAAACCACAGTAGAAACCAATATTAGTATTACTACTACTATACGTATCACTAAAATACGTTATATTTATTGAAATTTTAACCTAATCGCACAGCTTAATAGAAGCAAAGAAAAGAAAACATCCAAAAATTTTCAGTCATTTTTTCGGGTGTCTGGCTCTCTCTATATGCGATATCTTTACACAGTAAAGAGAGATAAAATGAGAAGGATCATACGAATAATAATGAGTCTATATCCATTTATTTTTATGTCATTTACAATTTGATCTATTCAATAGGGTTTTAATTTTATTTAGATACAGCTAATATCATATTATATTATATTTTTACATACACAATTTCTCTAAAAAAAATATAGAAAGAGAGACAGAAACTTATAAAGTCTTAAATATTAAGAAAGCTAATGGACCAATGTAAAAATATATAAAATTACCCTTTTCATGTGTAACATAGGAACCAAAATTCTTACCAACAATTACATGCCAAGTATTACCATATTTACTATCTAATTGATGTTTAATACTTGCTGCAATTTCTCTTTCTAAATCGCATGTATTTAATGCCTCTGCACTAATTTTAAATATATCTTCTTTCAATTCATCAGACTGTTTCAAAATAATAAATTTGTTAGTAAAAATTTGGGGAACAACAGAATAAATTAAGATATACGTACAATATCGGAGGCCTTTAGGATTGCTACATTAAAAAATAAATTAGAAATAAATTAACCAATACTTAGCAGCATTTTGTTCTTTCTGTTAATGAACAAATGTTGAAATGATAGGTAATTATAGTTTCAGTTAGTAAAAAGGAAATACTGATGGAGAAGGGATTACTGATAATTAAAATTATACGTACGCTCTTGTTGCTTTGATTCTGTACTCATAATTGATTCAGTATATATATATGTGCTGCTGCTGCCACTAACTCAATACATCGAAACACATCATCTCTTATTCAAACCTTTCCCATCTTGATCTGTTTAATTTAAATGTGAAGGGGAATTATGATTAGATGATGGTACTGCACACCCACACACTCAAAACGAGTTAAAACCCTTTTTTTGGGGCTTCGACATTGTTCGATTGGTTTTCTTTCCGTTTTCGATTCTTTTTTAGTTGAGTAAACAGAGAGCGGGATGCTGTCTGTGCGGGATGTTCTGACTCGCGTCGTCTGACCAGAAAAACTAAAATATTTATTTTTTAGACGGCTTAATAGGTGTAGAATATTACCCTCCCTATGTGTGAAAATACGAAGTGAGACTATTGAGTGCTGAGTGAGAGAGAGGGAGAGAGAGAATAAGCAATGGAATAATTTTAAATCTCGAATACATAGATATATATTTTTGCCACCCCAATTGATTTCTACAACTAACATCAATGACATAAAAGAAAATAAGATTAATTAAATTGTATTTTGATTTAGAATAATTATTCAGATATCTTATATAGTATATCGATCTATCTGTCTATCTATATTCTGGCAGGTTACTGTGGTGAAGATCCAATTTAAAATAATAAAATAATTCAAATAATTGACAAATAATAATAATACGACCATGTCTAACCACGAAATTGATACTATATTGAGTACTTTACGTTTAGAGGCTAACCCTGAACTTTCTTCTTTGTTTGAAGAATTCGAATCATGTTATGAACAAAAATTATGGCATCAATTGACATTAAGTTTGAAAAAATTCTTTGAAGATGAAAGAGCTATACCCTTACGTTTAAGAGTATATGATACATTTGTTTCAAAATTTATTGATAAAATCAATCAATTAAATGTTATTGAATTTTTATTATTATCATTGAAAAACAATTCAAATTATGATGAATCTATAAATTACTTAAATCAATTAAAGGATGTCTTTAAAATTACAGATGAAAAGAGAACAAGAAATGATGGTTTACCAAATCATAATGATGGTCGTTTATTAATTGATATTGAAATTGCAAGAATATATTTATTTCAAGGTGATTTAGTTAAAGCAAGAGATTCTCTTGATGAATTTGATAAAATTTTAGAATCTGTTGATACTTTACCATTATTACTTGTTAATACTTTTTATTCGGTTAATGCTTTATATTATAAATTAAAGAAAGATTTCAATAATTTTTATTATACTTCTTTATTATTTTTATCAACAATGGATAAAGAATTTGAAATGGATTTAACTTCACAAGAAAATAGAGAATTAGCATTTGATTTAAGTATTGCAGCTCTATTAGGTGATAAAATTTATAATTTCGGTGAATTATTACAACATCCAATAATGTCAAGTATTTCAAATAATAAAGAGTTTGATTGGTTATTTAATTTATTAAATGCTTTAACAAATGGTGATTTTGAAACTTTTGATTCAATAATTAATTTACAAATTCCAAAGACTCCAATATTAGCTGCACATGAATCATTCTTAAGACAAAAAATTTGTCTCATGACTTTAGTTGAAAGTGTTTTCTCAAGAAATATTAGAACTTTATCATTTGATGATATTGCAAAAGCAACACATTTACCAAAGGATAATGTCGAACATCTTGTTATGAGATCTATAAGTTTAGGTCTACTAAAGGGATCTATTGATCAAGTTAACGAAATTGTTAGTATTACTTGGGTTCAACCAAGAATTATAAGTTTTAATCAAATTGAAAAAATGAATGATAGATTATATGAATGGAATGATCAAGTATCAAGATTAGGTGAAAAATTAGAAGAACGCGGAAGATCTATTTGGGTATAACTTTTTTTGTTTTACTTAAATCTTCATATCCAGATCTATATAATGACATACATAACATCTCTCTAAAATACAACAGAACATATATCAAATATCCTGAACTCCTCCCTTTTGTAAGTAAAATAATATTGTATCGTTTTATTTTCTTTTATTGTTGTTGTTGCTTTGTCTGTTTACAGAATTAAGTACAAATATACATAAATTATAAATAACGGTGCATGCTTAATATTATCTAAATGATATTCTTAGACTTGAAGAAATCTCTCAAATAATTTAATTGGAAGACACCTAGACAACCCAGAACAATGATAATCAAAAGAGAAAATTTAGTGACTCTAGAATTTGTAGATTCATTGGTATCTCTTAATCTTTCTTCTCTATTTTTCAAATAAACTAATTCATCAGCAATTTCATCTGTTAATTCTTCGATTTTACGTAATTCTAATTCAATTGGTTTTAATTTGTCATTAGCACTAATTAAATTCCAATCACGAGCTTCAGAACCAGTCTCAATATCTAATTCGACAGATCTACTCATAGCGGCACCTTTAATTTGAGCTAAATTCTCTAGACAGATATCTAAAGAAGTTGTAGCTTGAGCAGTTAAAGCAACATTAATATCACCTGCAATATCTCTCTTATTACGGTATTCATTTCCAACGGAGTCACGGACGTACAAGTTTAACATTTGACCATCACCGACAGAACCATCAGAGAAGAGATTGATAACTACTAATTGACCTTGTTGAACGAAATCACGAACACAAACTAATTCGGAGTGATGGTTAGATGGAATGTCAAAATGTAAACCACAGATCAGCTGGGTAAAAACAGCTAGCACAATGGAAAGACCTAAAAATTGCATGACTAATATATTCTATTCTATTATTGACTATTATTATTATTATATGGTAAAGGTAAGAAACTCAAATAAATGGAAAACAGGTTGTGTATTAATCTGTTTTAATTCGATTGGAAGATCCTAATTTCAATAACGTAGATTTAACAAATGTGTATGGAAAGAAATGATAAAATGATATTCACCCTGTTACAATAACTAAAACGGCCTTTTTAATCTTACCTAAGAGTATTATTATGTATATAGTTAATAATGTTTAAAATATGATACTAAATTACAACAAAATCATTGATTCAATCGCCAGAATGTAAATAACGTTCACGTTAGAAAAGTATTTACCAATTGGAAAATTTCAGTAAGGAAATTGTTCACCAAAAATCTTTTTAGGCGTGTTTAACTCTTTCTCGCGCTTTTTCTTGGAAGGCGAACAGGGAGGGACACGTAAGAAAATACTTTCGTCCTTCTATATATTTATAGAAGGATTATACGAATTAAGACACTTTGCTAGGCATGCCAAAACTACCTGATGAGCATAGCATGAAAGTAAACAAATGGTGAAACCATATGAATAAAGATATATCTTTGTCTAATTGTTATTCTAATATTTACATGAATATTTACTTAATGCTTGTATAGTTATGTAGATAATGATAATGATGATGATGGTGATTATGGTACTCATTGCTCTACATTGACGATGTTCCATTCGGGAGCAACGGTCTTGTTTTCAATCGTAGGCCCGACAACAACTTCGTAGCCAGTTTGGCCATTCAGGTACTGATCTGTAACTCTATTGATATCGTTCATCGATACATCTAATAGGGTTTCTCTTCTGGTTTGTCTCATTTTGTCATTGATGCCATGATCAAAGTTCCAAACACCTTCCCCTCTTCTACTCAATGGCGAGTCTACCTCTTGGAACAAACGCAGTTTTGCGTCGTTCAAATCGTCACTCTGAATTTCAAATGACTTTTTATAAACTGCAATAGATTGCAATGGGTTAGGGTCACGATAACTGAAATAATTGAACGAACCATTAATGGCATCATACTTAGCACCAGCACCATATGCACCATTTCTTTCCCTAATTTCTTTATGCAAATGCTTAGAACTTAAGACGCTTGACAAAATTTGTAAAGCTGCACCATCTTTATTTATGAAAGGAATATTAGTTGGTTTAGAGAGTGCAGTGTGATGTGTTTGGAATGAAAAATTTAATAATGTTGGGTTTTGAGTTTGAATTAACGGGTATTTTTGAGTTTCAGAACCACTTACCAATTTTCCTGTGTTGACTTTTGTAAATTGTTCCTTAAATTTGTATAACTCAGAACTTATCTTTTCTACCTGGTTATTTGTATCAGTGGTAACAAAGAATTGCAAATCTTTAGGATTTTGGCCTATAATAATATCTTGTAGCTGAATCATCTTGTCTATTACTTCACTTTGGAATTTTTCTGGATCATCGAGAACCTTGGCTAGTCTTCCAATTAATTGTAATTGTTCAATACCTTGTAATGATTCATTTATCGCATTTGTTTCATTAAAATGCGCACAAGCATAACCTCTTGCAAAGACGTGGCCGGAATCAGAAACTGAGCTGATGTTAGAAGAGGCTAACATTCTAATTAAAACCTTTAAGTTTTCACTATTCTTTTGGAAATCTGTTCTTAGTAATAATTTCTCCCAAAATTCAACGATTTTATCTGTCTTCGAGTTTAATGCCCAACCACTAAATAGGAAATTAAACTTTGGTTTAAGTGTCTTAGGGTCGGATGTCACAGAATAACTTGCAGATATACCACCAGTGTAAAGTTTTATTTTGTTTTCAATCTCGCTGAAGGGTTCATCCTTTGTCCCAAGGCTGGTTAATGAGTCAACAAATAATGGGATGTATGGGTATAGTTCCAAAGGTATTTGATCGTTTAAAGTCTTTTTACCACGAATATATGAAATACCATTTGTATCAGTAATACGTGTTATAATGCTCTCGTCGTGTATATCTATTGGATATTCTTGCCCTTGTCTGGGGATATCTGCTAATTTCAATGAGGGTAAGCATGATAAATCTTCTACTTTGTTTTGTTTTTCATTTAATATTTTACCACGTTCGTATATAATGTTTTTATCAGAAGCATCTAGGGTTTCAATCTTCTTTTGTAATCTAGTTTTCTCTTCATTCTCTAGTTCGCTAGAAAACTTCGAGGATCCTTCCATTGTAAATTGAAGTGATGGTTTCTTATAAATATATTTGTTAATAATGTCATAGAACAGACCATCACCTTTCGTCTCTAAATCATTTCTAAATCTGTTTAAAGTTTCATCAAAGAGTAAACTATCGAATGGATCTAAATTATTTGTCCAACCGGGAATAATACTATAAAGGATTTGAAGACCAAAATCAGGTTTTTGATCCTTCTTACTTAGTTCAATTTGTTGAATAATGGCTTCGATCTTAGTTTTATCGAATGGTGTTGCTAGTACTTCTTCAAAGATTTTTTGTACATTATCCTTTAAGTTAGTTGGATTTTCAATGCCTTGGACACCGACGGTAAACATATTGACTGAAGTATTTGATTCTGCACCTGAATTAACTGCAAATTCATGACCTAATCCTGATTCAATTAATTTTTTATACATTATTGATGATTGACCATCCATTAAAAGGTTTCCTAAAATCTTTAATAAAAATGTTTCATAATGATCCTCTGGAGTGCCACAAAGCCAAGTTAAAGAACTTTTAAACTGTTTCTCTGGTGGTAACATTGGATCCAATTGTCCATTCTTAGTTACCGTTATATCCTCATTTAATTCAATTGGCATCAATTTGTCATATTTACTATTTCTTTTACCAAATAATATAAATTCTTTATTAAGCCTCTTTAGTGTATCAACCAAGGGGAATGTACCATAAGTAAATGTCTTTGAATTCGATGGATGATAATTTTTTCTTTGAAACTCTACCAAATCTTCATACATTAAATCTGTTATCTTCTTAGGGTCACCACCAGAATTATTTAATGAAGGATATATTGCTTGTTGAAATTGACTCCAAAAATAATAGTCAGGATTTGATACTTGTCCTTTCATTTCATTATATACAACACCTTTAAAAGTAATATCAGATTTTTTATCTTCGATATCAGAATATTCTAATCTCCAACCTTCTTGATTAAAATCTTCTCTTTTCAATAAAGGATTTAATGTAGCATCTAAATAGACATCTCTTAAATTTGCAAAATCTTTAATATTAGTAGTAGCAAAAGGGAAAAAAGTATAATCTTGTCCCGTCATTGCATTCATAAAGTTTGCTAATGATTTATTTAACATTTTAAAAAATGGATCATGAACAGGATATTTTTGAGATCCACATAATGTAGTATGTTCAAGGATATGAGGTACACCTGTTGCATTTGGTGGATTTGTTTTAAATGCAATACTAAAAATATTATTAGCATCATTTCGGTCTATATGAAGATGTTGTGCACCTGTTTGTTGATGATATAAATCGACTGCGGTTAATCTTAATTCTGGAACAGGTAGTACTCTTTTAACCTCATAACCATGAATAATTCCACCAATAGGGTATTTCCTTAAAATTTTAGCTTGCTCATATGTTGAAGCAAATCTCTTGAATCGTAACATAGCAATTTAGTAAAAATATAGTAAATGCTAGTTCAGAGTTTCAATACAGTTCACAAAGTTGATTTTTCAAGATCAGATATACTCGCTTTAATAATAAATTTATATTCAATATGGGGGAGGAGGTTATACCCTTTTCCAGTTGACCATTCTTTTAGCCTTATGATTATGGGCTAAAAGATCAAAAAACCTCAAAAGCACGTGACTTGATGTGCGGGTAACCACCTTAAACTAAAACTCACACTAACTTTTACAAGCAGAATTTTAAGACACCCCCGGTCCAATTACCCATAATAACTACATGCGTTTATATAACCCCCCATTACCAACGTTCCTCAAAGACGTCCTTATTCATCTATACAACTATAAAGCATCGTCGCATCACGATGCACGACTAGCAATTTAGCAGTGAGTTTCAAATGTCAACTAATTCAGCCGCAGAAACGTTTTTCAAGGAGCCCAAAAGAGAAAATTTTTCTTTTGGATTTTCTTCGGTTTGTTTGATAGGGGAAATATATATATATATATAT